TCTCAAAATGAAGTTCATCATCCTTGGGAAAGCCATCGGCAACTGACACAGGGCAATCCTCTTCACCATAGTGCAACTCGGGTTTCATCTTGAACTGATACGAGACTACACCGTGTCAATAAACAAATAAGAGAACATGCACAATAATGCAAAGAAAATCTCGATTTTCATCTGTGACTCTCTATACTATCTGACATGCAAGAAATAGCATAGTTTTCAACTCAAATCATGCCGTAAGAGCATAAGAACGAGTGCTAATCGATGGCCACACACCTCAAATGAATTAAAAAGAAAACCTAGAATGCAATGAACTGTCTGTCATGAATATTGGTAAAAGTGAAGTTGGAAAAAAAAATATGAAATATGATGAACTTAGGCAACCACAAAGGAAATTCCATATCCGGAAGATTGAAAACGGGTAAAGTTATAATCCACGAGACCAAGTTCCAAAACTTACCATCGCCACTTCACCATTCAACATCGTAGGAATGCCTTCTAGCAATCCCAATATAATCTTGCTTTTACCCAAAACCTGCCTTTTTGGATTACCATTGCCTGTAAATTAAGAGAAGTGCCTTATGAGAAAGCTTCCCGCTAATAAGTATAAATTATAAGGCAGAGCAAGTTCATCAAATAAGTATCTTCAGCTCCAGAATCAGCTAATTCAACTTATACACCTTTCTAATATTTTGATAAACGGCTAATCGAACATAATAACGAGCTGAATTTCACTGTGTGCGGCACACAATCCGATGGATCTCCCTCTTTCTATATGATACTCCAAACAAATTTTAATCATGATGAATAATAATATATTTAAGCTAACCTCCAATTTCAGCCCGGGTAGACTCAACTACAACTCCATCTAGTGTACGAATTGTACAGTGATATATAACCTGCACGAAATTAGCACATCGCATATGTTAAATGCTGATTGCTGCAAAAGGAACTGAATAAATAAAACAGTGACGAACCTGATCGCCGTCGCTAGGTGTATTTTCACCAGCTCCGGGCCTTATCAGAGCTTTCATCAAGCTACCAGGCGTAATCTTCTTCCTCCTACACATTTCAATATCAATTCAGAGAACGAATTTAAAAAAAAAATAGTAAAAAGAAGAAGAAGAAATAAATAACAAAATGTAAAATTGGCCTGCCTTTTGTCATCTTCAGAATCTGGTTTTTTCTTCTGAGGTTTAAATTCTTGCTCCGGCTCTTCCACTACAGCCATATTGTCACTTACTCTCCGGCGATTACAGTTTGCAGTTAGCGAATTTCACTTACTCGAGCTCAATTTTTTTTTCCTTCCTTAACCAGTGGAATGGCGAAGAACCCTAGGCAAAACACAGTAATACACATGTTTAGGTGGAATTATTGTACATGACATGATAATTGATTTTTAGATTAAACTGGATTTTAAATTCTATATCGGTTATATTTAATAATTAACAAATGATTAAAATTGGAAATTAACTTCTAAACTAACCTTTTACAATTAGAAATTATGTTAAATCAGAAAGGATTAAATATCTATCAAGTTTAATGGAAATAGAAATTATAAGGTTTATATAATCGTATTATGCAAATTGGGCTGAAACTTAACAGAATTTAGTCAAAGCCCTTTAAGAAGTATACTAAGTTGGGCCCAACAAGGCCCAATAATAGGCTTAGTATGAGTTCAATTTTAATGGGCCCAAGAGCAACTTGATTTCCCAGTTTAAGCCCTCCTTCTATAATTATAAATAAAACAATGTCAACATATAAAATTCAAAATAAAAATAAAAATTATTTCATTAAAATGAAATAAGTAATGTCCAGCCGTGTTCTATGCCAGGAATCACGGTATTGTTCAGCTAATTAAGACATTGAATTTTCTAATTACCAATCATTTTAGCGTACGTTAACAAACATGATTATTGTGGTCTTCGCAATAATAGCTTTTAGAAACATATATTATGAGTTCCTTTGCCCTAATAATTTATTTTTACGAGTTGGCAAAATTATAGTTTGCTTGTGTTTCTCTTAAAATAAGATGTTTTAAGCTGTAATTTCAAAAAAACCATCAGACCTGCTTTTTCATTTTAAGTTGACTTTTAGCATATTTGCAAATACCTCCAATTTTTAAAAATAAGCATTTAATATCAACTTCAATCATAATTATTAGGTTGGTGTTTGCAAAAACGTTTCAAAAATAGAAGTTGGTGATTCTGAGTTTCAAAAATAGAAGTTGGTGATTCAGAATTAAGTTAATAATAAGTGTTTATTTCTAATTCAAAAGTTGATAATGTTTGCAAAATTTCATGAAAAATCAATTTTCAACAACTTATTTTAGTGAAGTTGGCCAGGTGATATTTTCTATACTCTAACTTAAAACAACTTATTTTAAGAGAAATAAAAACAATAATTTATCTTGTAACACTTCAAAAACGATTTTGAGCTCATAATCACTTTTCAGTGACTTTTCGCAGACACGGCCTAACTTCTATTTAATCCTCCTAGAAAAATACATAGGTACTAACAATTATTGAACTAGGTTGGCGTAATTAATTGAAAGACTGTTTTGATATAGTTGGTAAGCAGCTCATGGAAGCAAGAATAACCTAATTTTTTAAATACTTAAATATATTTTCTAAAAACGGATTAAAAATTAAAATAAACATTAAAACCACTCTAATGTTGGCAAATGTCAGATTCTTCTTACATAAAACAGAATATAATAATACACTATTAATTATTTGGTTTAGCCGATTTGGAAGTTAGACGAAAAAGAAAGTTATAACTTCGATTAATACAATATAATGATAGGATTAAATCTAATGATATAATTTGGTCAAATTCATTTGTATCTACTAGTCAACTTCTGCAAACGTAACATCAGTTAACATCAATTTTAATCCTAAGTAAACGTCACTTTCTTTCAGTTGTTCAAGGTTTTGGTTTACTTAAGTTTCTAGATGACTTAATACCGCGTGGGACAAATTAAATTGAAGGCTAATTATAGAACCCAAAACCTGTCATATAATTTAATTTTATAATTATGGATCAAATTAGTTGTAAAAATAAATAAATAAATAATAAATATTAAATAGGAGCAAAAACCAATCGTGGGAAGTCACAAACCGAACGGATGATGGCCAAATCCGAAAAATCTTGCAACATGTTGAGCACATAAGACCCACTTGCTTCTCCCATCAACGTCAAATTAACACGATGGTATAAATTAGTGGCCGAGCCAGTATAAGACTATAGGGCCCAAGTCTCGAATCCCTATTATTTATGTAAAAATTAAAAAAAAATTAAATAAAAAGTATTTGTTCACTAGATTTCATTAGAAAATTGCATCTAAGAGACGAGTAATATACACACTAATATATTTTTGGGTGAATTATAACTACACTCCTGAAATAAGGTCTTTATAGTATCAACAATTACAGTGACCCTCCTGAAATATTGTTAAAAACCCTAACGGAATAATGCATTGGATAATTAATTACGCTAGGGTTCCAACACGCTATTAGTTTCAGAAAGTGTGATGTAGACAACATAGAGTTAGGGGGTGACATGGTTTCCTCAACATTTTTTATATTCTTATATTTTATATGAAAATTATAATTTTTTGTTTATGGTTGCTTTAACGAGCCTATGGAAAACAAATATAGTGCATATCGGTCCCCAAGACATGAAATTTTGGCTCCGCTAACTGTTTCAGGGGTGTGGTTGCAATTATTAACTATATGGACTTTAAAGTTATTTTAACATATTTCAGGGGCGTAGATTTAATTTACCCAATACCGTTATGGTTAAATTAAAATCAACCCCCTGAAGTATAGTCAAATTACTTATTTGGATAAAACCTTCTTACACGTCCACCATTCCGTTTTCAAATTTAGTGGAATCTTCGAGATTATATTGAATATTATCACTTTTGTACCCGTTTTATCCCATTTGAACCCTACATTTTGAAGCAAGATGATCATAATATGTATTTTTTGGCTTGTATATATCAGATTGTGGTGCATCATAAACTGTATTTTTACACAAAACGAGTACAAACTAGAGCACATTTCACAAAATCGAGATAATTATGTTGAATTTGACACCATCAAGGTGGAGGTGTAAAAAAAATTATAATTAACGGATAGATATAATTATTCAAACAATAGGGATTTTTTCGTGTGGTTGTAATTTACCCTACTTTTATATTAAAAATAAAAATATAGAATAGTACACAAAAGTATGTACGTAGTAAATAAAAAGTGTGTGTATGGTTGGAGGAAGGGCATGAGGGGTGTTTCCGGAAGCAAAAGCACATGGCGTGGGCTTCAATTTCGGCGGAATGGCCCAATCAACATTTCCCATCAATCACAACCCCCATGCCCATCTCATAATTTTAAAATTAAATATTAAAAACTATATCTTATGTATCTTTTATATAAATGAAATAAACCATAGGCAATCCTAATAAAAAAAATTAATTAACTTTTTTTATACTAAATTTCTAATAATATTTTTTTCTAATTCGGAGCTAAAATTGTACTCCTATTTTTCAACCATATATCTCTAATTATTTTTACATGTTTCTATACTTTTAATTTTTTTTTGGATTTATTAATTGATTTACTTCTTTGACGATTAATTTTATTCTATAAAAATTAAATTTACATGATCTTTTGATGAGTTTGTATTATTAAATTTATATAAATACCGTGGTTTAAATATCACTAATAAATTATATTATACGAACACCAAAAGCCATCAAAGTACAAGGAAAACAACTCAAAAGGGAAGATATTTTCTCATTTGTAGTAAAACATCAAATGCCTTCACCTTTAAGAAACTCCCTCAAATTGAATACTATCGAAATGCAAAGCAATTTGAAATTTAAATAAAGTATTTCAAATTTCGCGTACCTCCAAAAGAGATTTATTTGAAATTCCCACCATCATATAAAAGAGACAACATGCAAGTTGGGTCATTTTTCATTTTTATTATTTATTTATTAATTTGCTCCGACTAATGAACGCATTCCCACGGAGAGAACACGCTTTAGTGCTTTGGATCTTATACTATTTTTTAAAATTTTATTATTTATTAATAAACAATAAACAAATAAAAAAAATGCCAGCTAAGCAAAACTGAAAAACTAATTCTGCAGTCAAAAGCCAGAGTACCAAAGCATGTGCCAGAAGGTGCTAAATAAAAAGCACACTGTACTGCTGCAAGTGCTTTTTTCGCTTCCCCCCATGCTTTGACTACACTTAACACAGTAATTATTATTTAATAATAATTAATCACACCACTAATTAAAATTAACCCATAAAATGGGATTATTCATGTCAGTACAAGCAAATAAAATCAATAACATAGCTAAGAGTTTAGACCAAAACAAAACCCAGCTCACTAATTAAACCTACATACTTAGTGGGTAATTTTTGTAATTAATTACCCACATAAAAGAAAAAATAATAATAATAAAAAATAAAAAAAAACCCTCCTTTTATTTTTCTTTAACAGTAATTAATCTTCCACTTCATTGTAACTCGAGCCGAATAAAATAAACCCGAGATTTTCTAACATTCTTCCTTCGGTTTTCTTCTTCTTCTTCTTCAATTTATTTCACTTCCATCTGACACAAACTTTTGCTAATAAAACCATATTTTCATCATCATCTACTTAATTAATTAATTACTACAACCAATATCCTATTTTACTATATAACGCTAATTAATAACCAATCACCTAATAAAAAAAAAAAATAATACTAGTATATATTCCTTTGTAAAATCCATCATCCAGTAACAATTCTTCTTTCTTCCCACTAATTTGGTCAACTCAATAAGTCCACTCCTGGGGAAGCCTGAGTTCTTGATTCATTACAGGCTGTGGTGTAATACTTCTTCTTTGTTGTGCCATGATTACATCTGCAAGTTTTCAATACAGAGGAGTTATTACAAGAACTATGCAAATAATAAATTAAATATAAATATATATAAATAAATAAATATATATACCATATTCCTGGGTGAAATTTCTGTTGCCTCTGAGGTGGGATTGGGAATCCATGGTGTCCAGATTTAAGTTCAAAGCATGCACAACTCTGTCTGGTAATAAGACTGTTGAACAACCTGCTAATTACAAATTACAAATTAATAAATTAATAAAAATAATTCAGATCTGAAATCAGAATACTAAAATTAAATTAAAAGAAACCCATGTGAATATTATAAATAAAAAGTAGTTATCAAAATTAATGATACTAAACAGTAGAGAATTAAATGCGCGTAGGAAGGTATGTTTTAGTGTAGTAGTTAATGACCTGGTTTTTTCCGGGTTTGGGTCGGGTCGGGTCCAACTCTTCGGGGCAAAAAAACTCCGGTTCCGGTTCGTTCTTTTTTAGCACCGGTTTCTCCGAGGAAAACCGCTCTCATCCCTGAACCGGGTTGTTGCTGCTGCTGTTGGTGTTGGTGTTGGTGTTGAGACTGTTTAAGAGTGGGCCAGGCCGCCATTGATAGACCTTGAGTTCTTACAGGTTCAGCAGATATATTCATGTTTTGAAACTTGTATTCCGTTTCGCCATGCCTCCAAACTCCATCTCTCATCATCTGTTGCTGCTGTTTCATCCGCTGAAACTGAAACACAAAGGAATTTAGAAATTGATTTTTTTAATTAAACGAAATTAAAAAATTAAGTGATGAAAAAAAGAGAGGAAAAACTAACTCGAGTTGCTTGAAACTGGAGATAAGAAATCTGGGCTTGAGTTTGAGTTTGGTTGTTCGTGTTTTTTTGAACGGGAACAGCGATTGGGCTGGGGTTAGGGTTGAGCGTCGGAGGGAAGAGCTTGGCTGAGTGAAACGGTGTCGTTTCATCACTCATGCGGATCCTTGCGACTTCGCCCGCGGCGGCGTACAGCAAATCCCATCCTGCAACATCTTTTTCGTCCGGCGGCGTTGAAACACGGGAAGCGCTGTTTGGGCTGCTCTGGCTGGACGCCGGCTTGCAACCGCACAGAGTAGACTGCGGCGAACCAGAGAGTTTTATTCCCTGCAAAAAAATAAAATTAAAATTAAATATCTCGAAAACATGTACAGATATGGAAAAAAGGAGGAAGAAGAAGTTGATAGGTTACCTTGGATGTGTAGTCAGTAGGCAGAGTTGAGTCCTGGAAAGAGGAGTGAGCTAACTTCCGAGTTAACCCGGTGAGGAAATCGTCCTCGTCGCTCTCTGTTTCGGTGGAGCCCATGATTGACTCAACGGGTGAACTCAGATCCGAGTTGATACCAAACCCAGTTGAGAAACTGTCACTCCTCTTGGTCTGGAAATGGTCGGTTTTGAAGTCCATCAACAAGTCATCGTCTGTCAGAAACTCCGACGGCAACCAGAACTCTCCGTCGTCGAGCTCTTCCGCCATTAGAGAGAGACACAAAATTTCAAGCTAAATAACTCTTTGCAAACAGAGAGATTATATAGCACGTCGTCAACAAAACCTGGTATTTCGAATGAGGGGTTTGCTGCTTCCTGAAGTTTTAATTATAGGCACCACTCAACTGGTTGAAGAAAAAATCTACGGGGCCCCAGAGGAAATATACAGAGAGAGGAGAGAGAGAAAGTAGAGAGAGAAAAAGGCAAAAGAAACTATCGAGGACAGAAGAGAGAGTGTCAGAGTATTGGGAGAAGAGAGAGAGAGAGGAAGGAGTGGAGGCTGGAAGAAGATTTTATAAAGGGGGTAGAACACTACAGCCGGTGGAAACCCTAGCGAGTGGAGCACCACAAGCGCGGCGGTGGAGAGTGGGTGTCACGCGCGGCGGCAGATAAGTTTGGAAAAACAGTTGGAAAGAGTTGTAGCCAGGTAAGGAGGAGGTGGTGGTAGTGGTGGTGGTGGGGTTGGAGGTTCTGACACCGGTCACTTGGTTCTCATGTGAGGCCGTGTGTGGGTCCCGCCTTAATTTCAGTTTTTTTCTATTTCTTTTGTATAACGTCCTAGTACTTAATTATTGTTAATTAATGATGAATTAGTCCTTTAATTAAGGGGTTAATTGTGTAATTTTTTAGGAGGGAAAAAAAAAGAGGAAAGTAGTGTAAGGTGGTGGTGACAACGTGTTGGCGCCTTTGTGATTGGTGCCTTGACGACGTGATATTTATCGGCACCCATTGCCACGTGGCAATTTATGCTTTGCATGTAAGCAATTAGTGGGGGAGAGGCTGGGCCGGGTCTTTTTTTTTTTTTAGGGTTTCCAAAAATTTCAAGCGACTTTACGATTTTGCCACCGCATGTTGGTCAAAATGTCAAGATTGCCCTTTTCATATTTTTTACAGTAATCTACTAACTAAAGTAATTAAACACAGTTTAACGGGTGAACTAACTGTGAATACCACAAGAAATTGTATTTTCCTGGAGAATGAATGTTTCAATTAATTGGAATAAATGATATTTAATTTAAATAGTGTATGTGGTCAACAACCATTTATTTTTTAATGTTGGATGGGTAACTCATGGTAACATAACTTAGAAAAGAATTACTTTTATCTGTAATAACTATATTATTAATGTTGGAGATTGACTGAGGTAAGACGAAGAATATCGTTAGAAGAACAATACTAAAGTCTATATGCCACTTTTGAAGTTAGAATATTTAAAAAAAAATGAGTATTGATTTAATTTAAATGCTATGATAATTAGAGTTGAATCGAAGGGATCTAACGTAGGGAAACTTATGTTGGAAATATTCCAGTCAAATGGAATCCAATCCTGTCGGGATTTTACTGCTCATTTGTTGCCTTTATACTCTATTGTCTAATTTTATTTTATTTTATTTTAACCTGTTTTAATTGTTTTTTTTTAGTCAAGTGATTAATTGATTTATTTATCAAAATAAAAGGTGATTAATCGATTATGAAAATAAAAGATTTTTTTTTTGGTTGATTTTGATTCTTGATGCCGATTATTGACACTAGGCCAAACGGCAATTAGATAATGTTGGTATTGAAAGATTTGTAGGGTTGTTATACGAGATACGTATTTGAACAGGTGGCTACGCCAATTTATATTACTTTGTTTCGGTTTTGGTTTCGATTTTCGATTTTCGGCTTCGGTTTTGGAGTTTATATTTTTTTCTCTTAACTTTGTACCGGAATTTTCTCCGGTTATAAAATATGGTTTCCTTTTGATATATTGCCCTTCTATAAAATTTTCACGATCAATGTTGATTTAAATGATTTATTTATCTTACCAATGCTTTCTAACTCGATTTTAACATTATCACGTCTCTCGTGTGGTTTGTGAATTATATTGCAAGAAAATTGAGATATACGTTGTGCGCATATGTGATTGATTGTGGGTTTCTTGATAAAATTAAGGATGATAAAGAATAAAATCATAAAATTGATTAAAAAAATTATAATAAGTAAATTAATCAATAATTTGAGAAACAAGTCTGTAAAAGGATAAATATATATATGCAAGTAAATATTTGTTAGGTTTTTTATTGATTTCTTTTTGGGCTTGGGCCCAACTTTGTGACCTAAAAATGTCAATTTTTATTTATTTTTAAATAATGCAAAAAATGATTGCTTATTAGTTCCGCAAGAATATAATGCAATTTGAGCAATTTCGGCGCCGAAAGAGTGTGGATAGATATGAACTAGTATTGACTATTGTCCATTCTCCATCCACCAACATCATTTTCATCAAGTTTAAGGCAAACTTTCAAAATATAATAATTCAAAAAAATAAATAAAAAAATAATATAATAACAAATTTTAATATAATTTAACCTTATTTAAGGAGATAGTTTATCCTAGTTGTGTTTTTTTAAAACTTGATTTATTTTAATTAAGTATTTACCGATTTGTTCAAAAATTAAAATAATTGATAATTATATAATCAAGTAAGAATAAAAAAAATAATAAATGAACGGCCAGAAATTTGTCAAAGGTTTCCCTCCAAAATCCAGAAGTATTAAATGGATGGCCCAGTGACAGATAGTATTTGAACTGGGCTACATTAAATTTGGTTCTTCCGAATATTTAATGAAATGGCTAATATTGTAGATTTTTTGTATCATTCTTCGGATACAAGTTGGTAAGAAATCACACTTTTGATAGATTATTTAGTCAGTGTCGGACCGACATAACTATTGTCCTTTACTCACATTTTGAATCGGGCTTTTGTGTGTGCTGAATGCACTAAAATACTAGAATTTGCGTTCTGTTTACCCCGATTACTTTTAAAATAAGCGTTAGCGTCTGATTTTCTACACGTAAACAAGTACAATTTATTATATCAATTAACCAAATTTTTGATACGTATCAACTTTACAACTCACAAAATAGAAACAATGTTCTCTGTATCAGTATCAAATCATGTCACTGAATTAGAGTAATTTCTTTTCAATTTAATATTCATAAAATTGGGGTCCCACAAATTGAATTTGTATAACTAGATTCTGCCGACGGTGCATTGCATGATAATCTTTATATTATTTAGAAATTAAAGTTAAAATATATATACGGAATCCAAATTAATTTTTTTTTTAAATCTAATATGATATATATCTCAGATCATGAAATTGTTCGCTTGCATCTGATGTGCTTCCCTACCTAAAATGGATCATTATGTAGGGACCATTCCTCACATGCCTCAAAAATTAAATTAATTAAATAAATCTTTAATTATGATTAAGCCTTTAATGACAAAGATCATTAAGATTTAAGCATGAATAAATACCCATCAAATCAAGAATATTAATTAACGTCCTATTAACGGTAATGTGATTATGATTAAACATGTTTTTTTGTAATGATTACATTTGCCGACACGATTCTGTGCTTGTTAGAGGGAAAAAACATCGAATTTAAATTTTGGAAAAAACTATTTAATTATTCAGAAATTCAATAAACAAAAAAAATATTAAAGATTGACGATTAAGTTGACCTAATTAATTAAAATATTGACGATGGTTCTTAGGCTGAAACAATTAATTAGTGCATTGATCAGACGTTGTAAAGTAACGGTTGTTGTACCTGCCATGCTAGGTGTATAGCATATAGTCCATCGCACGTTAAAGTTGGAATATAAATTCAAATTTAACAGTAAATTAAGATATATAGTATAGTAGGTAGCATGCAGTGATGGGATAAAGGTAAAAAGTGCACATGGAAATTCATCAATCGCCTTAGATCTAGATCTAACTTTTGTGTTTCATCAACGGGAGCAAATAATTAATTATCTATCTAGTATTTTCGTTGGCCAACTAAATTTAAATACAAATTTAATAACGAGTGTATTTGCTAATTACACTTTAAATAATAAGTTCAGATATATCAAATTGTCGAAAAAAATACTTGTATTAAAAACATTAGTAAGAAACTCTTTATAGAATTAGTGAAAGCCAATAAGGTCCTTTAGTGCTGATCATGTACTGCACACGTTGATTGTGCGATTTGGGGTGTATTTTTTACCAAAAAAACAAAAATATCCTTTAAATTATAAATTTTATAATTTGCGGAACACAACAGAGGGGTGTTCTTGATGAACGTTTTTAACAAGAGGACTCTTTTGTCAATATGAGATTACAAATGGGTAAGTTTCGCAATTAACCCAATTTTTTGGGGGTTAATATCATCCAATAGAAGATGGCCGATGGGCCGGTAGATAAAACTTTACGTAAGACATATTTTTCAAGTCTTGGCCCAATAGGTTCAGTCCATAATTATAATTATATTAGTCATGTTCAACCCATTTCCATAATTAGTGACCGATTCTTAGTGGGAATAATTCAATCAAATTGAGAAGACTATGACCACATTAAGTTATAACTTTGACATTTTTTGCCTAATACGAGTTAATTTTTTGGGTTATTTATGAATTATTGAACGAGAGCGAAATTTACCTAAAATATTTCCACGCGGATTTGCTTTTTCTTTTTTTCTTTTTTTTTTAATTATTTTTTTTATTTTGATATTTTTGGCTACCATCTAACACGTGTTTATATTTTACTTCTTTAGGAGAAAATGTCTTCCAATAACTCATTCCATTATTGTATTAATTAGTAATAATCCTTCGTTCATCAAAAATAGCTAGCAATCAGAGTAAGTAAATTAGTGTCATTTGACCTAAATTCGAATATCTTTACATACTAATATGTTCGAATTACTAATTTACCATCTCCGAAACTAGTTGCGACATACCATGCAAGCGGCGCTCTACTCTCTTGAAAATATAGGTTATCGTGACTAATAAAAAAAAAAATACTTCAATTATACTTAGTTATTAAAATAACAACATACTTTCCATGTTTCAATAAATCCCTATTAATTTCGTGAAAAAAATCGATACACATGAGAAGGAAGCAACAAAAGACATTAAACGTAGATTCGATCACGAATACATCGTGACCCAATATTTAATATTAAAACCCTTTAAAATAAATCAAGCATGCGTAATTATCACTAATCACTAATCACTAATCACTAATAATAATATAATTATCTTAATGGCGACAGTGTCACAAGTTACAACCCAATTTACTTCCACCATATATGTAAAGGTAAAACCTCATTATTATTACTATTACAATTAAAATGGAGTTAATAAAAACAGGAATATAATTTGTTCGAATTTACTGGTTAAAGTAAAATTAGGAATAGAATAATCCAAAACTAAAATCACATTTCGTTCAAACTTAAACGGATCAACTCTGTTTTTTGCCTTTCAATTTCCTCACGCAACAACTCATGCTTTTTTCCCTATAAAACATAACAGAAAGGAAGAAGAAACATAAAATAAAAAAACATAAAAATGGCGAAAGATAGGAAGATCGGGGTGGCGATGGATTTCTCCAAGAGCAGTAGAGCGGCGCTGCGGTGGTCAATCGACAATTTAGCTGATTCAGGCGACACTTTCTATATTCTACACATCAAATCCAGCTCCCACGACGAATCCCGCAGCAAACTCTGGTCGAAATCCGGTTCTCGTATGTTTACAATTCCTTTTTTCTGTTTTTGTAGGGATTCCGATCTGATGTTTTTTTTTTAAATTTATAAATCGATCAATTTGGGGATTTTCTGTTCCGATTTTGAATTAATTAGGTTTTTAATTGCTAATTGCAGCCCTAATTCCATTGGTGGAGTTTCGTGAGCCGGAGGTGATGAAGAAGTACGAAGTTCCGATCGATATTGAAGTTCTCGACATTCTCGACACTGCTGCCAGACAGAAAGAGGTTTTCGTTGAAATCCAATTTTTTTTTTAAATTTCGTATTTAATAATGTTTTTCGAATGCAATTTGAATAAAAAAAAAAAATGGTGATTAAACAGATAACAGTGGTGACGAAATTGTACTGGGGAGATGCGAGAGAGAAGCTTTGTGAAGCTGTTGAAGATTTGAAGCTGGATTCTCTGGTTATGGGTAGCAGGGGCCTCTCATCCATTAAGAGGTATATATTTTTTATTATTATTTTTATTATTTTTAAATAAAATAAATATCCCAAAATATTTTTTTATTCTATGAAGTAGTAATTAATTAGATGATGGTGATATATATATATATATATATTTATGTAGGATAATCTTGGGGAGTGTGACTAACTACGTGATGACAAGTGCAAACTGCCCAGTAACCATAGTTAAGGACCCAGATTTTCACAAGAATTGATCCTCAAAATTACTCCTCGTCTCCATCCAGCTTTTAATAAATTGCAGATTTGCCCCCCCCCCCCCCCCGCCTCTTTTTTTGGATGATTTGTATAAATGTCTGATCAGATGTTTGGTACTGTATTCATAAATATTTGGTGTTGCAACATTTAATTCGAGTGTATATTTTCTGACCAATCTGAATTTCAGAAAAGGCCTGAGGATAATGCAGATAATTTGTGGGAAAATAAAGTTTCATCCCTTAAGTTTGAACAGATTTCACGTTCGGTCTTTCGTGTTCATAAAAAACACATTTAGACCATCATATTTAAAAAAATCATCACACTTTTAGTCCTTTTGTTAAATTTTCATTAAAACTAACGGAATCAACATGTGCTCATCATTGCCTTAACTAACAGACAAACATTAATATAATGGAAATGATAAAAAATGTTAAATTAATGAAACATGAGGGACCAAAATGTGTTTTTTTGTGAACATGGTGGATGAAATGTGAAATTTGTGCGAATTGAAGGGATGAAAGTGTAATTATCCCGATAATTTATCCTACCAAGTCTTGCATTATTGTTCTTAATAAAATATCTTTCTTAAAAATATCTCATTTGGTTGGATATGTTTTGAGTGTAGTGGGTGTATTTTTATATTATTATTGTAATTGTATTTGGAATTCATAATCAAGTAATAGTGATAATCAAAGTATTAATTATTAACTTATCAAAAAAAAAAAGTATTAATTATTTTGAAAAGATAAAAAAAATAATAATAAAATGAAAGAGAATAATCAGGATATTGAACAAGACAAATGGGGTTTGCCCTTGTTACTTTTGTAGTGTAAATTGGCCCAACTCCGGCTTTTGCCAACAGTGGACAGCCCATTACAGTTGTTTAAAACTCAGAAGTTTGGGCCATTAGCAAAAACTAATGTTTATATTTTATATGGCCTAAGCTTCGGTAATTAATCAACGCTATTATTAAACTATATATATATATATATATATATATATATATATATATATATATGTTTGTTTAACGTATTAGAATAAAGAAATAGAGAAAGGCAATCCTATACAAGTCAACTTCCAATGTAACTAAAGTTTAAAAACAGTGCATTGGAAAAACCAGCCAACCAAAGGTCAACGGCTACGGAGACAAAATTTGTCATTTTGAAACATCAAAAGAAGCAGATTAAATGATAAATTAAGGTAGAGAACCCGAAACAAATGTACCAAGTCGTTGGTCCTGGTATATTTGTTTGTTGGAACTACTAGCACTATGGTGTACTGTGTACTAATAATATATTGGTTCGCTTACAAGTAAAGTTTTGGTAAAGTAGAAAAATACTGCTTCTTTTTTTGCAACTGTATTACGACATCTCCCCTGAATTTATTACATGCTGTGGTCCAAGCTTAACATGCCTTGCAAAATTCAATTTTAACCACCACCCCTAGAATTATCAATTTCACTCTTTACATAAGTGAATAATATATATATTTTGCCTATTATGATTCTATATTTGCTGCAACCTAATATATACAAGTGTTTATTATATATATATTGATATGATAAATGAAAATTGTTAGCACTATGAAATGTAATAATTGTGACAGATATGATAATGAAAATGGTACACCATTATCCAAAACACAAAAACTTCATCTTCACTTGTCCTCCTCTGTTTTGGCTCTACTATTATTACAAGCTTTCATTGAGAAGCTTCCCTTGGAATTTAGAGGGACCATTCACATTATATTGTGTGTGTGTTTTGTGGGAGGGTGGGTCCCACCTTCACCTTGAGAGGCCTGTTGTTGAAGGAAAGCCCAACAAAGCAAATTGTAGCCAAACTTTGAAGGCGCTTAAATTCTTGAGCCTCATTGCCTATATTCTTTGTCTCCTCGTGAATCTTGTGCTTATATCATCATAGCTCTCTCTCTCTCTCTAGAGCTCTCTCTCTCTCTCTCTCACACACACACACAGACACACACACAGAGAGACACAAACACACATTCAGGCATCATTCTTGCACTCCAGTAGTGCCTGAGAGCAATTACTATCTTAGAGCAATTATTGCAATTTCCACTCACATTTTACTTCTGTCTAGTTTTTATTGACCATTGGCAGAGCCAAAGATGGTTGAATCCGAACTACTTGGAAACTCATGGAACCAAACCCCTCTTCTACATGGGTCTCAAAATCCGTCAACTTCTTGAAAAACAAATCCAAATTCCCCAACAGGGTTTCTTCCTCTTCCTGCAGTACGAGGTTTCGTTTCGATGGCATGGTCGTAAATAACTCTCTCTACTACTGCCCTTCACCCATTTCCCCCCACCCAGAAATGGCCACACCACTGTTGAACCAACTGAATTTCTCCATTGAAGAAGAAACTGCAGAAACCAGTTCAATTTCTGATTTCTTGTCCTCCGAGGTTTCATCTTCCCCGCATTGCAGCACCTCCGAGGTTTCTGAACAAACGGACAAACCCCATTCCCACAGATTACAAGGTGATTATTTTTTGTTCAATTAATATAGTATTTGGGGTTTAATTTAGTAATTTACAGGTGTTTGTGTTTTTAATCAATCTTTTTTTTTTTTTTTGTAATAACAGAAAATGAGATGATGAAAGAAAGATTCGCAAAACTGCTGCTCGGTGAAGATATGTCTGGTTGTGGCAATGGAGTTTGCACTGCTCTAGCTATATCAAATGCCATTACCAATCTCTGCGGTAACCATTATAATTCCTAACCATGGTTGTTATAATCTTCGTTTTACTAACTTGGTCGATTAATATACGATTTTTGCGTTTAATTCGATATTAGCTACACTTTTCGGACAAATTTGGAGACTAGAGCCACTAAAACCCGATAAAAAGTCAATGTGGCGAAGAGAAATGGAATGGCTTCTCTGCGTTAGTGATCACATTGTCGAGTTGATACCGTCTTGGCAGACATTTCCCGATGGAACCAAACTTGAGGTAAGTACATACTATTTAACGATTGAGATATATCATCGATTGGTACTTCATAGTGTTAGTCTTATCGTTTAATCGATTCTTGATTTAGATTATGACTTCGCGACCCCGATCGGATCTTTACAGTAATCTCCCTGCATTATGCAAATTAGACAACATGTTACTCGTAAGTCGTAAATCGTAACACACACACACACACACACACACACACACACACACACATATATATATATATATATATATATATATATATATATATATATATATATATATATATATATATATACTAATCTCTTCTTCGTTTGACGGCACTTATAATTTTTGTAGTGATTTACTCGTTTTTGGCCCTATTTTCGTATAGGAAATATTGGACAGTTTCGAAAGTTCGGAGTTTTGGTATGTAGAGCAGGGGATATTAACCCCAGAAGGTGATGGATCTGGATCCGGATCTTCGTCATCCTTCCGGAAGATTCTACCACGTCAAGTAGACAAATGGTGGCTTCCGATTCCTCGGGTGCCACCTGGCGGACTCACCGAAAATGCAAGAAAGATGCTGCAACACAGACGGGATTCCACGAACCAAATCCTTAAAGCTGCAATGGCTATCAACAGTACAGCTTTAGCTGATATGGATATACCCGAATCGTATTTAGAAGCTCTACCAAAGGTATTTATTAAAATAAGTATATATTTAACTTTTTCTTACATTAATTAAAAATAATAACTTTTTTTCTTCTTGCAGAATGGAAAAGCAAGTTTGGGAGATCTTATCCACCGTTACATTAATTCGGACCAATATTCTCCCGAATGTTTGCTCGACTGTCTCGATTTGTCATCCGAGCATCATGCTTTAGAGATTGCCAATCGAGTGGAGGCAACAATTCACGTGTGGAGACGAAAAACGAATTCGAAACCTTTAAATCATTACCCCACACAAAGATCCAATTCAAAGTCATCGTGGGAAATTGTTAAGGATTTGGTTATCGATGCAGACAAACGAGAACTATTAGCGTCCAGAGCAGAAACCCTTCTACTCTGCTTGAAGCAGCGTTTTCCCGGTTTACCACAAACCACTTTAGACACGAGCAAAATTCAATGCAACAAGGTTTTAAATTTTAATACTAATATAATATAATCAATCCTTTTCGAATTCTTAGTCTTTCTTGAAATTTTTTGTATTAAAGTAAAAACACGTTTTTTTTGGTAAGGATGTTGGGAAATCAATATTGGAGGGATACTCGAGAGTACTGGAGAGCCTGGCTTTCAATATTGTGGCACGAATCGATGACCTGATTTATGTGGATGACTTGTCGAAGAATTCGGATCAGCTCGTGTCGATATCGATGGTTGGTGTGATTAGTCATAAAAACGTGAAGACAACTTTTACGAGTCCTAGATTGTTCTCGCCTTCGCAGTTGATTGGTCATGCTGAGGTGGATAAGTCACCGTATATCGAGAGCAGCAAGCTTCCTCTTCGTGGAATTGGTGTGAAAAGGATTTTGACCGATTATTTGAGTATTGATGGAAAAGGGAGGGGCGATATCGGAAGATCCGATTCATTTTCGAAACACGGTATTAGTTGATGAATTTGCAGATTCGTCGAGGATGAATGAGCAAAAGGGATCACTGTTTTTTTTTTCTTTCTTCGTATAGAGGTCATTTTTGTGTGTGTTTATTTTATTTTATTTCATGCACATGCAAAAAGAGTATTTGAAGGTGGTGAGAGCTGTAATCTAGTTTTTATTGTATTGTTTGAAGATGTAATGAGATGAGAGGCTTTGTAATAAGAATGCACGTTCAAATTTGAGATATCAACAGTATTAAACACCATATTGTGAAGAAATTTGATGAATAAATAGAGAAATATTATGAGTGTGAAATAAATCCAGTTTGAATCAAATTCCTGAAGTGGTTAGCAAATGTTGTTTTTGTATGTTCTGTTAATAATCCATATTACAAACATCAAGTCGTTGTAGTATAGTGGTAAGTATTCCCGCCTGTCACGCGGGTGACCCGGGTTCGATCCCCGGCAACGGCGTTTTTAATTAACCATTCTTTTTTTAAAATTTTAAATAGTAAATCTGGCTGACAAATACAACACTTAGTTGGTAATTAATCAACACTAATCTTCTCTCTTACCAGAAGGAATGTTTTTTTGCTACAATACTGGCAGAAAAAAAGAATATTCTCTTTTCAAGATTGTATGCCTACAGTGAGCTACTTCCTTATCATAATCTTTATAGTTTATTCACAACCGTTAATAATCTAGTTCAGACAAAGAAACATAAACAAGTTACAATTTCCCAGAAAACAACTGAATTTTTGACAGTTACATTCCAACTGAATTCCATTTCTGATAAAACAGAACAACCCTCAAATAAAAGCCTGTTCACAACAGTGACATTCTTCAACCAAGTAATATTCCACTCTTATCCTCTGTCTATTATTCTTTCAATTTTCTGTGGTCTCCAACAAATCACACAACAAACAAATTGTGTCGAATTCACTTGACCTAGATAATGTTTCTTGAATTGACTATTATCCTCAAAATAAATAAGCTTAAATTACGAAAATACCCCTCATCTTTGAGTAATTACAACCATCCTGTTAACTATGTATCTTTTTACACGTCCACTCTTGTGGTGTCAAATTCAACAGAATCTTCTAGATCCCGTTTCGTATGCATAAATGCAGTTTCCGATGCACCACAATACGATATTTATAAGCATAAGAGACACATCTTGTTTCAAAATGTGGAGCTCGAACCGGGTAAAATAAGTACAAACTGGAGCATATTTCACATAATCTAGAATATTCCACTAAATTTTACACATAATTGACCGGATGTTTATAATTACCCAAACACGGAGTTCTTTTTCATAATTTTGCCTTATTTTAGAGGAGGTACTCGGCCGTAATTTACCCAATAAATAATAAACAAACACCATAAACATTCAAATCTATATTATATATGTTCCATATAACAAAAGACACAAAGTTTAACTAGCTGCAGTTACATAAAAGGATAGCAAAAAAAAGACAAAGGGGGATTTTGTATAAAACTATAACACAATCCCAGTTCTCAACTACTTTCCCCTATTACAGAGTGTAGGATAAAATAAAACTCATGCTGCTTCCTATCCTACATTTATATATATATTTTCCTGCAATAAAAAAACAAATTACAAATTAAAAAATAAGTAACACATTATCAAAGTTCAAGATTCTATGAAATAAATCATTTGCAATTTGAAGATAAATTCGGTTATAAAAATACCTAGATAAGTATATTTCGATTCACAACGCATACCGAGCTCTAGTAGTAAAGGGATCCTGCAAATAATAATAATAATTATTAATTAATACAAATTTTTCGATTAAGTAAAAACACATTAGTTTGAGAATGATAAAAGCATATACCCTGCCACCAGTTGCCTCTCGAAGCACTGCCCGGGTCATCTTCCACCGCATCTTTATTGAACTAAATGTAACACGTATACATTCAACGCGTCATTAAATTCGAACTATAAGATAATTAAATCAAATTAAATATATATAAAAAAAAACTCCCTTATCGAGAAACTACTCACGGTAGTGGATTCGGGGTTGTGTGGTGGAGAGTAAAAATCTTGACCACCGTAGAAAATGGAAGAGTCGTAATTAAACGGTTGCGCTTTTTCCTCCTGGTAATACGAACTATTGTCCTTGCTTGTCGTGTTCTTCGCTCCTTCACCGCCTACGGTATTGCCGTCTGTAAATTAGCGGTTAATCTACACTTGCATAAATAATATTTTTTTTTCTTTCTATCGAATATCACGAAAATCGATTACGATGAATTCAATCTACCTGAAACTCCATTCTTTGGACTCCAAGCTGGATTTCCATGGCTACTTTTCTTCTCGGTTTCGGACAAATGCAACAACTCCCATCCCAAACCCTAGGACAAGAAACATTTTTTAGAAACATTAAACATAACATATATGAAGTTTTACATTAATCAAATGCAGAATTGATGTGATCTTGAATGGCGGAATAATAAACTGCATATCTTGAAAACAAATAAATAAATTTATACCAAAATTACATTTAACAAAAGAATTTATTTCTTATATGTTACAATTAATAAACACACACACACATTGATGTCAGTTATCAACAAAATACAGCTAAACAAATGGTAAAACAGAGATTTCATTTCAGAAAAAAAAAAAAAAAAGAAAGAAATGATTTTGATTACCTTAGGAGGAGGGGCAAAAATGGAATCAAAAACCTCAGCAGATGAAAGAGCCGACGAAGAATCCTTTTCCCCGAAAAGATCAGCAGCAAGTGAAGAACCAGATTTCTTTCCTTCTTCCATTTCTCTCTCTCTCTCTTAACTTTCTCTCTCTAGAATCTTGAAATGTATAATTAAGAATGAGAGGAGGAGAACCGGACCCCTTGTATATATATATACAAATTCCACCGTCAAAATAAACGTAACCGCCGCGAATCTTTTCCCCACAAACAGACACAACCCCTCTGAAGAAAAAGCGAAATCGGATTCCAAAAGCGAAATTCAAAACATAAATAAAAATAAAAATAAAAATAAAAACAGAGCAATACACGTAAATAATAATTAATCTCTCTGATTATATATATAAAAAATAAATAAATGTACGCAAGAGCAAGAGACAGAGACAAAAGGGATTACATCAAACAGAGAAAAAGGGCAAGAGGGAGAGAAACTCTATCGTCTGGTAAAAGAGAAATTTTTATTTATTTAATTGTGAATCTTCTTTTTTCTATTTTATATATGTATTTATTTATTTATATTTATTTAATTATTTATATTTATTTATGGCCCACGATTTCTCGTTATGGATTTAATTTTACTTTTTTTTTTTTTTTCTGTTTTGGATTTAGTTTTTCAGTTTCGGTTACTCGGCGTTATTTGCTCAATACATACGGTCTCCAATCCCACCTGTCATAAATATATAACAACTAGGTGCCACGTGGAAGTAGGATGTGGGACCCACTCATGCAACTCCCAACCTTTTACCGCCACGTGAACGATTCTTTTGCCCCTTGTTTTCTCTCTTTTTTTAGTAGTGTCACTCTCTCCCCCACAAAACCCAAGTCTTTGACTTTCTTTTCTTTTGTTACACTTTATTTGTTTTGGATAGAATTTCAATTTAATTTTGTGTGATCCCTCCTTTATTGTGTCAAGTATTTTTATTTTATTTTATTTATATTTTATGAAGATATATTATTATTTCTTATCTTCTTAGGCCTGTTTGGTTGGCCAGATTAGCCACGATAAATTAAATTATCGTATTATGTTTGATGTTCGGTATCTACAATAATTTCGATCGATCAGCCAAAGTTATGATATCGTGACTTATCTTGACTTCTAGGGAACTGTTTTAACTCGACGTCGCGAGATCTGATAAAAAAATAAAAATCATTAAATTATTTAATTTTATTTATGGCCCAATATCTCAAGTTCATAATTTATTGATGTGTTCCAAAAATTTCTAATTTAATTCGAGTGTGACTCTAATTTTATTTTATTATATAGTATTTATGACAAGTTGATAAAAGACAAAGTTTTTAGTTAGATGATGACCAAACGTTAAAGTTTGGAAACTTTAATGAATTTTGACCACCGATAAAAAAAAAAAGTGTTTGGATAACCTTTTGGAATATTCAATGCCTTATTAGACTAAACAGATATGAACAATTGATAATGCACGTTAGACACTTTTTGTGAGATTGAATTTTGCTTTACTATTTTCTAAAATAAAAAATAAAAAAATAAAACATATAATTAAATAAATAATTTGAGGTATTTATGCTGCGGGGCCCTTTCTATACATCAACTTGATCCAGAACAAAAAAAAAAAAAAAAAAAAAAAAAAAAAAAAAGAGAAAAGTATAGGGGCTGTTTGTTTGGCAGTTTGAAAAAGTTGGTTTAAGACAACTGAGAGTCGCCGCATGAAGGACGCGTGTCCACCCAATGTTGAGCCACATGCTCTGTCTCTATCTTCTTTATTATAATAATTGTTTTTTTTTTTTTTTCTTCTTAGGATATGAATAATTATACTATTATAGTCTTTATTGTATTAGATATTATTATTAAAAGAGCTAATCCTATTTCTGGGGGCCCCAGCATTTGAGGCGTGCTGATGTATGTTTGTGAATTGTGATAAGATAAACATACATTATGAGATGTGGACATGTTTTTGTTTTATTTAATGTTAATCTTTTGCAGGTTTTGCTTTTTATATTCATGAAATTTAATAATGCTAAGAAAATTCATCTACCAAATAAAATGTATAGAAATTATATATCATCTTAAAGTAGTGGAAGAATTATATCACAATTTACATACTGGGCCCTTTTTGAGCCACATAAAAAAAAGTAGATTTAATTGGGTTTGTAATCAAAAAATAGATTTAATTGGGATGGCCCATATAACTATTGGCCCAATATTTGTTAATAATTGTTACACTAATGTGTCACCAAAAATCTTTATTATTATTGGCTTTTGACCAAGTAAAATTCACTGCAGTGTATATACATACATATACATATACTGATATATCTATACATATATATTATCCAAAAAAGCAATTAAAAAATATTTCTTCTACTCTATAGAAATTCAAGAACATATATATGTTGCGAGGGATGAATCGGAAAAAAACGTGTTATTAATCGAACTTCCATGATTGGCAGTAGAGTTTGTAGGAGCAAGAACCATCCAAAGAAGTAGTAGTGCATGATGATGATTCCTCCCCATCACAGCATTTGCAAACCACCCCAAGACTTGCAAATATCTTCGAATAACCTGTTTCCATTGTCACTTCAATTTTAGAGAGAGAGAGAGAGAGAGAGAGAGAGAGAGAGAGAGAGAGAGAGAGAGAGAGAGCATTGCTTACTTTGTTTAGGTAAAAGCGGAAGCGGCCGAGTAGCTTCAGCCCAAATGCCTTGTTCTAGAACAGCAGCACAACATAGTATAAACAAAAGCAGAACCAAGTACCGATGGAGCTTAAACAATTCCATAGGATTTATCGTTTGTTTTGTGTTTTAGATATTTTTCTAAATTTGATCGATTTACGTATGTTACAAGTGGTGTGCAGAGATTACCAGAACTACTATATTTATATCATAGATCAGAAGGTAATTGGTCTACAGGTCTTTGACTCTTCTTTTAATTCTAGAAAGCAGGCCTTTCTCTAGAACAACTTGGCCTTTTCTGACTGGAAGCTTCCAAATAGAATGATCTATTCTTCCATGTTTCCGTGGGCTCGATTTGAATCTTATACTAAATTATTTACAAGCACAATCCCTACATTTTTCGTCATATTCTCTTCGGTTACTTTTATCGAACCAATTTGAATTACGTTCACTTTTTTCTCTACCAACTTTCTAATTATGTAGTTACTAAAATATCGGTTTCCTGTATTAGATCTAACACTAAAATTGTCGAAATATAAATGAAAAATGATTTTATACCTAATATACAAACATTAACACATTAATTTGAAATAAGTCTAAGACGAATAATAGCCTTTATACGAAGCTTACTGTTAATAAACGGAAACAAATTTGCTAACCAGTGCAACAAAGTTAGGTGCAGAAGTACTAAACTATTATTTTGTAAATAAGTCCACAAACTCTAACAAAAAGAAACGAGAAAAAAAACACATTTATTTATACACTCTCCCTGCATCCGTTGATCAAGAAACGAGCAGAACACCAAAAGCAAGGTAGCAATAAGATTCTCTCTAAAGAGGGTCAGTTTCTCTATATGAAATCAGCGTCGCCGTGAAAGTGGTGCAAATCTGGATGCGGTCCTCCTTGCCCAGGCCTCCGTGGATTTCTGCACATTTTTAACATACCAACACGTCACAATAAATAAAAGCGAAAACAATTAAACGAGTCAAGTAAGCGTAGCGTATTAATCTACTTGTTCTTTTTTGAACGTATTGACACAACGGTATCTAAGTCGTTAATACTATGTTCATGAATAGAAACTACTGAGTAATGAATTCGTTCATATGTAAGAAGAGCGAGGCCAAAAATTAAGGACATATATTAAATGAAAAAAATGAGAGACCAATAAAACAATAATATGTAACTGATAAATTACCTCACAAATCGACCCGGTTCGAAACCAGGTACTCCAGGAGGTCCATATGGATCAAATCGAGCGCCAGGTGGCACACCCCTGAATCACAAGATAAATCAGAAACCAGACAGAAATACCCATATCCATAAACATAAGCATAAACATAAATATGCTGACACATAGACAGGAGAGGGGAGGGACTCACTGTAGACCTCCAGGCAAGCCAGGTTCAGGAGCTCCACCTCCGAAGAAAATTGGATTGTTAGGACCTGCAATGCAAGCAAATGATACGACTTTTATATGACTGATTAAATTAAGTATTTATCAAATCGGATATTCCTACAGAGATATAAGATACAGACCCACTAGCATGCTTCCACCGCCAAAATCACCCCTGCGAAAAGTTAAAAACGAAATCATCAACGAATGCACAAATACCAAATAGGTTGATCTAAAATGGGGTGTTGCAACTCTATTTGTAAATGATAATTTAAGAAAGTTATGTCACCTGGTAGGATACATTCCAGCTCCAGGCCCAGGAAAGAGATCACTGCCACCAAAACCAGGTACCAGAGGAACAACATATCTACATTGCATAGAAATTTAAAAAAATATATATATATATAAAAAGGGGAGAGAGATAAATTCAAAACTCAATACCAATATCCCATATTCGAAGAAAATTTAGTTAATATCATATATATGTGTCGGCCCGTGAGCATAGTCTAAGGTAGCACCTCAATTGACACAATTTTAAGACGTGGTGATCATTCAATATATTGTAGAGTTGCAGTAATTCCTAAAATCGACAAGTTAATATTAAAAGTCCTAAAACTATTTGACATAATAGCAACACTAAATCAACAAAATATTTAATGCAATGCTATATTGAGTATTGACATTTGACAACGTGAAAGTAAAAGTGTCACAGTCATTGATTGCGATTTATTAACAAAGATGCAACCATCACAAGTGCCTACATAAATTGTTAAATTTTAGACCTTATGATATATGAACCAACTTTATGCAGTAATTTTTGCCAAGTAAGTATTGAATGCCCTTATTCAACAAAAAAATAAATTAAAACACCACTTGTATAAAGAGAACGTAGATTATATTTTAAGTAGTTAAAGAAGATATATGTCGCTTTGTAGTAAATTAAACCCTAGTTTGATAGTTTTACAGGTGGCACCTAAATAAGGTCTCAGAGAGACCGAACACTTCTTGAAACAAAAATCAATTAGTACCATATTTTACGAGTGTAGGCAACGTGAAAATTGAAGCGTCACAGCAAACTTAACAGTAGTAAATCCAACAAAAAGGAGATTCCCGTACTAAACAACAGCTTCAGACCAGCAAGAATCTAATCAAGTGTTACTGAGAAAACTTACCCAGGAGCTGGAGTATATGGATTTTCAGGGTTATCGACGCCAAGTCTTGGCCTATCTTCTCTTAAATTTGTCGCAGAACTGCAAATCACATAGCTAATCAACTTAAAAAGGGATATAAAAACACAGAAGGGAATAATAACAGTGATCCCTTCCAGCCATATTTAATTCAATCGGAGTTTTTCAGTACTACACGTAATGGTACACGTGGAAATCGCCAATATTTCACTGTAGATTCAATAAAACAATTAACTACAAAACAGATATAAATAAAGTACCTCGAGGGTTGACTTGAAGACTTCTTCGAGGTCGAAGCAGCACTCAGTTTATCCAAAATCTGTCTATTAACATCCGTTACCAGCTTACCCAAATTCTTGAACTGCGAAGCATAACTTGTCTCCGGTTTATCTTCAACATGTTCTTCAACCCTACAAACCAAGAGAAAAATTACTCAACCATATCGATAATCCCATTTACAAAAAGCAAACAAGGAAAGCTGAATGTCTGTTTTATTTATTTAACTCACTCGATTTCGAGATGTAGAGACTCCAAATCACCATTCCTCAAAGCATCAACAAGCAATATTTCGTTCATTACGAGACACTTCACCAGCACTTTCTTTGAATTTTTGTCAGGATAAGAGTACAGGAATGCATAATTATCTTCAAATTCGTTCCAACCGTCCATCCCCACTTCATCTACCCAAAATCGATAAAAATAGAAAATTAAAAACAGCTGTATCCGTTTCAAAATACACAAAATCATGTCCAATATTTCACGCGATTAGATAATCGGAAACAGAAAAGGCAAATTTCATGTACACATAATGCGAATCTGTTATTAGTAAGGTGTTGGAAATTTTACCGGTCGAGGAGGACGAGAGAACATCGTCGGCGAAAGCAGAAGAGCCGGTAGCGTGAAGAACATAACCGGCGGCAACAAACGCGGAGTGAACGGCGAACGCCGCTTTGTCGTGGCGGTTCCGGAATGAAGGTCGCGCCGCCCGTATCACGGCCAAAATCGACTGTTCGGTCGCCATGATTTTGGAAATTCCTTGCTCAGTCTGTCCGCTTGCTAAAACCCCTTTTTCTTCTTCTTCAAGTCTGAGAGATAAATTATTATATATATTACTATAAAATAATAAAAATAAAAAGACGAATTCTAGGGATAAATATCAAAAATAAATATATTGGTAAAAAATACTAAAACCATATTTTAATTTTTATTATAAGATTTAGTGATTTACGCATTATGACATAAGCCTAATGCGGGTTAGGCCGAGTAGTTCCTTCCTTACTGAAAAGCCCAATTATTTTTAATTTGAAGATCTAGGAGTTGCTTTTGGGCCTATTCAGTTTACTCATTATATAACTTTAAATTAAAAAAAATAAAAATACATAACTAGTATAACAAAACAAGAACAAGATCACAATAGAATCGTGCATTCTAGTAATTAATATTAAATTATACATTTTATTAACATCCTAATCTTTTAGTTCAGGTGGTCATTCAACATCGTGTAGCGACTCCTTCGTCGTTTTTGAGCAACGTATTCTCGATCGATTCATCTCTTCAACTGATGGGGATTCCTCAAGTGACTTATCTCCATAACACAATCTTGTAATGAAGAGTTAAATATTTTGATCAACACTTCGCTACCCAAAAAGAAGGGTCTTCTTCTACTAGCACAAATTTTATGTACTTGAAATGAATATTTCTTAACTACTTATTTAAAAAAAAAAAAACACATTTTCTTTATAAACCAACTGTTTTCATGGATCTAAAGTAGAACTGAATTCTTTATTATTTCTTCCTCGAATGGGTGTTGCTGTAGGGGAATAAGGCTCCACGTATTTCCTTCCGGTGGCCCGAATGTAGCAGAGAACCGCCACCACAAAGACGGCGGCTAAAACACCAAGAATCACTCCGCCGCCGACAACTGATTTACGAATCGAACTGTGGTGGTGGTTGTGGTGGCCGCTCTTCTCCATCACCGTTTCTTCTGCAACAGCAGCTCCATTTTCATGCACTTCAAGAGATTGCTCTGATGGACTCGGGCTCGGGCTTGATGTTGTAGTACTCTTGCTGTGAGGATCTTGCTTCCCGGCCAGTTTGCGGGCCGTATTATTAGGGAATTCTAGAAGATCTTCTGCTACAATAATCAAATGGGCGTTCACCAAAATTAGCAAGCACCAAACAAGAAATATTCTAGCCATATTAGATTACTAATGTGTATAAGAATTAGTACTAATGTTGGATTTTGGGTTCGTATATATATACTATATATACATACATACAGAGGAGGTTTGCTTGATAAGCGAATTTGATGGAAAGTTCCTATTAATTTGTTAGGGTTAATTTCTTGAATAATTTAAAGACAAAGTTAAGGTTTTGAGGGATTAAATTAAAGGCCATGCACGTGGGATTGGTAAAAAGTCTAATTAGGTAAACAATCAAGGGAACAAAGTGGGTAAATTAAATAACAATTTCCTCCTCCGGTGGATCGGAGTTCGTACGTTAGAAACTGGAGCCGCCACTGTCAAACAGCTGTCTATTACCGGGCAATCGAAATTACTCCCTCTGTTTCTAAATAATTGTCACTTTTCACAAAGATTAAAAAACTCAATAAATATATCTTGATTTTAGAAAAATCATATAAAAATGACTAAAACAACCTTTAATACTTAATGATTTATAACAGAAAATTAATAAATAGAGTTTCATTAATAAGGTTAAAACAGGAAAAATGCGTCTAATGCAATATTGGAAATCTAAAGTGACAGATAATATGGAACAAAAATATTTTTAAAAAGAGATAATTATTGTGGAACAGAGGGAGTATAATTAATTAATGAGGACTATAATTATTTTCTCTAATTGAAGCATTTGAAACAGGAATTAGTATCTAATTGAAGCCTTTGAAACAGGATTTCATATTACTAAGTATGTAATTGGTTGAATATATTATTATTTGATGTTTTCAAGCTAGCGTACATACAAACAAGAATCCAGCATAACATTTTTAGATCTGCATTTCCATAAAACATAATTAAACCGGCCATTTCTAGATGTTTTAATTTGGTCTGCCAGACAATAATTAAATTAAATTGTTTATGAATGAATTAATTAATAATCGAATTAATCATATATTATCTATTGAACACTACTAACAATTATTAAGTTATAATTACAACATTTCAATATGCACATGCTTAATGCCGCTTGCGCTAGTCAACCCGTTCCCCCTTCCCCCCTTTGCTCCGCCATTTGCAGTGCATAGAGACGACTAATTTATAATTATTGTTAATTACAATTTGTTATATATATATATATACAAAAAAGGTACCAAGATATATATGTAAGACTACTAAAAGTCCACCTGTATTTTTATATAAAGTCAACGTAAGTACGTGTGAATAATTTTACAGGCTTACAGCTCACTGTAATTAACCACATTCATGCATGGGGTTAAGTGCATGTTAGACAGGCCAAACTTCTAACACTAACCTGCTCATATAAGTTGACTATATAATATAAATTCATCATTAATATAAGCAAGGCTACATCTCATCATAGCAAATAAACTATGTTTTGGGACAGCGTGAATTATTTGTAATAACAGCGTCAATTTTTGTTTAAGAATTTCTGGTCGATCTGTCTCTCTCTCTAAGTACGCTTTAATTAAAAATACCACTAATTAATCATTGTTAACCGCGTCATTTACTTGCAATTTTTTAAATCAAGATTTTAATTTCGGATCCAGGTCCATTAACGGCAGCAGCCCAAACTCCGTTAGGAGCTTAACGGATTACTTGACCCAAATGTGAAGAAACCCTAGAATTTGAAATAAAGAAAAAGCCCATGATTAAACAATCACAAAAAAAATCATAGCCCAACTCATTCCCTTCCAGATTTTTTTTCGACAATTCTTCATCTTCATCTTCTCACACACACACACACAATTTACAGGTTTCTGTAATTTTACAAAATACAATGTCAATCCTGCAGATATCTCTCTCAATTTCAACCACCCAACAATCCCTTTCATCGGCGAAAAGCCTGTCGGGCTGCCCGATATCAGCCCAATCACTATCGCTCACCAGAAAATTCTCCCAGCTCTCCTTCAACCCACCCAGCAAATCGACGGCGATTCGCATGGGCGGTGGGCCCAGAACCTACCCCGGCGGTGTATCGAAGTGGCAGTGGAAGAGAATGCAGGCTAAGAAATCTAAACAGCTGCTCCAAGCCCGTTTGGCCCGAGAACGCCAAATCTACGAAATGAGGAAACGGGCCGAGCTAAAGGCCGCCGTTTCCGAACTCGAACGGCCATGGGAGACAGTCGAGAAGCCGCCGAATTTGTTCTCCGTGAGCGCCGACGAGCAGCTGAAGGTGTTGGCGGATCGGTTTCAGAAGCCCGGCGGGCTTGATTTGTGGTCCGAAAGGGACGGGCCGGAATTGTTTAGGCACGATAATGGTTTGCCCTCTGCTAGGTTTTTCCCCAAAGGGGTTGTTCATAGCGTTAAACCCTACGGACAATTGGAAAACAGTTCTCATCAATCTGAAGAATTTAAGAAGTTCAGCCTGGAAGCCGATTCAGCTAATGCTGAAAGTGGTGGTGAATTGAGTCTGCGAAGAAACGGGTACGACAAAAATTCGACGAGCACTCGTCGGGATTCGGATAAAGGGCGAAATTTTAGTACTTCCGTGCCCAGAAGATTGGAGAGCGTTGCGAAAGAAGGTCAAAATGGGAATTCGAAGGGAAAGATTACGAAGAAATCGAGTAGGCAAACACATTTGAATGATTCAGAAGGAACAAATGTTAGGGATACAGGATTTCATAATAGAAACTATAAGAATAAGCCCAAGCCAGGTACTAATGCCGGAGAATTTTCGAGGAGCAACGGTTACAATAAGGGCGGAAACGTAAATTCCGAAGTTTTCGATATGAATTTGCGGAACGACGGAAGCTATGGGTTTGAATTGGACTGAGGATGATGATGCATATGACGTTGTGATCGAGCAATTATGGCTGGATAATACAATTTCATGACTAGGAAAATTTTTAGTTTGCTGCCGTTTTCGATGAAGATTAGGAACATTGTCAGGTACATGTTAAACTGTTTTCGTTCGTCAATTAAGTATATATATGCATACTGTTTTTTCGAGTGTATATTTGAATCCACTGTGAAATGAAATAATATGTGCTGAAGATTACTTAAAAGTCAAGTGTTTACGCATTGTCGATTGCCTTTCCCTTTTGTGCTTATGGTTAATCATGTTTCTATTTGACGAATCGTATCCACTAATGATGTTGGAGCTTAAGTCAACTCGACCCATTATCGTTATTGGATCCCCCGTGTGGAAAAATATGGTTATTGCATATATTACAACTCGTAAAAAAGAAGAGAGAGAGAGAGAGAGAGAGAGAGAGAGAGAGAGAGAGAGAGAGAGAGAGAGAGAGAGAGAGAGAACGATTTGGTAGGGGATTAATAATATAGAGATCAAAAGAAATAAGTCTCGTATTCCAGGATCAAAGAATTTACGAGTTTTGGATGATTAAATAATAAATATCTTGTTCATCGAAAGCCAAACTATTGAAAATTTTACGATGGATGAGTTGCCAACCTTAATTGTGTACATAGGTTGAAAGTATTAGATAGTCGTACGTTAAGTGGATGATATTTCGCTAACGTATTCAAATTTTTTTAATTTTTACAAATATTTTCTATCCGATACAGGACGATCGGTTTTTCTTCACTTGCTCTATTTAGAATCCAAGCATTAGTATACTTATGTTTTCTCTATAGAACTCGAACCAAGTTACCTCCTTTTCTTTCGCCATATGCACTACCTTCCTTCATTGTAAATGACACTTTGCCCCCAAACTATAGTGCCTTTTGCACATTACCCCTAGACTAAAAACATTTACATTACAAATGTTTACGAACTTGAAAAATGTTGGCACGGTGCCCTAAAATTTGCCGGAATTGTTCAATTTTTGCCGGAATCACACTCATGTGCACATGAGATTTTTAAGGGTACAATTGTCAGTTCATATCAAACTTAACCCTAGCCCCCTTTTCCCTCGATTTTGGCAGCAATTTACCCCCATTGTTTGCTCATAAAATTGAGGGTAAGGGGGCTAGGGTTTAGTTTGATCGGAATTGACAATTGTACCCTTAAACATCTCATGTGCATGTGAGTGTGATTCCGGCGAAAATTGAACAATTCCGGCAAATTTAGGGAAAAGTGCCACCATTTTACGAGTTCAGGTAAAAATCTGTAAAGAAAAAATTATTACAGGGGGTAACGTGCAAAAGACACCATCGTTTGGGGGTGAAGTGCCATTTACCCTTTAAAAAAATGCAATTCAACTCTCATTATGTATATTTTCATGATTGCCACAATATAAAAATGTTTCTGTCGAAATGTTCGGTCATCTTCGATCTCATACTCTAAATTGTGCAAGAAAACTTTTTCTTCTTGCAAAGGAGTGTGGTCAATACCCTATCTTGACGCACCTTTTTTTCTGTCTGCTAACAGTGATCCGTTACTCAAAATCGAAAAGGTCGTTATTACATTGATTTACAGTGTCGTGATGATGAATTCGTGTGTGTCCAGTTTCTCACACTTTAGGTTAGTGCAGTGAATTATGGACAGCAAAAATCGGTTATCTTCTTCGATATGCCACCATTACTGCTACCATGTAGGGATGCCATTACACTTCGTTTTTTTTGGTTTTCTCCGAACATCCATATATTATATATTATATGAGAGATCCAACATCTAGAACCTTCAACTAACTGATCTCCCATTACACCAACAAATTGTGGTGGTTAGATTATTGTAATTATTACTACAATTAGTGGGACAAATATGTATCTATTTGTTTTACTGGTAATAATATATGTATGTATATATTTTATGCCATTAATTGTAAGAATTCATGTTTCATGATCATTTATTCTGCAGAAAAGATGAAATATATATTTAATATTTATGTCTCAAGGAGACAGTTGGTTTCTCTTTATGCGATTAGACAATGGTGGATTATTTGATAAAAGTATTTAAAGCAGACACCATTAAATTTTAATCATCAATCACATTTTAAATGCCAACAGTTAAAAACAGCATGTATCTAATTTATTTTAATTATTATCCCACCACCATTTCTGCTATTTCAAAAGCTTGCTCTGTTTTTGCCGCTAAAGTTTAAAAGTTGCTCCATCACAAAATTGATTTGACAAGTGGTGGTAAACAACTTTTTTCGGGTTAAAATAAATGGGTTTGAATTAGGGTGAAAATACAAAAGGGTGAATAATTCAGATGGGACTAAAGATGAAGATATATTTGGCAGGTTTTTTTATGTCGTAAGATTAATTTGTCACGTTTTATTTGTGCATATATTCTTGCTAGCTGTATGAAGTATGAACCCGCTAATTATTGCAAAGAATCCAAGTTTTCTGGCAATATTTGCATGCAGATTTCTGATATCTCGTCTTTTCTCACTACTTTGATGTTATATATATATATATATATATATATATATATATATATATATATATATATATATATATATATATATATATATATATATATATATATATATATATATATATATTAGTGTAGAAAATTTGACTTAAAATATCTATGGTGTACAAATCAACAAACAACCATCTCATTCTAATTAAGTAATGCACATATAATCTTACTAAATCTAGATTTAGATTGCAACACTCGTCTCCAAATTATCTTTTTTAGTTATGTTGATTTGATTATTAATTTATTATTGTGGATGAGAGCCACAAAGAAAAAGAGGCAGTCGGATTTGATTGTGGAGTTGAATTTTATTTCATGGTTTGATTTTGTAATTTATTAACTATAAAAAAATAATAATTAAATAAATCATCCCCACTTGTAGAAAAAGGGTTATAAAATATTAAACACGTGGACTCAATAAAATTGCACCCGTTATCATTAGTCCACATTTCCATCTTCTTTTTTGGTGTGTGTGAAAATATACATATAGTGACAAAGGAAATGATTGAGATTTTGAATTGACCTATTTCAACAATTCCCATCCGAATTGACCGAAGAATTTAATCAAATTTTTTTTAAAGACAATAAATAAGGTCGGCGGACATGTAATATTTATTGGGTACAAATATAAAGAATATTTATTAGGTACAAATTTAAAGACTACATATAGTTGCAAATACGGGCAGTTGGAATAAGAGAGTTTGTGATTCATCCAAGTTTGAATTTTCTTACCAACGATAACTAAGTCGGATTTGTCACATATAATCAGTCTACAAACGAAACGAAGGAACTGAGAATGTTATTTTTAGTGGTCAAACACTAACGTATTTATATAAATAGAAAAAACTCAAAATAGCATTTAGAGATTGAAATTGAAATTAAAAAATGAATGTCCGTTTTGTGGGACCCCACCCCACGTTATCTTCTATCTTTGTATCACACTAAAATGCGCATCATTCTTTTGTATTTGTATATCTATTTATTGATGGATTAGGAAGCATATTTGATTATTACATTAAAAAAGAAACTAGGGATATATACTATGTAGGTTTCGTGGACAGAAGATTGTCCACTAGTATCTGGGATAGAGATGCAAACTATATCATATGGAGCTTTAACAGAAATTTACATAATTAATTCTTTACAATATATATACATAAATCACACGTATAAGATATCAAGTAACAATACAAAAAATATATTATTTGGAATTTGAACACAGTGTGCAGCAGTTTTACATGAAATGCCAAATTAGGAATCTAAGGAAATCCCAGTTGTCACGTTTATAATTATTCCTTGATGCCATTATATTCTTGCTCAATTAAATTGAATTTGGGGGGTCAAACTTTATGTTTAGTTTGCAGCACTTCTTACCACTATTTTGATATGACTCAATAATTTTGGACACCAGGAAAAATAATTAATATATGATACAGTCAGAACTAACAAAATTCTATTAATTTAGCGAAATATTAAATTATTGAGATAATTATTTCGCATGTTATCACCAAGTAAGGATCGGAAAAAATATATTATTTAATTTACGAGTACTAATTTATCAAAATTCTACTTACTCAAGGTTATAAAAGGTGGAAGTCGGGTCCGAGGCGGTTAGGCACCGCCTGGTGCATCCAAAATTATACTTGAACATTGCATATATCATTAGGCCTTTTAAAAATAAATATTAGCATAAACAACATAAAACAAAGTATACACTCATTTTTTTTATTAAAAGTCCAATCTTTTTTCTTTTTGATTTAAAAATTTGATTTTGACCGATTTTTGCCAACAAAGTTTGACCCGCCTCAAACTGCCTTGCAGGCAAAAGTTGATTTTCAAATATTTACACCAAATCGTAAAGGTTTTAGACTAACTCCGCCTCGGAGGCTGCGATTAATCTGACCAATTAATGTGACTGTACCAAGCACATAATTTGGGAATATAATTATATTTCCTGTAATCTCTTATCTTTGATATACACTAGTGATGACTGATGAGGAGCTCGATAAGCTAATATTATTTTATATGAATTAGACACAAGGCTCAATTAAGTTAATTAACTGCATGTTAATCACTTACATTAGTTAACCAATAAACTAATTGACCATTATATATTTATATTGCAATGTAGTCCGGATGGCTGCACTGTCATTTTTCTTTCTCCACTATGTGTAATGGATTATGGAATAAAATATATATATATATATATATATATATATATATATATATATATATATATATATATTATTCTCTTAATCCGTATATCAATGAATATTAAACCTGATTATTAATCCAAATTAAACACACTTAAGTCTTAACAAAGGTACGTAATCGTGTGAACCTGGCCACGTGCACAAGTATATGGGCAAGCATCACATATCTTGTAATAAGTCCTTATAACAAAAAGCCACTTTATTCGGTTTAGATTTGACAAAAAAATAAATGATAAAGTAGGATTTTAACTTAGGGAATGAAATCCTATTCTAGAGTTAGGACCAACATTATAAACTTGTAATATATGGTGGGAATCAAATTTTAGTTTCTTCACTCACAATCATTGACAATTCCTATTATTTTATTATTTTTAATTATTATTATTATTTTACTACAATTATTAATTCTTTTTGAGTCATGATATTCCGGCCTATATAAAGAAGAACCAACTAAAGATGTGAAACCCACAAACAAATCTCAATCAAATTTAGTATCTTACTATCAACTTGTTTTAGTATAATGGAGATTGAGCAAAGCAAGAAGAAACAAGAACCGCGTGTCGTCGACGAGAAATGGGTGTACGATTCTTCTCTCGATCATCGAGGAAGGATTCCTCTACGGAGTTCCACCGGTGCATGGAAGGCTTCGTTTTTCATTATCGGTAATTCAAAAAAAAATTACCCGGTTTTTCTTTTCATTTATACACTCGCACAAAACAACAAGCAAAACACTTTATTTTCATTTTATTATTGACAGTACTTCACTTGATATACGAGGTATATATATGAGATATAAGTCCACTACTATTCATGAAATGACACTGGATTATATATTCATCTTGTAACAGAACTTTCTGGATTTTTTGTCAATTACATACACACCCCTTGTTTCAAAAAATATGATAAGAATAACCCTTTTTTTTTTTTTTTGTTCAATGAAGCAATTGAATTCAGCGAGAGGTTGAGTTACTTTGGAATAGCAACAAGCTTAATAATATACCTAACAAAAGTGCTACACCAAGACCTAAAAACAGCGGCAAAAAGCGTCAACTATTGGTCAGGCGTCACCACCATGATGCCGCTTATCGGAGGATTTTTAGCCGACGCTTATCTCGGCCGATTCACCGCCGTTTTTGCCTCCTCCGTCATCTATCTCCTGGTAAAAAAAAAAAAAAAGAACTACTTAGTACTTATCTTTATTAAACTTTATACCCCTATACTATATCAAATATTACACATATTATAAATATTAGCAAAATTCCCCGTATTTATTTTTTGAGGTAAATTACACCTACACCCTTGAGGTATACTAAAATAACTTTAAGATCCTTATAGTATCAGTAATTACAATCACTCCCTGAAACGTTATTAGAGCGTACACAATCCCTATAGGGTTTAACGGACTATTAGTTTCAAGCAGTGGTGGATACAACATAGAACTATGGGGTGACATGGCTCTCCTAACATTTCTTAAATATTTATTATTTTATATTAAATTTATAAATTTTCGTCTATGATAGCATTAACGGCCCCATGGGAAACAACTATAGTGCATATCGGTATCCAGGACATGAAATCTTCGCCCCGCTAATTGTTTCAGGGGTATGGTTGTAATTACCAATAACACAGGGACCTTAAAATTAATATAGCATACCTCAGGGGTATAGGTATAATTTATCCTATTTGGGGGGGGGGGGGGGGAATTTACTAAAAATAGGCATCATATGGGGTTTGTTTACAATATTTACAATATTGGGGGCTTTTTGAATAATTAGACTAAAATACAGGGTGCTAAATGCAATAAACACTAATAATACTACCAAAAAAACAGGGGTTGCTTCTGTTAACAATGTCAAGAGTAGTCCCATCGCTGAAACCATGCAACACCGGAGAAACCTGCGCCGAAGCTCGAGACGTCCACGTCATCGTCTTCTTCGTGGCGATATACCTGATCTCCGTCGGCACCGGCGGGCACAAGCCATCACTGGAAAGCTTCGGCGCCGACCAGTTCGACGACGACCACCCACAGGAGAGGAAAAACAAGATGTCGTTTTTCAATTGGTGGAACTTGGGCCTCTGCTGCGGTCTTCTCTTAGGGGTGACTGTGATCGTCTACATCCAGGACCACGTCAGCTGGGCTGCTGCATATATCGCCCTTACAGCTGTCATGTCTTTCACTGTGCTCGTCTTCTGCATTGGACGGCCGTTTTATCGGTTTCGGAAGCCGACGGGGAGTCCGTTAACGCCGTTACTGCAGGTTCTTGCTGCTGCTTTCGCAAAGAGAAATCTCACGTCTCCGTCGGAGCCCGACCAGCTGTACGAGGTTTTTAGATCGGACAAGACTCAGGGGAGGCCCCTTTTCCACACGGAGAAGCTCAAGTAAGATTTATATACTTATTTGCATTCAACACCCTGTTTTTATTCTAATTTGTCGAAACAAAAAACCGTTATCATAAATATTAGCAAAACGCTCCTCCTAATTCAATTTTATTATGAAACGACCCCTAAAAATTCATCATTTAGTAGGTTGGCTAGGTTTTTGTCAATTTATAGCAATTCGATATAACACGTGCTCAATGCAATAATTCAAGATTTATATATACACATTTCAGATAAATATTTGGGCAAACTACGGCCACCCCTGAGGTATGACAAAATTACGAAAAACCCCTCTTATTTAAGTAATTACAAACACCCATCTTTTTGAATATTTTTACATAAAATTTATGTAATTCGGTTATTTACCGAATCAGTTCAGTAAACGGTACGGTATGGAATGTTGACGTACCGAAATTTCGGTTCGGTTTTACCGATTTAACATACCTAAATTTACCTCTAGAGGGGTATTTTCGTAAGATAATACATAGTTGAGGTAGTGGCTGTAATTACCCAAACATGAGGGAGTTTTCGTAATTTTGTCATACCTCATGCGCTGGCCGTAATTTGCCCTAAATATTTAGTACAAAATTCAGCTGCTAGCTAGGAATATATTGACACTCTCTTTATCAGGTTTCTTGACAAAGCTGCGATTATCGAAAACGGACAAACTTCGGCGGAGAAACAAAATCCATGGAGACTTTCAACGGTGACAAAAGTGGAAGAAATGAAGCTAATTATAAACATGATCCCGATATGGCTAACCACACTACCATTCGGTATCTGCGTAGCGCAAGCAGCCACATTCTTCATCAAACAAGGCACAACCCTCGATCGAAAAATCACCGACGAATTCACAATCCCACCGGCCTCGATCTACGCACTAGCCGCCATTGGAATGATATTTTCCGTCACTGTCTACGATAGAGCCCTCATACCCTTTCTAAGACGAGTCACGAAAAACGAACGAGGCATCAACATTCTCCAAAGAATCGGAATCGGAATGGTCTTCTCGGTTATAACTATGGTTGTAGCAGCTTTAGTCGAGAAAAAAAGACTAAATCTCGTACGAGAAAATCCAATCAAGGGCTCGGTTTCGATGAGCGTCTTCTGGCTGGCCCCGCAGTTTTTGATAATCGGAATAGGTGACGGTTTTACCCTTGTGGGCTTGCAAGAGTATTTCTACGATCAAGTCCCGGATTCGATGAGGAGTTTAGGTATTGCGTTGTATCTGAGTGTGATCGGGGTGGCGAATTTCCTAAGCAGTCTTTTGATAACTGTGGTCGACCGTTTGACCGAGAAAGGTGGCAAGAGCTGGTTCGGTAAGGATTTGAACAGTAGCAGGCTCGATTATTTTTACTGGCTTTTGGCGGGAATTACCGGGGTGAATCTCGTGGTGTACGCTTTTGTTGCGAGTAGGTATTCTTACAAGAATGTGAAGAAGACCACTCTGGCTGTTTCTGATTGCTATGAAACAATTGCTTAGCTTATATTGTATTTAATTTGCATGCATTTTGATTATTATTTCGTACTTGTTTTCTAGATTTGTAAGGCCTAACCTAGGATTAATTATTTGATGTGATATGTATTTGCATATTAGTGTGTTGTTATAGATTTGAATCTTGAATTAATTATATATAACTTTGAGATTTATCTTTAATTAATTTATGCAATGTCACAAGCTTACTCGATTTCTACAACTGTTGTAGCCTCCCTAAATTTGTTGCTTCACGCACAATTCGGAGCATGTATCGAGAAATTGCGAAAAAACAAATTAAATTTTTTTTTTTGAAGTTTTATTTCAAATTGAAAGTCTTGTTTGAAGAGTTTTGAGCAATGTATTGAGATAAGATTTTTTATATATAGAATTTTTATATAAAGTATTAAATAGAAAAAAAAAAAGTTTATAGAGCCAAAAAAAATTGAAAAGAAAAAGATAAGAAAAAGGTGAATAATCCAACACCAACGGTAGCAAAGTCCAATTGGTCCCTCACCTAAGAACTAGTCAATTTATTTGCCTCATCATCACATTTATATTATCAACCCAATAATACGAAAATTAGTCATTTTGCGATGCAATTAACAACAGTATTACACTAATATACAACTATAATGATCTCTGATAATTTCCTAATTAAACTTCCAGCTGTTATTGCCAATACTACACAAATCTTACATGACACTCTTCATTAGTCACAAAAGATATTCCTTCATCACTATTAAAAGGAAATTTGACTCAGTTTTTTTGTGTGTAACAAAAATCTAATAAATTACGAAAATAACCTTCTTGTTTGGGTTACATGACTCCCTTTCCATTAAACTATTTTTGCATAAAATTTATGTAATTCGGTTATTTAACGAACTAAATCGTATATTCAGTTCAGTAAATAGTATTAAATATTGGCGTATCGAAATTTCAGTTCGATTTTACCGATTTAACGTCTCTAAATTTATTTCTATATTTTCATAAGATAATCAATAGTTTTGATGGTGGCGTTTTCGTAATTTGATGTATGCAGTCGACGTACCTCTTGGCATCTAGCACGTCATTTGTCTTTGCTTTTTCATCAACATCCCATCTTCACTGACACAATTAACTGAAACTCTGACTTCTGTTTCATTTTCTCTCACTAAAACTCATGACCACAGCCAAGCTCTTACTCCTCGTCCTTTTCTGCTATGTCACACGCGCCGCCGTCGCCGACCTCCCCGGCGCGTGGGAGCTTCTCATCCCCGACGCCGGCATAGCTTCAATGCACACGGCGGTGACACGTTTCAACACCGTCGTCCTCCTCGACAGGACCCACATAGGCCCCTCAAGAAAACTCCTACCCGGAAACCTCTGCCAAGTCAACCCGGCTGACCCGCCGACCAAAGACTGCACCGCACATTCAGTTCTCCTCGATTTACAAACCAACACCATCCGCCCATTATCCATTGTAACCGACACGTGGTGCTCCTCCGGCCAGTTCCTCCCCGACGGCAGCCTCATCCAAACCGGCGGCGATATGGACGGTTTCAAAAAAATCCGGAAGTTCACCCCCTGCGAACCGGGTTCGCTCTGTGATTGGGAGGAACTGCAGGAGACCGAACTGTACCAAGGAAGATGGTACGCCACTAATCAAATTCTACCAGACGGATCGATAATTATAATCGGTGGAAAATCATCCAACACTGTGGAATTCTACCCGCCGAAAACCGAAATCGGTGCGGCGAATTTCCCATTTCTAATCGAAGTTCGAGATAATCAAATGGATAATCTCTACCCCTACGTTCATCTTCTCCCAAACGGAGAGCTCTTCATTTTCGCCAACAATAAAGCCATATCATACGATTATAATTCAAATTCCGTAACAAAAAATTATCCAATTCTCGAGGGCGGTCCGAGAAATTACCCTTCGGCGGGGTCGTCGGCGATGCTTGCTTTGATCGGCGATTATTCGTCGGCGACGGTCGTCATATGCGGCGGAGCTGAGTACGGGGCGTATTTGCAGAAGAAGACGGATAGTCCGGCGCGTGGGAGTTGCGGGCGGATCGAGGCGACCCGACCCGACCCGGTGTGGGAGATGGAGGATATGCCGTTTGGGCGGATCATGGGTGATATGGTAATTTTACCCACTGGTGATGTGCTGATTGTTAACGGAGCTCAAGCTGGGACGCAGGGTTTCGAGTTGGCTTCTGAACCGTGTTTGTATCCGGTTCTGTATAGACCGGATCAGCCGGTTGGGCTCCGGTTCATGACTCTGAATCCTGGATCTGTTCCTAGGATGTACCATTCGACGGCGAATTTGTTGCCGGACGGGAGGGTTCTGATAGCCGGGAGCAATCCGCATTTCTTCTACAATTTCAATTCTGAGTTCCCGACTGAACTGAGGATCGAGGCGTTTTCGCCGGAGTATCTGGCCGCGGATAAGGCGAATATTCGGCCGACTCTGGTGGAGTTGCCGGAGAGGATCGGGTACGGGGAGGTGTTCGAGGCGGTGATGGCGGTGGAGCTTCCGGTGGTGGGGATAGTGGAGGTGAATTTGGCGAGTGCGCCGTTTGCCACACACTCGTTTTCTCAAGGGCAGAGACTGGTGAAGCTGTTGGTAGAAACGCCGGCGGCGGTGGACGGTGGTGGGAGGTATAGCATAAAGTGTACGGCTCCGCCGAGTGGGAAGGTGGCCCCACCGGGGTATTATATGATGTTTGCTGTTAACCTAGGAGTGCCAAGTGTGGCTAAGTGGGTCCAGTTAGTAGCTTAACGTTAACTTTACATTTTATTTATTTGTATTATTATTTATTCCTCTTTGATTATTCGAGTTAAATATAAAAACTGAATTGCTAATTGTAGCGGGACTTTTACTAAAATTGACTTATTTGCAGGTACTTTTCATTTCAACTTTTTCAAAAACTCAAAACGCTATCAACTAAAAAAAGTCGAGAATTAAGATTTTCAACTTTGTTTGATAAATCGACTGCCCGATGATAATAAATAACATTATGGTCGATTTTGATGACTTGTACGAGGTATAATCGAAGAAATTAGTGAACATTCAAATTTTTCGCGGCAATATCGTGTTGTGTAGCACAAGAACCCAAAAATTTGGGGTTCCCCTGCTGCACAACACTGTAAATCAAAAAAAAAAAAAAAGCGTGGGTTTTGTGTTGTGGTGTTCCCGTGCCTTGGAGGACGGATTCTTGTGGTTCTCGTGCCCTAGAGGATGGGAACCATGAACTATCGTCCCCTAGGGCACGGGAACCTAAATGTTATTTTTTTTAATTTTTTTAATTTTTTATATTGTTATTTATATACTAATTATTATTTGTTATACCTTAATAGGCTAGTGAAGGTATAACAAATATGACTTTGTATTAGAATGTTATTTAGTAGTATATTACAAGAAAGGACCCAACAACTCAATAACCGATGAATATAAATACGGTCCGCCATATGTCTGCTTTCAGAATCTACCACCCTCACCCTCACCCTCACCCTTGCAAACATATCTACATGACTCGAGACTGTCAGTTGTAATCAACTTACCTTCAAGGGCTCTGGCCGTATTCACGATCCGACCTCATACTTTTTTATTTCCGTCTTCATTTGGTAGTGTTTGTTTGATTTGTGCCAATTTTCTAGAGCTTTTCTTTTTTCTTTGACTCATTCTTCAACGCCATTCTGAAACGAAAAAAAAAAACCATGGAATAAGCGGAAAGCGGTGGTTGCGGTGGCTGTGGCGGTGGAGGAGTATGGTGGTGGTGATTGATAGCCGATGGAGGAGTGGGAGTACGATCGTGGCGGCGATTGATGGTCGGTGGAGGAGGAGTATAATTGTGACGGCGATTGATAGCCGGTGGAGGAATAAGAGTACGACCGTGGTAGCGATTCAAAGCCGGTGAAGGAGTAGGATAGCCGGTGGAGGAGTATGAGTACGACCGTGGCGGCGGTTGATAGCCGGTTGTCACAAACTTATTCCCTTAGCAACGAACCATGCGTCCTTAACTCCTTCACGCCCCTCGGGATAGCTAAGTCAGCCTTTCTGTAAGGATCCTATCCCTATTTATACTAGGCCACCTCCTTAATGGACGGTGGAGATCTACTTGTTCTAAAGGCTAAGAGTTGTTCACTAGAACACTTTTCCTACAAAACATCTACAAGGGAGGATTCTAGAAAGCTTTCTAGAATTCTCCAAGAATCTCTACCTATCTCTATACATTTGTGCCAACTTGGGTCTAACCCTATTTGGGTTAAGTTTTGGGCTTCTTAACCACCAGCCCACGGGAAATTGGCAAAGGGTTGGGCCAAAAAAACTGGCGGGCCGTGACATCCTCCCCCACTTAATCTGGCGACGTCCTCGTTGCCTCGAACAAGTGGAGACGATCTTGAAATTGCCACAAGTTTTCTTTAGTATCCTACGTTGCCTCGGACTCGGATAGTCCCTTCCATTTGATAAGGTATTGTATACTCAGTGGAACGCTCGTACGTCGCTTCAGTTGTCGGCCGAGCACTTCCTCGATCTCCTTATGATATGACTTAGTTATGATGGGTGGTGCTCGATGTGACTCTCCTCGTCTCGGGTCTTTCTTGTTTTCGTGATAAGGCTTCAACATACTCACATGGAAGACCGGGTGAATTTTCAAAGAACTTGGAAGTTCTAGGCGATAAGATATTTTACCGACTTTGACAATCGCCGGGAATGGTCCTTCGTACCTCCGCACAAGTCCCTTAGCTTGTGCATGCTTTCGCAACGCCTTGAATTGCTGGGGCAATAGTTTTACAATCACTTCGGCCCCAACGTCGAAATCCCGTGGTCGTCGTTTGTCGTCCGCCCATTTCTTCATTCGTCGCCTAGCCTTCTCAAGGCATGCCCGGGCTAAATCGGCTTGTTCCTCCCACGACTTAGCCATCTTCAATGCTCCGGGACTCCTTCCATGGGTTGCCGTAGCCAAAGTTTGTGGCATAAGCGATTGTTGTCCCGTTGCAAGCTCGAATGGACTCCTCCCCGTGGCTTCACTCCGCTGCAAGTGGTTATTATTATTATTATTATTATTATTATTATTATTATTATTATTATATATATATATATATATATATATATATATATATATATATATATATATATATATATATATATATATATATATATATATATATATATATATATATATATATATATATATATATATATATATATATATATATATATATATATATATATTTATATATATATATATCGATAAAAACGGCGCCGTATTGTCAATACCCACCAATCAAATGCTTCTATTACTTTCTTTTTTATTTATTTGCGTCACCTAAGAACTAGTCTATTTATTTGCCTCATCATATTTATGTTATCATCGGCGGCGGTCGCCATATGCGGCGGAGCAGAGTACGGGGTGTATTTACATAAGAAGACGGATAGTCGCGTGGGAGTTGTGGGCGGATCGAGGCAACCCGACCCGACCCGGTGTGGGAGATGGAGGATATGCCGTTTGGGCGGATCATGAGTGATATGGTAATTTTACCACCGGTGATGTGCTGATTGTTAACGGAGCTCGAGCTGGGACACTAGTGTTTCGAGCTGGGTCTAAACTATTTTTTTTATACGTAATTTATAAGTTTTACGGGAGAATAATTAGAAACTAAAATGAATAACCTAAAATTTTAAATTGAAACCAAACATAAATGATTTAAATGTTAAGAGTAAATAAAAGTTAATATAAAACTAAAAATAACTAATTCATAACTTAAAAAATAAAATTTAAATAAAATAAATGTAGTTTTTTCAAGCATAACCAACGTTATTCAGCTCCATTCAACACCATTTTCTTACTTTTTTTTTCCGCCGTATGTCGACCGTTGTATATGTATACTTTTTTTCCTACATTTTTTTAGAGATTTTCATAATCTTTATTGCTATTACTTCCACAATTATAGGTTAGTTGATTTATGTATTTGATACACTAGAGATACTTTATTTATTCATAATATTATTAATTTATTATACTATATAATGTAAACAAAACGACGTTGTTATGTATGGCGGGGTGGGACAGATTTCACGGGTATTTAAAAAAATTGAACCCGTCTAAGACCCAAACCCACGGTTCTTCACCATTTTAGGACCCAATCCTATGAATGGATCTATCCGTCCGATCCCAACGGGCGGTTTTTCACGGGTTTGACGGCAGTAGTGGGTTGATGAGTCCGACTTACTCACCCCTAGGTCCAATTGGTAGCTTAACGTTAACTTTAATATTTTAATTTAATTGTATTATTATTTATTCCTCTTTGATTATTCGAGTTAAATATAAATTACATAAATTTAAATATAATGCCGTATTTTAAAAGCCACGTGGCTTTATTTAATAAAGTTGCTGGGACTTTTGTTTAGCATCGGTTTTAAAGCGAAAATTAGAATCAAAGGAGGAAAAAAAGCTGCTTCACGTTTACGTTGCAAAAGTACTTAATTCCTGCTTTTCTTGGAATCATTTCCCCCTTTATTATAAAAAAAATTCACGTTTTAGAGAATTAATTAATTAATTATTCCATATTGAAATAAACTCATTTATCACCTCATATTTTATTACTGGGAGTATTAATTAATCAATTAAAGTACAAATTAATAATGCCAAGGAAGATGATACAATATTCATTGCAGAAGGGTACCAATTTTTACATTACCTGCCACCAACAAAAAGTTCAATAATTTCAAATAATAAACATTAATTGCACAATGACCATAAATATATATATATATATAGGCTATAGCTATAGAGAGAGAGAGAGAGTATGCTCAGCCAACAAAATCATGCATCATCTGTCCATCCATAACATCCCTCCCAAACTGTCGATTTTGCGCTGCAAATCCTCTCACCTGATATCCGTCCCCATGCAAGTCCAGCCCAAATCGACGCGCCGCATGCATAGGGTATGATTCCCCCAATCCCACTCCATTCTGATGAAGTCCTAACGTCAACGAAACACCACCACCGCCAGCAACATGCAGGTGATGAGAAGAAGAATTGTGCATTACTAGATTGCTGCCATATGGAACTGATCTGATCGGGCCCGCCTCGTTTCCTTGACGGGCTTCAGCGGGGCCCGTATCTCGAGTACGTTTCAAACTGAACTCCCCGATTCTCTGTACCGAGGTGGATGCGTTTTCACACTCGTCGATTGTAGGCATATTCATCAAGTGACGGTCGTTCAGATTGTTGGATGTTTGTTGTTGTTGATCCTCTCTTTGGGAATTATTATTATTATTATTATTATTATTATTATTATTATTATTATTATTATTATTATTATTATTAGGCTTTTGGGTGCCCTGATGAGTTTCGAGCGTGTGTATTTCCTCCACCATCGGTTTCCAAAGCCTTACTCTTGCGTTTATAAACCAGTTCGAAACCTAGTCACATATAAAATATGGAATCAAGGTAATTAAAAAGAAAAAAAAAAGTAAGACTATACATATGAAGAATAACATACTGCAGAAGCATGCAACGAAAGTTCTGGAAGATACCTGATTCCTCGAAAGGCCTGTTTGCTTTGCCAACATTAGTTTGTCGGTGTCGGTTGGATAACTGTAATAACATTAACGGAGACATTTTCAGTTATTATTCGTACGAGGTAGGGGTGGAAAATTAGTTCAAGTTTTAACACTTTAGCAAAAATTCCAATTTTCTTTTGCAAGTGAAAAATTAGTTCAAATTCCGATCCGTTCCGAAGAAATCGGAATTTATGATATTGGAATAGAAAAAACTTGTTCCAATGTTGGAAATTTTCGGCTTTGGATTGCGGAATTCGTAAATCCTAATTTTAGTCCCCTAAAATATAAAATTCATGATAATGTTGATATTATAAGTGTAATTATTGGAAAAAAAAGATCAAAATTTTCGTAATTATTTTCGGAAATTAAAATCAGAATTAGCAGGTTCGGAACGAAAAATTCCAAAATCGGAAAATTTTGAGAATAAAAAACTCCGCTCCAATTTCCACCTCTAGCACGAAGTATATGCATATATATATACAAGAGACATCGAAAGATACTTACGGATGGAGAAAGTGTTCGAACAGCCAGGCACGGAGGACAGTAACAGCATGCTCGGGGAGTCCTCTCTGAGGACGCCATACAGTAGTTTGATCGAGGTGAAATGGTCTTTGGACGAAACTACCCCTACCGGAATTTTCCGGTCTTTGAGTAGTGTCCTCCCTCTCGTAGTTCGATTTGCCACCGTGTGATTTGGAAGATGTGAACTGGAGTTGATCGGTAATTGCGTTCTTCAAACATCTGAAATGTTTCGATAAGGCCTTTAACGCCAAATTGGCAAACGGGCTTGCTGTGCTTAGTCCAGCTACCGATTCGAATGCTGCTACGGCAGCTTGCATTTGCTGGTAATACTGCTTGTACCTCTTATAAACCTAAACCAAAAAAAAAAAAAAAAAAATGAAATTATTTAGTGATCTTGATAATGTACTCAAAAGCTTATCGTTCATTCGATATCTTGTATATTATTAATAATTAACTTATTTCAATTTTGTTTTAATTCATGGAAGCCGATCCGACAACATACATCAATACATGAATTTGAACAGACAGATATTGAAACTGCACTCGTCAAATTTAAGGATTTCGACCACTAAATCGGGCGATTCTTTAAGAAGAAGAAGAAGAAGAAGAAGAAGAAGAAGAAAAAAACTCGATTGAACATGCTAATATAAGATTGTGTAATAGATAGTCGTTTAAGGGATTCGACAACATTACGTACGCAGAATCTTATTCTTCCACTTCAAAACCGAAAAGAGGGCAAAAAATGTTTTACAGAATAAATCTTTTCAGTTGATTTAATTAATTAATTAATTAATTCCATCTTTATGCAAAATTGATGACAATGTCACACATAATTAAGACTCACACTCTAGGTTGTCAACACACTTAGCTTTATGGTACCAAATACCAATTGTTCTACATATATATTCTTAAGTATAATAATTATTTTAAATGTACTAATTAATGACACCTTCTACACCTATCCTAAATCTAAATCGAATAAATATTCAGACAAGATCCATTTCTACTGCCCCTGATCAAAGTTTAATTCTTTTAAGATTACATTTTGTAAATTAAACATAGGATATATGAATATGATTGAATTTCGAACAAAGATCAGATTTTTATACCTCGTCGAGCATCGAAAGTAACCTCGATTTCTTCCGAGTTTGCTCACTCCCATCGCTGCAATTATCATCGACAACGACACAAGTAGTGCTGTCACCGAAACCGGGGGAGGCCTCCAACGGAGGAGGGTTGTCCGAGAAAACCGATTTGTCGGAATAAAAAACCCGGCCGGCATCGCAAAGCTCTTCCATCAATTGCTGCGCGGGTTTCAGAAATCTTGATCCCTTCAACACAGAAGCGTAACCGGTGAAGGGCCCTAAAGGCACAAAACTTTTCGACAGTTGATCAATTGAGGTGAAAGAACCACCCTGCAGCTTGCTGACTACGTACGGCGTTGCTCCTCCGTCGTCACCACTAACTTTATTTTCTCCGAACATCGTCGGAGATGAGGAAGAATCGTCGTATCTCTGCTGCAGATTCAGCTCCAGGGGTAGATGTTGGTGGTGGTGGTGGTGCGAGGACAAAGATAAGGACAAGCTCTGGCCGTTGCCGTTAGTAGTGCTGTTGGGCAATTCTTGATGATGGGTGGCTGTTTGGTTTCCGTGGAAGCTGTAATAGTGGGGCGGCGCAGCGGCGGCGTACGGGCAAGGTGGTGGTGGTGGTGGGTTGCAGGTGATGTCTTGGATAGAGCTAGGGTTTAACTGTACCGACAACTGTGGATCCGAGTACATATGATTTATGTTCATTCCACCAAGAAAACCCATCAGATTCATGCCCTCTTCTTTAACTCCGGCGCCGCCGCCGCCGCCGCCGCCGCTGTTATGGCCAAGACTGTAACTTTGGCGGTGTAGGTTAGCAGGGTTGATCAAATCAGAAGAGATTAGCGACGGATCGTAGAAGGGGATTAAAGCTGATGCATCTATGCACACTGGTTGGTTGCTAACTCTCAGCTTATCTCTTCTGCTTTGTTGTGGGACATGATATTGTCCGAATCCCTCGGCCATCATATATGTATGTATATATATATAATAGTGTGTGGAAAGAGAAAGGTGAGTGTGTGTGTGTGTGAAAAAAGAAGATGGGAGTTTTAAAGGGAGGAAATTAAAAAGAGAGAAACAGTAAAAAGAGATGTGGTGATGATGAAATGAGAGGCTGCCATGATAATTTGTGGAATATGTTTATGTTGTGTTGGTTGTATATTGTAATTTGTATCTATATGTATATATGTATATCTCTTTCTCTCTCTAAAGCTTTAATTTTATTTTTTTTATCTTTCTTCTTTTTCTGAAACAGCGAAAATTGGCAGAGGGGGGAAGAGACCCCCTCTTTCTCCTGGCGCAAATGTTATTAGGAGACAAAAATCCATACAGTTCCGACGGTGGAATAGTGGAACCACTGTGTTTTTCTCAGTGTGTGTGTGTGAGAGAGAGAGAGACTGTGTGTGTGTGTGTTTCAGACAGTCACGTATTTATCATGTATGCATATGCCATGCTTTTTTCTCTTTCACTGAATCTCGCTCGAAATTATTGCGTGTGAAGATCTTTCAGTACTACAGTGTCTCTCTGTTTATTTTCTTGGATTTCTACTTTAGATTCTATTTTTTAGTTAAATAAAAATATATATTTTTTTTAAATCAACTAAGTTTTTCAAAATTGCTCATTTTGCCCCTCAACTTTCGTTAATAGTGATTTTGCCCAGTTGAATTTTGATAAGGTGAAAATAAGCCCCTGTGGTTGAATTGCATCATAATATTAATTGGAACCCCCACGCTATCCATTTTTTTATAATCATGTTATTAATGAATAAATATAAGGGTAAATAGCACTTAACCCCCTTGTGGTTTGGACACTTTGCACATGACCCCCTTATGGTATGAATTTAGGCACATAACCCCCTTGTGGTTTTGACATTTTGCACATGACCCCCTTATGGTATGAAATTAGGCACATAACCCCCTTGTGGTTTTGAAATTTTGCACATAACCCCCTTATGGTATGAAATTAGCACATAACCCCCTTGAATAGAAAACTGAAGAGACTAAATTACCCCTATCAAGTCAAAAAAATTTGTTTTAATTTAAAAATAATTATAAAATGAAAAGCTTAATGTACTTTTTTGTAAAATGAGAAATATAATATATTATTGTGTTTTTTTCTTTAATTTAACTAATTATTGTACGATTGACAATTTATTCGATTTTAAAAATCAATTTGAAAATCTTTAACATTGTCATTAATTATGATTATTATATTACTATTTGCTATATAATGTATTATATTATAGCTATTATCAAACTTTAATTTTTTTAAGAAACAAAGTCTTTATTTTTTTGATTCTTTTGGGAAAATCTAAAAAAAATATTTCTCTAAAGTTGAAATGAAAATTAAATTTAAAAAAAAAATATGTGCGGTAAAATAGAAAAAACACAATAATATATTATATTTCTCATTTTACAAAAAAATACATTAAGCTTTTCATTTTATAGAATAATTATTTTTAAATTAAAACAAGAATTTTTGACTTGATAGGGGCAATTTAGTCTTTTCCAATTTTCTATCAAGGGGGTTATGTGCTAATTTCATACCATAAGGGGGTCATGTGCAAAATTTCAAAACCACAAGGGGTTATGTGTCTAATTTCATACCATAAGGGGGTCATGTACAAAATGTCAAAACCACAAGGGGGTTATGTGCCTAAATTCATACCATAAGGGGGTCATATGCAAAACGTCCAAACCACAAGGGGGTTAAGTGCTATTTACCCTAAATATAATAAATGGTAAATTACAATCACCGAGGTAAGAACTACTCTTGGAAAAATCTCTTATGTGTCTATAATTACATCAACTCCTTGCAACTTGTAGATTTCTTACTTTAACACTGTATTGTAGGGGTGTGAATGAAAAAAATTACAAATTGCAGGGGTCTGGGTATAATTTCTCAAATAAAAGGGTTCTTTTTGTAATTATACATTACCTAACGGAAATAGTTGGAATTTACCTCTACAATTCTATCATCTATTTTTTAAAAATTGTAATCATTTGGAAAATCTTTTTTTATAAGGAATATAAAATGGGTTTAATAATCCATAACGTGGTGGATTAATTTATAAATGATTAAAAATTGAGTGAATTAATCTTGTGAGAAGGCACGCACGCACGCACGTGTGAACCGACGGATAAAAATAATAAATATAGAAGGGTGAGTTAGTTTAGGCTATCCCCACACTCTATCCGCCAAACAGTTGCTTTTTATAGTCTATCACTTCTTCCGATGTTTATTTTATTAAACAAAACGAAATGATTGATTGAAATCTAATTTGATTGAAATAAACCTGTCTGATATTATTGCGATTTCAATGTCTATTTATTCCTCTACTATTATTATTATCCCATGATATTCTGAAATTAGAGCTCCCAGCTATTATTTAATTTGTTTGTTTCAATTTTTCTTTTATTTTGTTTTTTTAAATTATACAAATAAACTTTGCAAATAATGGACTAAGGTTCACAATGGCTTCACAAGTAAGAGATAATCATTTATTGGATATGATATCTTTTTTTAAAACCCTACTAGCAGATAAAAAAATATAGTAATTATGCCTTTAATATAGAAAACTGAATAACAAAGAAAATAAGAAAATTAGTCGGAAAATAAAAAAATCAAACAAATATAATTACAATATATTATTATAGCTTAAAGTTGCCCTAAAGAGAAGAAGAAAAAATAATAATTACTAGAAAATTAATAAGAGAAAAAAAAATATAATAATAATTAAAAAGATATTATGATTGATAGTTGCTCATGGTTGCCTTAGCATTAAAACTTTTTATATATGATGGCGCAAAATTTGCAACCTCAAGACCATTTCTTCGAATCCAACTCATTCGACTCGACTGCTGGGAAAGCTTACCTATCGTCAGCTTCAGAGACGGTGAAAACGAACGAGACAGCTTACCAACAGTGGAGAGAGAGAGAAAAATTGAGACAATACATAATGTGTATGCATAACTCTAGTAGGATTTTATACATTTGTTCATATAGAAGATCGTATATGACGATTTTCTAATCTATGACCTTTTTTATTTGTTTTAGTTTACATCAATCAATGATCTTATTTACCATTTATCACATTTTTCTTTATGGAAATTATTATCGAATCTTCTATCTTTTATGTGTAACGCTTGTCTCCAAATTCGCCATTTACCCCTCTACATTTCTTGCGAACTAATAAGTGGCTATTTAACTTGTGAATTTCTTATTAACCTATTCTTCTCCGGCGATATGAATATGCAACTTTATTATTGTCGCACTCAATTTTAATGGCCACTTCGATCAAACTCGCTTCACGTGACCCATTTTGACATTAGGACCATCCTCCTTATTTATTGGTTTCTGGTCCACGATTGAGATTTTAGCCCAACAATTTTACCCTCCCGCCTTGTTTGGTTAAGCAAATATTTATTTCTTACGTAGAAATTATATTTATAGGAAAATACATGCAAGTATATTTTTGGTATATACATACATGTTTGGTGATAAGTATAAATGTTAAGTCGTCGTCATGCTCACGCTCTCTATTCTCTCTCACACAGTCAGTAAAATTAAATGCAGGACTGATAAATTCTTTTTCTCTCACACACAGTAATTACACGCACTGACTCATAAAGTTTCACTTGGGTTGGGTTGGGTTGGGGAATGTGAAAATTAGGAGGTGATGGCACCTACAGCTACCTACTGTTACTTAAACAAAGATCTGAACGTCACCAGAAATCTTTTGCTTGCGCATACATACATACAATTCATTTATATAAATATTATTCATTTTACACACTAAAATACAAGCATACATGTCTGTGTATGTATATATAAAAATAAATAATACATATTGTCCAGTGTACATTTTATTTTATATTGATTTGTAAATTCTCGCGGAATAATACTTTAATTAGTAACATTTATTTCAATTTGCTGCTTTTAGTAAATCGGCCAGGTATTTATTTTTTATGTTATGCAGAAAAAGTCCTTGGAATTTGCATTTGGACGTTGATCATGAAAGTTTGGGCCCCACAACTGTTAGTAAAAGGCCTCAAAACAACCTAGACCACACGTAGCTACTCGTAGGCCCATCTACAGGCTATCACTTTCCCACTTTCCAGAGCAGCACAAAGCCACACCTCTTTCTCTTGCCAATTACCATTTTACCCTACATAACACAAACAAACCAAAAATTCACAAGTGAACCCCCACCCCAACACACAGCTGAATTCCCAATCCTACCCCTCATTCCCCAATAAATTCAAAATAAAAGAATGTATAAAATATTTTCTCCGACCTTAAACAAGCACAAAACCTATGTCCTAATCTTGATTTCATTTTGTCAATGATTGGATTCTGGTCAATTTATTCTTCATCATTTTTAACACGAAATTGGTTCCGTAATCGATTTACCCAATGCCTATTACATATAAAATAGTCGAAATTACCTCAAAAAATCGAAGCGCAACCCTTCTTCAAGCTTGATTTCAAATTTTTGATCTTTTTTTTTCGGTATTTGCAGTTGGGGGGTTTTTGGATTTTTTTGGAAAGTTTTGGAGTTTTAGAGAAATAAAGTGTTTTTTGTTATAAACCGTGAATAGCTAAATTTTACGGTTTTACCCAAGAAGATTGTGCACAATATTTTTAATCTGAATAGTAACTATTTCAATTTGGGCTGGGCATCAAATTGCAAGCTAGTCCTTTACTATTAGTGGATTAACAGCCCAAATTTCCATTTATTTTTAAAAACTATTATTTTTTAAAATTGGCTTTATGTTTGGTTTTTAATATTGGGCCGAAACAAAAATTAAGAGGCCCAAACAATAAGTCGTGCTTTCGGGTTCACTCGTAAAATCGTTAGTCAACGCGGCCGAAACTTCAATTTTTCGAAAAAAATATTCCTTCGAACCAATTAGACCGGACTGCACACCGTTTCCCATCTAGGGTTTTTACCAGACCATAGGGTTTATTCACACCATCCCCAAAATATTAGAGAAATCAAAACAGAAATGGCGGCCTCAATTGATTTCTGTTCCGGCGCTCCCAAATCGGATGATCCAATAGCACGATGAAGATTTTGGGAGATCCGTAGTGTTATTTGGGCGAGTAGACAGACAAAAATTGTTTTTTTTTTGTTTTTTTTAATTATATTGGAATATATGGAAGCTAGAGTTGGGGTGGAAGGCGGCACCGCCACTAGGCAGTTTCTACACCACCACAACTCACGGCCGCAACAGCAGCAGCCGCAAATATCGCAGATTGGTACGGTGCCGCAGCTCCTCGCCGGCGGTATCGCCGGAGCTTTCAGCAAGACCTGTACTGCTCCCTTAGCTCGACTCACAATTCTCTTTCAGGTTTCTCCCTTTTCTTCTGTTATCTTGTATGAAAGATGCTCGATTTGGATTTAGGAAAGTGAGAAGAACTATAAAATATAAAGCAAATCTGACTTAAATTTATGCTTGAAGTGCTTGAAGCCAATCGCATTTTCTAAATAATTCAATTTGAATACTTTCATAATTACAACCCATTCTTCTCTCTTTTTCTTTCTATATTGGTATGTTTATATTTTAAATTGATTTTCTTGATCTACTGTTAGGTACAAGGCATGTATTCAGATGCTGCAACTATGAGTAAGCCTTGTATATGGCGCGAGGCATTGCGGATAGTGAACGAAGAAGGTTTTCGAGCCTTCTGGAAAGGGAATTTGGTTACTATAGCTCATCGGCTTCCTTATTCTTCAGTCAGCTTTTACGCCTACGAACAGTACAAGACTGTGAGTATTTATTACATATTTAGATGTGAATTGCATCTTTGCGTGTGTGGCGCTCTTATTTATATTAAAATCTTTTTTGCAGATTTTAAAATCAATGCCGGGCCTTGATGGTAGTGGAGGAAATCCACATGCAGATATTTTTGTGCACTTCGTCGGCGGTGGCTTGGCTGGAATAACTGCTGCTTCCGCCACGTACCCTTTGGATCTTGTCAGAACACGGCTCGCTGCACAGGTGAAAATGCTACTTATGAATGGATTTTGTTTGGTGGTGGTTCCTTTTCTAGATTCGCATTTGTCTTCTCGTTTTGGCGGATTATGCTTTTTATTTGAATTTATCAGTCTTCGACTCAATTTTTTCTGAAAATTTTCTTTCTTTGCTCTGCAACATTTTAGAGGAATGCAATATATTATCAAGGCATAAGGCATGCAGTTAACACTATATGCAGAGATGAAGGTTTTCTTGGTCTGTACAAAGGGCTCGGGGCAACATTAATGGTAATTTCTTACGACTTTCTTTGCAGGTGTCCTATGCACTTGCTTCTAGATGATTCTGATCGTTTCAGTTTCTATTTTGTGGTTGCAGGGTGTTGGACCCAGTATAGCAATAAGCTTCTCGGTTTACGAGAGTTTGAGATCCTCTTGGCATGCTCGAAGGTCAAAACTGAGACTAAATCATGATTTGTTCGTACTAAATAATAGTCTGTACGATTTCTTCATTTATGTGCTTAACAATTTTTGATTTTCTTTTAGGCCCGATGATTCTACTGTTGCGGTAAGCCTTGCTTGTGGCAGTCTTTCTGGCATTGCATCATCAACAGGTGGGTAGTTAACTACTGCCAAATATTTATACAACGCCCTTATTATCTAAGTATATCCCTTTTTCAATAGTTTAAAGCGTCTCCGATTTATGATTCCACAAGTACAATTTACTATTATACTTGTACTTAAATCCTAGTAAAGCAAACTCTAGACTTCAATTTTGTCTGTCCGATTCCTGATTCAAAAATTATCGAGCTAGGAGCTCAAAATATTATTTACGAGATTTTTCTCGTGGAACTCAAAAAATAAAGCCGAGCTCGACATCACTTGAAAATAGAACCCCACTTAAATCAATATGAATTCGCTTATAATTTGACTAATTTTATCTTTATTCTAATACCTAAAAACAATTCTATTAACGCGATGTACTCTTATCCTTTGCAGCAACTTTTCCCTTGGATCTCGTGAGAAGAAGAATGCAATTAGAAGGCTCTGCTGGTCGACCTCGAATATATACTGCTGGATTGTTTGGAACATTCAGACACATTATCCGCAGTGAAGGCTTCCGTGGGTTGTACAGAGGGATTTTGCCAGAATACTACAAAGTTGTACCAAGTGTAGGGATTGTTTTTATGACATATGAAACATTGAAGAAAGTACTATCAAACGGTCCTTTGGGTTAGTTAACAACAAAAACCACCAAAAAGGGTGCCTCGAGGAAATATTTGAGTATCAGTTTTGATTTAAAAATGTAGGGCTCGTTAGTTATAGGTAGATACGGTTTTTTTTCCGTCTATGGCAATGGCCAATGTTTCAATGTACAGGCTATTGATAGTGTCGTAGTTGGCATTAAATGTATTATTTGAGATGATTATTTATTCGGTTTTTACACTTTCTTTAGGGCTTGTTTACGAGCATCATATTGATGATTTGTGTCATCATAAAGTTTTGTTGAATGGATTTGTATAACAGTGTTTACAGACTGATAAGATTATTTGAGCTAACATTTTATTTAAAGAATACAGTGCTCTGTTCGAACTATCTTTTACGCAATGTTGACATTTTCCTTTTGTAAATTGTCGATGTGGAATAAGTGTTCACATATTCCGTGGGAGTGTCCTCATATTTGTAACTTATCGGGTTTTAAAGCAATGTATTCTGATGTGAAAGTCCGATTCGATGCAAGTATTCTTAACTTATCTTTTTTTAAAAGCCTGATTAGAGATTCAGTTGCATCAGATTCTGCTTTAATTGGTTTACAGTGATGCTGAAGATTAACAAAGTGGTGGTGATTGAGATGTAAGATTGGAACCATAGCATATTCCTTGATCTCTAGAGGAATCAATATAACTAATTGATTATGAACATGTAATATTTCTTGCAGTCAAGGATCAAATATTGTTGTATTGTTGTCTGAGAAAAAGAGAGGTTCCTTCTTAATCATTGGTTAGTGAAGAACATAATCAATCTACGATGATTAATTAAGGTGGCAGCAGCACCTTATCATTGTGTATTATTATATATAATATAAATAAATATAACTCTTTTTATACTTGAGGAATTTAATATTGGTGTTTTCTGAGGCATTATATATACATATACTCCTCTCCCATGCATATAATAAATCATCAACCAATTTTATTTTATTTTTTGCATGAAAAAATATCTACACCTCTTATCTATTTTCTCTAATTTTACTTTAGATTTCTTCGTGCGAATAATAATATTTGTTAGTGAGAATCGGGTAATCTGCATCCTGAGGTTTGTACGATTACTAATTTACACTCATTTTGTGTGTCATATAGTCCTCGGGCGGCAGATTATCCCATTCTCACGTACACCAGAAACACAAAATCTTCGATTTTTCTTGGAGGTAACAATTTTTTTTTTTTAAATCGACTATATGTGGACGATGTTTCTGCGTTATGTCGGAAGAATATGTGAACTAGCAGGTAGTACAATAAATTTACCTGTTATATATCAAGATTCATTACAAATCCAAATAACCATGCTATTATTATTACAACAATTTATTCTTTCTATACATTCTTTTATCTCTGTATTTAACAACATGCACGCAGATAGAAAACGAGCGATTTTGACCACTCATTCAGCAGGTTTCTGAAGAGGTACGACTACAGCTTCTTCGATGGCGTGAGATAATTCATCGCCATCTTTGAACAGAAGGAATACAATCATATCCACACAGAACATTATATAGTTTTCATTTAAATGCGTAATGCAAGATCCAAAGTCTTTGCCAACCACACAGTGCCACGTCGGACCGTAAAATTCATCGAAATTCTGCGCTACCAAAAGACGAAGCGTGTGATTTGTCGATTCCAACAGCTTTCCAAAAATACAAATTAATGCTAAGCAATTTTTTTTTTCTTCCTCCGGGCCATCTTTATTCTTGAAGTTTTAAGACCGTTTTCGATATCAAAGAAATAACGAAAAGAAAACCATTCTTGAAATTTCAAAATTATAGTATTAATAATAATAATCAATAAAATACCTTTTTAAGGAAACGTGCGATGGATTGAAACTCTGAAGACTCGTGTAGATCAAGTGCCTGGTAAGCCAACTCCATTGCACGATTCGACAGAGCATCAGGCATATCTGTTTCACGCACTATTGCTTTTCCTTCTAACATTTCGAAAAGATGATTTAGTTTATCTATACTAATTTTGACTTGCGAGCAAAATTATCACAAACCAAGAAAAATTTTCATAGTGGCAGCTAAAACTCATACTCCGTTCGGTATTTAAAATTTCAATTTTTTATTTTATTTTAAAATTTCATCGAGAAGCATATGGCGTAAAAACAGCTGTCTGAATGCAACAGCTGTAACAAAATATCTAAAATAGTTCCAGATTCCTTGATTAACTAGTTAATGCAGACAAATTTCTTCGTGAAAGAAAATGCGAGACAAGAAATGAATTCGAGACAAATGATTAAAACGTGAAAGCGATGTCACTGGCTGTGTGTTAGCTTATACCTAGAATCGATAACTTTTTTTGGGGTGATCGAATTAAAAGTTTGGAAAGTGGTCCAATATTTGAATGAGAGGACTATAATAAATGTATTATGCTACCTACATATATAGTTCAAAATGATTTAAAGTTATATATGTAGAAGATGCTAACACAACATATTATATAACTTGAGGTGAAGAATATCCAGCCCCACTAAAAGCATCACCATCATTCAGAATTTAAGGAATATATGAACAATTCATCAAGAATCTTGAATTATTATGCCCTAATTTTAACAACATATTAATATTAATTACCATAATTAATCATAATCTTCAAAATCATTCTGTGTTTAAAAAAAATGAAAAAAAAGACCATCATCATCAAACAATGTAAACAAGTTGTTTAATTGCAAATCAAATAATGTAAACAAAATAATGCTGCTACGTAAAAAGAAACGGAAAATAACTAGCGAAAATCGACACACGAGAATAATCCCGTCTTACGTTCGAGGAGATTAAATCTACACTGTAATTAAGCTAATCCTATCTTATATCTAATGTAAGAAAAACCACAGTTTTTCTCAGCCTTGGCAAAAGGAAAAAATGAATTCCCAGAAATCAGAAAACCCCAAATTTTCTGATTTCATACAAAAAAAAGAAAAAGAAAAAGAAAAAGAAAAATTGACATTGATAATTCCTAGATTACCCCTAGTGGGACCCACCATGAAATTTCATTTAGTAACTGGGGAAAAAAGAAGCCTTTTTTGAACCTATTGAGATCGGATCAAGAAAACACTGAGTTCTTGACCCGGACCCTCACCCGGGTTGATCAAATGGAAAGACTCCGAGTCGGCGTTCCCCACGATGAACTCATAGTTAGCCCGCATGTACATGATCTCCTCCGAACCCGACCCGGGTTCAGACCCGAACCCGCAGGGGAGCACGCCGGCGCCAACTGTAATATTCTGCATGGCCTTGAGCATGAGCCTGTTCTGGTGGGTGGCCTTACGCCGGACGGCGAAGCCAATCTTTCTCCCGTTGCAGAAGAGCGTCCATAGAGGGACCGAGTGCAAGGGGCAGCGACTCAGCTCCGAGTCCGGCGACTCGGCGGCGTTGAACTCGAGGGCTATACGTACGAGCCCGCACTGCATTTCTTGGATGAGGGTGGAGGTGGAGATGGAGAATTCGATTAGGAGGGTGGGTTTGGTGGTGAGGCGGTCTTGCTGTATGCAGAACCAGACGTGGCCGCATCTCCGGTGGCCGAAGATGGTTCCGATCACCATTGTCCGGGAGGGTCGCGGCGGGGCGTACGAGGCGGCGGCGGCGGTGGTGGTGGTGGGCGTGGAGGGGGAGGAGGGAGGGGAGAATTCTTGGGAGTCTTGATGAGGTTTATCGGGATTGGGGAGGTCGTGGAGATCGTCGCGGAGGGAGGTGCTCATGCGTTTCTTGGTGGCGGTGGCGGCGGCGGCGGCGGGTGGAGGGCTTGGGGAGGTGCGGGTGTGGTGGCCGAAGCAGGGGAGGAGGAAGCGGCGGAGGGCGTTGGCTTTCGTCATAATGTTTTCTTGAGGAATGAATATTTGGTTGAGAAGAAGTAAGGGGTGTGTGGGTGGGTGGTTTAGGGTATTAAATAGTGGTAAGCACTCAGGAAGAAAAATGGCGGGAATGTGAAAAAAAAAAGTAGCCGTTACTAAAAAGGGATGATTTGAATGAATGTTTGCTCTGCTCTGCTTCTGCTTCTGCTGTGATTTCTATTCCGAAAAGGAGACAAATTATTGAATGAATGCTCTGCAGAGATAGAGATTCAGGGGGTATTTTTTATCAGGTGTACAGAGACTGAAAGATTCCAAGGTTTGACCGTTGACCAGGACCTCTCCTCACGAGATTCAGCCACGTGTCATCATTTGGAATACGGCCCCCCAGCAAACACCTTTTTTGATTAGATTCTCGTATTCGTTAATATAATTAGGGGGTAAATTACAAACGCATCTGAGATGTATTGTCAAATTACTAAAATACCCTCAAACTTGGGTTAAAGCCCAAATTCGTGATGGACTAAAAATTAATCTTCCATATATGCATGAAAAATAATCAAATCCATCTTTTTTCCTCTCAATTTATTACACCACACAGAAACTCAGTGTTTGAGGTCCAAAGATACAAGCTTTAATGGCTGGGAAGCGGCTCCGACTTGATTCCAAGTTTCAATTGAACAAGGTTTGCTCATCGCTTGTATTTTTTCTTTCTTTTCTCATACCATAATATGTTGTATGCGTTCTCCGGCATGAAATCCCTAATCTTAGGTTTTGTGTTGATTATTATAACTTAATCAATGACATAAACTATATCTAGGGTTGTGTAGAATTGGGATAGTGGATTGCAAAAAAATAAAAAAATGTTACTGTTCCTTAGTTATGAATTATGATGAAGCACTATATTTATTTGATAGTGTAATAGAAGATCGAAAGGTGATAATGATCGGATTAGTCAGTTGCCGGATGATATTCTCGTTGATATCCTATCTTTGCTATCGGTGAAGGAAGCTGCACGAACTAGTGTTCTTTCTTCTCGTTGGGTAAACTTGTGGAGACATACCTCTTCTCTCGACTTTCGTGCAGACGCTGCACTAGCCAGGATTAGAAAAAACTGCAAAAACCGCGATTTATGGAGTGAAGAGGGGCGAAAGTACGAAGAATGGGTGAATCGGGTGATCGGATCACACAAATCGGTTACCTTGAAAGAATTCAGGGTATGTTTCGATTTGTGCTTTTCGTCTCAGGAATCAATCACTCGGTGGTTTGAATTTGCGTTTATGAGACATGTTCAGAAGTTGGATTTGGACTTTTCTGTACTAGCTAGGTATAAAAGATTTACAGAGACACATTACACTCTCCGAGAAGAGTTCCTCACCCGAATTAGTGGTGGAAATTCGTGTATTGGCTTTAAATCACTCAAAGAATTGTCTCTTAAATGTCTTAATGTGACAGGTCAAGCTATTGAAATTCTTTTACGCATGTGCCCTTTGCTCGAAAAGTTGGTTGTTCATCGCACAACTAAAATATCAAATCTTGAAGTTTGTGGGCCATCCCTCGTTCTAAAACACTTTGAATTGGTGTACTGCTTCGGTTTAGAATCTGTTAAGGTTTCGGCGCCAAATCTTATTTCACTTATTGGTCTGAATGCCGATGGTCTCTTGCTTGGGAATGTTCCGATGCTTAAAGAGGTAACTGTTAATTGCCTGCATCACTACGTCTCTATCGAAAAATTACTTCCTACACTTTCTTGCTGCATTTACCAATTGGAGATTCTTACCTTGATACTTAAGTCCTACCGGAAGGTTAGACAATTGAGGTTTTTTTTTTTTTTTTTTTTTAATTGTTTCTTGTTTTGCTTTGACATAATAATAGTAATAATGCTCTGTACAATGCTCTGTTTAGTTGAAAAGTGTTCTACCGACGTTTCCTGAACTGCCTAAGCTGAAGAAGTTGGTCGTAGAATATTGGTCAGACGGCGACGAAAGTCTTATGGGACTGACCCATTTGATAAGGGCATCTCCAAACTTGCAGGAATTTGTTTTAGAGGTGAGTTTGCTTTCGTATTTCTAATGTTATGGTAACACATAACATTACCTTTAGTTGACCTTTATTTTCGCATGTGCAGTTACTGATGGGGAAACCTTCGAAATCACATAGAAAAGAGAAGAGAACGACACAGTTGCCTCACCATCACCTTAAAGTTGTTAAGTTATGTGGGTACGACGGCCGCTCGAGTAAAGTGGAATTAGTTAGATACATTTTGAAGAACTCTGTTGTGCTTGAGAAAATAGTTATTGATCCATTAGATCCAATTATGCGCGGACTCCAACTACGCCTTAAAGATTTAGAGAGACTACAGACAGCAAGGCGTTGTGCAAAGCAACAACTTGAGGGGCGGGTACCTCAGCACGTTGAATTGGTTATCCTTTAAATTAAGACTTAATTAAATGAAAAACAATAAGTTGATTTCGTGTGTTTATGAATTTAATTTAAGAACAATTAAGTTGTTTTGATTTATTACTATGTATGTTGGTGTGCCTTTTTCCTATTACATATGTCATGTATGTTTGCAATAAACCAAAAACAGAAAGGTAAATTACGGCCATACCCTGAGGTAAGGTCAAATTACGAAACTCAAGTCAAACAATACAACAGTAATAAACAGGTCAACGCAGTTTATTATCAAGAAGCAAAAGATATCCGAAAATGGGGGGTGAAATAGTTGCCCCCAAAAGAAACACTGATAAAGATTTTCAGACAGGAGTACGAGAATGCTTTCTTTTTAGTTTGTTTTTATTGTACACCAGACAACCTAGCCCAGTCCACAAACTGCATCCCACCGTAGACGTTGTTCGCAAATCTCACCCCGACTGTGAAAGCTAATGCAATAGGTGGGACCCGCTTCGCCATTGGAGATGCTTCGACTACTCGCTCCAGCCCGTTGATAATCTGATATCGGGTGTTTGACGACACTGCCAGAAAAATACCTGGCAAAAAAGAATCGGATCAATATAATAATAGCTTGTTTGTTTTTTCTCTACCGATGAAAAACAGATGATGGGCAAATGAATCCAGGTGTGTATATATATATATATATATATATATATATATATATATATATGTACCCCAAAGAGCTGCACTCTTTATAAGTGGCGGAACTGGAATGTCGTCCTCCGATTTTTTAATGCTCCTGAGGGAAAAAAAAAGGAGAGCTTTTATCAGTGACTTTTCGATTTTCCTGATGTATTGTATGCATACGTATCTCTAATGTATGCATGTGCATGCTTCGGTTTATAGAAAACGTACCTCTTGGCTGTCATTATTAGGTTTGCAATCCCTTGACCGATAATACCACATCCGAATCCAACAAATCCGTACATAATTCCCTGAAAAACCATGCAGATTATTGCATTATGCAACACAAGAAAAGATGCAATGAACACACACACAAAAAAAAAAAAAAATCACTCTTTGATAACGAAAAAAAGAACGTAGATTCCATTACCTTGTAGAAATAGGTTCCGATTCTTTGATTTACCGAGAATCTAGACCCGGGCGTTTCTGCTTCAAATACACTATAAACATAGCATTTGCAGATTAAAATCAATTACGAAACTTACCCAATAACCGAAAAAAAGGAAAATCAAGAACCATCAAAAAAATAAGGTTTTTGTAGTTTACGAAGTAGAATATACCTGCTAGGAAGTGCACCGTAAGCTCTCATCATACGGCCGAAAATACCCTGGGAAGAAGATGGTTGTCCAATTCGAGCATATGGAGCTAACATACCAACTAGGGCAACATTAACTACAACACCAACTAGAAGATCGGCAGTATACAGTTCGAATTCTGCCCAGAAATCATTCCCTCTCTTTTGGACTTCCGCAAATGTTGCACAACATGAATCTATTACAATCTATAATTTCAACAAAATAAACCGACCAAATCAATCTATAGCCGAAAATACCAAAATCACATTAAAGAGCAATCTTCACGAACCTCTGTTCCAATCTTGAAGAGAAACGTAGGATCGGCCAACATTCTGTTCCTAAGCATGCCACATGACCTCATTAGAAATCCGAGCGGCCAAACAGAACCCCTAACATCCCCAAATTTCGAAACCATCATTATTAAACCAAAAATAATTACAAGATTCTTGAAATATTGAAGTAAAATTCATCAACAACAAATTTATACCTCCAATTCCAAATATCGAAGCAGAAGAACTTTCCTTAACCCCACAGTTTTGGCGGCCTCCAACATATCGGCTGGAAGACTTGCCCCTCTTGCCTCTGTTTCTCTAATCACCTCCTCGAATTTCAATAACGGCCCAAACTCCTTTTCTTCATAGTCATCACCGCTATTATCTCCGCCCCCTCCACCGCCACCGCCACCACCACCTCCGCCACCGGAAAACTTCCCATTGCCGCCATTCCCGCCACCGCCATTCTCACTATCAGGTACAGAGTCGTAATTCATTTCCATAACCTTATCATCTTTTGCAACGAAATCAATGTCAACTTGTTCAGTGATTGTTGTCACTGCTGCTGCATTCGATTGAGGCTCGGTCCCGGAGGAATTCAATGAATTAACAATAACAAGTCTCTGCATTTTTTTATTGTTGATATTGGTGCATTGGAGTTTAGCAAAGGTGAAACCCTTGTTGGGGCTAGTGCACCTCAACAAAACGGTGTCGTTTAGCAAATTACTGAAATGGGATATTCTAATACTTGATGAACAACCCGCCATTTTTATGGTAGAATCAAGCAACCTTTACTGAATAAAAAAAACTAATGAAAGATCGACAAATTGTAGTGAACTAATAGCTCCAATTCTAACTCCGGGTGGCAAAAATGCTGCAAAAAATTAGAATAAATTCATTTTCTCAGAAAAAAAAAAAAGATGAAACTTGAAGAAAAATATCACACATTGGAGAAAGTTAGAAAACACCTGGCGGCGGGCGGTGGCTTCACTCTTTCCTTGTGCAGAAAAGAATGACAGAAACGGGATCGGAGCGACGTCGTTTCCTAGTGAAACACTACTTCAGTGTGATTACTGATTACTGATTTAGAAGTGGCGGCTCGTCAACCATTCGTTAAGAGAGTTTCCCACGTGTGGACAATTCACACGCGTGTGGGATTAGTAGTAGGGTTTCATCTTCTTTTTTTCACATATTATTTTTATTTAATATTGTTCAATAATATACTATTTTAATATTAAATTGAACAAATTACGGCCATCTTTGATTTATAGTTAAATTACGAAAACCGTTATCATGTTTGGGTAATTACAGTCACCACTCAACTATGCATTATCTTATGAAAATACTCCTACGAAAGTAAATTTAGGATATTAAATCGGTAAAATCGAACCGAAATTTCGGTACACCAACATTTCATACCGTTTATCGAACTGAATATACAATTTGGTTCGATAGATAGCCGAATTACATAAATTTTATTTAAAAGGAGGGGTGACTGTAATTACCCAAATAATAAGAGTTTTTTCGTATTGGCGATACATGTAATTTGCCCTATTTAATTTGATTAAAATAAAATACTATTCTATAATCTTCAGTATTTATTTTCAATCCTCAAAAAAAAAAGTATTTATTTTCCATAAAACTGGTATGATTTATTTTTTCAGAATTAAATTTATTTTCCCACATTATTTTTTTTTTTCTAAATTAAATAAAAAAACTCAAGCTTCGTGTTCGTCTTCGTCTTCACATTCCAACAACGTCTGCACAACAGACGCCATCGTCGGCCGCTTGTTTCTATCTTCCTCCACACAACAAACCCCCGTCAGAATCAACGCCGCCGCCTGGTTTCTACTAAATCTCCCCTCCAATCGCGAGTCCACAACACCTTCCACCCAGGCCGAATCCCCATTATTCATCCTCTCCTTTGTTTTCCTGCAAAAATTCGCCACCGCAGCCTCATCACCATCGCCGTCCTCCGCCACCCAATCGTACAATCTCAACCCCCTTACCATTTCCAAAATCACCACCCCATACCCAAACACATCAACTTTCGCCGTAATTGGATGATTCAACGCCCATTCCGGCGCCATATACCCCTTCGTCCCACGAACCCTAGTAAACTCCGAACCTGGCCCTTCTCTCTGCGACAGATTCGCCAACCCGAAATCAGCAATCTTCGGCTGAAAATCACTGTCCAGAAGTATATTCTCCGGCTTCACATCACAGTGGATTACCCATTCCAAACACTCATGGTGTAGATACGCCAAACCCTTGGCCGTCCCCACCGCCACCGCGTACCTCTGTTTCCAACCGAGATGGCTGCCGCCGCCGAAGATATGCTTGTCCAACGACAGGTTGTCGATGTATTCATACACAAGCAGCCTGTGCCTTCTGTCCGAACAAAACCCCCATATTCTAACAAGATTCATGTGATTGATCTTCCCGAGAGTACTGATCTCCGCAAAGTACTCTTCTTGCGCCTGATAAGCATCTCCCAATCTCTTAACCGCCACAACTCTTTCGTCCGACAAAACCCCTCTATACACCACGCCGGAGCCTCCTCTGCCTAACTCCTCCTTGAAGTTTCCGGTGGCTTTCTTTATCTCCGAGTAACTGTACCGCCTGAACTGGCTCGATATCATTTGGTATCCTGCCTCTACCGATGCCGGAACACCGTGCTTTCTGAACAAGAACCACCACCCTATGAGCACAAACGTAGCCTCAATCACTCCCAAAGCTGCAGCGAAAGAGTATACATAAGCCCATCTCACCCTCTTACTGTTGAAATCGTACATCGAGGGGGAGCCAACGAGAATCTCCGCTGCAGTCAATGCACAATTCGAGCTACTGGGATTGAATATATCAGGCTTTGATGGATCCACACTAGCGGGAATCTTGATGTAGATGCTACCTGGGAAGTCCGGTGAGGTGTAGCCATTGAGAAGTGCACTCTTTGTGTAACAATACCCGTTTCCTAGTAGCCTGTAGCTGAATGCCTGACAACGATAATCTTTCACACACGTATCTCTGCAGGTTTCGAATGTCAGAAGAGGAGTCCAATTCAGATCAAATCCGTAGAAATCTGTATGATGGATCTCCAAGAATTTGACTTTCTCTGAATTCAAGAGAGTTTCATCGAACATGGCCTTGCATCCCGAGTTCCAATCACTTGGATCTTTCACCTTGAATCCAGGCGGACAAGTGCACTTTATCTCGGGTGAGTAAACGCATATCGAGTTTCTTCCACAAATACTTTTAACGTTACAAGGTTGTATAAGAGCTTGCCATGTAATAGCCCAAAGTGATGTCGAATTATCCAAACTGTACACTCTGAGATTGCCGTCGTAGTCTATTGTCAGCCTCCTCTTTATTCCGTACCCCATATCGGAAGCGTTGAATTGCAATAGATCACTTGAAAGAAACCTGCCCTTTCGATCAAGAACCGCTATTCTGCTACTGTTATAGTTTGTTCTGCCATTTGAGTATGTACTAAGATCGGGATTCGGCCAGTAGATTGTGGATGTATCGGGGCTATCGGATATCAACCTCAGAACATTGTCACTACCGTAGTACAAATTAAAGTAGCCCGATCCACAATTGTCCATGCTTAATGCAGATGTCAACCTGGTATTCTTGGTCAGCAGTTGAGTAGGCAAAAGAGTGTCCGTAGGAAAATCGAAGCTTTGCCAGAGAATTTCGCCAAGTGGGTTCTTCAAGACGAGGTTTCCCGAGTCGAGAAGCTCGGCTGCCGCCACGTCAGTAGAAACAGTGTTCGTCTGCCACACAATGGCTTCGTCCACGTCTGTGAGCACCATTGTGCCGTCTCGACGGAGTGTTGCTTTCGAGCCCTTGACGTTGACGGGGCGGTTACGGTTAGCCGTCCAAACCACCGTGTGGCGGGCCCCGGTGTTAGCGAACCATATACCGAACCAGTTTGCATTGGTTCCAAGGCTGTAGAAGCCGCATGTGAATGAATTGTCGGGAGAGATGAGAAACTCCGATTCTTTTCCGACGGATATAGAATCGCCGATCTTTAAAGAAGACCGAGATCTTGAAATTGCAACGGGGAAAGAAGAGGATAAAAGGAGGAACAACAAGGAAAGATGAAGAGATTCAAGAATGGAGCTTCTCATTTTTGGAGATCCAGAGTTCAAGTTTGTGATATAACTGGATATATATGTATTCATTTCCAGGTTCAGCAGCTAGTGGTAAGCTTTTTAAATGGTGCGTGATTTTTTAAATATCAAGTATGGTGTTTACATGGTGTTTTTTGACTGTGTTGAGATGGACCCGGCGGCTCAAGATAACAATTAAAATAATCCAGGCGGCTCAAGATAACAATTAAAGCGTGTAATAATATATATTTATGATAGATACAAGGAAAGGATGGAGGAATCATTAGAAATGACCTGGAATTAGGGAGACCAAGACTAATAGAAAGTGTTTTTATTTCAGAAAATTTCCCATATTAGGCAACAAATGGGAAGACGAAAGTCATCAACACATTCACATGTATGGAGCCTTCTAGAAATTATTACGTGTGAATGTATTATTCTACTACTTTAATAATTAATACAGATTATATGCATTCGTTCTCTCCTAATCTTGCATCATTATTATAGTGCTTACGTTGATAGTACAAGCTATATTATGGTGCATCACATGCAAGAACCTTGGTACAATTTTGAGATTTTTTTAATAATATATATATATATATATATATATATATATATATATATATCTGCAGAAAATAGGATTCACCTCAAGCTTCGTGTTCGTCTTCGTCTTCACATTCCAGCAACGTCTGCACCACAGACGCCATTGTTGGCCGCTTGTTTCTATCGTCCTCCACACAAGATATCCCCGTCCGAATCAACGCCGTCGCCTGGTTTCTACTAAACTTCCCTTCCAATCTCGGGTCCACAACACCTTCAATCCAAGCCGAGCCCCCAAAATCCATCTTCTCCATTGTTTTCCGGCAAAAATTCGCCAGTGCAGCCTCATCACCATCGTCGTCCTCCACCACCCAATCGTATAATCTTAACCCCCTCACCATTTCCAAAATCACCACCCCATACCCATACACATCAACTTTCGCCGTAATTGGATGATTCGACGCCCATTCTGGCGCCATATACCCCTTCGTCCCACGAACCCTAGTAAACTCCGTACCAGGCCCTTCTCTCTGCGACAGCTTCGCCAGCCCGAAATCAGCAATCTTCGGCTGAAAATCACTGTCCAGAAGTATATTCTCCGGCTTCACATCACAGTGGATTACCCATTCCAAACACTCATGGTGTAGATACGCCAAACCCTTGGCCATCCCCACCGCCACCGAGTACCTCTGTTTCCAACCGAGATGGCTGCCACCGCTGAAGATATGCTTGTCCAACGACAGGTTGTCGATGTATTCATACACAAGCAGCCTGTGCCTTCTGTCCGAACAAAACCCCCAAATTCTAACAAGATTCATGTGATTGATCTTCCCGAGAGTACTGATCTCCGCAAAGTACTCTTCTTGCGCCTGATAAACATCCCCCAATCTCTTAACAGCCACAACCCTTTCATCCGGCAAAACCCCTCTGTAGACAACCCCCGAGCCTCCTCTGCCTAACTCTTCCTTGAAGTTTCCGGTGGCTTTCTTGATCTCCGAGTAGCTGTACTGCCTGAACTGGCTCGATATCATTCGATATCCAGCCTCCACCGAAGCAGGAACACCGTGCTTTCTGAACAAGAACCACCACCCTATGAGCACAAATGTAGCCTCAATCACCCCCAAAGCTGCAGCAAAAGAGTATACATAAGCCCATCTCACCTTTTTGCTGTTGAAACTGTACATCGAAGGCAATCCTACTGTAATCTCAGCAGCAATCGATCCACACACCTGGCTAATAACGGGATGGAATATATTGGGTTTCGACGGCTCCAAACTATCGGGAATCTTGATGTATATACTCGCGGGAAAATCCGGTGAGGCGTATCCGTTGAGAAGTGCGCTCTTGACATAACATAACCCTTGTCCTAACAGCCTGTAGCTGAATCCTTGGCAACGATAATCTTTCAGACACAAATCTCTGCAGGTTTCCAGTGTGACAGGGCTCGTCGAATTCAGATCAAAACCATAGAAATCGGTGTGTGGTATTTCCAAGAATTTGACCTTCTCCGAATTCAAGAGTGTTTCGTCGAACGTGGCATTGCATCCCGAATTCCAATCGCTCGAATCTTTCACCATGAATCCAGGCGGACAGGTGCATTTTGGCTCCGGTGCATAAACGCATATCGCATTTCTTCCACAAACACCTTTCACATTACAAGGTTGTGTAAGAGCTTGCCAAGTAACAGCCCATAGGGATGTCGAATTATCCAAACTGTACACTCTAAGATTGCCATCGTAGTCTATTGTGAGTCTCCTCTTGATCCCATAACCCATATCAGAAGCATTGAATTGCAGTAGATCACTGGAAACAAACCTGCCCATTTCATCAAGAACCGCTATTCTGCTGCTGTTGTAGTTCGTTCTTCCGTTCCAGTAAATATCTCGGTCGGGATTCGGCCAATAGATCGTCGAAGTATCTGGGCTGTCAGATATCAGCCTCAGAACATTGTCACTACCGTAGTACAGATTAAAGTAACCCGATCCGTAATTGTCCATGCTTAATGCCGATGTCAGCCTAGTGCTCTTCGTCAGAGGCTGAGAAGGCAAGAGAGTGTCGGTCGGAAAATCGAAGCTTTGCCAGAGGATTTCGCCTCGTGGGTTCTTCAAGACGAGGTTTCCAGAATCGAGAAGCTCGGCCGCCGCCACATTAGCTGAGATTGTGTTCGTCTGCCACACGACGGAGTCGTCTACGTCCGTGAGTAGCATTGTGCCGTCTCGCCGGAGTGTTGCTTTCGAGCCCTTGACGTTGACGGGGCGGTTACGGTTGGCCGTCCAGACCACCGTTTTGGGGTTGGTTCTGGTGAACCAAACGCCGAACCAGTTTGCATTGGTTCCGAGGCTGTAAAAGCCGCATGTGAATGAGTTGTCGGGGGAGGTGATGAACTCCGATTCTTTTCCGACGGATATAGAATCGCCCCTCTTTAGAGCAAAATGAGATCTTGAAATAGCGATGTGGAAGGAGCAGAAAAGGCAGAACAACAAGATAAGGCTTCTTCTCATCATCATTCTTGAAAGAATTCTGTTTTGTGTCATAACTGGCAAATAAATAATCTGCAGAGATGGACAACTTAATAATGGTGGTATATTAATAATGTCAACTTGTTGCATTAAAATATGTAGTATATATGCATTATTGAAGCCTGTAATAACTATTTCATAGACTAAAAGAAAAGGATGGAGTCATAAGACATTACTTCCAAGCACCACATACAGAAAGCTGACTTTGAATTAGGGAAAATTATATGGTCTAAACCAATAATTTAGGCGGCATCAAATTTCCAAAAGACCAATACTACAATATATAATAGAAATATTTGTTTCTTTCAGAAAATTTCCCATATATATATATACAAATGGGAAGACTCCAGGTTATACAAGTCACAAAGACTTCCACATGTGTGGACCCTTCTAGAATACCTTCGCTGAAGGAATCGAATTCAGGACCACTTATTTCAAGGAAGCGAAGTCAGGACCGGAGAACACGAATTACTCGGGTCAAACGGGTCGAGGATTAACTTCTTCATGGCAATTACTACTTCAACAATTGATACAGATTTGTTTAGTCCTAATCTTACATTACAATTGGTTAGCATCCCAGTACAAGGTTGGCAATTCGGATTAATGAAAGAAAAACTAGTTTATTATTAAAAAAAAATTCGTAATATTACAATGTTGTTTTCGAAACCTTTCTCACAAGAACAATCCAGGAAAGTGCTCGATAAAACAAGAAAAAAGCCACCATAATCCCCACATTGATCCATCTTGTGTCTGTATCTAATCCTCTGCTCTTCAATATATCTCTCCCTGTCAGCAAACATTCAGATAAATTACCTCCAACTCCCCTCGAAAAACATTCATTTCTTTCACTCCAGTACTCATTAGTAACCAGTGAATCCAAAGGGTACCTATAGAGCGAAACATAGTACATGAAAAGCCAGTACTTTGGTATGAACTCCTTCGGAATGAAATACCCCGAAAACAGAAAGAATGCACCAAGAACAGTGCAGATTAACGAATTTCCAGAAATAAAATCCGGAGATATAACGCTCAAAAACAGCACCAATGAGCTGGCCATCAGCACTATAAGCCAAACGACGAGTGTGAAAAAAGCGAAAGCAGAAGCAGAGGGGTTCAGTCCCACAATCCAGTACAACGGGACGGAGAAAAGAATCGCGACAATAAACAGAAACGGGAAAAAGATTACGGTATTGGCAATTAGGTACGATGAAACCCTGTAAGAACCCCTGGATGCCTCTTTCATCAGAACCTGCCTTTCTTGAAGGTAAATGGGGAGAGCTTCCACTGTGGAAGAAAGAAGAAAACTCAGACTAAAGGCGAAAAGCCCTAACCTCTCTGTAACCCCCCCTTCGTCTCTTCGTACTTTCACGTAAACACTCGCTAAACCAAATCCTCCCACGAGAGCCTGCATCGTGCGAGCCAATAGTAGTTGCTTTGTTCTGTAAATGATCTTCCAGAACCTAGTACACAGTACTTTTATTTCGAACAACCTCGAAATAAAAGGATCAAACGATGTTTGTTCTATGTGCAATGTCGAATAAGATGAGGGATCATATAGTTCTTTTACCTCCACTTCAGATGTGTGGTTCTTAGTGTACGACTCCTCGAGAGTGGAGATGATTTCCATTGAGAACTCCAAAGGGTTTATCTGTGGTGGGATTTTGAAACCGAGACCTGTAATGGCTAGCTCTAGTGACTCGAGTGAGCCGTTGTGGACCACCGAGCCGTGAGAAAGGATCAAGAAGTTGTGTATATACTGAAGGATTCTATAACTCGGTTGGTGAATCGACAAGACTATGGTTCTTTGCCTGGCTCGAGCCATGGAAGAAAGCAGCTCAATTACTTGAACGGCTGAGCTGCTATCGAGCCCAGAAGTCGGCTCATCTAGGAGTAGAATAGGTGGATCGTGGATTACATCCACACCAATGGAAACCCTTTTTCGCTCTCCACCTGAAATACCTCGATTCTCTTCGTCACCAATGAAAGTATTGGCTACGTGTGTCAGGCCAAGCTCATGCATAAGGTCTTCGACTCTATTGTCTCTCTCTCGAGGACTGGTTTCCTTGAGGCGAAACTTGGCACTGAACATTAGGGTTTCTTTGACTGTGAGAAGAGGGAATAAGACGTCTTCTTGAGCTACAAATCCACACAGCTTCCTTAACTGGAGTTGGTTTGTTATTACGCTGTTGTTGAGGTTAATACACTTGGGATCAAAGTGTCTGTCTTTAGCCCTGCCAGAAACAATTCTCAAGAGTGTGGACTTACCTGTGCCACTTGGGCCGACGACTGCAAGAATCTCAGAGCTTCTTGCTGTGAAAGAGACCGATTTCAGAATATCAATTGGCTTCGTCTTTTTCTTCGTTTTCAGGCCGATGAAACTGAGGTTGGATATCCATGCACTTTGATGGATTGTGTAGGATAGATTAATCACACTGAGTTTATAAGGTGTTTGGTTTTGGTGATGTTGTGATGGGGAGTGATTGGAAGAGGAGGAGGAGGAAGGGGTGGTGGATTCCTCCGGCGAGGAGAAGAGCACGGCGGAATCATCTTCGAGGCTTGGTGGTTGAAAGCATGTTGTTGCCATTGTTGTAGAAACTTGTGGTTGAGTAAGTGATGTAAAAATGAAAGATTTAAAGAGGAAGAAGATTTGGGGGTTGGACCAAACCACGGATAACTGCTTACTAGTATGGGTGAAGAAAGGTGAACCATTAGTCAAATGTTTGGTGATCAAACAATAATTTCATTAGGACAAGAGTTTCATAATAAATAACTCCATCCTCACCCTCACCAAATTACTGTACAGAATAAGAAAAAAAATATATATACAATATATACATATATATACAGAATGGAAATTTTTTTATCACCAGTTCCAAGAAGGGCTAGAGCTGAGTCTCATCCTTTAAAGACAGCCACTCTCTGAGACCGTGAAACGCTTTGCCTGTTATTGAGGACATGGATGTAATTCTTAATACGATATCGGTCTGAATTGGTCAGGGAAAACGGAGGATTCAAAATGAGGCATGGGGCTTCAACTAACAGAAACAGTAATAAACGCGCTGCTTTTGAATAGGAAACAACAGCGCTTTCAGTATCACCCATATATTCGTCTACCTGCAAACCCATCCACAGTAAAACAAACTTTCAATTCTATTACACAATAAACGTTGGCGATAATTTTATGAGCAAATGAAGAGAAACAAGTATACTTACTGCTCCATGTCTGCCCAAAGCAAGGGCTGACTGGTACACCAATTCCATTGCATCCGGCATCTCTTCATTTCCTGAAATAAAGAAAATGTTCTTACTTATTACAGTCCTTGTACTGCCAGAGACTGGCTAAGAATGTAGGTCATAATAAAATCATAAAAGGAGAAATATCAAAGCGTGATATTCGTACCAGGATCTATTACTTTAGCAAGTTCCTCCGCATGCCCAACTTCATGAAGAAATGATCTCTCTATCTTTGAACAGATATCGAGTGGGCCCTCTTTGTCTCCAAAACTTGTAGCATCTTGGCTTGGACTCCCTTCACCTTCAGTAGCTGAAGCTGCATGGGTATGGCAAATATGCAACGCTTGCTTCCATATAGCAAGAATTACAAGCTGAACTGAAAAGGCTTCTAGTTGCTTTCCTCCCTCGATCTAGAAAATGGAAGGCACATCGATTAGCATAGATATCTTATTACAAATAGGGGACAACCTATGTCAGCAGAAAATTCGAAAATATGTAATGAGTAACATTTTACAAGCATATAATGACAAGTAAACGAGTTCCAAGGGATCTCTTTCTCCTATGCCATTTTTCATAGCTTGTTTCAATCAAAATATTTAGTAACAGTACTACATCAAGAAAGCTGTAACTTCAAAAATCTGGGTGGTTCAACTAACAATGACGAGAACTCCAGCAAAATATTTTAATACAGCAGAGAAGAAAGCTATCCCAGAGTTCAAAGCAATACTATTTCTGAATAAAAATTCTGAAAGTTACCTTGTCATTCACTAATTCAGTGATGGCAGCTGCATAACGCTGCAATGAACTGATCTGTGTAATATAGTCAGTTGATGGCTGCTCTAAAGTATCTTCTATATCCATTGATCCTTGTGAAATCCCCGGAGAAGATAGTCGATTTTCTAGACTCTCAGCATAATTAACTCTATCGGTTGCTCTACCAACTATTGGTACAGGAGCACTTGGTGTGGAGTTCACATTTCCAGAATAAAGAGGAGGGATACCAGTTTTCGATGAAAAGTGACTTGTCTTAGAAGCATGTGCAGAGGGCGGAAAGTCTATTTGAGGACCAGTGACAATCACATATTCCTCGTCGTTCAACTCCAGTGAATCCACGACTGTCAAGTCAATGCAAATTCGATACGAAAAAAAATATGTCTTAGCGAGATCAGCTATGTGTTAGGAAATCTACACTGAAAAAGATACGTCGATATAATTACATAAGTACCTTTTGGACGACTATCAAGTAAGCCAAGTTCTGTTGGTTTAAGAGATTCTTTGAGGTTTCCTTCTGAAAGCTGGCATTTCCCGAGACTGGACCCTTTGATTTCTGTTTTATGTGGGCCACCACTATACTTTGAAAATTCTGTTCTGTTTGCAACATTAGAGATACCTCTTCGACCAGACTTTGGATCAAGAGAAAAACCATACGTCGATTTCATGGTGGACCTCCTTGGGGAAGATGGACTGCCATCAGGACCACTGGAATCATCATCTAGACTGAACAGTAAGCAATCTTCTTGGGAATTTTGTGCTGTATATCTACCAGAAAGAGGAAACAATGTCATTGCCTATATATGCATGCAAAAGGGAAAAAAAGAAAGAAAAAACTACATTTCCAAATATGCAAACAGTTTGTGTTCTCAAGATAATGTAAACTATCACATTTACCTGAGGGATTCATCCGGCTGTCTCCGAGATAGATATGGATGGTTAAAAAATTCTTCATATGTCAACCGCTCCACTGTACAGACAAGCAATAGATGTAAAATTTACATAAAATCAAGAAGATAAAACCACAACTACTTACTACAGGAATTGATCAATTTTAGGCCATCAAATAATTCAGGATTCTGAACTTCGTAGAGAAAGATAGCAGATGATGGCATGTATCGAAAACCCACACAAGAAGTTGACAGCCAAAAACGTAATTAAGCTACAATGTAGCAGGCATTTTAATTGAGCTAAAAAATACCAAACAACTGCAGCATGTTCCATACATTTAAATGTACAAGATGTAGAAAACCTGGGTTACGCCGCAGTAGTTTTCTGCACAAATCCATGCAGTGGGGATCCAAATCCTTTGCCTCGGGTGGAAATTGCAATTGAGTTGACGTTATGATGTTCTGGAGAAGCTGAAGAGAACATTTGAAACATGATTTCATTACCAGCAAAACACAGAGAACTATTTTTAAATGCAAGAAGAAAGTGAGACAAACATACCTGAATTTGATTACTTCCTGTAAACGGAGTTTTACCAGTTACAAGCTGGAACAGAATGGTACCGACACTCCAGAGATCTGCCTGCATTATAGAACAAAAAGTTATTAGAGTTTTTATATTTGAGTGCCTGCTGAATATGTAAAACTGAATCTCACCTTAGCATCATATTTTTTTAGCTCCATAATTTCTGGAGCCATGTAAAGTGGTGAGCCACATAAGGTTTCTGCAAGACCTCTAGATGGTAGAGACCTGACAGAAGGAAAAGGAACATCTTAACTGCAAACTCCAAACTTAATACTGGCAATCAAGTAAATGTTTCTCCGTGGCTGATGCATGCGAAGGAATAAACACATGCGAATATTTCATACACATTACCCAAGCAAGAAAATTCAACATTATGAGATTCTAGTCGATAATACATGCACTTGAATATAAAAGATTTGGAGCAAATGATATCAAACTATTCCAATGGTGTAGATTTCACATACATTATAACAATCAAAGATATATCTCGATACAGTTGCTAGAGAATTCGAAAACCCATATTGATTCAAAATTATTCAATTTATTCCAAGTCTTCTAAATCCAAACAAAATTTTTAAGTCCATTTAATTGCAGACTTCTCTCAAATATCAATCATGCACTCGGCCATAAATAAAAGAGTGCATCATAAGAACATCACATATAAAAAGTCTTTCTTGATAAGAAAGATCAAAGAAAAATTTATACCATCAACGATTGGTTGCTTGTTACTTCCAAACTGGGTGCAGTGTATTCAAAGTTCAGTAAAAGTGGTACACAATGCTCAGTCAACAAACAAAAAGCCACGGTGCAACAACACAAATACTAGAATTGTATCTTAACAGAATCCACACAAGGATAATAAAAATGCCACCCAGAGCTAGTCAGGGATAAGGGCGGAGGGTCAAAAAGCAAGTACATAAGAGCATACCTTGCAAATCCGAAATCAGCAATCTTCAAAACACTGTTGTCACCGTTAGTGGAAAGGAGAAGATTCTGTTTCAGCAATCAGACAAGTAAATGCAATATTTCAGTTCATAAAACATATATCTGGAAATGGGCGTCAAGTGATGGAAACCAGCATAGATATTGATGGTAGTCATAGGAAAAATTAAGATATGCAAAAATGTGCATAAAGACCATTAATTCATCGCATGGTTGCTCTACTGTATTTATACATCTAATAAGAACTATGAACTGTAGATTTGAGTTCCAATGTTTCAAAAAGATGGCAATTGCCAAAATGCGCAAACAATGATGTATAAAGTTTTTTTTTTTTTTTTTTTTTTCGAACCTGCGGCTTCAGATCTCGGTGTACTAGGTCGTTTTTGTGAAGAACTTTTAGACCTTCCGCTGCATCAATCAGGATTTAAAATAAATAAACAAATAACCTCAGCTCGAAGTAGTGAAACAGAAGACATCCAAATAGAGACAGGACAAAAAGGGATACCTAGTTGCTGCATAAAATGCTTTGCAGTTTCCTCGGGGATTCTTCCTTGGCGTCGTTGAATATACATTGAAAGGTCACCTCCTTTGCAGTACTCCAAAACAATGTATATCTTTCCAGGTTCCTAGTTAGACACAATAAAACTTATTTATGTCAGATAACCTTCAAAATATATCTTCTACATATAGAAAGAATATTTTCTGTGGTTCCTTGCACCCGTACATAACATTTCATGCATGATTTTGCTTAAAATTCACGCACAACGTCATATTATCTTTTGCCATTCTATTAAATTCTATAAGGAAAAGCGAGGCAAAAGTAACATCACATTTGATACACGCCAAAAATGCCGAAGGACATTATGAATCCACGATAAACCAGAGATGTCTATAAAGCCGTGATTGGCCCAAAATCAACTAAAGAAATACTATATTTAAAACGCAATAATTGCATCATTAGTTGTGTTTTAGCAAGTTGAGTAACAACTAATAACTACCCGCTGTTATCTCGTGGAGTTGACGTACAGCTATTATCAAATGACAAAATCAGAACATAATCCACTCACTAATCACTGAAAAGTTTGCATCCCCAAACTGGAAATCACACAAATAGCCTATAACTGATAACAACACGGACTATGGACTACGACACGTGTTCATTTTACTCGAGTCTTAATCCCTTTGGACCCTCTCCCACACTATTCCAATAATCAGACCGTACCATACTACAAAAACCACCATGACAAACAGAAACAGCCAAATCGAAAGTTCATCACTCACCCCAACAGAAGCACAAAAAATGAGATTACTAATAATTCTAAAAAAAAAAGGAAAAAAAAAATAAAATCAACTTTTCACTTCACATCTTACTTCCAGATGTAGTTAGTTTGCTTAAAAAACAAAACGATAGAGAGAGAGAGAGAGAGAGCGCGGACCTCGATCATGTCGTGCAAACGGATAATATTAGGGTGGTTGACTCTCTTAAGAATAAAAATCTCCGATTTGAGGCTTTCCTGCAATTTGGGGTTCAATTGAGAGGTGACAATTTCTTTGATCGCGAATTCAGTGCCATGGACGCGGTGGCGCGCGTGCCACACCGTGGAGAACGAGCCCGCCCCAATCTGCCTCCCTACAGCATAATCCCCCACCACGTAATGCCTCCTCGTCGATTGCGCCATCGGGAAACCCTCGATCATCCACCTTAAGCTCAAAACCAACCGGAGAAAAAGAAGACTTGCTCGTGTTTTTGGTTGGTAAAACGAAAACCACTGAACCGCACAGCGATCACCCCTGGATTTATCCTCGAGTTGTTTTGCTGATTTGTTGGCTTTTCTGCTGTTTTAGCTTCTTCTTCTTCACTGAATTTCCGCTGTCGTTTATGGGTAAAGATATTAATGGAGGGATTTCGAATTCAATTTTTCTTTTTCCTTTTTAATTATATATGTTGCTTATGGTGTTTATGTTGGAGCCCCGGGGTTGTTTTGCTTAAACGATCGATATTAGGGAGTAATTATGATTTAAACAAGATTTTTGACTTTTTAAGTGTTGTAATTAACATTTAACATTATTAATTTAAAGTCGTGGTTTGGTGCTTGCTTGACGCCATGGTGTGCAAAAATGACAACACGCTTTTAAGTCTTTTAGTTTTACATGGTGTTTGATAAAAAAAGAAATTCTGGAAATATTTTAATTTCTTTGAAAAATAAATTTTTGAAGAGCTTAAAATATTTTAATTAAGTAAACCTTTTTTTATTCTAAATTAAAAAAATACCCCAAAATATTTTACTATATTCCAATACTCCACAAACATATTTTTTCCAAACTACAAATTCACATAATCAAATCAAAAAACTATTTAAAAAATATAGTAAATTTATTAAAAGAGCTATCAAATTTCATATATTGATAAAATAAATTATTTTATTTAATAGTTTCATGCATTTCTAAAATAAGTTTTAATATTGATAAGCATATTTAAACTTCAAAGAAGTTCTGGATATCATACTGAATAAGTGAGTTGGGCCCGTACTAGTGGCTCAATGGACCAACGGGCAGCCGATTATTATTGAGAGTGCTAGTGGCTCAATGGACCAACGGGTAGCCCATTATCCTGAGTGCTAAGTTCAATGGGCCGAAGGGTAGCCCAAACTTATAGATATATATACATTGTTTTAGAATCTAGTTACCATCCAATAAAACCGTCTGGGTGGTGTAGTCGGTTATCACGCTAGTCTCACACACTAGAGGTCCCCGGTTCGAACCCGGGCTCAGACATTTTTTTTTTTTTTTTTTTTTTGCCCCTCTCTCTCTAATCTATAATATAGATTTTTAATTTGCCCAAATCAATCTTTCAAAACCACTCTTACAATCAAATCCAAATTTCTGAATTTCTCCTTCATTTTCCCTCTTTCTTCCGTCGATTGTTGGTGTTTTATTTCGATTCATTTTGCCTTCTAGGGTTTATCGTAATTAATCTATCTATTCGCGGTAGATGGATTGGAGTAACGTGACAGCTGAGGATCTAATCGACGCGCTGCGGGAGGTGGACTGGTCATCGCCGCCGCGACCCCTGCCGGAGTTCTTCTCCCGGTTCACTGTACCGCGTTCTTATGCCAAATGGAACAGTCGCCTCAAGTGCAACCTCTATTAGTACGATCCTTTTGTTTTTTACTTTTTACACGCGCAATCATCTGTTTATATCCATATACAAATCGGTTAAAATTATGTTTATAGATTCATCGGTGGGTTAATTGAAGTGGCTACAGTATTCATTTTTACTTTTAGTACGGTTAATTGGGAAGAGAGGCGTGGAAAATAATTAAAAACTTCGATGTGGAAATCTCTCTCCGATGCCCATAGTTTTCGTTCTAAGAAAATATATGCATGATAATTTACTCTTCGTAAGGAATTGAATATAGCTTCTGAATTGTTTCTTCTTTTGTTTCGGTTATGAAAATATCGATTGCAGCTATTATTACATCACATTCCTGACTCAGTTCTTGTGTTTGTTATCTTATTGTTGCAGCTATCGGACCAATTATTTCCTAATGATTGTTTTCATTCTTGGTAAGAGTGATAAAGATGATTATGAATGTTTGATTGTGTGCATGACGAGTAAAAACATGTCTACTTTTTCGGCTAGTATTGATTGAAGTCTTAACCTGCATGCAATTTCAGGGATGGGATTTCTTAGGAGGCCGCTAGCGATTGTTGCTGCTCTAATGACAGCTCTGACCATTGCTTTTCTAAATGATAGGTATGTATTTTCTTTATGATGTGTTATCATCAGAATTTTGGTATTCGTGTATTCCTTTTACAGTTGCTAGACTGCGTAGATTTATAGTTCCATGAATGTCACGATTGTCCCTGTATCTATCACTAATACCAGAATTCGGTTATTCCATGTCGTATAGTTTAGAGCTTGTGTGACATTATTGTAGCGTATCTTGGAATAAAATTTTGAGTGTTTGAGTCTACTATCGAATTATCGGTTTTGTTTGGATATGGAAATGTTGTGTAGTTCAATAACAATACAGAGTTGACAGATAGATTGCTGCATATTCAGCAAAAGCCTGCAGTTATTTGATACATGAGGCTATTGTTCATCTCTTTGCGTAACTATGAAGAGTGGCAATTGCTGTTTCATTATGTGACTGTGATAGCCCGTGAACATGATAAGTAGTTGTTCTTGCTGCTTTCTTATGTCGCCAATGTTTGTTTATTTAGCTTTGCAGGTACTTTCAGTGAAAAAGTAACTAGATCCGTTAGACAGTTTTCTCCACATCTAGCGGCCAAAATGAGACCTCATCTTACGTAAGTGGATTAGAAACTCTGAAATTGCTAAGCATTTGGTCATGCTCCTTACTTGAGTGTATAATTTATTCAGGCCTGTTATTCGGGGGCGCCCTTCTGTGAAACGAGCCATATATATATGTGGATGGCCTCGATGGGTATTTGTCTTGGTATTTTCTTCAGGTACTAAATTTTTAGCCTCTCTATCTTCAAAGTTTCATGTAGGGCTTACTGATTGTTGTATTGTCATTTTTGAGCCACGTTTCTTGTTGCAGTGAGTTTCATCCTATGGTTTGTCTCTTGTGGCCTTCTTACCCTCTCATGGGCTTTGCTTACTGGCCTTCTTGGTAATTTTTACGCTTTCAGATTCTTTTCTTGTTTTGCATTTTTTATTTATCTAACTTCCTTCACTCTCCCTCAGCCACCATCATTCATGCAAGCTTTAGGACACCAAACCTGAAAGCTCGTTTGAACACATTCCGCGAGGAATTCCGTGCAGTTTGGCGCAATTATAGTGAGCTGTAGTTTGTGTATAGCAGAGCACATGTTAGTTTCCTCACTCTCAAACTACCTTCTTATTGATCATTTGTCTTTGAGATATTTCATTCATACATTTTATCTATATGACATGTTTGTCATATATTTTATTTGCTGTGCTGCATTCTTGTGGCAATACGTGTTGAATGTTTTTACGCTTGCAGTATTGTACAAGTAGTAGAAGAGTTTGCATATGCACTTCATTTTTTCGTCAAGAATGTATCCTATTGAGCATCCTGTTTTGGCTTAGTATAAATTTGACATCAACGAATGTGCAGTTCATCATTATTTAAGAACTTTATTTGGCTTTTATTATTAACTGTCTCGATTAATATTATGATATTTCTTTTCCAGGTGATTTTTGCTTTACATACAGCGGGCTCGTGTTTCTTATGAAGGTGTTGGATTATGTTCTCAGGCTAATTTCTATATTCCAGCTGTCAATTCTCAAGAAACATGGTCTGCTCAGATTTACAGATTAGTACGAGGTTGTAAAGTTCTTGAATTCTTATTTAGGTAAATGGACAGTTATACCATTTATGATTTGATTTGGTGAAATCTTTCGAATTTGTATTAAAACATTTCTTGAATTTTGTAAAAAAAAAAACAAAAAAGTTACTGTTATTTTACGTCAAGTAGATTTGTTGCGGCATATGAGATAATTACCAGTCTTTCAGCAACACTTCATTCCAAATGACTGAGTTGATGGTGTTTCCGGGTTTATTGATGTTATGCCGGTGAAGTTCACTGGGTGGGTGCGTCCTTGATTTACACACTAACACACACAAACATGTTGGTGTGTGGAGAGTAAAAATATCACCGGATGTAACATAGAATTGTCTGTAGTTTTGTGCGAGCAACAGTTGGAATTGTTGTCCGATTCTTAAAGCATACTAGAAAAATATGTTGCTTCTACAATTATTACAAGCAATGCTTGGTCCATTGAGCATTGATGAAAGAAAAATGATAAAAATGAAACTGAAACCAAAATTATTAATTTATCGAGATTCTACTTTAACTCTATTAAATCCCAGGTGAGCCCCACGTATAAAATAATAATTGTTCAAAAAAGGCCCAAAAAGATTTGATTTCTATCAGGTGGCCAACCCATCATGCGGAGAATGAACTTTTAAGTTTTAACCAACGTTTTATATTACATTTCCTTACTGTTTTTTATTTTATTTTATTTTAAAGACGCAATCTATTGCTTTCAAGCATTAGATTACCCCAAAAGAAGATCACAAACTAATCTATCTGTACAAAGTCTAATTTTTTTTTAATTTATACGAAAAAGGAATTTGATTAGTAAGTGTAGCTGTTTTGGCAATTACAGACTGGACCATGTTTTCTTGTCCTCTTTCAATTCCTCTCCACATAGATACAGTGACAGTTAATATTGCATTATACCCATATATTATATTATTAATTAATTGGTTATACTCTTTAATTAATAATGTCTTAACACGTGATCATGCCAGTATATTACTATATTTCCTATATACACAGGCAAATATATACACAATCCAAACTAATAAGTAGAGAAATGGGTTTCTGCAGCAAACAAATTTATCCAACGGAGGAAAAAATGGGAAATTTCTGGCAATGGGCTCAAGCTTTGGGCACCGCCATCAGTTTCATGATGTTGATCGGCCTTGCTTGCTGTTGCCTCGTCAGCAAACCACGGCTGCACTCCGGTAACAGCACTTCCACCGGCGCTTGCTCATGCGACGGCGGTTATTTTGGTGTGTAGACATTTCATTATATATATATATATGTATGTATATATATATATTACATGATCATAGAGATTTTTAGAATTTAGGTTCTGGTTTTATAGTAGTTGTTCAGATTTTAGGTGGCTTAACGGTTGGCTTGGTTTCTTGCTTTTTCGGTTATTAATTTAAAGAATTTGGTTTGTGAAGTGGTGATCTATTGCTTTTTTTATTTGCGCGAAACTTTAAATCCTCAAATTTTCATAAAATGAACTCATATACTAAAAAAGTCGAGAGAAAAAAAAAAAAAGCAAAAGAACAAGAAGTCGTAATAATCGCGAGCTCACCGGGCTCAAATTCAATGCAACAAATATAAACTTTTCTCAGCAGCACTCGTCTTGATTCAAATTCCCTGCCGTAGCGAAAATTCACATGTTAACGATGATATTCACATTAAGGTGTCGAACACAATAATAAAACATTTCGCGCACAAGGACTAAGTATCAATATTCAAATGTGCAAACAAATGAGCATGTCATACCTAAAGATATAAAAAATCGGAGAAGATGAAACTAGTCAAACAGTTTGCTCGATTTATGTGCCAAAGCAACGATCCCCAGCATCCCCGAGTCCAGGTACAATGAACCTGGAAATGATCGACAGAATTCAAGAATTACAACTCAATGCAAGTGTGCAACAATCTATTAGCTCACTTGATATTTTAACCGCGCCTACCCTTTCTCGTTAACAACAGGGTCGACAATTCCAGCATAAACATGAACCCTGAGAAATAAAAAAAAATGAAAATTATTTAAAACAATATATGAAAATATACCACCCATATACTAAAAATGTAGGGCCTAAAGATAATTTGAGCACGTGTGTAAATTATTACCCAGGGAATTTCTCGCTCAACTTTCGAATAGCTGGAGGAGCAGCAACAACCGATATCTAAACCCAATAATTAGTACAGTTGATATAATGTGATGCATACATCTTAGAAAAAAAAAAAACAAGAAGTCGTGTTAAAAGTCGGCGAACAAGAATTAATTCAGAAACCAACCACTTTTATTTGCGTGTTTTCAACCCCTCGTTTCTTTATCAGTTCGAGAGCTGCAACCACTGTGCCACCTAAAAAATTGTATGCATAAAAATCAATAACCATCTCGATAATAGTACGATTTGACTCGAATAGAAATATGTTTAATATAAGTAAGTACCTGTTGCAAGCATAGGATCCACGACAAATACTCGAGAACCTTCAGGAAATTTGGTGGGCAACCTATAGTAGAGGTGAAATTTCTGTTAAATATTCTGAATCATGCTCGTAAATCACATCTGTAGGACAAAACATTGGCTATAGAACAATAGATAACTGCTAATGTATCGATTTCCTTTGTAATGTATTCTTACTTGTTCAAGTATACAGTCGGCTGAAGTGTTTCTTCGTCTCTGCCAATTCCTAGCATATTCAGTTTCAACCACAGTTAAGTTTAAATCAAAAGTCAATTACTAAAGCTCAATCAGCGTACAAATTGACAGAACGTGGACTAATATGTCAACAATTAGGAACACAAAATAAAGCATAACGTTATCTCTCCTGGTAATCATAGTGCAACAAAAATTTAGAATGCATTTGTTTAAATATCCGTTAGAGTATTGAGAATTAAGTTCAGACGGGTAAAACGGTTTCAATACCAAGATGATATGTCTTCATTGCTGGCAAAACTGATGATGCCTGCTCTGCCAGTCCAAGGCCAGCTCTCAATATCGGAACAACCTGTCGGGCAAGATAATGATCAATATGGTAACTTCTACATACATGTGTGTGTGTGTGTGTGTGTGTGAGAGAGAGAGAGAGAGAGAGAGAGAGAGAGAGAGAGAGAGAGAGAGAGAGAGAGAGGACAAACTGCAACGGGTTGCATTGGATCGATAAATTCCGCAGAGGCAACACCCATTGGGGATTTAACATATCCAGTGGTAGTTGGCTGGCAGAAATCACAAAGACATAAATCTATATATATATATATATATATATATATATATATACTTCCAATTAGCAGAGATCATAAGAAATAAAACACGAAATGCGAACTATCAAATCTCACCAGACAGTCTCTTGATGCCTCATAAATTAGCAATCTGCCAAGTTCACCCATAGCATTTTCTGAACACAAAACAGTATATATATGCATAATACGAAATCGAAAACAATTCAAAAGATTATTGAATTAAAATGCAAGTTAATTTCGATTAATTCCGATTTTTTCACACAGTAAAGGATTGACTTACTGTAGAGTGAGGTAGGTGTCTGCTCATTTCGAAGAACTGAAATCCAGTGATTAATTAAAGGATGCGGCGGCACAAACACCTCCTAACATAACACAGACAAAAAACAAATCCCAAATTACGCAACAACACTAATTTATTTAAAAAAAAAAAAACAGCACTTAATTTTATAATCCGAAAAACACTAAAGAAATTTCAAAACTGACATGAAATTTGTTGTTTGAGACATTTGTCAGCATCGATAAGCAAAGCTTAAAGGACGATTAAAAAAACTGACCAGCGTTCGATCTCCACTCTCTAGACACATTTCTTTTCTCCGCGGTTGCAAAAACCTATATTTTATGTATACATGTATATATATGTATATATAATATATATTATATATATATATATAAGTAGTTAGAAATTTTGAGAGGCATACGGTTGGGTGTATCTTTATGAAAAGGAATTTTGAGCATTGAAGAGTTTGATAGTGAAGAAACGTCGAGATTTCCGGCTTTTACGTTACAGATAAAGATTAGTAAAATATTCGATCACCCCAAATTTTCTAATTTTCTTCAATTTGAGAAGTTATTAAATAGTACGCCAAAATATATTTGTATGAAATTTTTTACTCCAAAATAGGCGGGAAAAATGGCATGATGGGCTTAGTTCCTATTTTCTCATTGAGCCTTGGCCCAATAATTTTGGGTGGGAGAGAGTTTGGCCCAATATTGCTGAACCGGCTCCGATCATCTATTATGCCCTTTCTCTGGGGAGTCTATCGGAGTGGTTCGTTTGAGAATAAGAAGCAGAGTAAAATCTATTCGTTTAATTCTCCTCAAAACTACTCGAATTTCTTAAACACGTTATCATGATTGCAACATTCTTCTCGACTGCCATGCTTCATTAATGACCTTTCGATCATCTTTGGCATCAATGGTTCAGATCCTAGCCTCTCTTTAGCTGCCAGTTGGCCCTCAAATTTTCATGCAGTTTTTTTACAATTACAATTGACACGATGAAGTCAACGATCAAAAGGTTTGTTCATTTTTTTTTTGATATAAGGTTTGTTCATTTTAAAACAAGTTGAAAAGTTCATTTAGTAACTTACCTTTATTTTATTTTATTTTATTTATTTATTTGAAATATAAAATATATAGTCAGGTGCTACCATATTAAGGGGAGTCCAAAACTAACTTCATTCCATCACTGCAACCGTAAGATTAAATGCAGTAAAAGATTAAGGTACCCTAATGTAATGCCTTGTTTGACGAATAATTGTCACATACAGTGACCTCAGATATTGCAGGTATATTTTCAAAAGATAATAATCCTTTCGAATTAACACTAAAAAAGAAATTCCGAAAACAATGAACAGTTGAAACAAAGGTCAAAGAAATCCAAGCCCATGTATCTCACTCACATAGAAACTTTTCTCAGCGGCACTTGTCTTCGATTCACGAATGGAATTTCCTGATGCCACGAGAATCGTGTTATCAATATTCACGTTCCGATGAAACATTTTTTGCAGGACTAAATATCGAAATTTAAAGGTGCAAAAAATATTCGATCAAGATTCTTAAAATAGAAGGCATCTTAATTTCCTCGAATCAAATAAACAAAAAATGCTCGACTTATGGCATGTTGGAGAAAAGGTTGTGCATGTAGATTTCTTTCTCTGGAATCAAACACACAGATCATAATGAATATTACAATACAAATCACATAAAAATATCAGCCACCTGCGTAAAAGATCACACAAGCCCTTTTCTCCCATCCACACACAAAAGGGAAATACGTTACTACTTGCAAGTAACGTGGTTCGATTTGCACAACTTTTATACATAATATATCGAATATAATTTGGTTAATCAGAAGAGAGATCACATCGGGATTCAGAGATAAAGCCAAACTTTTTTACCACATTCATTAATGACGACTTACTCGCAATCTAGAAGGGGATTTAAAAGATCTCACAGAATTTAGTAGATATTGCAATATTTCTTTGACTATAAGAAACTCACTCACACTTGCATTTCGTTCCACCATTAGTAAGAGGAGTGATGGATACAGTAACCTTGTATATTCTGTGTGGCGCAATTGTAATTGCAGCTTTGGGGCTGTTAAGCTTTATTTGGGTCAAGATTTTGGAACACTACACTGCAACCCATGGACTGAATAGGGTTTTGCAAAATTACGGTTATACAATCGATGGGCGTGAGACAAATCACACTGCCCGTGACAGATATATGTTGGAAATGTCACAGCCCTAGCCAAATCGATTCACAGTCGAAATAGAAGAGAAGATGCTTATAATGCTATCATGGAATAAAGATTGTAACTTGTCCTGATGAAATCTATCTCAAGTCTAAGTTACTATTTCAAGAAAGTCTGGTATGTAATTCTTTGAAGATACTTAATTGATTAAGATTTGCTACCCGGAAAAGTTATTACCCTTACAACCTCATTTCGTACATGTTATCCTCCGTAGAATACTTGAACATGAAACAATACAACACGACTTGTCATTTAACACATCCCCAATCAGTCGGATATTTTATGAATTCTTATGAAGTTGAAAAGTAATTACCAGATAAATATGTCAAGCAATCAGCTAATTAAATACTTTAAAAAGTTAGGCAGAGCTTTCCATACCTTCAGATATCAAAATTGGGAGTAACGAGAACAGATAAAATCAAGCTAGTTGTACAGTTTGCTGTATTTATGTGCCAAAACTACGGTCCCCAGCATCCCCTAGTCCAGGAATTATGAACCTGACATGATCCACAAAGTTTAGGAATTACAACTTTATGCAAATGTGCAGCAATCTATTAACTTAGTTCATATATACCTACCCTTTGTCATTAACAGTAGGGTCGAGAATTCCAGCATATACATGAAGCCTGAGAAATAAAAAAGTGAAAATGACTTTAAAAAATATATGCAAATATACCAGCCAAATATGAAAAATGCAGGGTCTAAAGGATAATTTGAGCATATATGTTATTACCCAGGGAAACTCTCGCCTAATTTTTTAAGAGCTGGAGGAGCAGCAACAGCAGATATCTAAACCAAGTAATCAGTATAGTTGGTAACATGTAATACATACATCTTAAGAAAACAGTGTAAACAATAAATAAAAAAATTCCGAAACAAGTCAGCAAACAAGAATCAATAAGGAAACCAACCACTTTTATTTGCTTATTGTCCACCCCTCGTTCCTTTATCAGTTCAAGAGCTGCAACCAATGTACCACCTAAAAAAAATTGTATGCAGAAAAATCAATAACCATCTCCTAGCAATAATAAAAGAATGCAAACACTACTCGTATTTAAGGAGATATTTACGATCTGCTGTCAGATCATTCTCACAGTTCTAGTTTAGATTGAGGATAGAGAAGTTAATGTTTTATATTCTAAGCTCTCCATCAACCTCATGTATACTATACTCATTGAATCCAAATTAAATGATTTTTGATTTATTGTAAACTAGTATGAATATATTCCAATTAGAACTTGACTACTAGTGATTTTCACGCTCTCTAATGATAGTGATAAATACAGTTCTAAAAAAGTTGAGCTGAACTTCTGAAATTATTAGCTTGAGAAAAAAATATCTTTGAGCTGAAGATCAAACCTACACCACACACCTATCCGATTTAAACATCAAATCATGAGATTTATATACATTGAAAAATAGTGGCAATGGCAAAAGACTGTGTCTCTACAACTCCTACAGTTTACAGAAGAACATCCTATGAGAGATAAACATGATAGGTTGAGCAAGCTGACATACGGTTTAACTCAAATAATAACAAAAGGTATACAATAAGTACCTGTTGCAAGCATGGGATCTACAACAAATACTCGAGAACCTTCAGGAAATTTGTCAGGCAGCCTATATCAAGGTAAGATTTCTATTAGACTTATCTAAACGCATTACCTATATCGGTACCACAGAGGTAAATCAAATCAAGATGACAAAATATTATAGATTATGAACATTCATAAATCATATCTATAGAACATTAATGTTGCATATTAAACAACAGAAACACATTAAATTAACCTATCAATTTCGCTAGCAATGTATTCTTACTTGTTCAAGTATATAGTTGGCTGAAGAGTTTCTTCGTCTCTGCTAATCCCTAGCATACTCAGTTTCAACAACACCAAAGTTTAAATCAAAAGGGAGTTAAATGTAACACAATCAACAAACAAATCAGTCAAATGTAGATAAATGAATATTTAAGGAAAATAACCTAACATGTCAACAATTTGGAATCAGAACACATGTTTTCAACAAAATTTAGCTTGCCTATCAAAATAAAGCATGATATTATATTTCTCCTGTAATCGTAATGTAACAAAATCCTATAACCGTAGATGGTATGTCTTTACCATTGGCAAGAGGAGAGAAGGGTATGCATGAAGAACAGCATCACTTAACAATCAACATTCATTGGTTTAATATCATTTAGAGTACAGAAAATTAATTTCAGAATATGGGTAATGGTTTTGTTATCCAGTCGAAAGCAAATAAATATTTCAATACCAAGATGATATGTCTTTGTTGCTGGCAAAAGTGACGATGCATGCTCTGCCAGAGCAAGACCAGCTCGTAATATGGGAATAATCTGTTGGGAAAGATAATGATCAATTCAATTCATATGGAAACGTATGCATGTCGGTGGTTGTGTGTGTAAGAGAGAGAGAGAGAGGGAGGACTAACTGCAACATGTTCCCTTGGATCAACAAATTCCACTGAGGCAACACCCATTGGCGATTGAATGTCTCCGGAGATAGTTGGCTGGCAGCAATAACAAACACATAATTCTTAGATGTAACCATAGATTTCCAATTAGCAGAGCTTCTTGAGCAATAAGTTCATACTAATTGCGAACAATGCAGAGTAGTCACCCAAGTTTACTATGTTCAATTAACAATACAACATAACATATATCAGAGAGGCAAACAACAAAACACAAATCGCAAACTATCGAATCTCACCAGCCAGTCTCTTGATGCCTCGTACATTAGTAGTCTGCCAAGCTCAGCCATAGCATTTCCTGAACACAAAATAGTATACATCAAAGGAAAACAAAACGACAATAGGAACGACACAAGGAGATTGTAAGACCATGCACCTTCATCAAATTGGCCTTTATTTAAAATTCCAATTACATATAAACGAAATTATCATGAAGATATTAATTCAGATTTTACATACTGAAGACTGGGCTAGGCGTCTGCTCGTTCCGAAGAACTGAAACCCAGTGCTTAATTAAAGGATGTGGCGGCACAAACACCTAACATAAAACGACAACAATCCCAATTAGGCAAAAAACTAATATATTCAAATAAACAACACTCAATCTCTTATCCAAAAAGACACTAAACAAAAAACTCCAAAACTATTTTAACAAACAAAATGTTCATTGAGTTTTGATGTTTTGTCAGAATCGAAAAGCAGAGATAAAACGACGTTAAAAAACCTACCAGCATTCGATCTCCAGATAAAATTCTCTTCTCCGTCGTCGAACTGCAATTCACAGAAATGGAGCGTCGATTACGGCCATCCAATCGCAGAACCTATTATATACATAATAATTAGACACCAAAAAAACAAGGTTAAAAACACTGAGGAAAACTGTGCGTCCGTACTTTTGGCGCCGAGTTGTACCTTGTTATTAATTGTATCACCGGAGTTGCGATTGGATGCGGAGAGGTGTAGGGGAAGGTATCCCAGTGAGTGAGAGAGAGGAAACTCGGAGATGCATCGAAGAGGACAGCAATTATTAATGGCGGAAGCCATTAAAACGGGTAAATGAAAAATAGAAACTGTAGAGCAAAAAGGAAAGGAGATATAGAGCAAATCTCCAAGTGCTGATTGCACCGTCACTCCCGTTTGTAACCTGACCCCACCCCCCCCCCCCCCCCCAGTTAGTTTGGAAATACGAACCGCGTGTACTGTGTAGAATAAAGCAAAGTTTATTTTTTTTTTTTTCCATGAATTTTTATGGGCTTAATTCTTTTTACTTTTAAATTTGTAAACTTAATGGGCTACGGCCCAAATTGTAAAAATACAAAGTAACGTTTTGTTTATGTTTCATATAAAATATTTTTAATAAAAAAACTAAATTAATATATGTAAAAATAAATTTAAAAAAAAAATATAAGATGAGCTGAGCTCAACCTCAACAGGCTCGACTCGACTTGAGCTCGAGCTCATCAGATGAAAGATCTATGAGCCTGAACTCGAGTTCGAAAAAATTGACGAGTTCGGCTAGAGCTTGGCTCATTTACATACCTACTTGGAATTTCAGATTTTTTTTTTAATTTCAAATAATCTTGGATATCCATTTTATATAATCTCAATTTTCAATTTTCAATTTTCTTATAGCAACTCTCCATTTGCAATACATATTAATTATGTGATGTGTTGTTCATGTGTTTGAGTGCTTAATGCACGAAAAATATATTCTATGAATAAATATCTTTATAACATCATATCCTCGATGAAATAGTTGTACAAAATATATTAAACTTTTATCTGATTAATTAGATGCATGTTCATTAGTATAAATCATCAATTAATATATCTTTCAATTAATAGTTTTCACTGTTTGAAATCTGAATTATATTATTATTTTACAATTTATTTTCTTAATATACTCCGATATTGTAGAATCTTCACACGTTCATCAACTTGTTGACCGTTTCCACACGGACATCACAACTCATGTAGTAGAAACCACATTGAGTTGAAGCTAGGATCACAAGCAAGCTAAGGGTGTAAATTAAACAAATAGGGCTAGATATTTAATTTTTTTAATTATTTTAAAATTGTGTTGAGCTCATTTTGGTACTTTTTTCGTTTCACAATATTTGTCATTAAAAAAAATTGTTATTTTTTCCATAAACTTCATTAATGTCATATTTTTCAATTATGCACCTATTTTTTCTCAAACACTATCCTTACATTAACTAGTAAACAATGGTTTCTTGGTCTAACAATATCTATTTTCTTAAAATTAAGGCACGGTTATTAATATTCCTAAAGACTGATGCAAATGTGAAAAACTGACACCTATTTAGAAATGGAGGGGAAAAACAACATAATCGAGCTCGAACGAGCTTAATAGTCACACGTGAATGAACTTCGAATAGATTAATTTTTGTATGGTTTTTTTTCGTAACAAGATTCATAGCATATTGAGCAGAAATATGTGTGTTCAAACTTTGTTCATTATAACAAATTGAGTTCAATAGAACTTTTAATGAACGGATTGGAAATTGATTATCGAATGATTTGATTTTATTTCACCATGTGATCAAGTCCAAATCAAACGACAAAAGAAGTGTATTTTATTGAATTATTTGTGTATGCCAGACAAGAAAAAGAAGGCTTCATCCAATATTCCAATGTCTTATAATCTCATCTAAGCAAAGTCAACTCCAGAAACTATCCACACAGTCAAAGTCTTCTTTATTTAAAAAATCCAAGTCTTCCCCCAAATGGTTATTTAAAATTCAATAAAAACCTAAATAATCATTTGTAGAAAGCAAAACCATCGAATATGGCTCCTCTCCCAAAGAAATCAATCGACCATTTCATCCACCCAGGCCACCCACTAACGCCGTTCGACGGCGACACGGAGTACTTATGCGACGGCTGCAAAACCGTCGGCGGCGCCGGGAAGCGATTCCGGTGCAGCCACAGCGTCTGCGACTTCGACCTCCACGACTACTGCGCCACGTGCCCGCGCCAACTCACCTCCTTCATGCACAAACCCCACGCGCTGGCGCTCGTGATGCGTAAGGGGCAATCCCAGCGCGTGAACGAGCGCGTGTGCGACGTCTGCAAAGACCCGGTCGAGGGTTTGTTCTACCGGTGCAAGGAGTGCGAGTTCGACGTGCACCCGCTCTGCACGCAGCTGCCGGAGAAGCTGCAGCACGCGCTGCACAAGCCCCACCCGTTGACCCTCCGGTCGTCTCAGATCGCCGGATCCTGCGCCGTCTGCCGGGGCCCATGCGGAAGCTCCACGTGGCGGTACAGGTGTGGGGAGTGTAATTTCGACATTCATTTGGAGTGTATTTTAGTGCCGGTGGTTTCCTGCCAGCAAAAGGGAGCCGGCGCCGGGCCGCAGACGAATCAGCGTGGAGTGGTGCCGCCGGTGTTTGACCAGGGGATTCCTTTCCGGCCGCCGCCGCAGTTTGCACATTATAACTACGGGTTCCCTTATTATTATCAAGGCCCCACCCCTGGTTACATGAATCATCCTCCTGGTTATGCTAACCATCCTGGTTTTAACTATGGTTATAATAATCAGTACTATAATATGTATCCAAACAACGCAATGCCGCCGCAGAATGATCACCAGGTGGCCGGTGGTAGTAGTAACGGTAATGGAACAGGGCGAAATGGGAAGTCCATGTTTGCTCTAGTGGGGCAGCTTGGTTTCGGCGTTATCTCGAATATGATTTTTGGAGTTGATGTAACTTCTTTATTTTAAGGTTTTCGTATTGGGGAAGGTAGGATGGTGAAAGATCGGAGATGCATCGGAGAAGAAAAGCAATTATCTAACTCCACGATTTAAGATTCGATTCAACGATTCCTTTCGATTTTTCAATTTTTCAATTTGAATCATAAGAGAAATTCCGAATTGACATAATTCTGTCGATTTGCTCCAATTTTTACGATTCAGTCGATTTTTTATAATTGAAAATGTAACCTTATTTTGGTTAAAAATAAAATTTACCATCTTGTTTAATTTGAAATAAAATCAATTAAACAAAAATAATTAAATAAGAATTGTTTTGAATCAACGTATAAATTTCTAATCCCTAACATTAAATATGTACAAATATTTAAATTTATGATAATTTTCAATAAGAATACAGTAGAACCTCGATAAATTAATACCCGATAAATTAATAATCTCGCTTAAAGCTTAAATAATAAATTATTCTGGTCCCGACTCGGGGACAACGTGCTAAATTAATAATTCGCTAAATTTATAAGATAATACACATTCGAAAAATTTAAGAAGCCCCATATAATATATAAATTAATAATGCATGAAAATAATTCTTAAATTACATGGTATAGTACATATTTTATAGATTTATGAAAGCTTAATACAATATAATAATTGTTGTTTGTTTTTTGTTGAAGTTTACATTACCATCAATCTCGTCCCTCACTTTTCTTAACATGATTAGAACTTTCGGTTTAGTTTTCTCATAACTCAACATAAAATTGTTTTATACCATTGCTGCTTTAAGAGCTTATGTTCGTGAAACGGGCTCTATAATGTATCAAATTAATGGTACAATGAATAATATACACGTAAAAAAAATTAAAAAAAATGTATTTATTGAAAATAATAATAAAATTATTTTCATAAATTAATAATTTGCTAATTAATGTATAAATTAATAATCATTAATTTATCGATAAGCTATTATTTCGCTAAATTAATGAAATTTTGATGGTCCCAACTGTATTAATTTATAGACGTTTAACTGTATATCCAAACTCTTGCGATTCACGATTCGTTACGGTTTGTAAATTCAGCAAAACGATTTACGATTTGGCATCAGTTACATACCTACATGATCTCTTCTTTTTTTTTTTTTTTTTTTTTTTTTTTAGGGAATTAACTATGTGATCTCATTTATTTCATACTTGCAAACCTTTATTTCCTTGATTAATTATTTATATTAATTATAAATTTATTTAATGTTAAACACAATTAATTATTTTACAGTATACCTTTTGTGAAAGTCATTGAAAAAAAAAATTTACAAAATTCGGAGAAGTGCCTCCTTTTATCATCATCAACCGCTTGATCACTAATTTCTACATGGCTGCTTTAATTTTGTCTGCTTCTCCTTCATTCCTCATTCATTCTTCAGCTTATTACCCCTTTCTCTCTCTCTCTCTCTCTCTCTCTCTCTGGATTGCAACAATCAGAATTTGCATGTCAACGGTTCACTGATTGGCCAGAAAAACATCGCCTAAATTGCATGTTGAATCTTCACAGTAGACTGTTTCCACACGCGGGCAAGTACACCACAACACCTCTATTTGTAGTTATAAAACATTCATGAGTTGAGGTTATCCTCAACTCAAATTAAGTCCACAATTACTTCTTTCTTTCTTTATTTCTTCAGAAAACAATTTATTTATTTACTTTGATGACTAGCTTGATGTATACATAATATATACTCATTCACCCGCCAAAAAATTGACGAACATTAGAATATTTATACACGACAGGAAATTTCATCCCAACGTCCATCTCTCACCGGCCCCAATAAAGTCAACTCCTGAAACCATCCATGAATCCAAGTCTTGGTCTTTAAAAAATAGAAAAAGAAAATACAACTCCTCCCCCAAGTATTGATTATATATAAATTATACAATAACAAAAAACCCTAAAATCATTACAGGCTTTTTAAGAAAAAGCCTTGGGTTTAATTTGTTTCCTTACACACCTCCGAATTCGAACATTTGAATTCGATATGGCTCATTTTATTTTCATCCACCCCGGTCACCCGCTAACGCCAATCAACGGCGACGAGGAGTACTTATGCGACGGTTGCAAAACCACCGGAGGCCCCGGGAAGAGATTCCGGTGCACCCACCGCGGCTGCGACTTCGACCTCCACGACTACTGCGCCACGTGCCCCCGCCACCTCACATCCTACATGCACAAAACCCACGCCCTCGAACTCATGATGCGGAAGGGCCAATCCCACCGCGTGCACAACCGCGTGTGCGACATCTGCAAAGATCCCGTCGAGGGCTTGTTCTACAGGTGCGAGGTGTGCGGTTTCGACGTGCACCCACTCTGCACACAGCTCCCGGAGAAATTGCACCACGCCCTGCACAAGTCCCACCGGTTGACCCTCCGATCGTCTCGCGCCGCCGGATCCTGCGCCGTCTGCCGAACCCCCTGCGGAAGCGCCACGTGGCGGTACAGGTGTGATGATTGTAATTTCGACATTCATTTGGAGTGTATTTTAAAGCCTGTTGTTTCTTGGAAGCAAAATGGAGGACCTCAGACGAACCAACGTGGTGTACTGCCGGTGTTTAACCAGGGGATTCCTTACCAACCGCCGCCGCAGTTTGCACCTTATTATTATTACGGGTACCCTGGTTATGCTAACCATCCTGGTTTTAACCATGGTTATAATTATCAGTACTATAATATGCAGCAGAATCACCAGGTGGCTGCTAGTACTGCAGGTAATGGAAGAAAGTCCATGTTTGCTATAGTGGGACAACTTGGTTTAGGTGTGATTTCGAACATGATTTTCGGAGTCGATTTAACTTTTCTATGTTAAGATTTTCGTTAATGTTTCGGTGTATGTATGATTTCTGTGTTGATTATGTAATCAGGGGCATGTTTAATTATGTACAGATCGAAATGTATATCTAATGTTTGTGTGTTTGATTTTGATTTTGTTTCAAATTAATTGGCAAAAATTCCAGGTTTAATTATTCAAGAGTGTGTTCCTTGATGTTTCTTTTGGTCTAAAATCAGGTTTCTAAAAACCAGTTTCAGTAACATGAATTAATTATTTCGAACTTTCCGAGTCTCGTAAACCGGAAAGCTAGCTTAAGTTCATCAAAACATTACTAATTAAGAAGAAAGATATTCACCTCTTGACAAAACTTGCTGTTTTAGTTTCTTTCATTCCATATAATCGAACAAGAATCCGGTAATCAAAGAGCCCCGCCGTTAATCCCTCCGATTTCGAGAAATTCCATCCGAAAAAAAAAATAAAAAAAAATCACAACATAGAAATGAATATAACATGAACAAGATTAATCCACTACTAACTAATCTTCAATCCTTGACGAATTTCTTCAGTTTTTCCAACGCAACGACGGGGCGCCGCCTGTAGTTCCTTCTGGACCTCCTCATGTACTTGTACAAAAAGTCAACGTATTTTTTGTCAACCCCTCTTATTTCAAGAAACCCCCTCAAATCAGTTTCCAAATCACTCCCACTCTTCCTGTAGATTAAAAAAAAATGCATTCATCAATATATTACTAATTTCGCCAAATTTAAATGATTTAATTACTAGCAAGCAAAAACAAAAAAAAAAAAAAAAAAAAACATACACGAAATACGGTCCGCATGGATAATCGGAATAGGTGTCCCACACCAGCATGTGATTAATCCTAATATCATCTGAAGAAGCAGAAATCTGAAACTCCAACTTTTTTCGATCTTCTTTCGAGATGTTCACATCTAGCTTAACAAATGGCGAATTATCAGCCGTTGATGATTCTTCATCCGCCTCTTCATCGGAGGAAGAATATTCCTCCCATGATCGGCCGTCGTAACTGTCGTCTTCGATTCGTACCAAGACGTCGATTCTCTCCCCATCGATCTCCCTCGTTAGATTGATCTCAGAAGAATTAGGATCTTCGTCTTCGATCGTGAACGGAAAATCAGCTGGCACTGGATACATCTGTTTAATTAATTAATAAAATCAAAATCAAAATAACCCTAAAGAGAAAAGAGAAAACCTAGAAAAAAGGGGAAGAAGAAGAAGAAGATGAATATAGAAAATTACGTACAGTTTTCTCCAGTTTGATTTGGGAATTCAGAGTTGTGACGAGTTTGTAATCGAGTAGCTTCCTGGTATCCGTACAGAAGTGGTGGTGGGAACTGAAGAAAGGGATTCTCGGGTTAAATGCGCCGCCGTGACGACGGCGAGTAGCGGTGAGTAATTTGCTATTGATCATGGATCTCGATGAGATCATTCTCGGAGAAGAAATTGGACGAACTGCACGAGAAAGAACCGTAGAGAAAACTTTCCGAATCATGGAAGACATTTCAATTGCGTCGTCGTTGATCACAATCGTATTTTTAAGGGTTTAAATAATTTGCAATCACAATCGAGAAGCCTGTTTCTTGGAAAACAAGCGCGGGCAGACTCATTAATCAATGTGTGTATATATATACATTTGTGGGTGGGAAAATTGTAATTGTGGTCCTTTATGTTGGCCTATTTAACAATTTAGTCCTCTAAATTATCATTTTCAATTTCACTTTTAATAACTTTACAAATTTGGTATTTTTGGTCCAAATCCCTTGAAATTTTGGATTAATAATGCAGCTAATATATAAACTCATCAAAAATTATTTATATGGATGTTTAGTTTACTTGTTGCGTCATAAATTAAAGAAAAAAATCATGCAAAAATACTATATTTTGAAAGTTAATGCGTGTAAAATTGAAACATGACAAGTTAGAAGACTAAACCGTAAATATTTTGGGATTTTCGGATTTTCAGCATAATGACAACAGAATAAGTTATGGAGATCGACAAAAGGCCATAGTGATGAACAAAATTTCATAACATCAATTGAAGTTAACTAATGAACGAGACGAAACAACGGCAGCATAAAACGGACAAGTAATAATTGAAAGTAGTTCGAAACCTAATTTAGTTTCACTACAATTAATAAAGCAAATCGATCTTCACTCGTTGAAATAATTCTCGAGTTTTTCCAGCTCAACCAAGGGGCGCCGGCTGGAATTCCCGACTATGTACTTGAACAAAAATTCAGCATATTTTTTCTCAAGCCCTCTCGTTTCGACAAACTCATTCAAACCCAATTGCAAATCACTGCCATCTTTCCTGTACAAATCAAATATAAAAAATAAAAACAACAACACACAAAAATACTCGCACAATGCATAAGTATATTAATTACTTTTGCCAAACTAAATTGATTTGCTAGAGAGGAGAAGAAAGAAAAAACATTACACTTCGTAATATCCAACACGGGTATAGGAATTGGAATCGGAATCGGAATCGGGTGCAACCTCGTCCACCAAGAAGGAAGTAACCCTAATATCATCATAAGAAGCATCAACCTCAAAACGCAACTCTAATTTTCCGTTTACTGTGGAGATGTCCACCGTTAGACTGACACGTGGCGCAATATCAGCCGTTGATTCTGTAAGTAATCTGTCTTCATAAGTGTTGCTGGTATTTCGAAGACGATGGGGAATTGATGCCCGGACATCGATTGTCTCTCCGTCAAGCTCCCTTGTTAGTTTCACCGAACAATATTCATAATCAAATTCTTTAATTGCGAAAGGAAAATCAGCTGGAACTGGAGGAATCTGGTTGATTTTGAAAAACAAAAAAACAAATCAGGATTGAAAAAAGAAATACGAAAACAATCAATCAATTTTAAATATTAAAAGAGAACTTACATCTTTCTGCAAGGCTAGGGTTTTCATTTGGGTTTTCAAAGCAGAGACTATTTTTTGATGAAGTGGGTTTTTCTTGGCGTCCGTACAGAAATGGTGGGCATTATTGTAAGAAGAGATATCCATCTTACTAACTGCCGCAGAGAGAATTTTTGGAGAGGGAATTGTACGAATGGCACGAGGAGCAACTGTAGAGAAAGCTCTTCGGAGAATCATACCAGACCTTGACATGGCCATTAGGGCAACTTGTTTTAGGAGTCTTTTGGGAGGTTTTAGGGTTTTAGGAGAGGTTTCATTAGGGTTTTAATTAGTTTTGCATTTACAAAATCAAGAATCTTGTTTCTTGGAAAACAAGCGTGCCGATACTCCATTTTAATTATTAGTCATTTTCATTTGTTTAAATTACAATATTTTTAATCTTTTTTATTTGCCATTGTTTTCTATATATTATTACGTAATTTACTAAAATCTTCAAAAAAAATTAATTAACACAAACATTTTAAATTGGAAATGAGGATTCATACGCACATTTTTATAAGTCTTGATCGAATATTTAAGTGAGTTAGATGTTATACCTGATTATTTATACATGGTGGATTTGAACCGTAGATTTGAGTTAAATGTTATACCTGATTATTGTTACATCTGATTATTTATATACATGTGTGTGTGCGTGATTGTGTGTAGATATACGGTTTAAATTCATCAAATGTAGAAAACAAGGTGTTATCCCTCATTAGGGCTTTAAAAAACGAAGTGTTTATGAGGATTTTTAGAGCTAAAGAAAATGTTTGTCCTATGAGAGAATTTTTTTACATTTCTTTTTGAGAATTATGAGGGAAATCAAATTATTATAAATTATATTTGTGAATTTTTTTAAAGTGTGATAGAAGAAAGTGATATAAATTAAGTAAACAAATGTTAAAGTCAATTAAAATATAAATATAAAAAACCCATAAATAAATTTGTTTCTCTTCAGAATTTAAGTTTCTTCTTAATTTTTTGTTGAGAAAAAGTATATTAGATGGGATAGATAAGATATATTGAGTGAAGTAAATAAAATCATCTAACTAAATTAAATAAAACCAATGATGGATTCACATAATTAAATTGGAGAAAACAATTGAGAACCCTAATTAAAACTAGGGAAGAAAACCAAGACATGCAAATAAAGAAAAGATGCTGAAACAATATTCGAAATTTTCGAGCTAATTAATTAATATACATGTCATCGTCTTTCTTCATTCGTCGAAAAACTTCTCCATTTTATCCACCATAAGAACATCGCGCCGGTCATCGTTCTTGAACAAGTAATTGTATAGAAACTCAACATATTTTTTCTCAACCCCTTTCTTTTCAATAAACTCTCCCAAAGAAGATTGCAAATCACTGCCTTCCTCCCTATACAAAAAAAAAATATTATAACAAAAATTAAACATAATAATAATAATAATAATAATAATAATAATAATAATAATAATAATAATAATAATAATAATAATAATAATAATAATAATAATAATAATAATAATAATAATAATAATAATAATAATAATAATAATAATAATAATAATAATAATAATAATAATAATAATAATAATAATAATAATAATAATAATAATAATAATAATAATAATTACTAGAGAGAAAAAAAATTAAATAAAAAATTACAGTGTATACGGTCCAAAACGGGTCGGAAATTCAGAATCATCCGGATCAGGCTCCGTCACCGTCACGTCAGTAACCCTAATACCATCAAAAGTAGCAGAAGCATTAAATTTCAGCCCGTTTCCGTTTTTTTTCAAGATGTTCACTCGTAGAAGAACAGTTGGCACAGTATCGCCGTTTGTGCGAGTGTATTTAACCGAACCGGGAAGGTCGACCTCAACATCGATTATCTCTCCGTCGTCGAGCTCCCTTTTCAGCTTGATCGAATTATAATAGCTGACGTCTTCGATTGCGAAAGGGAAACCAGCTGGAACCGGTGGCATCTGTTTTATTCAATTAAATTAAATTAAATAAATAAATCAACGAAAACGATTTAATCTAATCAGAGAACTTGACTCACAGCTTCCATCACGGCTAATCGATCGTTGGGTGAGATTCTGGATTTCAAAGCTTTGATGAGTTTCTGATCAAGTAGATTAATCTTCTTGGCGTCCGTACAGAAATGGCGGGCACTGTAAGAAGAGATATCCATCTTACTAACTGCCGCAGAGAGAATTTCTGGAGAGGGAACTGTACGAAGGGCACGAGGAGCAACTGTAGAGAAAGCTCTGCGGAGAACCATACAAGACCTTGACATAGCCATTAGGGCAAGTTGTTTTAGGAGTTTTTTGGGAGGTTTTAGGGTTTTAGGAGAGGTTTAATTAGGGTTTTAATTAGTTTTGCATTTACAAAATCAATAAACCTATTTCTTGGAAAACAAGCATACCGACTCTATCATGCGTCATCCATTTTACCAATTAGTGATTTTTATTTGTTTAAATAACAACATATTTAATTTAATTTAATTTTTATTTTCATTTGTTTCAAGTTAGAGTTATTAATTATTATTGTTCCTATTATTATGAACGATATCGAGTTTTTAAAGCCGAAAATTAAGTGTTCAAATTGGCATACGTAAACAATTAAAATGTTTAATTATTTTCTAAACACAAACATTTTAATTAAATTGGAAAGTAGTATTCATACTTCATAGACAACATTTTTTCGGAGTTTTTTTATTATGGTTTTAATAAGAATGAAATTTTACGCTTCGTTGACACTCGAAACTACTAAGGTGGTGTTTGCAAAAGCTTTTGTAAACAGATTATAAGCTTTTCTTTAATTATAATTTATAGGTGTTTGCAAAATTAATTTTTATTTTTCTTCTCTAAGCCATAATTTGTAAAGCAGCCATGAATCTGTTGTTTTTTGTACTTAAGTTGATTTTGCAGCACATTTGAAAACACCATCAACTCCCATAAATAAATTCTTAAAACCAACTTAACTCATAATCCATATTTTTTACTTTTAATTAAGCTTTTGCAAACACCACCTAAATTGATCTTAAAAAAAAAGGGCACACACATGTTCAATTGCAAATTACTAAATTAGAAACATTAAATCTCAAAAACATAATCCAAGCAAAAAAAAAAAAAAGAAAACCAAAAACGCCTAGGGTTTATAATATTTCAATCATAAACAATAAAAAAAACTCAAAAATAAAAATTGTGCCAAATTAATTATTTGCACTGTTGGATAAAATCCATCATTTTCTGCAGCACAAGCAGATGGCGGCGTCTGGATTTGGCGGCCATGTACTTGACAAGGAATGGAACATTACTTTTCTTAAGCCCTCTTATTTCAACATACTCTTTCATACCATTTGCCATTTCATCTTCTTCATCCACACTCCTGCATGCACAAATAATCCATTACACAAACAACAACAACAATAATTAAATAATCCCATGTGATTAAATTTGCAGAATAAAAATAAATAAATATATATAAGGAAAAAAGGAAATACAAGGAGTAGGATCCAAGAAGTTCTTCCGGGGCAGATTCCTCCCCCACGGAAATTTCATGAGGCGAAACATCGTCCGTATCAGCAGAAACATGAAGGCTAATCATTCGTCCGCTCGGTTTCGATATTCTCGCCTCCACGTCAACAGACGACACCGGAGAAGCATTGGATCTTGAGTGTTCCCATGTTATTACGTCGCCGTCGAAGTCTTCTTCGTGGTCGTAGAAATGATTGGCGACGAACTCGATTTTCTCTCCGTTGAAATCCCTTTTCAGGGTGATCCTCTCGTTACCGCAGAAATAACCGTGTTCCATTGTGAAGGGGAAATCGGGCGGGGGGACCGGGAGCACGTGCATATGTTGATGTTTCTCCTCCGATTCGATTTCAGATTTCAAGGCTGTGAGGATTTTTTCGTTGAGCAGCTTCTTTTTGGAGTCCGTACAGAAATTGCTGGTGCCGCTGAAGATTGCGTTGTTGATGGATGCAGCGGACATGGTTTTTGACGATGCAATTGGACGAATTGCACGGGAAATAACCGCAGAAGAAGCTCTGCTAATCATATAAGACATAGCCATTGCTTCGTCTATGGGAGTTATAATAATTGGTTGTTTATTTTAAAGTATTGAGGTCTAGGGTTTTTAGGGTTTTGCATTCACAACCAAGAAGAAGCTTCTTTCTTGTAAAACAAGTATATAAATGATTCGATCTTCGCGTAGCTAAAGATTCTACCATCCATTTAGATAATGATTACGTAAAGATTATTGTTATTTTATTAATATTTATATAGTTTCAGAAATGAAAATGCACTCGTCGCTTTGGCCGAGTGGTTAAGGCGTGTGCCTGCTAAGTACATGGGGTTTCCCCGCGAGAGTTCGAATCTCTCAGGCGACGATTAATTTTATATAATTTTTTATTTTATCTTGTACAAAACAAAATAATTGTAATTTAATATTACCAATATATTTTTTATCAAAGTTTAATTTAAAAATTATTTTGATGATTTAAACAAAAAATATTGACAATATATATGTCCTATCATACATGCCAACATTTTGGTATTTTTTTTTTTTTTTTTTATGAATAAAACGAAAATCCAACAATTCTTTATTTTATGCAATTGATCAGCAATCCTCAGATGATCACTCCATCCCAAAGCTCATCAAGAGTTGTGTATTCGCTTAGTGTCTCATGGACAAACTCAGAACCCCTAATAAGTTTTGTCTGCAATTCACAAACAAACATTTGTTGTCTCAATAAATTAATTAGGACAAATGAATAAATTTCTCAATGTAAATTAATTCAGACAGGATTGTAATATGAATAAATTGCCTGTTCAATTCCAGGAAAGTTGACTAATAAGTGATCGGGTATTGACCAATTCAAAACATCAAAGTTCTCCTTGATCCTCGATTCGTTGGAGCTCTTCGGGAGCACGCTATGCCCTGTTTGGAGTCCCCACCGAAGCGCCACCTGTGCAGTTGTCTTACCTAGCTTTTCCGCAGTAGCAACTAAAACAGGGTGATGAAGGAATTCATTCTTGAGCCAACCAGGAGAAGCCAATGGTGAATAACCCTAACAAATAGACTTACAAACCATTATTACTATATATGCATGAAGAGAAAAAAAATATCGATCTTTTTTTTTTAAGAAGCTGATGAAGATTACTATATATAACTCACAGATAGGTGAACTCCCTTGGATTTACAAAATTCGTGCAGTTTCGCCTGTTGCCAAAAAGGATGACATTCGACCTGGTCGACAGCTGGTGGAATTCTGGCTATTTCCAGGAGATGGCCGAGTTTTTTCACAGAGAAATTGCTAACGTACGCCAATAGCTCGGGTTTTACCCGAGTTGTAGAGCGCTTCCATTGCCTTCCATGTGCTAGATATATCTGTGGCTACAAGGTTTTCAGGCTTGAACTCAACAGATCCTCCCTTTTTAATCCTCACAGGACAATGAATCTGCATGATTTTTCAAACACATGTAATTTAAATCGATACAAATTTTGGACTGAGGCGATGAATTAAAGATGGTAGAAGAGAATTTACGAGGTACAAATCAACATATTCAAGCTGCAACTCTTCCAGTGTTTTATCTAATGCCAGGGGTGCGTCTTCGGGTGAGTTGTCGGTGCACCTGCACAAATCAGGGGGGCGTTCGATTCCAAACAATCTCATTTGTTCAATATTGTTTAATGTTTCTTCTATTGTCAAATCAAATGGATAAATGAATAATGTCTGCACCAGTTTTTACAAATTTCAACATGATTATTTACCAGAGTTTGGAGGTGATAAAGAGCTCCTCCCTCTTTATGTTAGCTTATTTGAAGCTTTGGTCCTTTAACTTGTCATGTTTTCATTTCACATGCCGTAACTTTATTAATTTGGTATTTTTGGTCCAATTTCACTTGAATTTTGGATCAGCGATGTACCTAATCAATTAAACCTTTCACATTATCAATGTTTTTTCAATTGAATTTAGTTAATTTTTAGGGTATTTTGCTCAAAAATAAATTAATTAATCATAGTATATACTATAGTACTGATGCACGGTGCAATAAACTTAAATTACAGCAAATTTAACTTTTCCATTTGTATTCAGTTTTTAATGTTTTCGCAAAAATTATTATGACCCTTACACTTGAATTAAATCGACATACGAGAACTACTATAGTCTATAGAATGATTAAATGTTTCTACGGGTAAATTACAAACACCCCCTGAGGTATGGTCAAATTACAAAAATCCCCCTCCTATTTGGACAATTACATCTATCCCTCAACTATGATTTTTTTCTTACACCTCCACCCTTATGGTGCCAAATTCAACATAATCATCTAGATTCCGTGGAATGTGCTCTAGTTTGTACTCGTTTTGTGTAAAAATACAGTTTCAGATGCACCACAAACTGATATATACAAGCTAAAAAACACATATTATGATCATCTTGCTTCATAATGTAGAGTTCGAATGGATAAAACGGGTACAAAAGTGATGATATTCCATATAATCTCGAAGAATCCACTAAATTTGAGGACTTGAGGGGGTCGTTGTAATTATCCAAACAAAATGAATGTTTTTGTAATTTGACCATACCTCAGGGGTGTTTGTAATTTACCCATATTTCTACAGACAAACAAAACTATTGAAAAATGGTAACAAATTAAAAATTGCCATAGTTATAAAATGTCAATCGAAAACCCTAAAAAAAAAATAACATAAATTGAAGTTAACATGAACAAGATGAGACGGTCGCAGCATAAAATGGACGAATAATTATTGAAAGCTCCAAATTGTAATTAAGATCACTACACTTAGTAAGTATAGTCTATAATAAAGCAAATCGATCTTCACTCGTTGAAATAATTCTCGAGTTTTTCCAGCACAAGCAAAGGGCGCCGTCCGTAACTCCTGATTATGTACTGGAACAAAAATTCAGCATATCTTTTCTCAATCCCTCTCATTTCGACAAACTCATTCAAACCCAATTGCAGGTCACTCCCATCTTTCCTGTACAAATTAAAAAAAAAAAAGAAAAATTAAAATTAGTCTCAATTAAAAAACACACAAATACTTGCATTCATATATATTTGAGTTCTTTTGCCAAATTAAAAAAATACTAGAGAAAATATTACATTTCATAAGATCCAACCCTAATAATAGAATCAGAATCGGAATCGGGAGCAGGCTCATTCGCGGACAAGTGAGTAACCCTAATATCATCAGAAGAAACATAAACCTCGAAATCCAACCCTTTCCCGTTTTCTCTGGAGATATTCATTGTTAGATGAACAGATGGCGCAATATCAGCCGTTGATTTTGCCAATAAGATGCCTTCTACATCCATGTTTGTGCTCTTTCTTAGGTTATAGGGAATCGATGCCATGACATCGATTCGCTCACCATCAAGCTCTCTTGTTAATTCCAGGCAACCATGATCATAATAAAAATGAAATCTGCTGGGACTGGAGGAATCTGGTTGATTGATAACTGATAAGAAAAAAAAAGAAAGGAAAAAACAAATCAAAACCCGAAAAGAATCGATTTAAAATAAAACGATCGAGAACTTACATCTTTGTTCAAGGCTATTATTTTGGGGGTTTTCATTTGGGTTTTCAAAGCTGTGACGATTTTTTGATGAAGTGGGTTCTTCTTAGCGTCCGTACAGAAATGGTGGGAATTATTGTAAGAGGAGATATCCATCTTAACTGCAGCAGCAGAGAGAATTTTTGGAGACGGAATTGTACGAAGGGCACGAGGAGCAACTGTAGAGAAAGCTCTGCGGAGAATCATACAAGACATTGACATAGCCATTATTTTAGGGCAACTTGTTTTAGGAGTTTCAGGAGAGGTTTTAGGGTTTTAAGAGAGGTTTAATTAGGGTTTTAATTAGTTTTGCATTCACAACCAAGATTCTTGTTTCTTGGAAAACAAGCGTGCCGATACTCCCTTTTAATTATTATTAGTGATTTCATTTGTTTAAATTATAATAATTTTTAATCTTTTTTATTTGCCATTTTCATATATTATTAAGTCATCTACTAAAATCTTTAAATATATATGTTTTTTTTTGTCTAATGAAGGGATCGACAACCAGCCGTATAGGTGCACTGAGTAAATCTACACTCGTATAATAATTTGCACAAGAGACGTAAACCACATTAGGTTAACTGTGTGTGACGCGTTGTTTGACCCAGCGACGACCATTGGCAAGAGGATTCGAACTTGGGTCAATTGACACAAACTCACTAATTAACACAAACATGTTAAATTGGAAATGAGGATTCATACTCACATTTTCCAAAGTCTATGATCATTTGGGTTTTACTTGCAAGGGTTCGTTTGGTTACCGTTAAAAACTAAGGGCTCGTTTGGTTACCATTATAAAGTTTTAGTGACTAAATAGTAGGGGCTTGTGACACATTCGGTTGGCAAGATTCACAAAGAAAGTGACATAAGTTAAGTAGATAAATGTTAACTTTAATTAAAAATATAAATATAAAAACCCATAAATAAACTTGTTTCTCTTCAAAATTGAAGTTTCTTCTTAATTTTTTGTTGAGAGTATGGGATAGATAAGATATATATTGAGTGACGTAAATAAAATCATTTAACTCAAATTAAATAAAACCAAAGATGGATTCACATAATTAAATTGGAGTAAACAATTGAGACATCCTAATTTAAACCTAATTTGAGCTTTCTTCAAATACAGATGAAAACTAAGAGATGCAAATGAAGAAAAGATGCTCAAACAAGATTCGAAATTCTCGAGCTAATTAAAAATATATAATTAATTAATTAATATGCACGTCGTCTTCTTCATTCGTCGAAAAACTTCTCCATTTTATCCACCATAAGAACCTCGCGCCCGTCGTCGTTCCTGAACAAGTAATTGTATAGAAACTCAACATATTTTTTCTCAACCCCTTTCTTTTCAATAAACTCTCCCAAAGCAGATTGCAAATCACTGCCTTCCTCCCTGTACAATAAAAAAAAATATTAAAAATAAAATAAAAAAATAATAATAAGCCTCAAAAAAACAAAAACACACATTAAAAATGAAATAAAAAATTACAGGGTATACGGTCCAAAACGGTGCGGATATTCAGGATAATCCGGATCAGGCTCCATCACCGTAACGCGGGTAACCCTAATATCATCAGAAGTAGCAGAAACATTAAATCTAAGCCCTTTTCCGTTTTCTTTCATGATTTTAACTTGTAGAAGAACGGTTGGCAAAGTATCAGCCGTTGATTCTTCTTTCCGATCACTATCGGTTGAGTATTCTTCTTCGGATGAGCTGACGTCAGAACCACCATCGCTTTCGCTTTCATCGCCGATTATGCTGTTGTATTCAACCGAATCGGGAAGGTCTACGTCGACATCGATTTTCTCTCCGTCGAGCTCCCTTTTTAGATTGATCGAATTGTAATAGTTAACGTCTTTGATTGTGAAAGGGAAACCAGCTGGAACCGGCGGCATCTGTTTTATTCAAATAAATAAATAAATAAATCAACGAAAAATAATTTAATCTAATTCTAATCAGAACTTGACTCACAGCTTTCGCCACGGCTGATCTATCGCGGGGTGTGATTCGGGATTTCAAGACTTTGATTAGTTTCTGATCAAGTAGATTAATCTTCTTGGCGTCCGTACAGAAATGGTGGGCACTGTAAGATGAGATATCCATCTTACTAACTGCCGAAGAGAGAATTTTCGGAGAAGGAATTGTACGAAGGGCACGAGGAGCAACTGTAGAAAAAGCTCTGCGAAGAACCATACAAGACATTGACATAGCCATTATTAGGGCAACTTGTTTTAGGGTTCCAGGAGAGGTTTTAGGGTTTTAGGAGAGGTTTTAGGGTTTTAATTAGTTTTGCATTCACAATCAATATATCAAGAAACCTATTTCTTGGAAAACAAGCATAAGACTCTATCATGCACCATCCATTTTACTTATTAATGATTTTATTTGTTTAAATAATAACATATTTAATTTATTTTTATTTTTATTTTTATTTTTATGTTTCATTTGTTTCAAGTTAGAGTTATTAATTATTAATTATTATCGTTTCCTATTATTACGAGCCATATCGAGTTTTTAAAGCCGAAAATGTAGTGTTCAAATTGGATATGTAAACTTATTAAAATGTTTAATTATTTTCTAAACACAGACATGTTAATTAAATTGGAAATTAGTATATACACAACATTTTTTTCGGAATTTGTGATTATGGTTGCTTATGAGGAGTTTCTAGACCTAAAGGAAATATGCCACTGAATATTCTTTTAGGGGTGTTTCAAGAAAAATAATATCAATTAAGTAAATACATGTCAAATTTAATTATAGTAGAATAAATTGCATGGTATTTGAAGATAAAATTTTACTTCACAAAAATCAATCATCCGGAACTATTAAGGTGGTGTTTGCAAAAGCTTTTGCAAACATATTATACTCTTTTTTTTAACCATAATTTTTTTTTAGGTGTTAACAAAATGAACTCTTTTTTTTACTTCTCTTAAGAAAACCAGTTTAAAGCTATAATTTGTTAATATAGGCGGAAAAAATATTGCTTAAAACCACCATAGTGGGTTCCGACAAAACGTTAGATTAAATGGGGTCCGACAAAATCCTAGATTAAGTTTTAGCTACTGCTCATGTTTTCGACAAAAAAAAAAAACATCATAAAAATACGTATGATGTTTTTATGCCAATAAGTACAATTTACAAACACCGTCAACTTTTATAAATAATCACTTAAAACCAACTTAACTGACAATCCCTAACTTTTTATTCTTTTGCAGACACCACCTAAATTGATGAGAGAGAGAGAGAGAGAGAGAGAGAGAGAGAGAGAGAGAGCACAAACATGTTCAATTTGCAAATTACTAAATCAGCAATATTAATTAATCTCAAAAACTTGATTCAAGCCAAAGAAAGAAAAAAAAACCTAGGGTTGGTTTATAACATGTCAAATCCTAATTAAACAATAAAAAGAAAAAAAACTGATATTAATTGCAGTGTTGGAGAAAATCCATGGTCTTTTGCAGCACAAGGAGAGGGCGGCGTTTGGATTTGGCGGCCATGTACTTGGCAAGGAATGGAACATAACTTTTCTTAAGCCCTCTTATTTCAACATACTCTCTCAAACCATTTTCCATTTCATCTTCTTCATCCACACCCCTGCATGCATGCATGTACAAATCCATTACATTAATTAAATAATCGCATATGATATAATTTGCAGAAGGAAAATAATTTAATATATATAAAAAAAACAAATACACGAGGTAGGGTCCAAGAAGTTGTTCATCTGTGGCAGATTCCTCCCCTGCCCAAATTTCATTAGCCGAGACCTCATACGAAGCAGCGGTAGCCTGAAGCATAATCTTTCGTCCACTCGGTTTCGAGATGCTGACGTCCACCTCGACAGACGACGCCTGAATAGAACCATCGGTCTCCGATCTTACGTCGCCGTCATAAATGTCCGATTCGCGATCGTAGAAATGTTCCGCAACAAACTCGATTTTCTCTCCGTTGAAATCCCTTTTCAGGGTGATCCTCTCGTTACCCCAGAAATAACCGTGTTCCATTGTGAATGGGAAATCGGGCGGTGGGGCCGGAAGCACGTGCTTAAATTGATGTTTCTCCTCCGATTCGATTTCGGATTTCAAGGCTGTGAGGATTTTTTCATTGAGCAGCTTCTTTTTCATGGAGTCCGTACAGAAATTGTTGGTACCGCTGTAGATCGCGTTGTTTATGGATCCAGCAGGCATGGTTTTTGAAGATGCAATTGGACGAATTGCACGGGAAATAACTGCAGAAGAAGCTCTGCGGATCATATAAGACATAGCCATTGTTTCGTTTATGGGCGTTATAATAATTTGGTTGTTTATTTTACAAGTGTGGGAGTCTAGGGTTTTTAGGGTTTTGCATTCACAATCAAGAAGAAGGTTATTTCTTGGTAAACAAGTATATAAATGATTCGACGTTCGCGAATTTAAAGATTCTATCATCCCTTTATCTAATGATTACCTTTAGATTATTGTTATGTTATAATCTCTAAATATTGTACAAAAATCATCATGTAGTTGTCGCTTTGGCCGAGTGGTTAAGGCGTGTGCCTGCTAAGTACATGGGGTTTCCCCGCGAGAGTTCGAATCTCTCAGGCGACGATTCAATTTTTTTTTCTTACAAATAACAATATATTTAATTTAATATTACCAATATTTTTTTTATCACTTTGATGTTTTAAACAAAAAATGAAAAATCCGACGTCTATTGTCTTATTTACAAAATATATGTCCTATCACACATGCAAACATGGTATTTTTTTATTTTTATGTATCAAACGAAAATCCGACAATTATATATTTATTTTGTTAATATCCCACTTATACAATTGATTCAGCAATCCTCAGATCTCTCCATCCCAAAGCTGTTCAAGAGTTTTGTATTCACTGAGTGTCTCATGCACAAACTCGGAACCCCTAACAAGTTTCGTCTGCAATTCACAAACAAACATTTGTTATCTCAATAAATTAATTAGGACAAATAAATAATTCAGACAGGATTGGAATATGAATAACTTGCCTGTTCAATCCCAGAAAAGTTGGCTAATAAGTGATCCGGTATTGACCAATTCAAAACATCAAAGTTCTCCTTGATCCTCGATTCGTTTGAGCTCTTCGGGAGCACGCTATGCCCTGTTTGGAGTCCCCACCGAAGCGCCACCTGTGCAGTCGTCTTACCTAGCTTTTCTGCAGTAGCAACTAAAACAGGGTGATGAAGGAATTCATTCTTGAGCCAGCCAGGAGAAGCCAATGGTGAATAACCCTAACAAATAGACATTCAAGCCATTATTATTATTACATATATGCATGAAGAAAAAAAAAATCGATTTTTTTTTTTGAAGAAGCTAATGAAGATTACTGTATATAACTCACAGATAGGTGAACTCCCTTGGATTTACAAAATTCATGCAGTTTCGCCTGTTGCCAAAAAGGATGACATTCGACCTGGTCGACGGCTGGCGGAATTCTGGCTATTTCCAGGAGATGGCCGAGCTTTTTCACAGAGAAATTGCTAACGCCAATCGCTCGGGTTTTACCCGAGTCGTGGAGTGCTTCCATTGCCTTCCATGTATTAGATACATCTGTGGCTACAAGGTTTTCAGGCTTAAACTCACCAGATCCCTTTTTAATCCTCACAGGCCAATGGATCTGCATGATTTTTCAAACACGTGTAATTTAAATCAATACAAAATTTGGACTGAGGCGATGAATTAAAGATGGCGGAACAGAATTTACGAGGTACAAATCAACGTATTCAAGCTGCAACTCTTCCAGTGTTTTATCTAATGCCAGAGGTGCGTCTTCGGGTGAGTTGTCGGTGCACCTACACAAATCAGGGGGGGGGGGGGGGGGGTGGGATTACAAACAATCTCAAATCAAATGGATAAAAAATAATCTCTGCACCAGTTGTTACTAATTACGACATGATTACTTACCAGAGTTTGGAGGTTATAAAGAGCTCCTCCCTCTTCACAACTCCATCATCAAACAACTCCTTCAGAACTAAACCAATCTGAAAAAGAAGGAATAATAACTAATTGATCTTTCTTCTAGAAGTCCGAAAAGGAGGGAATAAGGCTTAAATAATGGTGATAGAAGTACGTACCTCCTTCTCGTTGCCATAAAATCGAGCACAGTCAATGTGGCGGTATCCATTCTGCAATACAGGGAGTACGAGAAAATTATTTCATGAATTATAGTGACTAGATCAGTCACTATTCTGTAATTGTTTTATGAAAATCGCAATTTGATCTCACAATCAAGAAACAGGGCACAGTCTCAATATCGAAGATTCGCCGCACCTTGATAGCAGCTTTTACAGCTTGGCCAACACCAACGAGGCCAGGCGCCGACTGCCATGTACCAAGTCCGACTGAAGGAATTTTGACCCCAGTGTTCAACTCAAAGTATAGTATCTCGTTTGCCATTGTTCGAGTATAGATAGAAAAAAAGAAGAGTTGGAAGTTTGAATATTAAGTAACACAAATTCTTCGAGTTAGGCCGAATCTGTTATCTTGTGTTATCGTTAGGTGCAATTTGAATTGGGTACAAGTGCAAGCTATCTGAAAATGAAATCTGCCCACTTTGAATCACACCGTTAGAGTGAAATATGGGCAACCTTTCGAGTTTCAGATATATAAGTCGATACATCCAGTAATAGGTATATTAATTTGGTGCCCACATAAAAAGAGCAAGATGGGATAATCCATGTCGTACACCGCAAAATAACCAAATGAAGTAGCTTTTTTTTTTTTTGATAAGTGAAGTAGCATTTATTTAAAAGAAGTCTGAGTAACATCAATTATCAAGGGACGCTAAATGAAGGTACGAATTCCTTAAGAACATGGATAATATCGAAGGTGATATGAAAACAATATTCAGAAACGAGATCATCGAACAGCAGGATCAGATCTCTCCATCCCAGAGTTCTTCAACAGTTTTGTACTGGCCGAGTGTCTCATGCACGAATCCAGTACCCTTAAGCAACCTTGCCTGCAGATTACCAACAATTATATAATTAGGGACCTGATATTACTATCAATGAAAACAAATCGGAATGGGGTTTACAACGAGATTTTGATAGTCTTTTTTTATTGTGTCGAAAAGAAACTGAAAAATTACTTGCCTGCTCGATTTCGGAGAACTTCACGAATAAGTCGTTTGGAATGGACCAACTAAAAACATCAAAGTTTTCTTTGATCCTTGATTCAGTAGTGCTCTTCGGAAGTACACTATGACCCATTTGCAGTCCCCATCGAAGGGCCACTTGTGCAGCCGTCTTACCCAATTTTTCTGCAGTAGCAACTAAAATGGGATGCTTGAGGACCTCACTTTTGAGCCATGTCGAGCCAGGAGAACCCAGTGGGGAATAACCCTGAATTTTGTTTTAAATGAAATGTTAAAAATTCAAACATTTGTTATAGGTGACCTAACTCGTGCATATAATTGAAGCATACTAAAGGAAAACAAAAGCATTCATCTTAACAATGCTGTGGACAAATTATACATAGTTAAAAATCTAAATCATCTGTTCAACTGAAGAAGTGACTCACAGTTAGGTGAACTCCCTTGGATTTACAAAACTCCCGCAGTTTAGCCTGTTGCCATGAAGGATGACATTCAACTTGGTTGACAGCTGGAGGAATGCGTGCTATATCCAACAAATCGCCAAGCTTTTTCGTGGAGAAATTGCTAACTCCAATAGCTCGAGCCTTACCAGAATCATAGAGTGATTCCATGGCCTTCCACGTGCTAGGTATATCTGTGGCAATAAGATTTTCAGGCAAAAAGCCAACAGCCCCCTTTTTCATCCTAACAGGCCAATGAATCTGCATAATCATATGCCACGAGTGGTGAGTTGTAAGACGCAAAACGAACGGGAGAAATAACATTAAGAAAAAAAAAAATTACAACTTCAACTGCTGCTTTGAGGTTTCTGCCAATGAATTTCGACTTTTATTGACCTTTATGTGAGATTAATTCTATTCATTATTAGAGCCATTCATCTCAGCATTATTTTTTTATCAGTACACAAGGACTAAGAAATTTTGATAAAAATCACAGAGCAGTACTTACAAGGAACAAATCAACATATCCGAGTTGCAATTCTTCCAGTGTTTTGTCTAATGCAGCCAGTACATCTTCGGGTGCATGGTCATTACACCTGCAGAAGTCAGGAGGCCATTTCAAGTGAAGGTACAGCATTAAGGTCAAATATACGGGTGAAAAGGAAGAGTATAGAGTTGTAATCAGATCGTAAACTAGTGAGCACCTCAAGAATAAGAATAATCGACGCAAACGAGGTATTATACTACAAACACAAAAAGAAGTCACACAAATCCTAGTATAGTACGATTTCAAAATAAGTATTTCACTTCTTCCAGGTCAAGCTTCATAAAAATGATTAGTTTCCATTTCTCAGTCGAATTAACAAATTTGACCAGTCATCTTCACACACAGTAATATTCAGTTACAGACAATCATAAAACAAAGTTCTCTTCCAAATAAACAGAATCCCAAACCAGGTCTTATCAATCTAGATATGATTACCAGAGTTTGGAGGTGATAAACAATTCCTCTCTCTTAACAACTCCATCATCAAACAGCTTCTTCAGGACTAAACCAATCTGAAAAAGAAGAAAAACTAAGTGTCAAATAAATGCACAAATATTTTCACAATATACACTCATACACGCAATTCATTATTGTCATATACATCATTCTTAGACCATGATTTGAGTCCATGAATACATGTCTTCGTTAATTAGTTATTTTGTCTGTTATATTTTCTTATCAAAGATGGTGATAGAAAAAAAGTATTTACCTCCTTCTCATTGTTGTAAGCTCGAGCACAGTCAATGTGACGGTATCCACTCTGCAATCAGGAAAGTACAAGTAACTGATCAGTGGTGTTGTTCTAATAAAGGCCTAAAACTGCATGAACTACGAGATACAAGTCAACGACTAATGTACAGTAGCAGTAGCATATTTCCTAGTGGTTATTACAGTCAGTATTCTTCATTTTCTTAGGCTAATTTCATTATTGACAGAAAAAGTATAATGATTATCATAGGCCGTTCAAAAATTAAATTGGTCGGAAGCAAATCTCAAACCGCCATCACATATTAATTAATAGGGCAGAAGCATCCAGTATTCCAGTTCGATCCTCACTTAGTAAAGGAAATTGAAGAGGCAAATCAAAATAACTGGAAACCAAATCCACTCAATTTTAAAAAATTTGAGGATAAATAAAGTAAATTAAAAAGATATTATACTAATAAACTATATCAGAAAATTACGTTGCATCAACAAACAAAGATAATCTGCAGAGTGATCAACGTGCGCGGTGTTGTCCTTCATTCGTATAACCTCAAATCTCAATTTGATTTTTACAGCCAAGGAAAAAGAAAAACTCAATTTACAGATATTCCGCACATAACTTACATTAAAATTCTAAAAAAAAAGGACCACAAACATTTCATATCATCACTTGCAAACAAATTAAATGAAGCTGAAGAGAAATGCTGGCAGGAAGATGTACATACATTTATATACGAACACCTAAAAACACACGCACCTTGATAGCAGCTTCAACAGCTTGGCCTACGAGGCCGGGCTCCGACTGCCACGTACCGAGTCCAACTGAAGGAATTTTTGCGCCGGTGTTCAACTCAAAGTATAAGATCTCGTTCGCCATTTTTCAAATTTCTAGAGAGAGAGAGAGAGAGAGAGAGAGAGAGAAGAATCGAGTGCAGATGGTGTGAAAAAATCAACACGAGGAAAGAGAAGTCCAGTGAAAATTGTGAAGGGCTGAGCACTCACTTTAAAAGCGGGGGAAGGAGAAGCCGAATTGAATACTTCCAAGCCTCTTGATTTGGACCTCCAGATCTGGGCCGTTGATTTCGTTTCGTATTTCTGTACATTTATTCGACGGTGGATGGAAGTCACGATAATTAAATGCTGACGTAGGTTTTAATATGTATATTAAATTCACATATATATATTTTGCAATTTGCACATATAACATGTTCTGATATTCATATGAACCGAATATTCGCAAATGTAGAATATTGAATTGTGTGGGGTCACTTCCCTATAAGATTTCCCAATCATTTTATAGGACCATTGTTATTAAATACTATAGTTAGGTTTTGGTTGAAGAGGATTAATCATAGTATATTTAAGGACGATAATAGGAAGGCTCAGTTAATGAAAAATAATTATAATGATTGAATAAAAAGGTTCTTATTTAGCATAAAGACGAGGCTCTATACTGCAAAATACATGACGTAAATCGATTTTTTTATTAATTAATTTCATAAGCAGATAGTGATATTTGATTCACGACTGGGGCCAAGCCTAAACATGTCCACCTAGGTTTTAGTTGGTACGTCGGGCCAAAAACATCACATCACCTCGTTCGTATAAATATTTCAAACTCATAACTCAAATGTACGAAATATACAGTAGAATTTCGATAAATTAATACATAATATTTTTTTCCATGACAAATTAATAATTCGCTACATTTTGTTATTTCTTACTATTCTTAATATTCTTTTTTAATGTACACTATATGAAAGTAGAAATTCCTTAAAAACACGAACATCGTGGGTCTGACATGAAAAGCACATTCAGAAATCAGATGATAGAACAGCAGGATCAGATCTCTCCATCCCAGAACTCTTCAATAGTTTTGTATTGGCCGAACGTCTCGTGCACAAATGCAGAACCGTTAAACAGCCTTGCCTGCAAAATACCGACAATGGTGTCCTTTAAAAGGGGTAGCAGAAGAGATCCACTAATAATCTCACCATAATTACGAACGCGATAGAAGTTCCACTTATTTTATCGAACGTATCGAATCGCGTTAGACTAATTTATAAGAAAGCATGAAAAATTTGCATGTTGCTCTTGATAGTCGTTTATTGTGTTAAAAAAGAAACAGAGAATAACTCGCCTGCTCGATTTCGGAGAACTTCACAAACAAGTCATCCGGTATGGACCAACTAAAAAGATCCAAGTTCTCTTTGATTCTAGATTCAGTAGTGCTCTTCGGAAGTACACTATGACCCATTTGCAGTCCCCATCGAAGCGCCACCTGTGCAGTCGTCTTACCCAATTTTTCTGCAGTAGCAACTAAAACGGGATGCTTCAGGACATCACTTTTGAGCCAGGTTGAGCCAGGAGAACCCAGTGGGGAATAACCCTGAAAGTTGGCGAAACTTTAAAGTTAAAACATTTGTTATACGAAGAAAAACAAAAGCTAATGCTGTGGACAGACGGTATATAGAGTCGAAAATCTAAAGACGACTTACGGATAGGTGAACTCCCTTGGATTTACAAAATTCCCGCAATTTAGTCTGCTGCCATGAAGGATGACATTCAACCTGGTTGACAGCTGGCGGAATGCAAGCTATATCCAATAAATCACCGAGCTTTTTCGTGGAGAAATTGCTGACCCCTATAGCTCGGGCCTTGCCAGAATCGTACAGTGCTTCCATGGCCTTCCACGTGCTAGGTATATCTGTCGCAATAAAATTTTCAGGTTTAAAGCCGACAGACCCCTTTTTCATCCTGGCAGGGCAATGAATCTGCATAACCATACGGCCATTCATCTCATACATATTTTTATTTCAATTTTTTACACAGGCAACGAGAAAGAATAAGGAAACTTGATAAAAATCACAGAGCAGTACGTACAAGGAATAAATCGACGTATCCCAGTTGCAATTCTTCCAGTGTTTTGTCTAATGCCGCTAGTACATCTTCAGGTGCATGGTCAGCACACCTGCAGAGGTCACGAGGCCATAAGCTTGTGAGCACCTCAAGAATATGAATAATCGACGCACACGACGAATTATACTACAATACACAAAAAGAAGTCACAGAAGTCCAAGTACAATTTCAAAATAAGTATCTCCTACGTTCCAGGTCAAGCTTTGTGAGAAATGATTAGTTTCCATTTCTCGGTCCAATTATCAAATTTGACCAGTCCTCCTCGCACGCAGTAATATTCAGTTACTCACAATCACACAACAGAGTTCTCGTTCATGATAATATAAAAAACAGAACCCGACACCAGATCTTATCAATCTAGATATGATTACCAAAGTTTGGAGGTGATAAACAAATCATCTCTCTTAACAACTCCATCATCAAACAACTTCTTCAGGACTGAACCAATCTGAAAAGAAGAAAAAATAAGTCTCAAAAGAAATGCACGGATATGAGAACTATCGTTAATTAGTTATTTTATCTGATATATTTTCTTATCAAACATGTATCGAATAGGAATCTTGTTATAAAAAGCAATATAATGGGCACGTTTCTAATTTTCTGATAGTTCAAATTCTGCGTGATTAAGGAGTGTGATTGCAATTCTATTAATCTATCTCTTTGCATTAACGACAGTAAAATGTGCGTAACTTGTAATGCATGCCAAGCCATTTGACATAGCTTGTGAAACACTTGTGCACTGCCCTAAAATTGAAGTATATTTATCTATGTGATCAATCAAGTACGTAAATCTAAGAACCAAAACGAATATACAATTGGTAATGGTGATAGAAAAAAGTATATACCTCCTTCTCGTTCACATAAGCTCGAGCACAGTCAATGTGGCGGTATCCATTCTGCAACGAGAAAGTACAAGTAATTGATTGTTGGCGGTATCAGATATGTAATTATGTTTCTTCAACATATAATCAATATACATCAACAAAAACGAGATAACCGGCAGAATAATCAACGTGCGCGGAGTTATCCTTCTTTTTCGTATAATCTCAAATCTTAATTTGATATTTACAATCAATAACGAAAACTCGAATTAAAGATATACCGCACATAACCTACAATTGAGATTTCAAACAAAACAAAACAAAACACCAGATTATTATCACTTGCAACTTGCAATTAAATCAAAATGAAACTAAACTAAAGAGTAATTAGATGCTGCCGGGAAATTATACATACATATATGATATATACGAACACCTAAATACGCACCTTGATGGCAGCTTCAACAGCTTGGCCTACGAGGCCAGGCTCCGACTGCCACGTACCGAGTCCAACTGAAGGAATTTTCGCACCGGTGTTCAATTCAAAGTATAAGATCTCGTGCGCCATTTATTAAGCTTTCTAGAGAGAGAGAAGAAGAAGAATCGAGTGCAGATGGTGTGAGAAAATCAACAGAGGATATAAAATTGAAGAGTGAAAATTGAGGCTGAGCTCTCACGAACGAGTGTCAAAATTAAACACTTCCATCCCTCTATTTGGACCATCGCATTAAATAGGGTAAATAGCACTACGCCCCCTGTAGTTTAAGTTTTGTACATATAACCCCTTGTACTTTCAATATAAGCACATGACCCCCCTGTAGTTTGAACTTTTTGCACATGACACCCTTGTACTTTTAATATAAGCACACAAAAGGTAAATAATCATACAAGGGGGTAAGTGTATTATGTTTTGGTTGTAGGAGATTAAAGTATATCTAAGGACGATTAGAGAATGGCTCAGTTAATTAATTTCTATTATCATGATTGAGAAAATGATCTTATTTAGTAAACAAGGCTCTAGACTGCAAAATTAAATAAAAATTAAATAAAAAATTAAAAAATTCCTCAGTACAGTACTATCAAAATGTTCTTCCAGCTTCCATTATATCTATAATTTTTCCATATCAATATATTATAAGTAGTTTTTAAATATTAATTGTTGATTTTGTATTCCTATATTTTATTAATAAGGAAAAAAAAAACTTTCTCCTGAGTAAAACATTGCAGAGTGAAGTTTCTCAGATTTCACCATCCCATAACTCATCTATGGTTTTATAGGAGCCAAAAGTCTGGTCAACAAACGTAGTTCCTGTAATAAGTTTCACCTGCATAGTGATCCCACAATTCATCAATCAAACAAACAAAAAAAAAAAGTCGAAAGCTTCACTTTATATATTTAAGATAACCGGCTGAGTATTACCTGCTCAAATTCTGAGAATCGGGCAAACAGATCTTCCGGAATATGCCAATCGAACACATCAAAGTTCTGTTTGATCCTCTCTTCGTTAGTGCTCTTTGGAAGCACGCTATGGCCCATTTGCAAACCCCATCGAAGAACAACTTGTGCCGGAGTCTTTCCCAATTTCTCAGCAACCAAATTCAGAATCGGATTCTTAAACACTTCATTTTTTACCGTGGTTTGGCCAGACGATCCAAGAGGCGAATATCCCTGAATATATATTGTTTCTTTAAAACAGCACACTAAAATCACAGATTAAATCAAATATTTTAACTACAAAAAATATATACTCACGGATAGATGAACTCCTCGAGATTTACAGAACGCATGTAGCTGTGGCTGCTGCCATGAAGGATGGCATTCCACCTGGTTGACAGCTGGCGGAATACGTGCTGCGTCCAACAAATCCGAAAGTTTCTTGCTAGAAAAATTGCTAACACCAATAGCTCGTGCCTTTCCGGCATCATACAGTGCTTCCATTGCTCTCCATGTACTCGGTATATCAGTTTCAACAAGATTCTCCGGTTCGAATCTAACAGAACCTTTCTTCATTCTAACTGGCCAGTGCATCTTCATTCAAAGTGTAGCTTGTTATACTAAATAGCACTAAACAATAGATACGAAAAATGGTTCAAGTAATATAGACAAACCAGATAAAGATCAACATAGTCAAGCTTCAAATCATTCAAAGTTCTGTTTAAAGCCAAAGGTACGTCTTCTGGAGCATGATCCGTACACCTGCAGGAAACGGATTAGCATCAGATTAAGCGGGATATAACATATAGGCTATAACTCGATAGGATTATGGAAAATTCTAGCTAACCATAGTTTAGAAGTAATCCATAAATCCTCTCGCTTCACTACCCCTTCTTCAAGCAACTTTTTGAGTACATCACCAATCTGTTTCCAAGATCGTAAAACGTGCGATGGTAAGCAATGAAGGGATACAATTGATTAACAGATAAATTTTACGACATTATCAAATAAGGCAATGCTCCGTGTATACTTCTCCTTATCCGTGAAACCACGTTGACGGTTTACCGAAAAGAACCATGTAACTATAGGATTTGATAGCTGCACGGTACGCTGACATAAAAGCCGAATATCTACATAATCGAAAAAAGAGTTAGAATGGTGCAGAGAGTACCTCCTTCTCATTCCCATATCTCTGTGCACAGTCAATGTGGCGATACCCTGCCTGCATTTGAAGACATATCACTCTTTTCATCACTAAAAATATATTTTTCCACACTGAACAAAAAAAAATCGTATACTCGTAGATTCAGTTTCGGGCCCAGAAAACAAGCCATCAATTATACTGTAATGATATTATACTGATATACATACAAACTGTCATATAAAACGAGTCAAATCCACACTAACGGAGCCAGGATTTTAATTTCTCAGGGGTCGAATGCATTAAAACTTTTATGAGGGGGTTTCGATAATGCTAATTATACACGATTTTCTTTTTATAAATATTTACATAAAAAATAGGGATTCAAGCATTGTTGGGGGGCCGTGGCCCTCTCTGGTCCTATGTTGGCTCCGCCACTGCAAATCGAGCAATGTGAATTGTTCAAAGTTGATTCGAATTTTAGGGTAGAGCCAAATTACGAATAACAATTTCACTAGTGGCGTTTATTTACAGGGGAAATGATTTAGATATCGTCGAAAAACGGAAAAAATAAAAATGAAGATTAATTTATTATAATTAGGCACCTTAATTGCGGCGGTGATGGCATCACCAACGACACCGGGAGCCGCCTTCCACGTGCCAAGTCCAACTGATGGGATTTTGGCGCCGGGGTTCAGCTCGAACGATCGAATCGCTCTCGCCATTCTAATTTCACAATAATAAAATAATTCGTCACAGATTGCCCAGATCTTACATATCAAAATACGAACCAATGCATGTATGTATGTAAATATGGATCATGTATATGTTTGTGCAATTGAATTTTATCAGAAAGCAGGTTTATGTTTACACGTTAATTACCAATTGAAAAATCGAACGGAAGGTTGCTTGAAACTGTGAACGGCAGGGGAGTGAGTTACGGCGGCGCCGGGGCGGAATTGCTCGTCAGTGAACACAGCGTAGACGTACGCTTGAAATCCAAATTTTCTTTTTTAAATAAATTTTACTATGCCATTTTATAATTTACGAATTTTATTCAAAGATTTAAAAAATATTTATATTTTAAATGAAATACATATGTGTAATCCCGATTTAATTTTCAGGATTAAATTAGTGAAACAAGATTTTATAATCTTATATAACAATTTAGTTGCCTAATGGATTTAAAAAATTCCCAACACACAATTTCAACGATTAAGAAAAATATATAATAAAATCAATGGCAAATTACGGCCACCCTGAGTTATTGTCAAATTACAAAACCCCTCATGTGTGGGAGGATGTTAAATTGGTATGCTAACATTTCATACTGTTATCGAACTTAATATACAATTTGGTTCGGTAAATAACCGAATTACATAAATTTTATGCAAAAATATTTAAAAGGAAGGGGTGACTGTAATTACCGAAACAAGAGGCGTTTTTTCGTAATTTGATCATACCTCAGGATGTGGCCGTAATTTGCCCTAAAATCATTTATAGCTTGTCTTACCTAGGGGGTGGTAAATGAGCTTAGCCGGCTCGTGAACTCGATGAGCCGACTTGATAAAAGCTCAAACTCAAGCTCGAATATTTTGACCTCGAGCTCATAAGCTTGAGCTTCGGACGAGCTCAAACTCGAGCCACAACATGATTATAATTGTTCGACAGCTCGCGAGCCGGCTTGTGAGCTTCTTATTTATTTATTTATTTTGTATTCAAATAATAAAAATAATATTAAATAAATATATAAAATTAAAAAAAATATATTTTTATTTTTACAGTCGTATAAATAATTTATACTCATAAAATAAAGTAACATTAATATAAAAAATAGAAAAACTCAAAAAATTAACAAAATGAGCTGAGCTCGATAAACCCATTTGAGCTTGAGCTTGAGCCAAGAAAGTGAAAATTCGATGGACTTGAGCTCGCAAAATTGGACACGAGTTTGAGGTTGGAAACTCTGGCGAGCTCGGCTCGTTCACACTCCTAGTCTTACCAACCAGGCTGTTAAAAAATGAGAATAAAATAATAAATTAAATAGCGCAACGGTTTTCAAATCCAATTCTGATTTAAAAGCCCAGTTCTAGGTCTTGAGTTCAAAGTGAGCCCAAATTAAAGTTGAGCCCATTAGCATGCCCCAGTTACTCGTTGGATCCGAACTTCTGATGTGGGAAATTCTATGTTACACCTGCTGAATATAACCAGGCACCATAATTAATAAGATTTCCACTACGGGTTCAGTTATGACCCAATGGATTTTTAAAAATATAATTATAAAATAAATAAAAAAGGACACATGTCAAGAAAAGAGCCACCCTGAAAATCACCAGGTGTAGCATCGTATTCCCCCTTCTGATGGATGAGTATCGACGGAAAGAACGGGACCATTGTCCGACGTGGCGAAAAGGGATTCGCACAGAACTAAACGACACTAAACTATTTCCCGACAATCAGACCAATGAACAACGAGAGATTCAAGGAAAAAGAAAATAAAAAAACTAAGAAATTGGAAAAGAATATCCACGTAGGACTGTCAGATCACTCCGACTCGAGCCATTATTATTAATCAGCCTAAGTTCCCCTCCCGTTAATCACCTGATAAAACAACTGCTAATTCAAAATTATTACGGAGATTAAGCTTAAAATATTCATTATAATAATAAAATAAGCAGCCCATCCAGAAATTGTTTCTAGTGCTTTGTTTCTTCAGCACAACGGTTCATTTACTCCGCTGCATGCTTTGCGGATGATTCAAATCTCCATCAAACCCCATCGTAATCCTATAACGCCGTAGAAGATTCACTACTACACAGAGAGCGCGAGATTTACATTCGCACTGGTGGGTAAAAGGGGGAGAAATGGGGAAGATTAAGGAAATCTAGGGTTTCGAAGGGGGCCCTTTTTTTAAAATAAAATTTGAGGAAAAAGGGCCCGCCCTTATTGTAGGGAAGGAGAGAGAAATGAAGGATTTGCTGGGTAGCCCAGGATCTGTGAGTGGTTTGTTGTTAAGAACAGGGCAGTGTTTCTTTGCAGCTTCCTCCATTGGAGTTATGGTTTCTGCTATTGGGTTTTCTAACTTCACCGCTTATTGGTACATTTTTTTTTAATTTCTCTGCTTGTTTTAATGCTTGTTTATTTACAGTTGGAGCAATTTATGTGTATAATTGCTGCTGTTGTATGAGTTAATTGGGAAATCTGAATGTGGTTGTGTATAACCGGAAAAAATAAATGCGTAAATGGAAATGAAATAATTAGAGGTGTTCCCTGCCATTATTGTGTAATTTTTGCTTGAATATGGTTATCTAGATATGGTGGATTGGATATTTATGTGCGCATTTTCGGAAATTGTCGTTTGCTAGATGTGTAGTTCGTTTAGCTATTTCTGGGAATTGATGAATTGGGATTTTCTTCTTCGACTACTTTGGGACTATGGTAGTATATATGGTAATTGTTGATAGAAATCAGTGCAATGAACTAATATACAATGCGGATAAGAAGGATGTGACTGTGTTGTGGTAGATTCCGTACCCTTGTGTGTTGAGCTTCAAACTACGCTACCGAAGAAATTTTTGCCTTGATTAGTTATATACCAAGGTCAATTAGCCTGTCAAACGGGGACTTACGGAAAGAAAGTGCATTTTTACCGTGATTTAGCAAAAGGACTAAGTTGTTGGATGTGCTCATTTTCAGACACATAGACTACTTCAAGTCTTCAACCATGTTTTTTACATCTTAATAAGTGCCTATTTCACTTGCCGAACTACCCGATTTTGAAACTACAAAATGTTTTAAGTTTTGCGGTAAGTCAATTATGCAGCCAAGACATTTATGTTGGTTTGGTCCAGCTCTCACTTATAGACATTGTCTTTTTAATTCTACGACAATGAATTCTCTCGTGTTTTACAAAAGAGCATTGAATTTTACTCACCAATATAATTAACACCGTATAACTTCTGGTTTTTCAGCTATCTCATTGCATCAATGGGGCTTCAAGTACTATGGAGCTTTGGACTTGCCTGTCTTGATATCTACGCTTTACGGATAAAACGAGACCTCCGAAATCCAGTCCTAGTCAGCCTGTTCGTTGTCGGTGATTGGGTAATTCCTATGCCTTTTCTTGTATGCAACGATTTTTTTTTTTCTTTTTTTTTTTTGGCAATGACTCTTGATTGGCTCTATATTACGCGAAACTATATAAACAAATTATCCCATAGTTTTGACAAATTAAATAATGCAGGTGACAGCTACACTATCACTTGCAGCCGCGTGCTCATCGGGAGGAATCGCAGTTTTGTACGCAAAAGATTTGAAATTCTGTACTGGTCCAGGGCATCTGCCATGTCACAGGTTTGAGCTTTCCATAGCTCTGGCATTCATTACATGGTTCCTTATTGCTTTGTCTTCTCACGTCATGTTCTGGATATTAGCATCGGTCTGAAATTTTCACGTTTTCGGTGTTTGCGAGGTTATTAATTTCCGTCGGAATTTGGCAATTGTAAGATATGTTGTTGTTGTTGTTGTTGTAATCACTCATTCTTACTTTGCAAGGCTGCGGCTTTCGAAATTATCAGAGAGTTGTGAGCTTATTGATTTCTTTCGTATTTTTTTCTTCTCTTTATCTTTTAAAAATTAATTGAGCCATGTTAAAAAAAATGATAGTCAATAGTAAATTAGTAAGAAAACTAATGCATCTTATCTTATGCATGGTAAACAAAATGAATAAGCAATAAATCAGTTGCCGTATTTGAGTCGTAAAAACGAACTATATCTAAAAAAAAACGGTCCGAGTATCAAAACTCAAGAACGTAGCTCATAAATCACCTCAGATTTCGGCGATCCGGCGTCGACTTAGACTCCCAAAAGTTCGTTTTTTATATTTTAGAAAAAAAAAATAGAAAATTCATGTAAAAATCAAATGAGGATTCCGTAAATTGGGTTGTTCCCAAATTTACGGTATCTACTAGCGTTGAGGTTTAACTTCTTCTTTATCTATGTTGTCGGTAATTTTTCGTATTTTCGTAGTTTAATCAGATTTATAAGTTTTATTGGGAATTTATTTATTTTCAGAATCATAAATACAAAACGGTGAAATCTAGAAGTAAACAAACGTAATTTCAATCATTTTTAATTTACAGCAGATGCACCAATAGCATTATTTACAATGAAGAAAATTATAAAATACATAATTTATGTGGGCCCTTTTCTGGTTTTCCACGTCGATCAAGAAAAAAAAACACGCACACACACTTGCTTGGTCGTAAATAGTAATATTACAATAATAACTAATTAAAATACTTGGTGTGACATCATCGTGGCAGCCGATATGATCACCTGACAGCCCTAAAAGAATTGACCGGATTGCGCTGCCCGGCCGGAAAGAACCCTGGTGGCGGCGGAGCGAGGCGGTGAAGAGGCGGAGAAGGCACAATAATCTGGGCGGGAAAGCTGGATATCGGAAGTTGAAAACCGGCCAGAGTCACCAGCCGGAATCCTCATGTAAGAAGCTGATGGTGATTCGTTTAGCCATGTCCCTCGTCCTCCGTTTTTGTATTGCACTATTGCTTTGTACACAAATGGAATTAGTCCCTCCATCTCTCTCTCTCTCTCTCTCTCTCTCTCTCTCTAGAATCTAGATATGATCTCTCTCTCTCTCTAAAACTGTGTAAAATTTTCAACTTGGATTAATATATAAAGAGAAGGTTTGGGTGTGGGGTAAGGTGATGACGTGGCGTAATGGGATAGGTTGGAGCTAGCTGTTTACGCTAAGATAAGCTGACATTTAAGCATTACATTTGAGCACGAACCTTTGACAACATTCCATTGAAACTTGTATGTTATTAGCTACAATTTCATTGTCAGGAAATATATTCTTAAATTAATTGAACCACTGTCAAATATAAAAATAAAAAAAGCATATACTTAAAACATTTATTAATTAAAATTAGTCCATCCTTATAGCACAGCTAATTAGACCGGGACATGAATTAGTTATTTTTATATTCTATTTATGTTTCAGTCATTGTTTACATTATTAAAAAATTGAGAAATTAGTGCGTTAGTGAAAACAACATGCGGCCACACGTATAGTGACAACAGTAATACATTATACACAACAGTCAACACATATTAGTTTTATGGATTATTGAATTTTTTTAAGCACAAAAAGAAAAGTTAGTGTGTAGTTTTCTTGATGCTTGCACGAACAAGACTTTTACATATTTATATATGTATATATAATGGTAAGCCATATCTTTTGTGATATGGTTTGTGATAATTCATTCTCAAGATTTCCAAATATTTATTGTGTGTTATATAATACAAGGTGCTGGAGCATGATTATTTATTATTAATCTCAAGATAATGAAGACGTGTCATTTGTCTTAAAGAAGTAACATTTAGGACAATGAGTTTTCCACCTAATAATGCATATATGACTAATATCTCTAGAATCCATGATTCAAATGGAATAAATTATACGTAAAAGTCTTTTATTTTTTTGAATTTGACATATTTATATATCATAGAAAAAAAATCATTCTACTTCGATATGCGCGCGTTTCAATTTTGAAAACCATGTCTAAATAAATTAATTTACATATTAATTCAGTTTAACATGTTACAATTCAACTGTTTTACAGTTTTAATTTAGAAATTGATGATGACGGTTGTTAGCCCCTTAATCGGCGACATCGCCTATAACTCGAATATAGCTGAGTCATAATGTCAAGTAATGGATGGCACAAGACAACCATACATCGACGAATGAGTAGTCGAATTTTAGGCAAGTATTGTAGGCGACTGTCCAAGAAAGCAAAGAATGATTCTCACCGATTGAGAATGTGGCTTGAAAACCGACATAATGAGCAATGGATAACAAGACTTAAAGCTGTCAAGAGCGAGTCTTGATAGTTCGGCATAAGATTGTAGACAAGGCAGGCGTGTTGTCTGGCAAATAGTTGCGCAATCTCAGCCGTTTGGTGCGTGTCCGACCGAAAAATCAAGCCACATGTTTTTTGCTGCATATTTTTTATATGTTTAAACGGATATTAAAAGCGCCAAAGCAACTTCTCATTAGAAAATGAATAAAGTGATACTGGGTCAATAAAATATCATATACTCCTTAGTCCTTATACTCGGTCGGCCCAATATTACGGCCCAAATTAATGTCACGCAAATAAGGCCCATACTGCAGTGATCCAATAAAATTTCGGATTGATACATTTAATCAGTTAATTAATTTGGAATTAGTCAATCGGTCAATACATTATTTATGTTCGATTTGAGTCAAATTTGTTCAAATCTGACTAATCAGCCTTTACATAATTGCATATCCGAGCAGAACTCCGTTACGTTTAGATAATGGAGTTCCTATCTTAATCAATTCCAGATTAGACAGAAATCGATAATTATTATTTTTATTATCATAATTTTTAATTTTTTATTGGTAATAAATCCAAAAAAAATAAAAATGGCAGCCCATTCATTCATTATCAGAGGCGCATGCTTATGCCTTGCTTTTACGGGGACGAAAGAAAAGGTTTGTCTCAAGTGAGAGTTGCTACTTTTTATGATTTATGTTTCACTCATTCCGGAAAAAAAACGTGTTTCTCTACTTCTTTACATGTTTTTGGTCCCCCAACGGTATAAAAAGATAAGAGCCTACATAATCTTTACATCGCCAATTATGTCAATTCGCGTATACAAACTTTCAGCGGACTATGAGATATTGCACCTGATGAAAAATACCGATCATTCACTAAGCACATATACACATGGGTATATGTGTTATTGTAGATTAATGATGCATGATCACCCAGTGTACTTTATCGAGTGTAAAGGTGCATATAAAACTTATCATTATTAGTTAAGGGTAATAATATATATATACACTAATGGCTATATTAATAATTAATATGATAACCCGCATTGGATCCAAGCCTTTTAGTTGGAATGTAATCATTAATGTTGGGCCTAGTCAGCCTTCGATTACACTCCTATTTCCACCAATCCAAACTTACTTTTTTTCACTAATTATCAATCCAAGACAAAAAGGAAATTAAAATTAATTAAAAAAAAATATAAAAATAAATAAAATAGTTGGTCCCATTGTCACACTCACAGTCAGGGATCTACTACACAGCTTACCAAATCCCAATCATCACGCTAATTTATTGACTAAGAGAGAAATATTTGTATATAGATCTTCTAATCATCATTATTAATTTTAATTTAGATTTTGTTTATTTAAAAATAAAAGGAAAACAAAAAAAATATGAAAAAGTTTCAGCTAATTTAAATTATTAGGATTTTGGAAATTAATTAAAGAAGTAGCAGTGTATCAATAATCATTGATCCTTTTGTTGGTGGAGGTGAGGTGGCGTGGATGTACTTGATTGTTGGTTCGGCGGAGGCGGCGGACCAACACCACCACCACCACCGTCAACCTTTGCTTTCCGCCGGTGAGCTTACGTCACTATATGTAGCCCGGCCGACATATGATATGAGAGACCACCATCATTTTCCAATGTGCTATATAGTATTGTTGTCGGTGCACTGACATTTCAACACGTGTACAGTGATATTTTGACCTCAAATTATATATATATTTATTAATTCCTAGAAAAATAATAAGAAATGAAATTATTGTAACAGCATTAATTTGGTCAATCTATATAGATCACTTTCATCCAACTTCAGAAGTTTGGAAGAGGAAAAGCCAAATAGAATTTGTCTACTTCGAATTGCAATTTGCACATATATTTAATTAATATATTTTTTTTTCTGATAAGGGTTAGTGGTTATTTTATTTGTTGATGCACTGATCCTTCACCAAACACTAGTTAAATATTAATTTGGTCCGCTTTGATTCATTTATTTATTTTATTTAAGAACATTATATATTTTTTAATTAATTGATAAGAACATATTTAGTCAACCATAAGATCACCCAGCCTTCCTATATTCCAACAAGTATCATGTCACATCATCTATATATAATAATGTATTTAAATATGAGTTTTTTCTGTTTTTTCAGAATATATATAATGCTAATTCTTAAATTAAAATATGAATAATTTTTTAATTGAACCTTAAATTGACAAAAATTAATACAGTTGGGAATAGTAAAATTCTATTAATTTAACGAAATATTAAATTATTGAACTAATAATTTGGTAGATTTTTACCAAAACTATTATTTAAGCAAAGGTATAAACTTATCGAGTATTTATTTATTGAGGTCTACTATATATTCTTTAACATCCAATTCCTATATCGTAAATAGTTAGTTCAAACTTCAAATTCAACACAAAGATGTTATTACTTGTGGATTTTAAATGCTAAAATATCACATCGTTCCAAAAAAATAGTCAACGATAAGGTAAAATACACTAATAAGTTGACTTACTAAAAGTATTAAAATATATATGTATTATTGTCAGATTAGTTTCGTGTAGCTTGGTAATTTGTAATAAAATGTGTAATAAAATCTTGATTAGTTCATACTTAACGATCAATTATTAGGACACGTAGAGTGACAATGAGAAGGTGTTAGATTTTATTGGCTAGAAGAACACACGATGCATTATTGTATCAGCAATTGTTTTATCAGATTAATAAATGTTTAGCATTTGATTAAAATTATGATAGATAAAGAAAATTAACATATCCTAATACAATTTACTCATAAATTAACCAAATCTCTATAGGATTGAATTAATGGAAAAGAATGGCCACCTTTACAACCAAATATCTAATTATTAATAAAGTTTCTTTAATTTTTTTGTTCATAATTATTTAAATATCTATAAAATTACTTTGAAAAAGTTGATGCTACTTTGCCGCCCAGCACAAGTCTTCAACTCTATTAACGGGTAAAATTCAAATTAGTCCCTGAGATTTGCTGTCAACTTCAAAATCATCCCTGAGGTTCTACTGAACTTCAATTTCATCCTTCAAGCATTTTTTCCCCGGCCAAATGAGAAGAAATTTTCTAAACTCCCAAAACTGCCCTTTACCACTTTTATTAACTATTTGGTTCCATTTTTTCAAAAGGAAAATAATATTTATTATTTTTCTCTTTGAAGATTATATATGATTTTTTTTTTTTTTTTTTAACATGGACTCTAATTAAAATTTAATACATTATTTAATATATGAATTTGATAATTAGTCTCTATATTTCCATCATTAAAAAAAGGTAAGCCGTCATTTTTTTTTTCCAGTTCAAATGATACACATTCAACTAGTTCATCTTACATAACCCACATAAATTGCATAATAATTAACCAAATAAAAAGAGTTTCAATAATTTTTTTTTAAAATATATGTTTAATATATAATATTTTAATTAAAGTTTATAAATATTTACTTTTCTGGTATTTAATATGACAAATTTTAAAAAAAGATCGGGGTTCCGTCTCTGAAACCCCACAAATATTTAGTTTTATTAATCTAATCTCGGCACCCACAATAAAATTTCATGGTTATGACTTATGCCTCTCGATGAATGCATGCTTTTTTCTATTTTTTGTTTGTGTTCATATTTATAGAAACTAAAATTTTCCCCAACATTTCTTTTTTCCAACTAGTTTTTCAAACTATTTTTTTCCACCAAATTAAGGTCACCTTTTAATAAAGGGTAGTCTTGGTATTTATTTATTTCTTCCCAAATTTGCCGGTGAAATGAGGCTTGGAAGGACGAAATTGAAGTCAATTAGAACTTCAGGGATGAATTTGAAGTTGAGTTCAAACCTCAGGGATGATTTTCAATTTTACCCCTCTATTAACACATTTTAGTTTCCTTTTTTATTTTTATTTTGTATGAATTAATAATAATAAAAGTAATTTTCAACGGAAGGCAGCAAAGTGGGCCCGGAATCCCACTCCACCTTAGGAATCATTAAATCCAACTCTGGACAAATTTCAAGTCCGGAAAACGACAAAAATAAAGAAATGAAAAAAGGGCTTCTTAGGTCGTCCAATCACTAGTAGCCCACTTCACTACTGGGCCAGCTTCAGCCCTATATAATCTTTATATATATATATATACACACACTAATAAATATATATATATATATATATATATACAATTTTTGACAAATATATGAATTTAAATAAATAAAACATTTTCGTTTCTGAAAAGTCTTCCCACCAAAAAAGCAAAAGCCATCGTCTAATTCCCCGGCCGTCCAGAAATCGAGACCGAAATCTCCGGTATACGAAAGTGAAGCTTTGTGGATTTCAGAATGGAACTAAACGAGTTTGATCTATACCACGATTCCATCATTTGAAGAGCGATTTCAAGGTAATTTTACTCTTGTCGGTACTCTAAAATTGAATTTCGCATTTTACCTTTTTTTAATTTTTAATTTTGTATCGCGTTGATGAATTAGGAGAGGAAAGTATTTTTTGATCTACTGCTTGTGATATATTTTGTGCCCTAAACTGTATTGATTGGTGGAATTCTGCTTTTTTCGAGTGAAAACTATGGATGTTTGGTTTGGCTTTTGTTCAGAAGTGTCTGCAATCGTCTAATTCATTTGTCCTGAGTTCGACTTTCTAGCTTTGTCTGTCAATATGATAAGTGAAAAGGAGTAGCGTTCATGATTGTAAATTGAGATGCCTTACAATTTTGTTATGATATGTTGGATCTATGTGTTTAGCGAGAAAAAAGGAAAAGTAAAAGGTGTGGAAGTAAAGCATAAAGTACAAATAAAAATATTTTTCCTTACATAAATGCAAAGTCCAAATCTGATGCTAGGAGTTTCCGTTTGGAGAATTTATGTCTCAAAATGATGTTTCAGCAGATCTAGGTCGTTCGATTGGCATAAGCTTTCATGCTTTCTGTTGAATTTTTATGCACTTTTCTGCTCTTGCAGAGCTGATATCAACTACAAGTTTTATGCTTTTAATTGGGAATATATCTTATATTCTTTATGGTATCTTCTGTTTCCTTTTATTTATCTGCTAATTGAACCTATTAAATTTTGCAGTTCCCAAGTTTTTACATCAGAAATAGCTTCACCCAGTTGTTAGCTATCTTATACAAAAGCAAATTCTCGCTTCTTGTATATCTTACACAAAAGCAACTTTTGGCGCTTCTTGTACATCTTAATCAAAGGAACTCTTAGTGCTCCCGCCTGATACGGTTCGGAGCTTCTTTCCTGATTTGATTGCCGAGTTCGTAGTTTCCTACATAATAATTGATATAAGATCTGACGATCATGGAGATTTTGGGCAAGAAAGTCTATGATCTGTCTTCCCATTGATCTTATCCTTCAGTAATATTTATATTAGTGACATCAAGCTTAGTTATTGCTGAAAAAATGTTGGATTTACTGAAACCGATGGAGCCACAATTGAAACGAAGAGCTGGTTTATGGATTGTACAGGCAGGACGAGGATCATATCGAGGAAGTTAGTGATTATTTTGGCTTAACTGGTTGGCTTTTTTGTTGTACTGGATATTTGTATTTTTCATACCGTATTAATCCATGGGGATTAGTTTCTTGAGGCCGTTCCTCGAAAGTCTTTGCTGCAACTCTCCTTGGAATTATGCAGTGTTTTGGAAGCTTAAGTATCAACATGAAATGTAAGCCAATTCTCAATCCTGTGTCTTTATTTCGCTCCTCTTGTCATCTAAAATTGAGTGTTTGTAGGGACATAAAACAAGAACAAAACTTATTCTTTTTCATGTCATTTCTGTTTGAGACGAATATTTATTTCTGAAAATTCAGGTTCTTCGTTTTTTTTTTTACGAAAGATTGTAGCTCACTGCCGTGGCGTGACATTAAGATCAATGAATTTCACACAATGTAACCTTATGTTTCAGGGTTTTGGTATGGGAAGATGGCTTTTGTGACAATCAGAAGCCGAGATCTCCCACGGTGAGCCAAATAGAAGATCTGTACCTAGAGAACTCAAATAAGATGCTTTCCTCCACTTTTAGTTCTTCTCTGCTTGATGAAAGTCCTGGTGAATATCCAGTTGGACTTGCAATAGCTGAAATGTCAAGTGCTTCTCATGCAGTGGGAAAAGGGTAAGCTCTATCCAGCATCTACTTCCATGCATATTTTCATGTGTGCATGGGTGGGGGGTTGTACTACTTTCTTTTCATATTACACATGTTTTGAGCCAAAAAAAAAAAATGAATTCTCTGGATTGCCAAATAACGCTGGAGAAGTAGAGAGTAATCCCTTGTGCCCTGAGGTCAATGGCATAAATGGTTTCTGAAACCTCATTGCTCTGCCTTATATACATTCCGTTGAATCTGATGCTACTCATTTTCCTAATTAACTATTGTTCAGTAATGGGAAAGGGATGTTTACTTGTCAATTAAAACTGGCTGATAGTGAACCAAGAATATATAATATTCAATTAAATGGAGTAGATAGAGTAGCCCTGTCATGTGTTATTAACTGTGCTCTTATTCTACAATTAAACAGGGTCGTCGGCAATGTGGCATGCACGGGGAATGCTCATTGGATTTACTCAAACGATATTGCAGCTGATGTATTCAATTCTGTTTTAGTTCCTGAGGTGAGTATCTGGATCAAAACCAGCAAAAACCAATTCTTCTGATTCACTGTTCTCTGTTCTTGCTATGCTTCTAATTTATTACTCAAGTATGAAACAAGCCTTTTCTTCTTTTAACAGTATCCGGATGAATGGCTGCTTCAATTTGCAGCTGGGATAAGGGTAAGTTAATTGCAAAATTAGACGATGGCATATTCATATGTTTTTCATGTTGTTTGGATGATACAGGAATTTTATAATATAATAGCTTTAAGTTCTTAAGCATAAAACTTTAGAATAACACATGATGACTTCTACCCAATGCTTGTACAGACAATATTGCTTTTGCCAGTAATTCCACACGGAGTGTTGCAACTTGGATCAACAGAATTGGTTAGTATTCTGTTTTCATATTATTGATATTTTATGGCCTTAATCTCCACATTCCAGTCATAATAACTGCAAATTGTTTATGGTTCTATAACTACATGGTGATTAATTTATTAAATTCACATATTTATGTTCTCTATTTCTGTTGTCGAATACTTGAACTAGCGTTTCATGTGCTGGAAATCCTATCTGATTGAGCCTATTTTTGTCTCTATTTTTGGTGTTTTTTCTGGTTCTGAAGTGTGTACCTTCTCTAAGGGTTTAATTTGCTAATAAATGTATCAGGTTTCCGAAGATGCAGCATTAGTTGCTTATCTCAGAGATAAGTTTGAGGCTCAAAAAGAGCCCGATGGATATGACTGGGGATATCCAATTCAGGAGTTCTCCCGTATGTCTAATTTCATGAATAGTTTAGGGGAACCATCTACCATTGCCACAGAAAAAATAATAAAGGAACAAAATGCCATTCACACTGCTAGGACAAAAGATTGCAACTTAACTGGTAACCAGATGAGTATGCCAGTGTTTATGGTTCAAGATTACTGCAATAGCACTGCGAGGCTTGACGCAGATACTCTTGAAAATGCAACTGAAAGTGAATTTAGCCAGCAACCATTGGGCACGATTCATGTAGCTGAAGAAGTACCAAGTGAAGATTATAAACCCTTTATAACAGAGAATGACATTTTAAAACTTCATCATGAAGAAAAATTGAAGGGTGGCTCCCCTTATTACGACAACTTTGACAGGACGTATGGGAACTTCATAAATGAATCAATGGCTTTTCACTTTGAGGATACAACTGAACCAAATTTTGTAGACCACGACTTCGACAGTTACATATCTAAAAGCGGATGGAACCTTTTCAGCTTTAGTGAGGACTATCAACTGCAGAAGGCACTGGGAACAGATGTAGAGGATACCACTTATCAGCATACGTATGGTACGTCTATCTCTAATCAGAATGAAGCATGCGGCACAATAGGTGATAGAGAGCCCTCCTATGTTACGGATATTTCATGTTTGGAGTCTGTTCTATTTCCCATCAATGAAATCGAAGTGGAGCACGCCTTAGAAGCTAATGTTTCTAACACAATTAGCAGTTTTGACGATAATTCATCCAAGTCCAATGTTACTTCATTAAGTATGCCCTTGGAAAAACTTGCTGCTTCCTCCAAAAAACATGATCGATCCAAACTCAGTGCCTCAGTGGGAGAAGATGAAGTCCCATGGAACTTTTTGGCATCTGAATTTATTGTCCAGGGAATGAATACATTGTCTAGTATTCCTGCTTCAGTATCTTCAGTTGAAAGCAAGATTAGCTCATTGTGTGATAAGCAGCAAAAGCGAAAAGGATCTGATTCATTGAACCCCAGGAAATTATCAAGACTATCAACTACCAACAAGAGAAGGGACCGCACTGGGGATAATCAAAAGCCTAGGCCACGGGATAGGCAGTTGATTCAAGACCGTATCAAAGAGCTACGAGAGCTTGTCCCAAACAGTGAAAAGGTAAGTGCTGTTGCATTTATAATATTTACTTGTTTCTTCCTTTCTTCCAACTTTTCAAGTAATTATTGACGAGTTTCTACTGTCAAAGCAGTGTAGCATTGATGGACTCCTTGATAAGACCGTAAAACACATGCTCTTTTTAAGAGGTGTGACCAATCAGGCTGATAAGTTGAGGCACCAAGTTCTCGAAGAGGTAAAAGGTTGCAAAACCCGAGAGTGTCAATATAGCATTTCATGCTGCATTCCATTATCTTTACTGTCTAAATATTTCTTTGATGACAAATATGTCATTCGGTGACACAACTAAATACATCATTGATCAATTCATTATTTTGCATTAGTTTGTGTTTAAAGCAGGAAGAATGCAGAATTGAAATTCTGAATTATCTTTCTCAGGAATCTGATGAAAAGACAATCAAAACAGCTGAAATCAGCAACAAGCATGAGAACGGGACAAGCTGGGCTGTAGAATTAGGAAGCAAGCAACAGTTGTGCCCAATAGTTGTGAAAGATCTCGACCATCCTGGACACATGCTTATAGAGGTATTTATCAAATATCGCAGCAAGAAAATTATAGTCATTCTAGCTAATTGACGCATGTCGATAATACGGAATCTTGGTTTAATAATTGCCCTGTGGCTTGTGTTTTAAACCAGATGCTTTGTACTGATCACGGCCGCTTTCTCGAAATTGCTGATGTGATTCATCGTTTGCAATTAACTATCCTCAAGGGTGTCATGAAGAAAAGCACGGACAATTCGTGGGCCCGCTTCATTGTCGAGGTACTGCTTTCTTGGAAACATATAAGTTGCATTTAGGAATATTTTGATTGAAGAAAAGATTTTGGCTATAAACAGTTGCAATCATCGAAAATACTATGTTTGTTATGATATGGTTTATAACCATATTTCATTGTATTATGTATCAATTCTACATTTCTTACCTTTGTGTATATATCTTTCAATCTCGTTGCATGCAGACTTCTGGAAACTTCCATCGCCTGGATATATTTTGGCCGCTGATGCAACTGTTGCAATAAAGTCGGGCGCCTATCTCATCAAGCAAGTTTTAACCACCCTCTGTCTTGATTGTGGATTTTTCTATATGTACCGATATTTGACATATTATAATTTAGAAGATTCTGGCAACAAGAAACCCTTGTTACTACAAGATATGACCATCTTCTGTAGAAAGTAGTTGGCCCCGTGGCCCGTGATTCTCAATTTGCGAGTATTTAATTTTTTTTGTCAAAAACGAGTCTTGTTCAAATTTGAATAGTCTGAGTTGCACGACTTTTTATTGGCAAATATCTCGGACCGTAAAAATGCAAGCATTCTATTACATATATGTCCGACATATGTTATTTCCATAAATTCAGCATTGATAAATTTGTAGGTTAGTTCTTCTAGAAGCAACCTGCCGTAAATCCTCCATCGACATAAATGACCTGTCCGGTGATGTAAGAAGCCGCCGGAAGGCAAAGAAATGCAACCAGTGGAGATATTTCATCAGCTTCTGCTACTCGCCCCAATTGCGTTCGGGCCATTATTGGAAACAACATTTGGAGAATTGATGGATCTATATCCTCCTATAAAAACACCAACATCGAGGAAAATCTTTATACGTATATATACATATATACACACATAAAACAAAATATAGTTCTTGCTGAGATCATGAGAACGAAAGAACCATACAAGTTTGAGGATGGTAGTTCTAACGCCGAATGGTGCCACGGTGTTTGTACGAATGTTGTCCTTAGCCCATTCGCACGCTAAATTTTTGGTTAGTTGGTTTATTGCACCTGAAAATTAGTGGCCAAATTCAGTTACAATACTTATGAGAGAGAGAGAGAGAGAGAGAGAGAGAGAGAGAGAGAGAGAGAGAGAGAGAGAGAGTAAACGGCGGTGGACCTTTAGAAGCAGCATAAGCAGAAAGGGCAGGGAGTGCGATGCCACCGGCAACAGAAGAAATGAAGACGATATTACCTAAACCAGAGGCTTTGAGAAGAGGGTACGAAAGTTGGCAGATATGGTAAGGCGCCTCTAAGTTTGTTTCCATTATACTCGAGAAATCTTCGGCGCTGTGATCACACGCTCTCTTCATCATACTTATCGCTGCATTATTTACCTATATACATATACATAAAATCAGTACATTTATAGCTGAGTGATCCCACTTTATATCTTACTCTCTAGATTTTTATCAAACGCTTCAAAAATTTCTTATTTTATCGTAAACCGTTTTATAAAATGTCGTAAAAAACTCGTTTTAATTAAGCTAATCAACGGGGAATTAATCTTAAAATATTATTAATTATATCGATCAGGATTGGATCACCACATTAAAATAATTTAGTGATGATTGATTTGGAGGTTATATGCAGCATACAATATAGAATTGATGGTCCAAAATGCATTTTGCGTGTAGAATTAAATAGTATACTCCCTATACATATTGTTATTTGAGAATTGACAATTTTAATTTCTTATGCTGATGTAGACAAGAAATATGACAATGAAGTCTTATAGGTGCAACTATCAATGAAGTCACCTATTTTTGGCTTTATTATTATTATTATTTATTTTTATTATTATATATATTTTTTTCATTAAGAGAGTTATCGTCAATGAGATAAACTGTTGCACAAGCCATATTGTACAAGTTAATTTGCTGTACTTTGTCCAATAATTATTTATTCATCTAATTTGATCTCTTTTGGGACGGCAACTTTTGGCAGAATTATATTGGTTTCATCAATCTTGTTCTTGCATGTTTTATTATTTTTCATTAATTTATATATGTATATTCCAAAAATACCATAGCCCTAGTGCACCGGATAAACATTCGCTGACGTAAAACAATTTGCAAACAATACGAGAGATGTAAATTACACTTAAGGATTGACGAAAAAGAAAATTCATATGGATCGAGGAAATCTTGAAGAACTAAGCTTTAACCATTTCTCTGAATCACGTTTTGTGCGTGGGGATTCACTAAATGAAACACATGGTAAAGAATGAGAGAAAAGGGACAAATGCAACCGAATAACACGCAACTTTAATTTAAATAAAAGAAAAAAGTGTTAAATAAAGAGAATGAATTGTACTTACTAGGATATTGAGTTTGCCATGAAAAGCAGAAGAGACATTGTTGATAAGCTCTTGTCTCTGTGTTCTTGAAGACAAGTCGCAGGTTGAACCCATCACCTTGTACCCTTTGTCTTCCCATTCTTTAAGCCTTTCACTAAGTTCAGCTTGATTTCTCGAACACGTGTATATTGTGGCTCCAAATCCTGCAAGCTCTTCTATTATGGCGTATCTGTAATTAAACACACACACACACAGTGAGATCATTAGCAAAGATTAAATGAATGAAGAAAAATAAAAAGAATTGAGTGTTCAAAAAAAGGTACCCAATTCCTTTGGTACCACCGGTGACAAGTGCAGTCATTCCTTGGAGAGTCCATCTTTGCTGCCTTTTGCTACTCTGTTCTTCCTTTGCCATTGCTAAATAAAAAACTTTCTTTGGGTTTTTTTGGTAATTTGGTATGGACTATAGAGGGCTAGCTGAAAATTACTTGTAGTTGTGACTTAGTAAGCAAATTAGAGTTGCGAGTTTGACAGTTATATATAGAGCATACTTTTCGCTTTGTAATTGACAAAAAGGAAAAAAAAAAAAAAAAAAAAAAACATATCTGCACCGCTAATGATTAGTTTGAATTGCTAGGGCGTTCTGTGAAGCAGTTATGTGTCCACGTTGCTTTTTGTGGCGATACATACATATTTACTGTAAGGATACTGGAAAAAGTCATCGTGGATGTAGGTCACTTTTGTATCCGACCCACATTAATTTCTTGTCTTGTTTATTCTGCTTTATTCATGTGTCTACACATGAATTTTACTTCCAACGTACTATTGTCATAATAAGTAAACAGTGTCGACTAAATAAAAGAGATTAATTTAATAACAATTAAAATAAAATATTGAGGTGGAAATGCAATATAATAAGTCTTTTATCTGTTTAATACTAGCATGACATTCTAGTATATATCGTATCACTCAGAATGGGTCAGAAATTTGGATAAAAGTCATCAAAACCAAAAGAGAAAACGGTTCCTTTTTCTTGTGTGCAGAGTTATACAGTAGTATTTAAATACGTATAAAGGCTATCTATTTGTCTTCATTGCCTTCTTTTTTGTGCTGCAGTTTATATTTAAGGGTGAATTACAAACACCCCACCTGAGATATGGTCAATTTACGAAAAATCCCCTCTTATTTGGATAATTACATGTACACTTTAACTATGATTTTTTCTTACACCTCCACATTTATAGTATCAAATTCAATAATCATCTAAATTTCGTGTAATGTGCTCTAGTTTGTACTCGTTTTGTGTAAACATACAGTTTTTGATGCACCACAATCTGATATATACAAGCCAAATAACACATATTATGATCATCTTGCTTCAAAATGTGAAGTTCGAGTGGGATAAAATGGGTACAAAATTTATAATATTCCATATAATCTCGAAGATTCCACTAAATTTGAAACCTCAAGGTTGGACGTGTAAGAAGATTTATAGTTGAGGGGTAGTTGTAATTACCCATACAAGATAGGTTTTTTTGTAATTTAACCATACCTCATGGGTGGTTGTAATTTACCCTATATTTAATTATAATTTTATATATATTTTTAAAATCATTAAATTGAAAACAAAATTATCTATCTGCTTTGGGCCTAAGATGGTATTGTATTGTAAATACCAAGTATATTAGGCCTTCTTTTAGTGGGATTTCCGATGGGCTTATCTATTTTTATGGGCCTATTATACTTGTATCCTCGTCACTAGTTGGTTTAAAATAATTAATTAAGCTCCATAAATTAATTTAAATATACTATAATTGATATGTTTCACCTAAATTTTGTTTTTATCCTTATTTAAATATTTACCATAGAATTGTCTTTATTCTATGTTGACCATTTACCGACAAATTTTCTTCATATATCTTATATTATAAAATGTTTACTTGTTGATGATGGTTACTGTAGAATATAATAAAGTTATACCAACTGATAATTAAGCTGATCTCAAGTAATTTTTTTACAGTTACTGTACAATTGTAGCTTGTAGTAATATTATTAACATATTATCAGAATTGTTATTAAAAAAAAAAAGAATTGTTAAAAAAAAATTAACATAATTTAGTAGTATATCATACGACATCCGAATCAGGCAGTGTCACCTCATACAGTAAACACATATCTTTTATAACTAACATGATATGAAGATTTTCTTAAATTTGATTTCTTAGTCAAAATTAGTTATAATATAATAATTAATTAATATTATTAATTACTGTCTTTTCAATATTTTTTCCGGCCATCTGCCCCTTTGTCAATCTTTCATAATTCATACTGATAAGTGTCTCAACTTGTTTGAGAGAGATACAAAATTAAATAAATAATTACTTGTTGCAAATATCCTTCGAATTAGCGTGTAATTAACGACTAACCTTGACTCGTTTATAATTATATACTCGATTCCGAAATCAAAACTTGCGATTTGGTCTATTTTTCGATCGATTCAAAAACACGAATAGGGTGTATTTCAAAAATTAAAGGATTCAAAATGGTTTTAAAATAATTAATGAATGATTAGGAATAATTGTTGTGTGTTAGAATGTTAACTAACTAGGGGTTTAATTTGATGTTAATAGTGTTTAATTTGGCAATAAGATATATAATAATTGATTTAAAAATAAAAAGTATAGAAAGAAGAAAGTGTTGCAAAAGTCCAAAGACCCGTGCTTATAGTTCCCAATCCCAGATATACATTAGCATCCAATGACTCTAATTTTTGCCGTTTAGCTGATCGAATTAATTGTTAATTAATTTTATCGAAATTAATTTCTTGTTATTTATATGTCATTAAGGAAGGATTAAATTGTACAAGCATTCTCCCCTTATTTAAGTGCTAACGACACCAAAAATATGGTACTAATTGATCAAATGTCGTAATTTCAGTGATTATTAGATAATATTTATATCTGCAGAAAATTTTGCGGAAAACACGTTTCTTTGAACATACTAATACAGAAACTGAAAATAATAATTAAAAAAAAAACAATTAAAAGAAAAAAAATAAAATAAAAGAAGTCCCACGTAGGGGTGGGAACGAGCCAAGCTCGGCTCTTTTGGCCAGCTCGAGCTCGAGCTCGAGTCCATGTTGCCGAGCTCGAGCTCATCGAGCCAATTTTTTTGGCTCGAGCTCGAGCTCATTTATTATTATTTTTTTAATATTTAATTTCTTTATTAAAATCATTTGATTTTTTATTAAAAAATATTTATAAGAAAATAAAAAAAAAATTATAAAATAAATAATGACTCTAGTTATATATATATATATATATATATATATATATATATTTAATTTTTCTATTATTATTATTATTATTATTATTATTATTATTATAATATATTATATTATTATGTATTATTTAAGTAATATAGATTTGTTTCTATTTAAATACTAGGAATATTTATTATTGTAGACTATTTACAATTTAGTTAATAATATATATATATATATATATATATATATATATATATATATATATATATATATATATATAAAAGGCAGCTCGTGAGCTGTCGAACAACTAATTTTGGGCTCGAGCTCGAGCTCGAAAAACCCGAGCTCGAGTTCGAGCCTTTGTCGAGCCGGCTCGTTTACCACCTCTACTCTCACGATACCACGATTATTGAAAATTAGAAAAATCACATGTATGTTAAGCCTAATTAAAGAACCTTTTTTGGAAGAATCTACGTTTGAAGAAATAAAATTCATTTAGGGATATCACGTTTTAAATTTTAATTAAATTTACACTATTTCAACAAAACTGTGTGTACAAATTTAATTAGTTTTAACAAATAACCCTGATAATTAAGGAGTTTCAATGATGACATGTTGCACGTACGTTATCATAAATAATTTAGGATAAATTACATCTACACCTCTAAGATATGTTAAAATAATTTTAAGGCCATGTGGTATTGGTAATTACACTACACCTCTAAATTATTCAAGCTAAGATTTCATGTATTGAGGACCAATATGCACTATATTTATTTCGTGCGGTGCCGTTAATGCTATCATCGATGAAAATGTATAAAATCTTATATAAAATAATAATAATTTAAGCAATGTTAGGGGAGCCATGTCAACCCCTAATTCTATGTTGTCTCCGTCACTATCTAAAATTAATAGTTCGTTAAAACCCTAGCAGAATAACTTATTCAATGCATTATTCCGTTAGGATTCCTAATAATGTTTTAGATGGTGAGTGTAATTTTTGATAGCACATGGACCTTAACTTTTTGTTAGCATACCTCAAGGATTTATGTGTAATTTACTCGTTAATTTATATATATACGACTTAATTAAAATGTATAGGCAATGTTTGGAACCGTTTTGGATCTTATTTTGATTTCTATTTTGAGGAAATATGTTTTGGGGGAATAATTTGAGAATGAAAGTAATGTTTGTTTGTATTTTGGAAGGAGACACGATACACTGTAGCAATCAAATCATGTTTAAAGGTGTTAGAAAAATGTATTTTTGAAGAAAAAAAATTGAAAGGTGAAGTGATGTTTATTTGTTTTTTAGTGAAAACATTTTTTTACTGTAGCAGTCAAATCATTATACTGTAGCAGTCACATCATGTCTGAAGGAGAGAGAAACTTTTGAAATTGTTTTGAGAAAATAATTTGAAAAGTGTAATAAATTCCATTTTGTTTTGGGGAAACAATGAAAACAAAATAAATAAAGATGGTTTCAAACATTGGCATAGTATTTACTTAATTAAGCAAATTAGGGAACAATTAACCAGAGTACGTAAAACAGGTGTACGTCTAATCAAAGACATGATCGTGGTGAACTCACACAATCTTAGTTTGTATTCCATTTTTCAATGCATTATTCTCCATGTCTGTATACCAACATGAGTCTTCGGGCCGGGCCCACCCCAAAGAATATATATCTTTAAATTTGTATTTAAAATCGCAAAAACAAATTTGTCACCTTGTAATACCATACATTGGCATCGATAAACAGTGAATATTGTTGTGTGTGTGTAGGAAAAACCCCAGCTAAAAAACAAATAATAATTAAATTAATTAGCCATGAAAGAGCCAAAGTTAGCTAGACTGCCCACCACCACCACCCCTAATTAATCTCCTAATTAGTCATTTTTAATCTTAATTAATTAAATTAATCCTCTGTAAATTAAATTAAATTAACTGTAGGTAGCTAGCTCCTCATTAAGATGAGATGTAGACTCGCCATCATCATCCATTAATTACCATTTCGTTTTCATCATATCATATATATATTTTGCATCGAAAACTAGGTCTTCATTTCATTTTGAATTTAATATATATATATATAAAATTAATGGAGGAAGCAAGATATTGGATGTGGGCTGGTAAGAGTAAACCCGATTTAGATCCTCATCTTCTTGCTGCTACAGCAGCCATGAATTCTTCTTACAACGAATCTTGGGAAGAGCAGGCTTTTGCAGAAGATGCCGCCGGAGTACTCGGAGGGTGTGTTTGGCCGCCAAGATCTTACTCTTGCAGCTTTTGCCGGAGAGAATTCCGCTCGGCTCAAGCTCTCGGCGGCCATATGAATGTTCACCGGAGAGATAGGGCTAGGCTGAAGCAATCTCCGGCGGTTCTTCCTTCCTCAGCTGATCAAGTCATTATTCTGCCGCCACATATTAACAACGCCGCCGTAGTTAACTATCCTGCATCTCTTGATGCTCCACCGCCGCCGCCGTACAGTTATTACAACTCTTCCTCCCATGAGAATATATGTTCTTTCTTGTACAGCAACCCTAACCCTGAATTTTCACCAACCTCACATACTAGGGTTTCACATCCTGCAAAAGTTATTGATGCTGACGACACCATGACGTCATCACCACCACCACCACCAAACCCTTGTTTCTTGTCGTCGTCCAGTAGTCTTGTTGTTCGGAAAAACGATAGAGAGATTTATAACATGGTTCCGTCGTCGCTGCATAGTATTCCTCGGTCGTGGTCGAGCTTTATCGCTGAGAAAAGAGACGGTGCAGTACTTTCGGATTCGATCAAGAACGACGGAGAGAAGAAATCGACGGCTGGTGTTGATCATCATCAGCAAGATTTATCTAGGGCGGCTGAAAAAGCAGCAGCCGAAGATTGTGTTACCGATGATTTGTCAACAAGCTTGAATTTGGTCGTTCGTCGAACACAAACAAACACATCGAGCGACGAGGAAGTAGCTAGTTTCAAGAGGAGGAAAATCGAATCGACAAAACCTGATAAATCTGAGGTTTTCAAATTCAGTTCGGGTTCCGTCGAAGACGAGCTCGATCTTGAGCTAAGGCTTGGGAATATTCTTCAAAGGTGAAGTAAAGATCAAATATTTGCACGAGTTTGCTATTAATTACTTCGTTATTATGTGTTCATTTTTAATTTTTTTTTCTTCGGATCTGGATGACAAGGCGCCCTCTTCGCTGGCTCGATTTATATTGCTATAAGTTTTCACCGTTAATTAGCTCGAAGCATATATATTCATGTTGGATTTGCAGTTTGTATTAGTAAAACCAATTACTAATCTAAATTCTGAACATTATTAATAACATGTATAAAAGTTCTTAGCTTTTCACATGCATTACACATGACTGAGAAACAAGCGAGATTATTATGATCGGATTCGTATATATTAGTACTAGAGACGATAGTGAAAATTTGTCAAACGATCGATGTATGATACGATTTTGTGGCATGAAAAAGTTATGCATTTTGTCGCAGCAAGATCATGATAATTGTACATGATCGAAATAGGAAGAATCTAAAGAAATTGGCCTAATTAGGTGAACGTTATAGCTTCGAATGCGGAAAGAGCTAGTGATATATCGAGTAGCTATAATCAAGAAACAAGTTCATTTCGTAGATCGAATTAGCTGTTACTATTCGTTTATATTCCCACTCTTAATTGCATGACTAGCTACTTCAGGAAACTTTATATGGACCATTTTCTTTCAATGTTATATTTACTACACTTAATTAGAAGGGAGAGAGAGAGAGAGAGAGAGAGAGAGAGAGAGAGAGAGAGAGAGAGAGAGAGAGAGAGAGAGAGAGAGAGAGAGAGAGAGAGAGAGAGAGAGAGAGAGAGAGAGAGAGAGAGAGAGAGAGAGAGAGAGAGAGAGAGAGAGAGAGAGAGAGAGAGAGAGAGAGAGAGAGAGAGAGAGAGAGAGAGAGAGAGAGAGAGAGAGAGAGAGAGAGAGAGAGAGAGAGGAGGTAGGTTGAAGAGATGAAACTGAGTGAAAAGTAGTGCATGGAATGCAGTGAGCACCTTTTCCCAGTAGCTGATCATTATTATTACTATTATTATCTCACCTCACTGACAATATATCATATATATATATATATATATGATCGCATCCATCTGTATGTATCTAAAAGAAAGCTCCAACAAGAAAGACAGAGAGTTAATAATTAAGTTCAATTTTCACATTTTCAAGTATATATAAAGTCAGATACAACACAACATGGATTCCCTTTTCCTTTGTATTATTATCCTATATATTAATTATCATCTCTAATTTAGAAGTATTAGCACAAATCCATGCACTTTAATTAATTTTTGTTTCTCTTCTTCCTTTTCTTTTTTCCCAATCCTTCCAAAATTGCCACCAACTACAAGGAATCAATCCCACTTAAGTATTCCACAAATACCCTTTTATATTCTCTATATTCACATACCGAATATTATTGCTTCGTCATCGCTAACTACGCCTCCTTTTGTTTCTTCCTATATATATATTTTCATTTCTATTTTATTAATTTTTTTTCTCAAGTAGAGATCTAAGAATTATGAGCATTATTTTCTATAGTAGCAAGAATAAAGAATGTTTGGTGATATTCCTCATGTGAAACCCTAGCCAGCTCTACCATGATAGTATATATATGTATATATATATAATATATATGTATGTATGTATATAATTATGACCAAAATCCACATCCGTGATTCTTGGATTCTTATGATGGATGTGTAAATTAAATATAGTAAATTAATTAACTGAAATAATTAAAGTAATGATTTAATTTTTTGATTTGTCCCTTGTCTTTTTAGTGTAGGTGTACTTACGGTTAGTGATTATATGTATATATAAATTATTAATTACTTGGAAAAAGACATTTTACTGCACTTTGTTTTTGTCGAAGTTTTTTAACATAAGTGTAAAGTTGGGATTTTGGCTATTTGTTTGTCCTGATTTAGTAAATAAATTAAAATAGTTCTGATGAAAAAGCAGAGGGATTTAATTGAAGTTGAAATGTGAAGAGCACATGGGGGTTCATCAGATGTGTCTGTTTCTCATCAGGAATTAATAATTAAATTATATATATATATATATTAAATAATAGGGGAATTTTAATTAATTGAAAAAGGAATTTGATTAAATTGAGAGGAATGGGGTGTTAATTCCAAGCTAGGCTTGTGGGTTGTGTTACTGTTTTTAGTGTATTTGATAATTCCAAGATATTCATTAATTGATTAAAGTATGTAGTAGGATACTTACAGGAATAAATGTGTTCTTGATTCCAGAATTTAGCTGTGTCTGTGTTATGACAGCTGTACGTGAGTATATTTTGCATGGGGATGGATATATTTATTATTTATATATCTTGTGTCCTGAGATCAATACTATATACTTATTTTAATATTAATTGGTTTAAACATTGATGTATTATTTATATTTAAAAAATAAATAAAAAATATTTCACTTCTTTTGTTATATTTTGAAATTATACATACTATAATTAATAATTTAGGAATATTCAGGGAATTTGATTTTTAGTTTTTACTACAATAGAATTTTCGGTCAACAAGAGTTTATTTGCAGAAGTCCATAGCTTATTTGGGTCAAGTACTATTTGACTTTTTAAGCCCAACTAATTAAAACGGCCCTTTTTCCTTCTAACTCAAATCACTATTTAATGGACATTTATCCAAAATCATTACAGCAATATTTATTGTCTAGACTAAAATTCTTCGTGCAAAATGAATTTTTTAGTGCTGTAAGTTTACTAATTAGATTTAGTTCACTATGTTTTAAAATTAAACTTTTAATCTTATAAGTTCAAAAGTTTGAGATTTGATTTTATTACCTGCTATAACAGTTAATTCAATGGTTGGTTCGGTTCGACATTGAATGTATAAAGATAAACATATTAAATATAAAATCGATGATTTACGTACCCTTTAAGGACTCATTTTGGCCAACCTTTAGAGACTCGCAATTGTTAACATTTTTTGGTGGTCCAAATTTTGTAGTTATGTATCATCAAATATTTTTATCAATTATTGTCGTCAACTATGCAGTATATTTGGTACGGTGTAACATGTTGTAGACATTAATTAATTACTTTGAAATTAATTTATATATACGAATATGATGATTATTTGGGCATAACCACCGTCCACCGAGTACATACAAACATCTATGATAAATTATATATTAACCCATTTTTCACTAAGTACGATTAATTAACTTAATTGAATATAATATATATATATATGTATGATTAATTAATTTTGTGAAGGTACGTAATTTGGAGGGACATCCCTTTCGAAGTTGCAGATGTAAGTACGTACACAATTGTGATAATTATGGCAGCGTTTGGACGCACATTGAAGCCACGTATGCATGTATAAATATATTATCTCGGTAATTATAAAAATAAAAACCAATGACTAATTGAAAAATAAAAATAATTGACCAACCGACCATTTGACCAAATCTCTTAATTAATATATATGCATAATTGAAGTTTGTGTAATTAACTAAGCAATAAGAAAAAGGAAACAACAACATCTATCATCCTCTGCTCTCATCTTCAATATCTTCAATTATATCTAGCAAATTAATAATCCATCTCTCTCTAGATCTTGCAACATGGATAATAATCCATCTTCGGGCGGCGAAACGACGAATAATATTACAACGACGTCGTACAGTTGCAGTTTCTGCCGACGTGGATTCTCGAACGCGCAGGCATTAGGTGGACACATGAACATCCATAGGAGAGACAGGGCAAAGCTGATGATGATCGACGGCGACGACGAATTTTCCCGCCAAAATCCCCCGTCTAAGATCGGCACCGAAGACGGTGATGAATATTCTAATAAGTTGATTTTCAACAATCAAAGTACAACGAACGACGACGATGATGAGATTATTATTGTAGTTGAAGATAATTCGATTCATCGTTCGTTGCCGTTATTTACGGAGCAGACGGTGGCGGCGGCACCACCTGCAGAGACCAACGGCAGCAATCAAGAGAAGGCGAAAACGGAGAAATTGAGATTAATTGTTGGTGAAGATGATGATCAACTGTTAGACTTGGAACTTCGATTAGGACCAATTCAGCCTAATCAATATTCCAAGTCAAAGCAACTATAGCTACTTCTTTGCATATACATACATACATATACACATATGGTTAGTACTTAGTAGTACTACTTCCGAGATGATCGATTAATTGTTCGTCACGAGAGAAACACAAGTTCGATTGTACATTTCTTTCAAGGTTTAATTTTTTTTTTTGAAATGTGAAATATTGATTTTACTAATTATATTGATAACACTGAGTGTTCCGGCCGGGTCAACTTATTTACAGATAAGCAAACAATATTATAAAAGGAAAATCGCAATCGGCATAGCTCAACTCGTGTGACAGATCTTATAGAAAGGTAGAATTGGATATGAATTAATCCAATATTGGAATAATCTAAAGTGACAATAATAGTCCAAACGTGTAATATAATGGAGTTTTTTGGACAACGTATTCAAGAAAGATGTTTTTTTTTTATCGATTTTTGCAGATTTCTTTGGTGCTTTGAGAGCGAGAGTTTACGATGATGAAGTGATCGAGGAAATGGATTGCTAGTGTAGGAGTGGAGAACATATATAGGGTAAAAGCTAGCTAGCTAGTGAATTATATTCGAGGGAGAAGCTTCCGGAATTTGAGCAGCCGATCGAAGATGACTCTATCGAAGCTTATCGAGTATGGGAATCAATATGCTTGTTCAACAGCAAGAAAACTCGAAGAGGGTTCAATTAGCCGACAAGTATCTCAAGGAGGCATCGCTTGGCAATGCAAATGAAGACGCCATCAAGAACGGAAGCTTCTACGGTTAGCACCTCGACTCAAATGCGAGTTAACTAACTTTGATCCAACGGCTAGGATTGATAATGGAAGCTGTGCCTATTTTTTTTTTTTTTTTTTTTTTTTTTTTTTTGAGTAAATTCAAGTCCATTACAAGGGGAAATAGGGGAGGGAAGGACTCGAACCCTAGACATTTACCCTATTAGTAAAGGTTAGGTACCAACTCTCCTAATGAGGGTTGGTTGAAGCTGTGCCTATTATTGAAGCCAAATTATTGCAGGATCAAACACATGCAGTCTTCATAAAGTCATATTTGCAGTTATTGCTAAAATTAGAACCAAACATATTTGACAATTAAGACTCAGTATTAATAGAACCATATTCCAATTTACATAATTAGTATCCGATTTAATAATTTATTATAGTTAATTACATCATCATTACATAGACTGCACTACTAGGATCAAAGGCAAAACTTTTGCAATTATTTAAATAAACTCAGTACAGTAGATGTTATTTATATTCCTGCTGTTTAATTAGTGGCTGCTGCTTTATATATTTTAAAATTAAAATATATTATAAATCTACGCTCACAGTTTTAAAATAGTTGCTACCTAACAACACCATGTTAAAAATCAAAATCGGGAAAATACACTTTTCACCCCTCAAATTTGCACTAATTTCACATTTGACCCCTCATATTTACAAAAAATACATTTGATCCTCATGTTTCAAAAATTCAACACTTTTAGTCATTTCCGTCAATTTTCCGTTATTACTAACAGAATCAAGCATGTGCCCGTCACTGCGAGTTAACTGCAAAATGACAGAAATGACTATAAGTATTAAATTATTGAAACATGAGGGACCAAATATTTTTTTTTGAACATGGGGGACCAAATATGGAATTAGTGCAAATTTGAGGGGTGAAAAGTGTAATTTTCCAGATCAAAATCCCACCAATCTTGAATTTCATTTCTATAAAAAAAGAAAACCAGACAAAGCTGTGTGTTCTGCTCTGTTCCTGTAATGGCGATTTACCTCGTACTATTCTTCTTCTCACTCACACTCTTATCAAGCCAAGCTTCATCTCAAACGGATGAATTCACCTATTCCGGATTTTCCGATCCAAAAACCAACCTAACATTAAACGGCGTCGCTCTGATCGACAACGACGGCATTCTCCGGCTGACAAACGAGACCAGCCGGCAATTAGGCCACGCATTCTACGCATCGCCGATCCAGTTCAAGAACTCGACCACCGGCGCCGTCTCCTCCTTCTCCACCTGCTTCGTCATCTCCATCCACCCGGAGTACCCGAGGCTCGGCGGCCACGGCCTCGCCTTCACGGTGGCGCCGACCAAAGAGCTGAAATCCGCCCTCCCCAGCCAGTACCTCGGCCTCCTCAACTCCAGCAACGGCGGCAACTCCTCCAACCACATCTTCGCCGTCGAGTTCGACACCGTCCAGGACTTCGAGTTCGGCGACATCAACGACAACCACGTCGGCATCGACATCAACAGCCTGAACTCCAACGTATCCGCCGCCGCCGCCTATTTCTCCGGCGACGACGGCTCTGTGAAGAACGACCTCAATCTCAAAGGCGGCAAACCCATCGTCGCGTGGGTGGAGTATGATTCCGCCACGAATCTCGTCAACGTCACTCTTTCTCTCTCTTCGACGAAACCCAGAATCCCTGTCTTATCTTTACAAGTAGATCTCTCCCCAATTTTTCAAGAAAATATGTTCATCGGATTCTCTGCTTCAACTGGTTTGCTCGCGAGCTCACACTACATTCTCGGATGGAGCTTCAAAATGAACGGTGAAACCAAATCGTTAGATTTGGGTTCTCTCCCCTCAGTTCCAGGTATCAAGAAGAAACACACGCGCCTAATTACAACCATCTCCATTACAGCAATTTGTTTCATACTAGGATCAATACTACTCGCTGTTTTCGTAATTAAAAAAATCAAGAACAGAGAAGTAATTGAATCTTGGGAGCTGGAAATCGTGCCCCATAGATACAAATACCAAGAGCTCAAACGCGCCACAAAAAGCTTCAAAGACAGCGAGCTACTCGGTACCGGAGGCTTCGGCCGTGTCTACAGAGGCACACTCGGCCGAAACCCCGAAACCCAAGTCGCAGTCAAACGCATCTCACACGAGTCCAACCAAGGTGTTCGAGAATTTGTCTCAGAGATCTCCACCATAGGCAGGCTCCGCCACCGCAACCTAGTTCAGCTACACGGGTGGTGCAGGCGTGGTGCCGACCTTCTCCTCGTCTACGATTTCATGCCCAACGGAAGTTTGGATAAGTTCTTGTTCGAAGAAACACAGCCCACATTGAATTGGGAACAAAGGTTCAAGATTATTAAAGGTGTTGCTTCCGGACTTTTATACTTACACGAAGGCTACGAACAAATAGTCATCCACCGAGATGTCAAAGCTAGCAACGTGCTCCTCGACGGAGAAATGAACGGCCGGTTAGGAGATTTCGGACTCGCGAAGCTATACGATCACGGGTCGAACCCGGGTACAACCCGGGTCGTTGGTACGTTGGGTTACTTGGCTCCGGAGCTTCCACGAACCGGGCGTGCCACGACGGGGTCCGACGTGTTTGCATTCGGTGCACTATTGCTCGAAGTTGCATGCGGCCGTAGGCCTATTGAATCGAAAGCGGGGCCGGATGACTTGGTTTTGGTGGATTACGTGTGGAATAAGTGGAAAGAGGGATCGGTTCTTGATTGCGTGGACGGAAGAATGAAGGGAGATTTTGACGAGAACGAGGTTTTGATGGTGTTGAAATTAGGGCTGATGTGTTCGAGTAACGAGCAGAAAGGGAGGCCTAGTATGAGGCAGATTGTGAGTTATTTGGACGGTGAGATTGAAATGCCGGAGGTTTTGCGGGCGCCGGGTACTTTTAGGGAGGACGGTGGGTTCGAGGATTATTTGCATTCGTATGCTTCTTCGTCGTTTGAGAAAACGAGTTCGTCCGTACGCACTGTTGACTCGATTTCGTCGCCTGTTACGCATCTCCTTCATAGTATAGGGGAAGCTAGATAGATAGATAGTAGTGTTCATGCATGGTGAGTTTCTTGATGAATTTTCAACTTAATTAGTGATTGTTGTGTTAAGTGTTTATGATTATTAATTAGTATTATCAAATAGTATAACAAATTAAAGTTGGTGGTTGTGTTAATTAGTATGAAGCATGTGAATATCAATCCAAACAAAATGAAGGATTTGATATGCATGATTCGTTTTTAAAGATGTAATAGCACATGGGAAATACAAAGCTTGTCAGCAAAAATGAATAATGCCAAAATTTGGTTCTGTTTCTATTTTATAAAAAACTGGTTCAAATGAATTAAAACTAAAAATACAGTTAATTTTTATTTATTTTTTAAAGATATGTATGATTCGACCGACATTGCCTATAATTTTTAATTGTTTTGAATCCTTTAAAATTTAAAACATAACTCATTCACCCGACATTCAATCTAACTGATTCAAGTTGGATTGGAAACTTATTTTAAATGACTACAATTTTTGTGTTTTATATTTTTATAGAATCAGAATAGAAAAGGGTTGAAATCAAGTTCAAGTCAAAACAGTATTAGTAAAATTGAAACGACATTAAATATTTAAGTTTAACTAATTGCCCGATTTAAAACTTCTTATCTTAATAAAGCAAGATTAATTAACCGAAGTATAGTGGATTGTCCACCAGGCATGTAATAATGATGGCCAATCCCAAAGTTGACTTATGGTTGACTTAAGAGTCTTTCTTCTCGTCTACTATCAATTAATTTGCACCAAACACAGCACTAAGGAAAAAAAGAAGCAGAGCACTAATGGAAGAAGAAAATTTATTATTATTGAAATTCAAACACAAGTAATGTAAAATTAGCCAATCATTGGTGGTTTGTGAACTCTCCCGGTGGAATCGATGAAGATCCGGACCCTATCAGTTCTGTAATCCATTGTCACGAACCAATCAGGTTGAACCACGTCAACACGGGTGCCAGCTGGCATCTCTTCCTTTATCTTCCTTTCCGCTTCTTCTGCGGTCAGCCCTACCACTTCCGGCCATGTTCTTCTCCTCCCACCTGCAAAAAAAAACCCAATTTATTACAAAACCCTAAATATATTAATTAACTCATTACCAACAAGATAATCAATTTTTGATACGAATAAAAGTAGTTTTAAAATTTAAAATAAATAAAAATTACCAGCTGGGGAGGATGATAGCTCAAGGGGATTTTTCTGCGGAAAGATTTCTGGTTGACTCTCCTTCTCAGCCATTAGTAGCTAATAATAAAATGAATAATGATTTTACAAGATTTATGGATAATTTATGTATCTTTATAGACTGTATTTATATTTTATATATATATAATTGCTGAGAAAATTTCTAGTCTATCCATTTGTTTTAGACAAGGAAGAGAATATAATCTGGGCCGTCTGTGGTTAGGATGCCGGCCGAGCAACGTTAAATTAAGAGTATTCATTCGGTAAACTGTACCCAAGCGAATCGGAATTTCGATAAAATTGAAATTTCGGTACATCAAAATTTTGTATCGTTTACTGTTATCAGTACGGTATTTTAACAAATTAATTCAGTTTTTTCGGTTAGGTACTGATATAAAAAAATATTTAAATTAATTACTTTTTGAATTTGACATTCAATTTTCAGTAATCGGCTAATTTGTAAATAATAAAAAAAAAATTATCAATCTATAAGTATTTTATAATTTGTTATAACATTAAATGATTTAAAATAAAAGAAAAAAAACATTAAATATTTCGATATTCCCTACGATATGATATACCGGGAATCAATACCTTATACCGAAATTCAAGAAATACCGAATTTTCAGTTCGATGTCTACCGACCAAGTGAACGTACACCCCGACGTTAGATATTGTACTGCATCTATGTTGCAAAATTGAAGTCTGTGATGAATCTTAATTTGGAATTAACCGAGTATGTATTGGGCCGTTTATTCTACCTGCCAAATAGAAACAGGCTCCATCAGGTCCAAATACTGAATGGCCAGGTCCACAAGAGCAGCAGAATTCAAACCGAGTCCCACACGACCACATATTTTCAATGCCCCGATTTATCAGCAACCCAATTTGCCAGATACTACATTCTAAGCTCACTTGTCGGTTATCATCGATCAATTTTGCATTACAGCCTTATAAATCTACACAGTAACATACAACATGAATATACGTGGATGTGTTCGAAAATAAACAACTATTTACGTACACGTATATACTGAAATTTTACCGGAGTACTCCATTCTTTTATTTAGGCACGATGACCGATGACTCTAACGTTGAACGTGTCTTCTTTCATTTATCAAACCTGCTACAGAAGAAATGCATGCAACTCCGAGCTAAGTAAAAAAGGACTAATATAACAAAGAACAATATATAATACCCTCAAAAAAGTCTCTTCTGGCAGCTAAAAATATTACCTTGTGTCCTTTTCACCATGTTGTTATAGGCCAGAAGCTTCATTTTTGCTGTATCTGAAGACAAAAAAGAAATACACGTCATTATCATCTTGCTGTTAAAAGTCTTTCTTCCCAAAGGCACGTGAACGAAATAAATGAAACGCATCTGTTTCCATTCAAGAAAAAACAAGCCATGTCTCCAATTAAGCTTTTAGCATTGCTTTTGCTACCTCAAATTGTAGCCATTTCAGCTTCAGATTCTTCTCCTTTCACCTTCAATGGATTCAAATCGGCTAACTTGAGCCTCGACGGCGTAGCCCAACTCGCACAAAACGGCCTCTTGATTCTATCAAACTTCACCAAACAGCAAACAGGGCATGCTTTCTATCCACACCCTCTTACTTTCAAGAATTCCTCAAATACCTCAGCTTTCTCTTTTTCGACCTACTTTGTATTCGCCATAGTTCCCCAATTTCAGCTACTAGGAGGTCACGGGTTGACTTTCGTGTTATCTCCGACAAGAGGGCTCCCAGGTTCTCTTCCAAGCACATACCTCGGACTCTTCAACGAATCCAACAATGGAGATATTTCCAATCATATAGTTGCAGTTGAACTAGACACCCTTAGAAGCGCTGAATTTAATGATATCGACGACAATCATGTCGGTATAGATATCACCAGTTTGGAATCGGTGCTAGCTAAGCCTGCAGGGTATTACGAAAAGGGTGTTTTCAAGAATTTGACTCTCAATAGTGGCAAGACAATGCAAGCTTGGATCGAATACGACGGTGTTTCAACACTATTCAATGTGACACTAGCTCCACTAAAATCAAGAAAACCAAGTACTCCTCTGTTGTCATTGAGGTACGATATTTCGCCTATTATCAATCAGATCATGTACGTTGGATTTTCGGCCGCGCCTTTACAGACATCACATTATATATTGGGGTGGAGCTTCGATATCAACGGAGCTGCTCCACCGTTGGATCTCTCAGAACTACCCAAGATCCCAAGAATCGGACCGAAGAAACAACCAAAGTCTTTAACAATCGGTTTGCCTGTGATCTCTGTAGTTTTACTACTGTTGGTTACCATTTGCGTGGCTTACTATGCTAGACGAAAATGGAAGTTCGCCGAAGTTGTTGAAGGGTGGGAGCTTGATTATATACCCCACAGATTCACATACAAAGATTTGTACATTGCCACCAAAGGGTTTAAAGAGAAGGAGCTATTAGGAAGCGGGGGATTCGGTAAAGTGTACAGAGGTATAATGCCTAAATCAAGAATCGAAGTTGCGGTGAAGAAGGTTTCTCACGAATCGAGGCAGGGGATGAAAGAATTCGTGGCGGAGATTGTCAGCATGGGGCGGCTCCGCCACCGGAACTTAGTGCCGCTGCTGGGGTACTGCCGGAGAAAAGGGGAGCTCCTCTTGGTGTACGAATACATGCCTAATGGGAGCCTGGATAAATATTTACACGATCAACCAAAATCAACTCTCACTTGGGCGCAAAGATTTAAAGTGATCAAAGGCGTAGCTTCCGGGATTCTTTACCTACACGAAGAATGGGAGCAAGTTGTGATTCACAGAGATATAAAAGCCAGTAATGTATTGCTGGACGGCGAATTGAAAGCGAGATTGGGGGATTTTGGCCTAGCTAGGTTGTACGACCATGGATCCGACCCGCAAACGACCCATGTTGTTGGTACTCTCGGGTATTTGGCTCCGGAACATACCAGAACGGGTAAAGCCACGACCAGCAGCGACGTGTATGCATTTGGGGCTTTTTTGCTTGAGGTGGTTTGTGGGAGGAGGCCGGTGGATCCGAAGAGTTCGTCGGAAAAAGCGGTGCTTGTGGAGTGGGTGATTTCACTGTGGAGTGGAGGTGAGATTTTGGGGGCGGTTGATCCGAATTTGGGGGGTGAATTTGCTGAGGGGGAAGTGGAATTGGTGCTGAAATTAGGTTTACTGTGCTCACATTCGAGGCCGGAGATTAGGCCTGGGATGAGAGAGATTGTGAGGTATTTGGAGGGGACGTTGGCTATGCCGGAGTTGTCGTCGGCGGCGGGTGTCTCCGGCGGGGAGTTGGGGTATTATTGTGAAGGATTTGATGATTATCGATTCTCGTATACGTCTACTGCGCAGACTGCCATGTTTTCCGGCTCACTCTCTGTTTCGAATTCCCTTATTTCCGGTGGTCGGTGACAAATTTTGTGCACCAATTTTTATGTTTTGCATTTTTTAACGCAAGTATGCTAGTTATGTATTATTTCAAATATATTTTGGAGCTCGTGTGTCATGTTAATTCATATTAAGTAGTATTATTATTTAACAAACTCAATTAAGAATAAATTCGTTTTGTAACATTAATAATAAATTATTATTATTAATGAGGTAAGTTGAAAAAAAAGTTATAATGAATTTATAATGAACATTGCAAGATTATACAATCCTAACATTGGGGAAGGCAATTTGAATAAATACACATTTTAATCATAACGTTAATATAATTATTTAATCCAATCCAAAATAAAAAGTAAAAACAATAAAATTATATCTGAAATAAAATATATATATATATATATATATATATATATATTATAACATTTTTGAACTAAAGTCGTGTTTACATCTGGAAAGTCGCTATGATGAGTTGAGCAGAGTGGGGAAAGAAGAACAAATTGGGGTTTAATTAAACAGATTGAAGAGTTTTGAAGAAATTCATCAACAAGTCGATCGAATCAGAAAATGCCGGTGAGAGTTGTCGATACTTCTTCTCCTTCCCAAGTCTCTGGTATTCAATTTTCTTATTTTTCTTTCTAATTTTCATTTCTCCATTACTACTCTTTTCTTAAGCTTTTTCTGTTTTTTTTTTTCGTTCCAAATTGAAATTTCTCTTTGTAAGAAATCGTTGCTCTCGGTTTACAGAAACGTCGAATTGATGGAATAAACTATACAATTACGATCTAGGTTTTCATGCCGTTTTCCGTATATGTGTGTGTGTGTGTGTTGACGAGGAACTGGGAATATGTGCAAGTTATTGTTCATATGGCGATTGATATTTTACTGTCACTTTTGAAGGTACAACTGCAGGAAACACTTTGCCGCCGCCTTGTACTCTTTTAAGCGTTGGTCAGGTAATCTCTACCGTCGTTGTAGCCTCATGTTTAACTTATTAGCAGGTTACAATTTTTTTTTTCATATTCGTTGATGTGTTGGAATACTTCGTCTGTTAGTAATTTATGACTGGTGAATAGTCGGAATTATTTTGGAAAATCGATGGAGTGATAGTGGTGTACTAACAGGACCATCAGAAGAATCGGATGCCAATTTATTACGTCGTTATATGATTATGTTGTTATCTAAATTGCTTCTGAACTTTGATTGCGGTATCACATTTTTGAGCTGAGAATTAGGTAGCATTCCATATTAAGAGTTGACACTTGGGCAATATTATTAATTAATCGTGATTTTCAATTAATTTGGGATCATCAACTTCGCCCAGCTCACTGACTCAATCATGAAAAAAATTAAATCTTTCGACTAATAGTGTTTGTCATCTTCTGCTGATACCACGTGTTTCATTACAGTCCTTTTCAGGGACTCAAAATGTTTCAAGTCTACAGAAAGACGAAGCATGGAGAGTAAATGTAAGAATCAAAGGTTGTGATCTTGATCATGGCTACTTATGTGGCACAATGGAAGCTCTAAATGTTCCTATGGCCGATACACCTGTAAAAACTCTGCTCTTTAATCTGTAATTTGTTTCATTATATGATAAGACGACTGATTTAACAGGCACCTTTAGATTGATAAAGAGTAAAGACTGATTTATCCTCGCTTTTTTTTTTCTTCTAATCTTCATCTCAGGTTGTTACTTTCTGGGAAGGGGAAATTGTTGATACCAAGAATTATACTTTCTTCACTGGAAAATGGGGAGCAACGTAAGTTTTTTTACCTAGTAATTCTCATTTACGGCTGAGTGAAAAACTGTTCGAGAGTTATCGATGGAATATTTAATCGATTATTTATAATTGACTGGGTAATAATTACGAGCAGTGCAGAAGACGATATAAAGCACTGGACAAAGTTCCCGTCATTCCCACCTTTACTTGTGAGTACTATCAGCATTCCCCTCGTTATGTATTTACGCTATCTCACTATTTTCGTCTTCTCCAGAGCCAAGTGGAAGTTGATGGGGGGAAATCTCTAGACTTGAGTAACTATCCTTACATATTTATGGTGATAGCCTCGATCCTATCCTTCTACAGTTAGTAAAAATACATAATGAATAGAACCGCTGTATGAATTCTGTTTCCCAATTCGATTTGCAGAGGTGGAAAGAGCAATACTTTGTGAATGTTGGACCTGACTGCGGACTGACAATTGCTGGATTTTATTACGTTTGCTTCTCTTGCAACGATGGTTCGATTAACGGCTTCTATTATGACCCTAACAGCAGGTATGCCACATTTCTTGCCAGTGATTATTTTCTTCCCGTTTTACATTGATTATATATGCTCGTCCACAATGATATGATCTTCTTGCGTTATGCATATAGTATATCTGTATTCGGTACAGTTTACATCATCGATATATTGAGTGAATGATCTAATACAATGATAATAATATATAATGTTGCAGCCCTTTCCAGAAGCTGGAGCTCAAGTCCAATAACGATGAAAAATCAGGGTTCCGTTTCTCGACATACGAGTTGCAATAAATTGAAGGCATGGAGTTGGTATAATATTACTGGGAAGCCTTAATCTTGGAGTGAAATGTAGTTATCCAGAGATGATGTGGCTATGAGCTGAACTCGCACAAACAGTTTGGTGGTTGCAAATGTGCAGTGTCTTTTGGTGACGTGGCCTTTTGTCATACGCCCAATCCAATTTTTTTTTTTTTTTTGCTATTTTTTCTGATATATATATAAAACAACCATAATATCTCTATCCTATTTTGGGCTTCCTTTGTAGCTAGTATTTAAAATTTAAAAATTAAAAAGTAAATTAATTAGACAAGATATGGTGGAGATAACCATAGCAATTAATTTCTTTGAGGGTGTAATATAGTATAACCAACCTACGCATCACGTAGAATGGGTTTTTGTTTTGTATTTATTTTTATTTAAATCGTATTTCATTTTTTATTATAAAATTAATGTATGAATGATGTCACTTTATTATAGATATATTATGTATTGATAATTTTTCAGAATGGAGAATAATGTTTGAAATGACAGGCTCGAGGCCCCACTTATTTGTCCCAAAAAACCTGAATAAACAACCAAATGGAAATTGCGTCTGAATTTCGCAGGTATTTTTATCCAGCATGGCATACAGTTGAGAAACTGAAGTTTGTGCAGTTTTTATTTAATTCATGATTGAATTTTGCTAGGTTGGTCCCGATTAAAAAATAATAATTAATTATTAAAATAAATCGTGCCCCCATTATGGCCACGGTGGGCCCACACGTGTGCCATTTAATGAACAAAAAAGCCCTAATCGAATGAAAAAGGACCAAAAACAAAATCATAAAAAAAAATAAAAAATTAAAGAGAGGTGAACAAGAACAAGGGCATTCCTCGTGCCTATTCACGCATTTGCTTTGTTCCAGTAAAAAACAAAAAAAGAATCGCTGGCAAAATTATATATATACATACACATATACATACACGTTGTTTCACTTCTGAGCATTTACCCCTTTTCATGAGGGACGTGTCCCATTTTTTATATCTCATGATCCGACTTCACCACCACCCCCATACTCCTACCCCCCCCCCCCACCAACCTATTCCTCAACCGCCTTCCTCCACCACCACCACCACCACCAGACACTATATATACATGTAATATAACCGCCTTCAAAAGTAATAAAATCAGAACTAACCAATCAATATAGGATTATATATATATGTTCTGTTATTATTGATTAAACTGCTTTTTCTTTTTTGTGTGTGTGTGTATACGGGAAATGGAGAATTTACTATGCAATGAAGTGTGGCTAATGACCCCTGATAATGGACAAGAAAACGGAGGAAGTAGTAATGCGAACGCGAATGTCGAAAGTTCGTTGTTTTTGTCGAAAGAAGATTGTGAAGAAGCTTTAGGTGTTTTTCTTGGGAAGGAAGCAACTTATATGCCTCAACCACCCTACTTTCAGCTTCTCAATGCTAACGGTTTTCTCCGTAATGCTAGGTTTAAATCTGTTACTTGGCTTCTTAAGGTATATATATAGTCTTCGAAAGATCTTCACATGGCGATCGACCTATTTATATATATATATGCATGTAAATATATATTTCTTGCTGAAAATTTTCATTTTTTTTTATTATGTAGTCTCAAAGGAGAATGAATCTGTGTCGTGGAACAGTGTTTATCGCCGTGAATTATTTGGATCGGTTCGTTTCAGTGACTCATGAATGCCGAGTAAGAAATGCCTTATGTTATGTTTATAACACACTCTAGTTATTAATTAGGGTTTCTTTAGTAATTCAGACTTGTTATATTAATTAAATTAATGATGTTTTCAGGAATGGAAACAGTACTGGATGTTTGAACTCCTCTCCGTCGCATGTTTATCCGTCGCCTCTAAATTCAACGAAACAACGATGAATCTCCAACTGCATGAATTCCAGGTAATTATATTAATTTCCAATTTTGTTTTTCTGCATTTGGATATATAATATAACAAAATATCTGAATATTTGTTTCACATATTACAGGTGGAAGGTGATCTCGAGAAATGCTTTGATCCGGGCCTAATTCAGCGAATGGAACTAAGACTGATGAAGGCATTAGGATGGAGAATGGATTCTACGACTCCGTTTTCTTATATCGACATCTTAATACATAGTATTCATCACGCCTTGAACAAATCCGTGGTCCACGATTTCACTCAACGTGTTAATGAATTACTCCTCGCTGCTCTTTTAGGTACCACAATTTGCATACATATATATAAAAATTAAATTTTGTTTCTTCAAGTGTAAGCAAATATTTATCCGTAAACGTATTCTGATGAATAAGGATTAATTTATTTTCTTCTCGTACTGATAAAAAAAAAAAAAAAATATTGGTTCAGACCCTAAATTCCTGGAGTTCAGACAATGTGTTGTAGCCATATCTGCAGTCAAACGTGCATTTGAAGAGTTATCGCCGTCGATAGATATAGCTTCGCTTGCACTTTTGGACAATGTTGTCCCTCAAGATCAAAAGGTGAGATTATTATTACAAGAGTACTTAACTTGTGAATAATGCTTAGATTCTTTTTATTTTTTTTCTGATAAAAAACATTTGTGCTGTAGGACGATTTAATCAAGTGTGGAAGGATTATGGGGAAACTATTATCGGTTCAAGATCACGATAATATGTTAGTTTGTGCAAATTCTTGGCACAGTAGCCCTTCGAGTCCGGTAACTGTATTGAAGGCGGAGTGCTTCAACTTCGACGACTATCAAGTTGAAAATATTTCTCTCGATTTGGGATCGGGTATTAGGAAGAGGAAGTGGGAGGAACCGGAATTCGGGTTGTGAATTTAATTTAATTTAACTGTCATTAATGTTAATGTATGTTGTTGATTAATATGTCTTGTGTTCTACTCAACTGTGAATGAGGTAGACTACTATTTTAATGTATAATAGGATTATCCTCTGTAAGGTAGACCTTCCCTAATAGCTAAGCTTTTTAGAGAAGGTTTTTGTCAATGTACTTTTTAATTTAACAAATAAATGATAATCTGCATTAATTGCATTTTTCTCGTTTTTCAGAGATGATTAGTTGAAGCGATGAAGGTTATTTCAGTCATTTTGACCTCAAAATGTCAGTTGATATATATAAAACAGTGAGATTATTATAAATATCATGTAACAGTATTGTTAAAATAAACTAGAGAAGGACCCTGCATATTCGAGTATCTATGACCGGAACCCTAGTTGAAGTCTCGGAAAGTTCTAGAGCTTCCCCGAGGGACATGCATCGGTTTCCCCATCCATTTTCCGCCCACTCTTTCAATCTTTCCCCTTCTGCTTTTCTCGACTTTTGCACACGAAGTGTTTCTCCATACCCACCTTCACAATATATACATATGTTGTATATTGAACCCTCAAGTAAATTAACTCAAAATGCTAACACAAAGATATATATATATATATATATACATACATACCTCTGGCAAATGCGATAATATCTTTTCTGTAAACATTCTCACTCGCCTCACCTATGCAATCAAAACAAATGAACTCAATATGGGTTCTTTTTTATCGCTAATTAAGCTTTTCTTTCATTCAATTGAATCTAAAGAAGATGAGATATGATTATCGTACCGTCGACATCCAACGGTGGAGCTTTAAGCAATTCTACTGCTCTTCTGAAAAGGCCCTGAAAAACCATTTTACGAAAAGAAAAAAAAAACGCTTCTCTCAACAATCTTTTTTAGTCACAACATAACTAACTCGGGCTTCTATACAAAAAATTCAAACCTCTTGGATTAAAAGGGAACTCGAGCGCTCCACTGTGGCTTTCAGTTTATACATGAGCGCAATGCAGGTCAATACTACACCAACTTTCGGATGATGAGCACCTATATATATATCAATAAAAGCCACCATAATTACAATATGATCATAAACCGAGGACCTCGTTCACAATTATACATTCATGAAGGTGTATGTATGCATACCAAAGCGTTCTTCCGTTTTCTTCAATGCGGCAGTCAATATCTCCTCCGCATCATTAAAGTTCCTACAAAGGGCAAAAGACCGAAATTAAGACACGAGTATATCATGACTAAACAAGACATTGATTGCAAGATAGAACTATATCTTGGGATTGATTACCCCATATGAGCCTCGAGTTGTCCTAAAGCACAAGCAGCTGCAATTTCAACTTCCTCTGCAGCCATGTTACAAGCTCCAATGTTGTTTGGATCAGAAAAACCTTTATTCTCGGATATCTCTTTAATTACTTTCTTATACAATTCCTTTGCAGTCGAGAAATTTCGCATTCCGTGAAGATATTCGCCACAAGAAAGGGCAGCATTGCCTAAATATATATATCACGATTATTAACAAAACGAAGGACATTATGGGCGATATGACGTCTCTCATTTAAGTAAAAACCCGTACCGATGAAAAATCTATGTCCTTGGACTTCATCAAAGATCGAACGTGCTGCAGAAAATGGACTGAATTTCAAACACGATTGATAATAGAAAACAGAAAAGGGACAAAAGGGTATATTTATATAATGCTTACCAGAGTCAAGATTACCACGACTTAGCTCGATTAGACCTTTTAGTGCTTTAATGCGGGTTTCTAAAATCTCAAAGCCACCCCCATCGCCAATTTCTAATCTGATTGATCCTATGATTTGAAGAGCTAAATCTGCAACGGCCGATGCAGCATCCTCCTACACAAAAATGGAAATCGTTTGATTCCATTTTCGAAGAATTTATTATAATATCTAAAATTAGAAAGAATCCTTGTGGTTATCACTACAGCTTACTTGATAATGTTCTAAGTAAATTCCACCTAGAGCTTCAGAAGCAGCAACTGCAGAAGCCAACACACACACACACACACACACACACACACACAAAAACCGTTACTCGAGATCACGAATTTCTCAATCAACTGAGATTGTAATTATCTTCTCTTCAGAAAATGAAAGAAAAGAAGTGTGAAAAATCACCTTTAATGGCAATAGAAGACAAACTCAGTTCTTGAATTTTTCCAAGTCTCTCAATTGCTGACTCATGGAGCCCTCTAAATTAACATCAAAATTAACCAAAAGTGGTATAATTGATTAAAAAGGTAAATGAACGACAGAATCAATTAATAAAAATTACATAAAAACATCGTGGAAAAATAGTGAAGGAAAAAGAGGAACGAACCTCTCAAACATTAAGGTAGAACGAGCGAGTTCAACCAAACCCTTAGAGTTATCATCAAACTGAGTGGACTCGCACTGTTCCAACACCAACAGTCCTCGGGCATATGATTCCTCTGCAATTTCACAGTCACACAAAACAATAATTAATAAATAAACAAACAAAATGACGTCGTTTTACAAAAAAATCGAAAACCTCAAAACTTTAGGGAAATATTGTGCGCAGAAAAAGCAAATGAAGAGGGGGCACCTGTTTTCTGTTCACGGGCGAGAGAGGTGGCGTACTTTATCATTTCAACGGCAACTGGATTGTGCGTGGAATTGCTCAAGCTTGAAGAAAATTGTCTGATTGACGGCGGCGCCACCGCTTCCGGCGGGAGTTTAATAAGTGAAATTGAGGGGATTATTCTATTCCTCATCGCCTTCGAAACTTCAGCTGCGAGCCTCATCGCACTGCTTGATATATTTCCCTTTGTTTTGCTCTTCTGAGCTGAATTAATCAGAGATTCAATAAAGCAAAAACATGAAATTGCTGGCCGGTGGAATCAAATTTACTCTGTTTTCTCTTCTTTTCTTCTTTCTCAAATATTCCAGCACACATCACTTTCTTTCAGTTTAATTGTAAAAATAAAATAAGCTCCTTCATTAGTTCAAGAAATGGGCCGAATTGGGTCCGATTGGCCCGGAAACTCAATTGGGCTAATTTCTTATTCCACATTCCAAATTCCAAAAAATCAATTTTCTATTTATTTATTTTTATATTGGGATAGGAATATAGGATACATATTTTGTCCGATTTTAATGTAGTATATCTTAGAATACCAATTTTTTCCAAAAAAATATTCCAATTTCAATTTCAATTTCCAATTTTCAAATTCTAACAAAATAAAAAGACTAAAAAAGCCACTGTAAGTGTGCTAATCCTAAACACCAATGCTTCTCCTTCTACCTCAAATGCTCCACCCCAACAATGGAGCAACAAGCCTGGTAATAAACGCAATAACCAACAAATAAAACGAAATACCGATTGCCCGAACACGAAAACCATTCATTTATAGAGACTAAGAAACAACCGAGCACAAAAATCTACGGTCACAACACGACAACAAAAACACATTTTTAACAACACCCACAGCAGAGTGAATGCATTACATTGAATTTTTCTGAGGACCAATCAACAACGGAGCCTCGTCCTTCTTCTCGCTATCCATATTCGCAGCAGCCCAAGCTCTGAGCGGCGGTTCAAAGTGCTTACTCGCCACATCAGGTGGCAGCTCCGACAGTTCATTTTCCCCATCAAGAACAGCAATCCCCTTCTTGACAAGTGGTGAAGGCCCACAAAAGCACACTCTCCAAAGCTCCTCCACGAGGCGAATTTCCTCTTTCGCCGCTACAAGATCCTCTTCGGACATCTCTGTTATCCTTTTCACCCTTTCTTGTAATACTTTCTTCATATATTTTTCTTTTTCTTTGCTAAATTTTTTAGCAGCTTTACCAGATCCAGATTTGTCTCGTGCCATATCAAGAAGAATACTAAGCACAGCTTCACGTACACCACCGTCACTGCTCGATGCAAGGTGGGACGACGACACAGCCTCAAGTACAAATTCACGTCTTGACTTGTCCACATCAAGTAAATAGCTCATCAAGTTCAAGGCTTTCCTGTAAATATGATATGAACAAACTTAGTCGAGGATTTGATATAAGCTACATTAGATGTTAACACAACCCGAGAGTAGTTAGTTACCTTTGGAATCTCACATTCTCGTCGGTTAAAGCGTCTCTCAGTTTCTCATAGCCATTATCACGAATAAACTCTTCAGTTGCTATCTTGTTATTCCTAATCAGGGCTGGAAAAAGCAACACGAACAAGAACAAACAGAAAAAGATCAGAACAACAAATCATCCATCCTTAGCGTAAATGCTTTACCAAAAAAAGACACTTACATGAGATTGCACCGAGAGCTTTGGTACAAGCTACAATATCAGTATCTGAGGTAAAAATTTTGTCAAGTGATTTGAGACCATGCTGGGCCATGACCACGTTTTGACTTGTCGGGTTGTTCTGGACGATTGTGGTAATAACTTCCGCAGCTTTAGCCCTGATTTTGGAATTGGAATGCTCCAGATAGCCAAGGAGAGGAGTCAAGCCACCAATCTTGTGAAGATCTGACAAATGAAAATAACCAACAAATTCGTTATAAACAACGGAAAAAGTGCTGGCAGATTGTATTTGGAAAGCCACTTCAGAAAAGTTCGATTTCAGCTGAAACAATACATCATCGCATAAAATTCTGCAATGAAGTAGACTGTGGACCTTTATTGGTTTCATTTGGGGCCTTTTTTTCTGAACTATAAGCTACAATATTATTAGTTCAGTATGAGAATGGCCGAATAAAGCAACGAGTCTCATATTGACCTTGTGTTTCAGGAAATCGGGATTTGCCACTACCAATCTTTGGAAATTGGAATAACGAATATGAAGAACACAAACTCGTTATCAGTGTTTTGAAGAAACCGGAACCACGATTCTTAAACTATTCAAGTGGCAGCTCTATGCACCAAGTCCCTACTTAGATAAACTAACTGCCCAACACTACCAACTAACAAAGAACTATCCCAATATCGTAATAACCAGTGCATAAAATAATCCGGAAACAGATAATACAACTAAGAAACTAACCGTTGGCCATGTCGATGCATTCCACATGCTCTTGCAACTCATCCAACATATCTGCACGAACCACCAAAAAAAAAAACAATTGAGAACAAATCGAGTTCTGAATAGCACAAACAGAAGCTAAAATGTTTATCCGTGTAGATATCTACCTTGAATATCTTGATCGGTGACCCCTTGAGATTCCAAATCCTCCTTCGAGGTTTTCATCACAAGTGTTATCTCTTTCATTCTTTTCACAATATCAACTGTCTGCGCCTCCATTGCCTCTTTAAACCATTTTTTATCCGCCTCGCTAAAACCCAAATACAACAAGAAAAGTAATCCATTAAAAAAATTCTCCTACAAACATAATATAAATCAATATCACATCACTCTCATTTTATATCACAATTCAATAACCAAACGAGATTTAGTCACTTCCCCCCTAAAACCCAACCCCATCAAATCAAAACTGTTATAATTAGGGCTTTTTATCAAACCCTAAACCCGAAAATCCATTAGTTCATGGGATTAGGGTTAAGGAGTCTGTCTCTACGTAAATATTGTGTCAATCTATTTAATGTTCACAATTAGTGCTAGTTCATAAATAAACATTCAAAGCAAAGAACGAAGGGTTGTATACCCTAAAAAGAACCCCCAATTTCATAAACGCATGAGAAAATAGAATGGCCGTACCTTAAATTGCGAGAAGGATTAGAACCATCAGCGTGGGAAAGACTCCACTTAAGCAAACCTTGCCAATTGGGACCTTCGCCCGCCATTTTTACTCGATCGAGAAACTCGAAAGGAAATTAAAAAAACGCTGGAAGAATGATTTGCAGATTGAGCGCCGAAAGAAGTTGGTTTTAACAGAAGGAACAAATTTCAAAGAAGTAGAGATTAGAACTTGGTGAGATTGAGCTCAGCTATTTATATATCCGTTTTGTGAGGGGAAATGGAACCAAGAGAGGTTCTGGAATTTACGCGAAGCATCTGGATTGAACGGAAGGTTTGTTAATGAAATTTGGGCCCGGTTCGCCGGCCCAATTCGAGAATAAAAAACCGTTTACCGGTCCAATTAAATGGGTCATTTTGGGCTTCTAGAAGATGGCCCGTATATCTTAAAAGCCTTTGGGCAATAATATTATCTTTTGGTATCAATATTTAGCTCTCTTTAAAATGTTGGGTAAATTACGATCAACCGTGAGATAAGTTAAATAGGTAATTACGAAAAAAAATCTCGTAATTACAACCATCCAGTTAACTATGAATCTTCTTAAACGTTTACTCTTGCGGTGTCAAATTTAGTGAATTCATTAAGATTATGTGGAATATTCTCCAGTGTGTATCCGTTTTACCTCATTCGAGGTCTACGTTTAGAAACAAGATGATAATAACATATGTCGTTTGACTTGTAAATATCAGATTGCGGTGCATCATAAACTGAAATTTTGCACAAAACGAGTACAAACTAGTGAACATTCCACGAAATGTAGAAGATTATGTTGACTTTAACTCCATAAGGATGGACATGTAAATAGATTTATATATCCGTTTTGTGAGGGGAAATGGAAACGAGAGAGGTTCTGGAATTTACGTGAAGCATCTGGATAGAACGGAAGGTTTGTTAATGAAATTTGGGCCCGGTTCACCGGCCCAATTCGAGGATTAAAACGGTTCACCGGCCCAATTAGATCGGTCATCTTAGGCTTCTAGAAGATGGCCCTTATGTCTTAAAAGCCGTTGGGCAATAATATTATCTTTTGATATCAATACTTTGCTATCTTTCAAATGTTGGGTAAATTACGATCAACCGTGAGATAAGGTAATTACGAAAAATCTCTCATGATTGGGCAATTACAAACACCCTGTTAACTATGAATCTTTTTAGACTTATACTCTTGCGGTGTTAACTTTTATGGAATCTTCTAGATTATGTGGAATTTTATCGAGTTTGTATCCGTTTTACCTCATTCGGTCTACGTTTAAAAACAAGATGATCATAACATGTGTCATTTGACTTGTAAATATCAGATTGCGGTGCATCATAAACTGCATTTTTGCACAAAACGAGTACAAACTAGTGAACATTCCACGAAATCTAGAAGATTATGTTGAATTTGACTCCATAAGGATAGACGTGAAAATAGATTCATAATCGAATGGTGGTTGTAATTACCCAAACAGAAAAGATGCTTTTACAATTTAACACTACCTCATGGGGTAGGCTAGGCTATACTTATAAGTTGTTGAAAATAACTTATAAGATGTTTCGAGCTTATAAGCTCTTTCAAAGTGTATTGTAAAATTTTCAAAAAAATCTAAAACATAAAGTTCTGAAGACCAAATAACAGCTTATCAACTTATTAACTCTTAAAACGGTTTATCATCTATTTAAAACAAGTTTAGTCAAATGACTTTTAGATCATACCTTATAGTGTTGCAAAACTTTCAATAGCCGCGTTAAATAAAAATGAAATAATTAAACACAAATTTTGGATCTTGAATAAATTGATAGGAAAATTGTAGCTAACTAGCAACTAACAATGGAGTTTCAACTCTCAACTGATAATTCAACAAATTAAATAATATTAAAAATAATTGTGGTAGTGCAGCGTCCACCACGAAACTGAGAATAATGCCATGAAATAAAAAGTGGGACCCATTATTTTATCCAATACTAAGTCACCATTAGCGTTTCTCCCTTTCCCCTTATCCACTTCCCCCCAATACAAATATCTCTGCTAAAATTACCTATAAAATCTGAGTCAAACTCTGTATAATTTCACATAAAAAATTAAACAATAATCTCGCAAAAATGGCGTCCGTTACTCAATTGCAGGCTGTTTTCTCCACGAATTCAATCACTAAACCCACTCCATCGTCTCTCTGCAGCAACTCCAACGGCAGAAGCATATTCTTCGGCCCAACCCTATCTTCAACGGCTACATTGCAGAAGAAAACTAGAGAGAGAAAGCAGCTCACGGTTGTTGCCGCCGTCGGTGACGTTTCATCCGACGGAACAGTTTATCTGATTGCCGGCGCCGCCGCGGTGGCGTTGCTTGGGACTGCTTTTCCTATATTCTTTTCCCGCAAGGATCTGTTAGTAAATTGCTGATGTTTTAATTTAATTTTTTTAATAATTTTTGTTCTCATTAAATTATAATAATAATATAATATTAGACTAATATTTTTATTTGTGGGTTTGGTTCAGGTGCCCCGAATGTGACGGGGCGGGATTCGTGAGAAAAAGCGGGTCGGCTTTAAGGGCAAATGCGGCAAGAAAAGATCAGCTTCAAATTGTATGTGTCACGTGCAATGGGCTTGGCAAGCTTAACCAAATTGACAAATCCAAATAAATATTTAGTATATATTGTTGTATGTGATATTTTTAATTATTTGTGATGTAATTTTACGGAGTAATTTAATTTGATTTTTCATGTCACATATTGTTTGGTTTTTTTCATTTTGATTGTTTTGTTACACATGTTAATCATTTTTTTTCCAGCAATTGTTTTTTATGAAGGGATGATGAAATTGACGAAATAAAAAAAAAATACTCAAATATGCTTGTTTAATACTATTAAGAAGGGTAAATTACGTGCACACCCCTGAGGTATGATAAAATAACTTTAAGGTTCCTGTGGTATTGATAATTACACTCACACTCCTGAAACATTGTTAGAAATTCTAATGGGATAGTGCATTCGACACGTTATTCCGATAGAGTTCTAACGGACAATTAGTTTCAAAAGTAGTGGAGACAATAAAGAGCTACGGATGATTGAAGAAATATTGGGGGAACCATGTCATCCACAAACTCTATGTTGTCTCCACCATTAGCTAAAAATACGAGTTTTTTAGATCCACCATTATCCCATTAGAGTTTCAAACTATGTTTCAAGGGGCTGAGTGTAATTATCGATACGACAGGGACATTAAAATTATTTAAGTATACTACAAAGGGTAATATAAAATTATAAAATAGATACACGCAATAGTGATGTATTATGAAGTATTAAAAAAGTATAAAAAAATAAAAAGACTAAGAATCTAGAGTAGTAGATTTATACTATGCTACAAGATGCATCGGATATAGATCAACAGTAAAAATCTAATCAATTTGAGACCGCTTGAAAATTGAATACCAAGAATTCAACTTAAATTCGTTTATAATTTGACTAAAAGTCAAACTCTTTTATTCCCATTCTAAATTAGACTTCGACGAAATAAACTATTAGCCAGCTGTCACACCCACAATCCTAATGTAAATACAATTCTGTCACACTAATAACTACTCCTAAATCAAAATTTTAGCACGTAATTAATTTATAACCTAAAAATCAATTCCGTTACAATAAGCAGCAAATCAACTTTTTTGGGATGTAATTAAATTAAATTAAATAAACACAGTAATTAATTATCCAACGGTCACGTAATTAATAAAACAGCAAAGAAATCGAGTGGCGAAGCATCAAAACAGCCAACCCCTACACGGCGGGATACATATATGATATGATATATATCAAAACACTTAATATTTTACTCCAATTAAGAGTCCTTATGAAAATCAAACGTCTTCTAATTGGTTCAAAATATATTTTTCTAAATTATTATCAATATAAAAACTCAATCGCTCCAAAATTCCCAACAATCCATACACCGTACAACTTCTTCTTCTTCTTCTCAACCTCTCTCTCTCCTGCGAAACCAGAGAAAAAACCCTGAATACTTAATATTTATATATATATACATACATATACGTATAGGTATATATATATTTGGTTATACGGCGGAATTGAGCAGCTGTGATTAATAACAATGAAGCAGTTGGAAGAAGAATTGGGGCGAGACAGAGCGATTGAAATCGAAACGGACGACGAAGAAAACGAGGCCGAAAGAGTTTGCCATGATCTCGATAATTACGATACCGAATCGAATATTACCGGTCCTTCGCGCGCACATTCCGATGATTGTCTCAATCCCGACCCTGCCAATTTTTGGCCCCAAAGTTACAGGTATTACATACACATATACATACATTAATATATACATACATGAATATATATATGTATATATATACTACATTGCACAATTGTTTTTTTTTGTTATTACCATGATTGAATATTTGTTTTATGTTTTTTTTTTTTTTTGTGTATGATAAATTTTGGTTCATGAAAAATAAATATTATTACAGAAAAAAACCCTAGCCATGGTGAACCACTTGTTACTTTGCCATGCAGCATTGTCTTAATTCTTATTCAACTTGCCTGAAAAAATAAATATACAGTTAAACATCTATAAATTAATACAGTCGGGACTAGGAAAGTTCTATTTATTTAACGAATTATTAAATTATCGAGAAACTATTATTTAATCGAGGTTATTAATTTATTGAGGTTCTACTGTATGTTAGTTCTTTCATTTATTTGATAACTTAACAGTTGATTTTTACGCTAAAAAATCGACTAATAAACTCGTGTATTTTGATATCGAAACTAGGGATTCAATGGACATGTTCACAGGTGTGACACCTCCAACAGTAAGCTTCTTAAAAGGCAAAGGCAGCTCTTTCTTCCTTGCATCCGAGAAAGCATCCCAATCGATTCTTCCGGAATCTTCTTCGTCTTTATACAAACCCCTAATCTCACCGTTAAACTCCGACCTCGAAATCGGCTGCACCTCACTGCCTCACATAAATCAACCTTCCGTTTCTGAATTCACCGCCAGCTTTTCCGATGAACAGCCCCACCGCGAGAAGTGTACCTACACGCAATCGGTTCTTAACGGTAATTAATTAATTAATTATTTTTAATAAGCATTTAACTTTTATTGAGGAAATTATATATATTTTGAAACATGCAGCGGTAAATGCGCTGTGTGGGATCGGAGTTCTTTCGACTCCGTACGCGCTTAAAGAAGGAGGGTGGTTTAGTATAGGGCTTTTGTTCTTGTTTGGAGCAATTACATGCTACACTGGTTTATTATTGAAGAAATGTTTGGATAGTTCGCCTCGTCTCAAAACTTATCCGGATATCGGACATGCTGCTTTCGGATTAACCGGTCGAATATTAATCGCTGTAAGTATTATTCAAATACACCACTTTAATTTAATACTTTTATTAATTAATCGGAATTTGGAACTGATCTGTTGATTTTTTTTTTAATTGCAGGTGATCCTATATGTTGAACTATATGTATGTATATGTATCTACACTTCATTATAATTTATAAATCAATAATCCAATTTTTTATTTTTATTTTTGCTAATAAAAAATCGAAATTTCTTGATTGTAGTCTTCATGTGTGGAATACTTAATAATGATGAGCGATAATTTGTCGGCTTCTTTCCCGAATATGCAAATGGATGTGTTTGGGATACATCTCGACTCGTATCAAATTTGTGCCATTATTTCCGCACTCATCATTCTTCCGACGGTTTGGCTAAGAAATCTCCGTTTGCTTTCGTACATTTCAGGTACGTAATTTGCTTCGTAAATAGTAGCATTCTGTTTCGAAAATATATTTAATTATGTTTGTTTTTTTTTTTTTGGTTTTTGCAGTTGGTGGTGTGGTGACATTGGTACTAGTAGTGGCCTGTTTGGTGTGGGCCGGAGTATCTTCCGATGTCGGATTCCATCCAACCGGAAAAGCGATCGATTTTCCGAACTTACCAATCACAATTGGTATTTTCAGCTTTTGCTATGGCAGCCATTCTGTTTTTCCAAACATATATTCCTCCATGCGCGAGCCCTCCCGATTTCCTTCAGTTCTCATTATCAGGTAACCTTTCGATTCATCTTCAAAAATCATTTATTCATTATTTTTTATTTTCTTTAACAAAATGTGATCCATGCAGCTTTGTAACTGCCGGTTTCCTATACGCCGGAGTAGCAGTTTTCGGTTACTCCATGTTTGGCGAAGCTATAAAACCCCAGTTCACATTAAATCTTCCCACAAACTTGGAACCTTCGAAAATCGCCGGATGGGCTGTGGTAAGAAAGTAAAAAAAAAAAAAAAAAATTTCTGAATATATATATACTAATTAAAAGTGTAATAAAACTAACACATTTTTTTTATTTAATAATTCAGGTTGTAGCACCTCTTACAAAGTTTGGTTTATCAATGACACCAGTGGCATTAGGTCTAGAAGAATTACTGCCTTCATCTTATATTCAATCCACCACCATGTCTTTGATAATCAGGACAACTTTGGTCTTTTCGACCTTAATTGTAGCATTGACCGTTCCGTACTTTGGTAATAAAATCGAACGACTTCGATTTGTTGCGTACGATTTTTTTTTTCTTTTGTGCATTTGCTAATTAACTGATTTAAATTTGCAGGATCTGTTATGGCACTGATTGGATCCCTTCTTGTCATGCTAGTGGTAAATCATCTCTTATAATTATTTGCTTTGACTTTTCATAGCTTTCGGTTTGACCATGGATTTAACTTTCGGGTTTTTCGTTGCTTCTTGTCGAACAGTCTGTTGTGTTGCCATGTGCTAGCAGTATGCGAATACACGCCGGAAGACTATCTAAATTAGAGGTAAGTATGTATGTGTGTGTGTGTGTGTGTGTGATATATATGTTTTTTTATAATTTAATTAAATAATAATTTGTGGTTTAATGTTTCTTGATTAACAGATTATAACAAGCACGGCGGTTATAATAATGGGAATTTGTTTTGCAATGGTTGGGACATATTCAGCAGTATCAAGTATGGGTAACTGATGGAAGTTAATATGGTTGTTGGTTTCTTCTTTCTTGTATATAAGCTAAACTTTTAGTGCAATTATGTACAAAACTACAAGAAGAAGATTTCACCAAATATTTTGGAGTTGATTGCTACATTTTCTTTCTATTTATTTATTTTTCTTCTTTTTTTTTTACATTTCTTGTGTTATTTATGAGTTTAATTATGTTCAAATTTTCTTTTCCGTTGGCATCTCGGTTTTTAGAAGGCTCCGAGCTGTTATTATGGGTGAAAATCGCACCTATTACTATTGGTGAAAATCAGACGGAGATTCAACAGAATAAACATTTTTAAAAATTTATGAAAAGTTAAAATTTCTTAGATTGGAATGACAAAATATATTCCAGCATTCAAAATTTTCGGATTGGAATCGGAAAATTTTAATATAATCAGTATTGTTTAGAAAATTCAGTTTTTATTCAGTGGTGGAGCTAGCATAGGACCCCGGGTTAGCGGGGTTTATGGTCCCCAACATTAGTGTTTTTTTCACGGGAAAAAAGGATTCCCATCACCAATTCTTTTGCCCACTCCGTATTCAACAATGCATGTGCTCACACGTGCACAGATATATAAGTAATTAATAAGTAGCTGCTAATCTCACCACCAGTAGCACAATTCTTCTGGTGAAACTGTTTCTGCATTTTATTTTTTATTTTTTATTTTTATTAGAGTTCTGAGTAATTCACCAACCATATATTGAAAGAGAGACAACGATATATGACCCAACACAATCAATATATATTCCAGCTTCAATCATCTAATTGAAAGGTGATATTAATTATCTTACCCTCCATTTTATAATTATATCTTCGGATGCATTCATTTTCCCATTAATTGTACTAGTGTACTACTATCTACCTACCTCATAAAAGCATATACAATTCAACTAATTATAAACTCTTATAGTAATTTTTTTTATATGACTTTTCCTAATTAATTAGGTCAATAATGGGATCAATTCAATCATAAAGATCCCAAATTTCAAATAGAAATTTCCTCAATATAAATCTCATATTAAAGTTTTTTGTATTTAGTAGAATCTGCATTTGGTAGCAATACACCACTTAATTTTACATTATTGATATACACATAATAATTCACACACACACTTATATACATATATACATACTGAATAGTTATTTATGTAGATCTACGATTTAAACCATATGAAGTATTTCACGAGGTACATGATCTCATAAGCCCGAGGCTAAGTATATTGTTGAAAATATTAGTTGAATAAAACTGAATATTTCAATTGCAAATTTTTTTTTTATTCCGAATAAAGCTAGGAAATTGGGTGTGAAACCAACAAGCTTAACGTCATTAAATTAATACTACCATTTTAATGATAGAAGTTTATGGTCACGGATACACCAATCAACCGACCAATCAAGATATAGTAGTCCAAAACGGTGTCGTTTTCCTCACTAATCATACCCTACTCCCCCACTGATCTTTCTCAGTGGCGTTTCTTCAGTTCAGAAAATGTTAAAAAGATTCCAAACACGCTTTTGTCTCATGAACTCACAACACTATCTCAGTAGTTACGTACATCTTCTTCTCCGACCTCCTTAAACAATACAAAAAATTCTCTTACCAGTTTCTTCACATATATATAATTTAATTTAATTTAATAAATTATGAATATCAAAACACTGTTCTTCTCTCTCTTCGCCTTCTTCACAGCGATCCAAACCCGGATCTTTATTTCCACCGCCGAACCGTTTACAGTATCCAAATCGAACTCGAGTAAAATTCTAGTTTTACCCCTCAAAACCCAAGAAATTCCATCTTCATCACCTCCGAACAAGCTCCCATTCACCCACAACGTAACCCTCACAGTTTCATTGGCCGTTGGCGCGCCACCACAGAATGTTACCATGGTCCTCGACACAGGGAGTGAGCTCTCCTGGCTCCAATGCAACACCACCCGGATCAACCGACCCGTATTCGACCCGAACCGCTCGTCTTCCTACACCCCCATCCCTTGCTCCTCCGCCACGTGCACCACCCAAACCCAAGATTTCTCCATACCCGCCTCCTGCGATTCCAAGAATCTCTGCCACGCTATTCTCTCCTACGCCGACGCATCTTCCTCGGAAGGAAATCTAGCCATGGACAACTTCACCATCGCCGGGTCGAAGTTTCCGGGTACCATATTCGGGTGTATGGATTCGGGTTTCAGCAGTAACTCGGATGAAGATTCGAAAACAACCGGGTTAATGGGCATGAACCGTGGATCTCTCTCTTTCATCTCTCAAATGGGTTTCAAGAAATTCTCCTACTGCATTTCGGGTTCGGATTTTTCGGGTATTCTACTCTTCGGCGAATCCAATGCCACGTGGCTTATGCCTCTGAACTACACCCCATTGATCCAGATTTCTACCCCTCTCCCTTACTTCGACAGAGTTGCGTACACTGTCCAGCTCGAGGGCATTATGGTCTCGCAAAAATTACTCCAGCTACCCAAATCCATATTCGAACCCGACCACACCGGGGCGGGTCAAACCATGGTCGACTCCGGCACGCAGTTCACCTTCCTCCTCGGACCCGCGTACACCGCACTGAGAAACGAGTTCGTAAGCCAAACATCGAATTTCCTGCGGGTTTTGGAGGATCCGGATTTTGTGTTCCAGGGGGCGTTTGATTTGTGTTTTCGGGTGCCGTTAAACTTAACGGACCCGCCTAAACTGCCGTCTGTGAGCTTAGTGTTTCGGGGCGCGGAGATAACGGTGACGGGCGAGCGGTTGCTGTACCGGGTCCCGAATGAAGTGAGGGGGAATGATTCGGTGCAATGCTTCACGTTTGGGAACTCGGATCTTTTGGGGATTGAGGCTTACGTCATCGGGCATCACCATCAGCAAAATGTGTGGATGGAATTCGATCTTGAGAAATCTAGGATCGGTGTTGCGCAAGTTAGATGCGATCTTGCAGGACAGAGATTCGGCCTTCATCTTTAGTTTCCCACTCTCGCACGTGCTTAATGTCACGTGTGTTTTACTTAGGACACAGTGCCCTAGGTCAACTAGTTCAGAGATTTTAAAAAATGTGGTCCAATTGCAATCGTCCACGTACGACAGCGGTGTACAGAGAAGAGGTGCCAGAATTATGTTGTACAGTTTTGTGAGGATTGATGGTGAAATAAAATAGATGGTCCACGTTTTTTGTTTTCATTGGAGGGGATAGTCCAACATTAATAAATTATATCAGTATTATTTACCGCTAAAGTCAAGTTGTATTTCTCATATATTAGATAATATAAAATATATATATATATATATATATATATATATATATATATATATATATATATATATATTATTCATTATATTCATTATATTCATTAAACTGAAAATAAGCCTGTTTAATTTCGTAGACCACACATTGGATTTGGATTGTTTGGGCCAAAGCTTGAAACTCCAATCCGTTAAAAGCCCGGCCCATTAATTTATATCAGCAATTCACCAATTCTATAACATAAATATAAAAGATAAAAAAATTAAAGAAATAAAAACATTCACCCTTTGATTGGCTTCCACACTAAGAACTCAAGTACATAATAGACAAAACACCAATTCTTAATTTATAATCTACACGTGCGTATTAAATATATTGTGTTACGTATTTTGCAGGAAATATTTTTTGAGGAATATAAATTATGGTGACTCAACGACTCCGTTAAGGTGAAACGGACCTGGTGCCCACAAGAGTACTCGATAATGCTAATATTTTGCACCAACTTACCATTCCCGCAATTAGTTGAGCTAAATATTTCATCATATAGAATGTATATTACCTATATATACTTATTATTAGTAGTCTTCAAGAATCCTTTATATATATATATATATATATATATATATATATATACACACATGTGTGTGTGTGTGACAAATCCTTGTATCTATATTATATATATTCAGTTACCATTACTGGATTGTCTTTGCCACCACTCAAAAAATAATCGTCCAGCAACCTATTGGCCCGACCAGGATAACCTATTGAAGCTTTGCTCTACTTCACTCTTTCATCAATTAATTAACTATTTCCCCCACTTGATCAAAATTCAACCAACATTCTTCTATATATAAACATGCATCAAACCAATATATTTTCATCAATTCATCAAATAACAAGAAATGGCAGCCATTTCTCCATCGAAAACACTAATGTCTTTTACGGTTCTTTTCGTGGCACTTTGTATCTTCCCACATATCAATGCTCATCCACCCCATATTAACGGAGGGAAAACCCGACACTACAAATTTAACGTGTGCATATATTTATGTTTCATTTAAATCATAGGCGTTTTATTATAGGTATATAATGTATGTATATATTTTGTTTACTATTTGTAGATTCAAATGAAAAACGTGACAAGATTGTGCCACACAAAGAGCATGGTTACGGTAAACGGTAAATTTCCAGGGCCTAGTATCTTCGCTAGGGAAGGCGACCGCCTTCTTATTGAAGTAGTCAACAATGTTCAACACAATATCTCCATCCATTGGTATATATAGTTTATGATAAGATGTATATATATATTCTTGATTGAGTTTTAAACACATTCATCATGTTTTAATTGTATCTATATATATAACAGGCATGGAATTCGACAGCTTCGGAGTGGATGGGCCGACGGACCAGCATACATAACACAATGCCCCATACAAACTGGGAATAGTTATGTGTATAACTTCACTGTAATTGGGCAAAGAGGAACCCTATTTTGGCATGCACATATTTCATGGCTAAGAGCAACTGTTTATGGTCCTTTAATCATTCACCCTAAATTAGGAGATAATTACCCTTTCACCAAACCCTACAAGGAAATCCCACTCATCTTTGGTAATTAATCATCAATCTTAATAGCTTCAAACTTTTAATTAATTCTAAATCGATTTTTAATTTTTTTAATTGTATTTATAGGAGAATGGTACAATGGAGATCCCGAGGAAATAATCAAGCAAGCTTTGCTAACAGGCGGAGGTCCAAACGTGTCGAACGCGTATACTATCAATGGATTTCCTGGTCCATTGAATAATTGCTCAGCCAAAAGTAATTCATTGTAAAGCATCATTAATATTTAATCATGTTTAATTAAGCTAATCTAAGCTAATTATGCAGATGATACGTTGAAGGTGAGGGTGGTACCTGGAAAGACTTATCTCCTGCGTGTGATCAACGCGGCGCTGAACGAAGATCTCTTCTTCAGCATTGCTAATCACTCCTTAATTGTTGTCGAAGCTGATGCAGTTTACGTTAAACCGTTTCGTGCTGATACAGTACTAATCGCCCCTGGACAAACCACTAATCTTCTTCTGGAGACTAAATCACGGTTTCCACGCGCTAATTTCTTCATGGCGGCGAGCCCGTACATCACCGGTACCGGGAAATTCGGGAATTCAACTGTTGCTGGTATTCTGGAATATGGAAACCCAGGCAGAAAGTTTCCGGTGTTTAAACCAACCCTACCAGCTCTAAACGACACCGTTTTCGCCACGGATTTCGCCAGTAAATTGCGCAGTTTAGCAACGCGACAGTTTCCGGCTAATGTTCCGGTGAAAATCGACAGGCGTTTCTTCTTCACGATTGGGCTCGGAACGACGCCGTGCGATCGTGCAAACGTGACCTGCAAAGGTCCGAAAGGGGCGAAATTTTCGGCTTCCGTGAACAACGTGTCCTTCGTCCGCCCAAACACGGCCTTACTCCAATCGCACTATGCCGGGAAATCGAGAGGGGTTTACGGATCCGATTTCCCGGTGTACCCTACCCGGTGGTTTAATTACACCGGAACGCCGCCGAATAATACAGTGGTGAGCAAAGGAACGAGAGTTGAGGTTTTGCCTTTCGGCGCGGGGGTGGAGCTGATATTGCAGGATACGAGTATCCTCGGGGCGGAGAGCCACCCACTTCATCTCCATGGATTCAATTTCTTCGTCGTAGGAAGAGGTTTCGGAAATTTCGACCCGGAAAATGACCCGAAGAATTACAACCTTGTTGACCCGGTTGAGCGGAACACGGTGGCGGTGCCGTCGGGCGGTTGGGCTTCAATTAGGTTCTTAGCAGATAATCCAGGTCAGCATTTATTTTATTAATCTTATTTTAATATTATTTAATAAATTAATAATTAATTTTTTTGAATAAAATTGGCAGGGGTGTGGTTTATGCATTGCCACTTTGAAGCACACGCAAGCTGGGGTTTGGAGATGGCTTGGTTGGTTCTAGATGGGAATCTTCCCTATCAAAAGATGCTTCCGCCGCCAAACGATCTTCCTAAATGCTAATCTTTCATTTGTCTCTAATTTGTTTAACGTTAATCATTAATTATATGTAATTTTTTTTATTAATATTTAAATAAAATAAAATAAACTATTTTTCAAAAACATTGGGTAACCAAAAAACAAAAGCCTAAAGTGTTTGTTCTTACTGGGTTTACCAAGGGAAAAGCCCAGACAGCTTCTGGACTTATGATATTAAACTGGACGTAAATTGACTATAATTGATCAAAATATTAAGGGGTCTTAAGATATAAGTCCCTGGTGACAAACCGTATTAGAACTAAATGACAAGTCTAATTAAAATTTGCTTCACATCATTTATTAAATTTATTCCAAAAATGCCCCTCTACTCACAAATTCAACATTACAACAGATTATAAATATACTATGATGAACTATGGTATTATTTAACATTTTTAAATTTGCATCTATCATTTTTTTTTTAATTTTTCGTAGAACACGTTTTTTTTTTCTTTCTCTTTCATATTTTTCATTATATAAAAATCTATTTTTCCTCTTTTCTACATAAAATTAAAAATTATGGCTACTTTTTTCTTTTTTATTTTCATTTTTCGTATTTTTTCATTATATAAAATCTATTTTTTCCCCTTATTTTCAAAATAAATTGAAAATTATGATTTTTTAATTTTTTTTTTGCTGTAGACATCTAAAGAATTCTGTAGAAACCTTTAGTAATCCGTAGTAACCCATAGACATCTTGAAACCCTAACTCCTTTCAACCCTAGCCGTCAAACACCATAGACACCCATAGACACCCATAGACATCTGTAGACAACTAAATCGAAAAATATTATTTTTTTCCCAACAAACCCTAAATCCGATCCACCGCCACCACCACGCCACTACTCCCCCTCTCCACCCCCCACACCCAGACCCACCTTCACGATTCATCCATGTGGGTTGCAAGCAAACAACGAGCCTGCCATCACATAGCCTCCCGATGCAATCCCTATGCCGAGCGTCGCCATAGCCATCGTCGTCGCCTACCATAACCGCCGCCATCATACCGCTGCCATCTGCCATAACCACCATCAATTGAAAAGAAAAAAAAGGAGGAAGGGAGGGGGGGACGTGTGTGAGAGAGAAGAGGAGAAGAGATCAGAAGAGAGAGAGAGAGAGAGAGAGAGAGAGAGAGAGAGAGAGAGAACCAGAACGTGATATGTTGAGCGGTTGAGCGGCGTGAGAAAGAGAGGGGAAGAGAGAGAAATAAATAAGAAAAAGAAGAGACACCGTGACTTTTATTAGGTATTGTAAGGGTATTTTTGGGTTAAATAAAAATCAAAGGATGTGTATCAATTTTTATTTTAAAATAGGGATGTAGTTAAAATATTTTATTTGAGTTTGTCACTCATATCTAATTAAGTTTGGTTTGAGGGGTGTGAGGCATATTACCCCAAATATTAAAGCATATATTAGATCTAAAACAATACATCGACTATAAAAGAAATACAGTTGATTTATTAATCGACTATAGTCGATTACGTGAACTATCATATATAACAATACTAAGATCGGACGAGTGGGAGAAGATCTGCCACGCGATGAAGAAGTTGTCGATTTATAAGAGGAGGGCTATTTCAATTTCACGATGTTTCGGGAGGCTATATCTAAGAGCCACTATAATATAATATATATATTAGACAGGTGATGGAATCCAAAAAATTCAAACGAGACGACAGCCAACAAAATAGGGGTTAGAACAATTCAAACAATTTCTTGATTACAAAGTAAAACAATTGAAGGCTACTTGCCAACAATTTCTATGAACATGAAACTAGCTTCTATTTTACATGATTTTTACTTATAGAAAAGTTTACTCTTTGATTTGCAGATTAGATGTACACATATAAATATTTTGACTACTAATACACTTATTACAAGGGTACTTAAAGAATTGTCAAATAAAAGGTTATATGGATGGTAGAACTAGTGTTGTTAATTGAGAAATTAGATGTTACACCTGATTATTTATACCGGGTGACTAGAAACCGTGAATCTATATATAATTACACACATTCGTATATATGTGTATTTATTGAGTAGTTATTTCACCTCATCTACGAATAACAAACACCCAGTATAAATAACCATGTGTAACAACTTCCCGTTGTTAATACATGATGTTTCAACTGAATTAATAATCCTCATAATTAATCAATCAATCAATCTCACTTAAACATCACTCCAAATCATAGTTGGGACAACCGCCTACTCAGGTCAACATTCAATCTGTTAACCCCTAATTCTAATTACCAAACCAAACTAACAAATTCATCAAAAAATAATTTTTCTTTTAAATAAATCGAAACTAATAAACACACACAATCACACACAAACAAACAATATATATATATTCATTCTTCATTACCTATATTTTCACCACCATCTTAGCAACTCATAAAAATTATTGCATTTCTCCAATCAAGTAATAAAAAAAACAAAAAAAATGAATTCTCACAAGCCATTGGTCTTTCTCGTAACCGCATTGTCCCTTTTACTCGAGTTATCGGTATCCAAACATTCAGGCGTAACGCGCCACTACAAGTTCAACGTACGTACACACTATAAACACATATACATTTCTCGTGTACATATATATACTTACACATATCCCCGATTGATTAACATATTTTCTTATTTACGAATACAGATCGAAATGCAAAACGTCACAAGATTGTGCCAATCGAAGAGCATAGTGACAGTGAACGGCCAATTTCCAGGGCCGACGATCACTGCAAGGGAAGGAGACAGAGTCGTGGTCAAAGTAGTCAACCATGTTCAGTACAACGTCTCGATTCATTGGTAAATAATAACATGCTAAACATCATTATTAATTTCCCTCTGTTAAATGTAATTAACTAAATCAAACAAATTAACAGGCACGGAATCAGGCAATTAAGAAGTGGCTGGGCCGACGGGCCAGCGTATATTACCCAATGCCCGATTCAGACAGGACAAAGCTATGTCTACAATTTCACCGTTACCGCACAACGAGGCACACTATTTTGGCATGCACACATTTCGTGGCTTAGGGTTACACTCTACGGACCTATAATCGTCCTTCCGAAGAAAGGAGTACCCTATCCATTCCCACAGCCCTACAAAGAAATCCCGATAATTTTCGGTATACATTTTTTTTTTGAAGTAGAAAATTATTCGTAACTATGGAACAAGAGTAAATAAATTCGATTTACGTAACTTTGTAGGTGAATGGTGGAAGGCGGATACGGAGACAGTTATTAATCAAGCACTTCAAACGGGGGGAGCACCGAATATTTCGGATGCTTTCACAATTAACGGCCTCACGGGACCCTTTTACAACAATTGTTCAGCTAAAGGTGAACACTAATTTCGTAAACGAAAAAATCATACATTTCAAGAAAACTAAGGCCTTGTTTGGTTGGTTATACCTAATTATAATGCAGATACATTCAAACTGAAAGTGAAGCCAGAGAAAATTTACATGCTGAGATTGATCAATGCTGCACTAAACAGACGAGCTTTTCTTCAGCATTGCGAACCATACTATGACTGTTGTCGATGCTGATGCTGTGTACGTAAAACCGTTTAAAACGAACATAGTTCTGATAACCCCCGGACAGACAACAAATGTACTTCTCAAGACGAAAAAACATCGTCCAAACACGGCCTTCCTAATGGAAGCAAGGCCCTACGCGACGGGCCCCGCTTCGTTCGACAATTCCACCACCGCCGGAATCTTGGAATACCATCTCTCCTCGAACAACGCAACCAACAATAATACAAAGATTGCCCTTTTAAAACCGTCGCTCCCCAAATTTAACGACACCGTTTTCGCGACGAAATTCAGCAAGAAGCTCAGAAGCTTGGCTAGTTCAAAGTTCCCCGCTTTAGTGCCACAGAAAGTGGACAGGAGATTTTTCTTTACGGTCGGGCTCGGGCTGAACCCGTGTTCAAGCCCGAATAAGACCTGCCAAGGCCCGAATAACACGATGCTTACAGCATCAATCAACAATGTGTCTTTCGTGATGCCAAACACGGCTCTGCTTCAGGCCCACTACTCGAACCAATCGAAGGGAGTGTACACCGCCGATTTTCCGGCCAACCCGCCGTTCAAATTCAACTACACGGGCAACCCGCCGAGCAATCCCGCGGCGGCGGCGGGCACGAGAGTGGCGGTGCTGCCGTTCAATGCTAGCGTGGAGGTGGTGCTGCAGGACACTAGCATCGTCGGAGCGGAGAGCCACCCGCTCCACCTCCATGGATACAACTTCTTCGTATTGGGTCAAGGGTTTGAGAATTTCGACCCGAATAAGGATCCGGCGAAGTTCAACCTGGTTGACCCGGTTGAGAGGAACACAGTTGGCGTACCCTCCGGTGGCTGGGTGGCAATTCGTTTCCTAGCAGATAATCCAGGTAACATATATTACATTTACAGAAATTCAAGAATTTATTATGTAATAAATTAATGTGTTTTTTTTATATATATAAATGAAATAGGTGTATGGTTCATGCATTGTCATTTGGAAGTGCATACAAGTTGGGGTTTGAAGATGGCTTGGGTTGTGATGGACGGGATACGCCGGAATCAAAAGCTACCGCCGCCGCCGAAAGATCTTCCCAAATGTTAAAATCGGATTTTCTTGATTTTCTTTTTTTATTTTTTACTCCTTTTAGTTTACTTTAGTACTACTCATTCTTGCTGATTTTATTTTTATTCTCTTTTTGCTATATTTGAGAAAATGTAATGTAACGAAAGTTATATTTGATTTTGTACCCTATGATTTTTAAGAAAATGCATATTTTATTGTAAATTACGGTCATCCCATGAGGTAATGCCAAATTACGAAAAAATCCCTCATGTTTGAGTTATTACAACCATCCCTCAATGATAAATCTTCTTACAAATGATGTCTAATTCAACAGAATCTTCTGCATTCCGTGGAATGTTCTCTAGTTTGTAATCGTTTTGTGCAGTTGTTTCAAATGTAGAGTTCAAATGAGATAAAAACGAGTAGAAACTAAAGAATATTCCACATAATCTAGAAGAATCCACTAAATTTGATAACCCGAGAATAGATTCTAAGAAATTCATAATTAAAAATGATTATAATTATCAAAAAATGAAGGATTATTCGTAATTTAACATTACTTCAGTGGGTGGCCGTTTTCATAATATCATTCACTTTGTGCTAATGTAAAAAATGCGTGTTTTTTTGTATAAAATACGCTACAAAATCAGTTGGAGAAAAAGACAATAAAATAAGGTGAGAAAAAGCTATAAAAAAAAAAAAAGTGGTTACTTGAATTTAATTTAATTACAAAATCCAAATTCGAGGAGAATAAATAAATAACCCAAAAAATAAAGGCAACTCCAAACCCATTTAATCAAATAACTCGCCCACGCCACCGGCCCACCGCACCTTCCACTGCCAAAAAAAAAGTAAAATTAAAAAAAATAAGAAACCCCAACAAAATTCCCTCCACCGCCGGAGACGCCGTCGTAATCCGCCATTACGCCGGTGCCTCCGACTCCCGCACTGCACAGTAAATAAAATCCGCGACGAGATCAACGAAAAAAAAATAAAAAATGACACGCGGCTGCAAGCTCTCATTCCACGTCGGCGTCGTGATAGCCGCAATCACTTACATCTACTTCTCCACAGTGCTCGTCTTCATCGACCACCGGTTCGGGCTCGGGTCCTCCCCCGGAATGCTACACGGCGCCGTTTTCACTTTCTTAGCTGTCATGTGCATCTCCAGTTATCGGCTCGCCGTTTACACCGATCCGGGTCGGGTACCCGGTTCTTTCGTACCCGATGTGGAGGATTCCGATAGCCCGATCCATGAGATCAAACGCAAGGTCTGTTATTCCTTTTTATCATTTTTCAATCTCTAATTATATGCTTGCATGTTTGGTTTTTTTTCGGAACTACGAAGGTCTCTCGTTTAATGCATTTCCTTTGTTTAGTTATTTCCGCCATTTTTTAGGGATTTTTCGTTTTATAATTTTTTTAGGTTTAGTAAAGTTTGGGGTTTTTTTTTATCTGCTGAAGTATTGTTGTCATGTTGGGTTCTTGATTACCGCTTCAATTTCATGATTTTCCTTCGAATTGAACTGTCGATTTGAAATGTATTTACAGTTTTCGTAATTTCGAGCAGGAGCCTGTTGTATTGTGAGCTATTTATCAATTGATTTGAAATCGTTCGATTTTTTAGTTGGTGATTTTGATTCTTAGTGCCTCCAATTTCACACAAGAAAAAAAAAAAAAAAGAAGACGAAAAATCCATTCTTGAATTTGAAATAGTGTTCTGAACTTGGTATATTTCCTGTGAATCGTGGTTTACTTTTTTCGATCTTTTTCATGTACCTGATTAATTTGCCTGTACTGAATATCCGGATCTGATTGTTTAACGTTTGTTGATCCACAAATATTAAACGGTGACCAGTTTTAGTAGTTCTTTGCTTAATATGAGCATAAGATGCTGATTGGTTGTGTAACCACGTTTGACTTTCGGTTTTTTTATGTTGGGATTGGCGGTTGACTGGTCGTCCTAGAATCATAAAATCGTCGGTGCTGTTTTAAAAGGAAAATCTTGAATACTTTCAGAAACATACAGATGGAGTTTAGCTAGTGGTACGGAATTAAAGTCACGAAATAGTTACACAATTGCGTTATTGTTATTATCGTTTTCGTTATGTGCTCTTTTTTAGTCGTTGGCTGATTTGTTTTCTCCGCTTTCTTGCTTGACGTGTATATTATATAGATCCACGCCGTAATTCAGTGGCGGATACAGTATAGTGCTAGCTAAGGGGGGCCATGGCCCCCAAACGCTTCTCAAAAACATACTATTTATATAATGATTTGTTATTTGGCATTGCAGTTCTGTTTTATAATATACACATGTTTGGCGTCACGAATTAATTGCCATGGGATTTTTTCTCGTTAATCTTATCATTACACGGGATACGCGTATCTTAAATTGAAATGCCTATTAACTAAAGTTCCATTACCATTTTCCGTATCTATTTTAATTTTCTTATTTCATTTTCTGTTGTTTCTTTTTTTTTTTGGCAGGGCGGTGATTTAAGGTACTGCCAAAAGTGTTCACACTATAAGCCTCCTCGGGCCCACCATTGTCGCATATGTAACCGTTGTGTTCTACGAATGGTATGTCTGGTCCACGTCATTATGTTTTCTCATTTTTATTAATAAAAAAAATATTCAAAATAATGTCGTATTAAACTTCTGTCTCGTAATGCAAGGATCACCATTGCGTTTGGATGAACAATTGTGTCGGACACGCCAACTATAAAATCTTCTTTGTGTTTGTCGTTTACGCTGTTATTGCATGCATATACTCCCTGGTACGTTTTTTTTTTCTTTTTTTTTTTTACTATCCCTCTGCTTTATACTGTGACTCATATATACTCATGAATTAATTTCAGATACTGCTCGTTGGTAGTGTGACGGTTGATTCTCAGCAAGATGCCGACGAATCTTTCAGAATCATACATGTTAATTACTTTCCGAGTTTTTTATTATATTTTTTCGTTTCTTTTTCGGCTTTTATATTTCTTCTGTTTAACTCACTAGAGTATTTTGTGTGCAGATCATTTCAGGGTTACTATTAGTACCTTTAAGTTTGGCTCTGGTGTTTTTCATCGGCTGGCATATCTATCTCATTGTACAAAACAAGACTACAATCGAGGTTTATCTCATTTACCGATTTCTAGCCTTAAAAAAATATTTTAAAAAATACATAAAATAAAATAATTAATCTTTTTAAATGACAGTATCACGAAGGTGTAAGAGCAATGTGGCTAGCAGAAAAGGGAGGCAATCTCTACTCACACCCATATGATATTGGTGCATATGAGAATTTGACAGAAGTGAGAAAACCTTTTTTTTTTTTTTTTTTTTTTTTAATCTTAAAAATTTGATCTTTCTCATTTTTCGACTGATGCAGATTTTGGGCCCGAAAATGATTTGGTGGCTGTGGCCCACATCAGAGCATGTTGGTTCAGGGCTTCGTTATCGGACAAAGTATGATAAACTTATGGGATCACCCACTCCAGATTGAAAGTCGATTTTCAGACATGTTTTTCTACTGACCAAACGTCTTTGAATCAATTTTCTAGTACGAGTTTAGTTCTTGATTTCTAAATTGCAGCATTGTATTTTATATAGGTTTTTTTTTTTTTTTTTTTTTTTTTTTTTACTGTCGCGTCGTATGGAGGTTTTGTTTTACGCATGTCGTTACACTAGAATGTTCGTTTGGTTCTGTATAGAGAAATCTCACCGAAATGCATTATAGTGTAAAAAGAAATAGGGAGGGGTCGAAACCCCCTGTTGAGTCACACCAGTAGAGGAGAGAAAGGTAAATTTTGCAAGAAAGTGTAAATCTCGTGACTGTAAAAGATTTTCCCAGCAATAGAGAGATGGTTATACCTTTTTTTTTTTTTTTTCTTCTCTACTTGTGTAGGGTTGTTTATATATTAAGCCCTCAAAATGTTTAGATGTTTACGGGTTTTAGCACGTAAATCCCGTTTAACTAGTTTCATATACTAGACAGTCCCTCATTTTAAGTTCCGCTTACAGTTAGCTCTATACACACTCGAAATGTCTGCAATGCCTTTTAGTAAACGATTTTGTATCTTCTTTTTCTTCTCGGTTTTATTTATACATGTAACCAAACACCCCTTATCCATTCTCGATATATAATTATGGTTTCCAAACATGTCTGAATCTTCCCAAAAATTATGACAAAAAATCGAAAAAAATGTAAAAAAAATGCCATGCCCAACCTCTTACCCCTTTTTGCGCCACCGTAGCTCCGTCGTGTGTTATAAAATAGCAATATCCAGTCATATTAAATATGAATACTAAAATAAGCCCACAGTTTTGCCTACAAAACTGGAAGGTATCATCTGGAACCCTCTCTTCCAAATTGTTTTTTTTTTTTTATTTATTTATCTAATTCCCAATTTCCAACTGCTGTATTTTGAGTATGTGCTGTGGGGCCCAACAATGACACGTGTGTGCCCCGTATGGGGTTTAAACCTCGTGCCCTTCAAATGGTTCCTCACCCGCTGCCATGTGATTCACAATTCCCCACCCTCCCTCTCCCGAGAGTTACATCCACGCTCAACAAATGGCTCAACCTTAGCGTCACGGTGAGACGCACTCGCAGCGGAGGCGCGTGGGCTATGAGTAAAGCAATGCAATAACTGGGAAAACGATGGATATATATTCTGGGATAAACCAAAACGCAGTGAGGGACCATAACTCACACTCATCAAGAGTCAATTGCAGCATCTCCACACCCAACTCTTTCTTTATTTAATTTCCCCTAAATCTCAGGTTTTCCAGGTTTTACATTGGCTACTTTATCAAATCGAAAAAAGGAAACTTTACTGGGTAATCTTTATTTATTTATTTTAAAAATCATAATGGATGAAGATATGATCAGCTCGGCTGAATTCAACAGGTAGATTTCATGGGTTCTTCCTACTTTTCTTTTCTTTCTGTGTTTCTTGTTTTTGCATACTCTGTTTCTTGATTTACAATTTACTATTGTTCATTCTGCTTAGTGGGATTTCTATCTTCTTTCTCTTTGATTTTAATGCTGTCTGAAGAATCACATACAGACGAACATGTTGTCGGAAGAATCAGTGCCTGTATATTGTAATTGTTGTTATATTAGGGTTGTTGCAAGTGTGAAGAATCCTCCCCTCATCTGATTAATTTAACTAGGCTCTGATCAATAATTGCAATTAATTAGCATTGCTTGCTTGAACAGGAAAAGAAAAATCCAAGGCGAACCGATGGAAACCCCTCGTCCGAAGCACGTGTGCTGGGATCAAAGAGCCGACCACGGTTCTTCGTCGTGTTCAGTTACCGAGCAAACGAAATTAGTGACTAAAAACTTATTAGGTGGATCAGATGCAGAATTCTATAAAGCTTACCCTTCGTACACAAACACAACACCCGTATCTATCGAGCCTTCGACTTCGTGCGTTAGTTGGGACGGAACTTCTTCAGCTGAGATCAGTGTTTACTCTTTAGAGAGCAGATCAGTCACAAAATCGAGTACCGGAAAATCGAAGCCTTTATCCATATGTGAAGAACTCGATTATCTCCATGAGGATGATCGAGAATTTGGAGGTCATGCTGATGTCAGCTTCTCGGAACATGAAAATGATGGGATTATCGATCAGTTTACAGGTAATGATGCTTATGTCCTCTCATCTGGAAGGTGGCCAGTTCATCAAGGTAGAACGATCTCTTCGTCGTTTTTTTTTTGTTTTAATTAAACGGTTTAACTTGAATTAAAAGTTCAAACATTTTCTCGTATTTTTCGGTGCAGATAATCAAGAGGACACGAAGAAACTAACCATTGATAAGGAGTTCGAAGAGTACTTTTCGATGCTTATGATGTAATATATGGTATGCACAATATATTAAAAAAAATATATAAATAAAAAAAATGTTCGAATAATTTGAGATTTCTACTCTTTGTTCGTCTGTTTCGTTGTGTTTATTTTGTATGTTATGATAAGTTTTACGATTTTTTCCCGAGTTGGTGTTCCATAGGCACGTTCTTTGGCAGTCACACATATCAAATAATGTCTGTGATTGAGATAATCTTATTAACGATTGAGATAATCTTATTAACATTATTCGATCGCAGAAACAAGACTTGCAAAAACGAAAAACCGAAAAAGAAAAGACACAAAATACAATATATAGGCCGCGTGATAAAAAAAAATAAAAAAATCAATGAACTCGTAAAATTATTTAGTTGATGCACAATTCAACATCCCTGTCAGCACTTTGGAAGATCGAACGGTGGCGGAGGCAATTGCTGACTTGGCAACGGCCCGTCGAGTACAATCCAAGCCATTCTCAATCCCCAACTTGTATGTACATCGAAATGGCAATGCATAAACCACACCCCTGCGTATAAAAAATAGCTCCACTTATTATACATATATCCTAATTTACTTTTTGCAACTTTTACGTTTTTTTTTTTTTTGGGTCGATACTCACCTGGATTGTCTGTTAGGAATCGAATGGCAACCCATCCGCCAGATGGCACACCCACCGTATTCCTCTCGACGGGGTCCACAAGATTGAAATTCAAAGGGTCATTCGTCGGATCATAGTTTCCGAATCCTTCTCCAACTATGAAGAAATTGAAACCATGTAGATGAAGTGGATGGCTCTCTGCTCCAAGAATGCTCGTATCTTGCAGAACAAGCTCCACACTAGTATTGAAAGGTAGAGAAACAAGGCGGGTCCCGTTGCTCACTAAGGTGTTGTTTGGCGGTGTGCCCGTGTAGTTAAACGGATTTTGAGGATTGGTAGGGAAATCCGTTGTGTATATACCGTTGGATTTTTTGGAGAAGTGGGCTTGTAATAGAGCTGTTGCGGGAAGGGCAAAAGAGACATTATTAACTGAAGCTGCGAATTTCGTTCCGTTGGGGCCCGCGCATGTTGAGTTTTGGTTGCATGGGGTTGTACCGAGTCCGACAGTGAAGAAGAATTGCTTGTCCACTTTTTGTGGGACGTTTGCTATTGTGTATTTAGGATTATTCAAGCTTCGGAATTTCTTGGTGAAATTGGCAACGAAGCTCGTCGCGTTGAATTGCGGGAGAGTAGGTGTAAAGATTGCGTTTTTATTCGATGGGTTTTTTCCTTCGTATTCAAGAAAGGCGGTGACGGTTGAGTTGTCGAAAGTTCCTTGGCCGGTGGAGTAGGGCTGTGCCGCCATGATGAAAGTGGCGTTTGGGTGGTGGGATTTTGTTTTAAGAAGAACATTGGTGGTTTGGCCTGGGGTTATGACTACCACGCTAGTGGAAAATGGCTTCACATAAACTGCATCGGCTTCAACTATGGTTAAAGTATGGTTAGCTATGCCGAAAAACAGTTCGTCGTTCATTGCAGCGTTTATCAGACGAAGCAAGTACGTCTTTCCAGGCTTCACCTTCAGCTTGAATGTATCTTAAAAAAAAAATCGACACATTTAAAAATTTGATCTTTATTGACGAATATTATAATTTAGTGATATTATTACCTTTCGAGGAACAATTGTACGAGGGTCCTGGACGACCATTTATAGTATATGCATCTGAAACATTTGGACCACCCCCTGTCTGAAGAGCTTCACTGATAACCGCCTCAGGGTCTGCATTCCACCACTCCCCTGATAAAATCAAGAAACACGAAGAAAAAAATTAAATAAAAATCGGATCTTTGATGAAAAAGATGAGATTTTTATTTTGGTGAAGTGGTTACCAAAGATGATGGGGACTTCCTTGTATGGTTTTCGGAAAGGGTAAGTCTCGTTTTTTTTCGGGAGGATGATAATCGGACCGTGGAGAGTTGACCTAAGCCATGAGATGTGTGCATGCCAGAACAGAGTACCTCTCTGCCCTGTAATGGTGAAGTTGTATGTGTAATTTTGGCCTGTCTGAATCGGGCATTGTGTTACGTATGCTGGTCCGTCGGACCATCCGCTTCTCAGCTGTCTTATTCCATGCCTGCGTATTATAGTTAAAGGAAAATCGAAAATATTATTTGCAATCTTTTTCCGATTATATATATTCTCGAAGCAATAGTACTATATATACACAATGCATATACTATGATAATAATGTTTCTTACCAATGAAGCGTAATGTTGTTCGTCACGTTGTTGACCACCTTGACTAGTACTTGATCACCTTCCCTAGCTATAAGTCTTGGCCCCGGAAATTTTCCGTTAACGGTAATAATACTCTTCGTTTTGCACAATCTCGTTACGTTTTTTTGCACAATCTAGCATAAGAAATTAATTTATAAACACTTATCCATGTATATAAATATAGATAGAAGAGAAAATATTGAAAAATTTAACGTACGTTGAACGTGTAGTGCCTTGTCGTGCATGAAGCAGGCTCGGTCAGAATCGATGAAACGAGAACGCAGAACAGAAGAGCTGCCATTGTTGTTGCAACTGAGGAAGCATTAGTGAACATCTTTTTTTTTTTTTTTTTTAATTTCTTGTTTTGGTTATTTGTTATGTAATATAATTAGTTAATTCCGAGGTTGTATAAATAAGTAGATGATTAGGTAATAAGGGCAACTGTTATTAGGGGATGAACAGTAAGAATGGTCAAGCTGAGTTTTAGAGTGCTGATAAAGTAAGATTAGGCTTCCATTTTGTTGTCCTAATCTTGATTAACGTCAAAGGTTTTACTAATTACACACTATGTTGCAAATTTGAAGTAGTAACTTTGAACTCAAATAAAGTGTGCTTTCAAATTATTTGTTTAATTAATATGATTAGATGGAATATAATAGCTTTGAAGGGCTAATTAAATAAATTGGCTTTCAGATGGAACATCAGTTTCTTTATCAAGCATTTAAAAATAAATTGGCCCAAAGAAAATTTCATTTTATATTTGGATTAATAATGTGATGCATGAATCTTGTAGCAAACAGTTCAAATGAGTTATTAGTAGCAACAGATGCATGTGACACCAGTTCCATGAAAATGATATAGCAACCATCAATTGGCCCTCTTTTTTTCTAATTTCTTTATACATTTTTTAATAAATAATTTTTACCATTAATCATTATTATTAATAATTACTATATTGTGTGGAAAACAATTTCTCTTAAATTTGAATCTTCCCAAAGTTAAAATGTTCCTCAATCAGCCTACTTTCCAACAGTTATTACTTCCTATTGAAGAAAATTGACCAATACATCAAATGATTTTGTGGAATGAAAAATAAAACATTTTTTAAATAACAAAATCTGCAATCTAACCATATAGGTGAACTGGTCGGTAAACCTACACTCTCGTATAATAATTTGTAAAATATACGAGAGACGTAAACTACGTGTGACGAGCTGCACCTAGCGACCATTAGTCTGCTTCGAGTAATTTTACACGATAAAATGAACATAAAGAAATTTACCCTAATTTCTTTCTTCCTAATTAACTATGAGCAAATTCAATATAATCTTCAGAACCGCATAAACTTACATACAAAATAATTATATGTATCCCAAACAAGGATGTAATAAACAACCGATTAGCCATGCATAACTAAACCTGGGCCGCCCAAGCTAACTCTCTCCCCTGATGATGAGCGGCGGCGCCGCCGAAGAAAATATCAAGCTCCGGCGACTGGAAGTAGCCATTCTTGGGAGGATCCCTCTTCGTTCTCCGGTCAATCTTCTTCTTCCTCGGCGGCGGCGGACACGCCATCCCCACCTGTATCTGGTACTCTTGGTTCTTCGGAGTTGTACATCCTTGCTCCGCTTCCATTTCTCAGCTTAATTCCGACCGAAAATATTCCTTATTATTATTCCCTTATAATTACGTACGACGCGGTACTCTTTATTCACGTACAAATTTGTACTAGCTGCTGTACGTACCTTATTCTTGAAAATTAAGCAAACACCAAACCCTAGAGGAGTACAACAAAAGTTGAGGTAGAATATGAAACAGCAACTAATTAATGGAGATTGGAGGGTTTATTAATTAATTGTTTTTTGAATTTGAATTCTGCTACTGGAAAATGTATTGATTGTAGAGTAGTGGTGTAGTGGAGGAGGAGGAATAGTTAAAGGTGACAGTTCATTATGGGGTGGCACCGACTTCCTCTGCCTACGTGGCGGTGGCCCCACACCGTCGGTTCAAATAGGGCGGCGCCGAATTTTTTTTGGAGGGAAAGAAAGCATTTTTAGGGTGGCCTTCATTCAGTATAAATCTCGGCCGCAGGATATTTTTGTTTGGATAAGAGGAAATAACTAATGGAGTACGGAGGAATTGTTCTTCATTATTTAATTAATTAATGGGATCAATTAATGGCTAATTATACTTTTTGCTTTACCCTAGGGCGAAGGCAACCAGAAAACGATTGAATGTGTTTATTCTTATTCATTCAATTCAAATTGAATTCATATGCTCAATCTTCTTGATTAAAACTAATTTTTGTACAAATTGGAGAATATTCTATATATTATAGAAGATTTCCAGTAAATTGGATACCGTAAGAATGGACGTGTAAAAAGATTCTTAGTTGAGGAATAATTACAATTATCAAAAAATATGAATTTTTTCGTAATTTGACTTAACTTCAGGGGTGAGTGTAATTTATCCGAAATTAAATAGGCCTAACCTCTATTAGGCCTAGTAATAATATTTTCAATTTAAAGCCCATTTGTAGGCCTCTTTTTATAGGTTTTGTAAATAACATAAGTTTAGTATGGGCCACGACTAATCTCTATTCGTACATTTTAGCCCAATCTAAAGCCCACTTTAAATACCCGATTCAAAAGGGCATCTACAATTTCATATCTATTTTTTTTTAAATAATTCGATTTTATTCATTAAATTGTCAATTTAATTTTCTTGAAAAAAATGTCAACAAAAAAAAAAAAAAAAGTATATATGATGACAAGAAATTGAATGATTAAATGAAAAAATGGGAAGAGCATAGTAAGTTGGGTGCACCATCAAAATTATGAGCCACGGACAAGTGACAGCTTCGACCAGTTCCATTCCTCATCTTCCACACATGTGACTTTTGCCACCCTCTTCCCCCCACACGTGTAGGCCACACCTCACACGTGCCATTCACCTCATGGGGAGTTGACTTTTTGTAGATAGCTCCACCAAGATTTGGTCGCACCCTCACGGGGACCAGACACACAAAACCAATTCATTAACTATTAACCCCTTTTGTCCTTAATCGCGTCACGCTGCATTCATTATTTACTACAATTTTGTTAAAAGTCAACCCCCCCACCCCAACTATATATTATGAAAAAACAAAAAAAAGTTATGAACCTTCCCTCTTTTTGATGCAACCACAAATTAAATTGGATTCTTTTGTTGTCACACAATATTTTATTTTTCTTTTTGGGGGTACAAATTAATAATTGAGATAATTAAGGGTAAATTACGATCAGTTCCCTGAGATTAGATTAAATTACGAAAAAAAACACTATTTAATAAGTATATTTGACTTTATAAGGATAAACGTGTAAGACAATACATAGTTGAGGGAGATAGTAGTAATTACTCAAATATGAGGGATTTTTTTCGTAATTTTACCCCAATTCAGGAAGCTGATCGTAATTTATAGGTTATATATGTGATGATTTCGGTATTTTAGTTAGTAATGTGTTGACAAACTTGTTTTTGACTAAATTGAAATTGGTTGTTGACTTATGGGAAAGTCAAAATCTTCTAGTAACTCACGGGCGAAATATGAGTTTGACATTCGATTTGTGACATTTTTGCTATATCCAAATTCATGATCAACTGCCCTAAAACATTAATTATGGTTTAAGTGCAAAAGTTAACTTATAAACTACTAATATAAGTGTTAGATATGTGATGCTTCTTTAGCAGTTGACCCTTAATCTTACCTGAAAGTTGTGTGGTTTAGTTAAGCTTGGTCCACCTTAAAAAAAACAAAAATATAATGTGTAAGAGAAACAAAAAACATTGGTCCACTTCATTTATATATATATCTATATATATATATATATATATATATATATATATATATATATATATATATATATATATATATATATATACACAAAAAAAAAA